ATTGCATTACGTTCGGGTGGGGGAGGGTGGGAGGTGTGGGACCCCCGAAAATATGCCTGGAAGAAACTCTGGTTATATTCCATATTAAAAAAAGGGTTTCTAAAATACTGGTTTACGTAGCAAAACATCTTTATAACATAGACGTTGTTTTTACACGTTTATGGATATCAAAAATGATCAAAGATAAACCTACATCGATATATTAAAACACCGGCTTCTACTCAAAACACAGAAATCCCAGGGTAACATGAAAACTATCACCTGCCAATATCGAAACAAAACATCTCACACAGGAAAGTTCCAACTTTTACATCCATAAGTGTAAACACAAGTTTTCACTCATTGATTTTTATTTTTTCTCTTGAGCTCATATCAGCTGTTTTTTTTTTTTGAGCGAGGGGGGAGGGTGGATTTATGAGCATCTAGATAGGAATGTCTTTCTGTTTATAACCACTATGGATTCGTGCAGTCGAGATCACGTGACCGCTCTTGAAACATCTGTCACGACAGGCAGATGTCAGCAAGTTAAGATATTAATAGATATTTGACTCCACTGGTCGTTTAAAATATATGTCAAGATACTTACAGATATTTGACTCCAATTTTCTTGTAAAAGCGGCGGCAGTACAACATAGTGTATTATTTTTGTTTTGCTGGTGGCGACTACACGATAAGAGTGATGGTGTGGCTTAAACGTAGTCAGAACTAGGGTTATGCCTATGGTTATGGGGGCAATCAATTTTTACCCTCGGATATATGCTATGTGCATATTAATAAACCAGCACTAATGAATCCCCTATGTCGACTGACCTACATCAATTATATGTTTATTCGCTATCAAGTTTGAGATCTGTGTAGCAGCATACATATGTAAAGTATTAGATTAGGCGCTATATGGTCCATGGAAATCAATGGTAATTAATTCACTGAGAACATTTGACACTAAGAACACTTACTTTACCCAAAGAACGCTTGACGCGTAGCTCAAAGAACACTTGACATTTTGCCATAAGAACAGTTGACACTTTGCCCTAAGAACAGTTGACACTTTGCCCTAAGAACACCTGACACTACCCTAAGAACACTTGACAATATGCCCTAAGAACACTTGACAATTAGCCCTAAGAACGCTTGACGCGTAGCTCAAAGAACACTTGACATGTTGCTCTAAGAACACTTGACATTTTGCCATAAGAACACTTGACAATTAGCCATAAGAACACTTGACAATTAGCCATAAGAACACTTGACAATTAGCCCTAAGAACACTTGACACTTTGCCCTAAGAACACTTGACACTTTACACTAAGAACACTTGACAATATGCCCTAAGAACACTTGACACTTTGCCCTAAGAACACCTGAAAATTTGCCCTAAGAACACCTGACAATTTGCCCTAAGAACACTTCACACTTTGCCCTAAGAACACCTGAAAATTTGACCTAAGAACACCTGAAAATTAGCCCTAAGAACACCTGAAAATTTGCCCTAAGAACACCTGACACTTTGCCCTAAGAACACTTGACAGGTTGCCCTAAGAATAAGAACACTTGACAGGTTGCCCTAAGAACACTTGACAGGTTGCCCTAAGAACACTTGTAGTTTATCCCTTGCATGATGAGAACCAGGTATGTTGTCCTTGCTGATCAATCTGTTATCAAGCCGGTACCTCAGCCGTGTGTTTAAACCGATCTAATCAGCTAACTCTCTCTTTAACATCATGTTTCTCTCCCTTTGCTTGCCTTTTTCTTTGCCCCTTTCTTTCTTTAGTACATTTTCCCTCTTCTCTTGGTCTTCTCTTTGTATTTATTGTTTCTTCCTCGTTCTCTTTTCTCCCCCCCCCCCCCCCCACACCCTGCCCCTTTCTCTCTCCCCATTTCAATTTCCTTCTGCCGATTTTTTCCCTTAATAAATTATAAAGCTTTCTCTGAGCAAAGTACCCTCCCCAGATGGCACGAGAAATGGTCATTCATTATGTACTCACTCTTTCTGAAAGTAGTGTTGGGTCGTAAGACGCTGAAAGCCTCCTTACATTAAGTACACACAGGTCAGATAATGAGTAAATTATCGCCTCTCTGCTGCGCACTGGTCACAGCAGAGTGTACTGGAGTGTGCTGGAGTGTACTGGAGTGTACTGGAGTGTACTGGAGTGTGCTGGAGTGTACTGGAGTGTGCTGGAGTGTACTGGAGTGTACTGGAGTGTGCTGGAGTGTACTGGAGTGTACTGGAGTGTGCTGGAGTGTACTGGAGTGTACTGGAGTGTACTGGAGTGTACTGGAGTGTACAGGAGTGTGCTGGAGTGTACTGGAGTGTACTCACTCAAGGTGTGCGTGTTATTGTGTTTTATGTTGATCTTGGTTTTAATCGAGACACATCATACACTAGTTTTAAGCGAGAGACATCATACACTAGTTTTAATCGAGACACATCATACACTAGTTTTAATCGAGACACATCATACACTAGTTTTAAATCGAGACACACCATACACTAGTTTTAAGCGAGAGACATCATACACTAGTTTTAATCGAGACACATAATACACTAGTTTTAAATCGAGACACACCATACACTAGTTTTAAGCGAGAGACATCATACACTAGTGTCTTGGGTAATATTTTTTTTTAAATCAGGAAAATCCATGCTTATAAAATGGATGGGTTAATGATGTATGAAAGGGGGGGGGGGGATAATTTCAGCTTTAGAGACTACCAACATTTATCAATAATCAATAAATCCGCCTTGATCGATAACTAAGAAATAAAACAAATCTGAATAATCACTAAATCGATACCGGACAATAATTCGTAGGAATAAAGTAGGTGTGACAAAACCGATCAAATCGAACGGTTCAGGCCACAACTTTTATCACAGACTTAAATCAACATTGATAACTTAAATATTCCAGTATTGGTGTTCCCAGTATCTGATCTAGGTGTAGTCTAGTCCGTAAAATATCATGTTCGACTAAATGGGTGTTCACACTATCTGATCTAGGTATAGTCCGTAAAATATCATGTTTGACTAAATGGGTGTTCCCAGTTTCTGATCTAGGTATAGTCCGTAAAATATGTTTGGCTGGTGTTCTCAGTATCTGATCTAAGTATAGTCCGTAAAATATCATGTTCGACTGGTGTTCACAGTATCTGATCTAGGTATACTCTGTAAAATATCATGTTTGAATGGTGTTCACAGTATCTGATCTAGGTATAGTCCGTAAAATATCATGTTCGACTGTATGGGTGTTCACACTATCTGATTTAGGTATAGTCCGTAAAATATCATGTTCGGTTGGTGTTCCCAGTATCTGATCTAGGTATAGTCCGTAAAATATCATGTTCGCCTGTGAAGCCAAACAAGAAATTTGTCTGATTCGATAAAAGACACTCTAAGAGATTATTTGAAACCATTGGCGCCGGAACGAGATTGGAAGGGAGGGGAGGGATTGGGTGAGGGAGTGACAGAAATGTTTCACAGCTTCCCTAGGGGATATAACTCTATTTTCTTAAAGAAAAACGGATTTCGTCCCCTTTCTGTTGTCTGCGGGACTTTTTTTAAAAAAGATCGTGACTTCCCTTCTCACAAAGTGTTTTGCTGGTTCCGTGGGGAGGGGGGGGGTCAGGGAGGGGGGGGGGAGATTTGACGGCGCCATTTGATGAGAGTATGATTAGCCGCGCTGTTTGGTAGACCACTGATTTTGTTCGAAATAATTATATTTCCGCCCCCCCCCCCCTCCCCCTGACCGTACCAAATAGGTAGGGACCCGGGCCCATCAATGGCCATCAATGGCTGTAAAGGGAAATGTAATGCGTGTCAAGTGAGAGTTCAAGCACCAACACTTTCATTGCCTCCCTTGACGTCTATTGCTCTTTTGTTTTTTTTTTACAAAAAAGCTATTTGAGTTCTAGCCCCCCCAAAAAAGTAACATATCTGCTATTTAGTACTTTTTTCTTCTATGATATAGTTAATAACTACAGGGTAAGATTTGTTGCAGTCCAAGACGGCGACTGTTTAATCCTACTTTGATTGTAATCTGTTAGTAGTAAAGTTAGGATGGTGATCTATCTATTGAGCAGATGATGTAGAGTTCACCTGTGTATGTGACCCCAGCATAAATTGGTCAGCGCTGTGCCACGCTGGCTTTACTACTTTCCTTATCGTAAGTCAGGTACCCATAAGAGTTGGGTGGATTCAGGAACATCCTACAGACTCAAGCCCTGGATCCGAACTCGAGACTGTGGGGATAGCATTCGTGCGCTCTAGCAAATCTGTTGGTATAAATTCATTCAGGATGTCCCCAAAAATTGACATTACAGCCTCTCTAGTCAGCTTTAAAAAAAAAAAACTTCTAAACACAAAGAACTAATCGCATAATTTATAAACAACAATAACTAAAGGAAGCGTACACTATGCCTTAATACAACTGCTTCCTTTTCTAAGTGTTAAACAATGTATCTACTTCATACATTCCCACTATAAATTGAGATTTTCAAAATCTATTTTCAAAAAGTACATAGATCTATATTGAAAAGTACATTCTAGTATGGAAGGGGGGTGGAAGAGATGTCATCTAATAGTAAAAATATCGATTTTAAAGTATTGATTCTTAATGTTCGTGTTCATTTCGCTTCGTAACAAAAATGCTACAAATATATTTTTAAAATCGTGGTCAAAATTATTTCTAGAAGTCAAGAGAAATAATCCATTAAAAACAACACCATGAAAACGCATTTAGGCAGTTATCTACCTTTCAAAGAACTACAATTTTATCGGCTAATATTTATGATTAGGTGAGAAAAAAGTTAATCTTTAGTCAAAGCATTTCCGTGTTGTTGTTTGTTTTTTTTTTAATTAAAAATAAACGTCTTTGCCTTTTAATAGTTACCCTAGATAAATATATATTAGTCAAGTAGCAATACATTTATACTTTTTATAATAGATCTAGATCCAAAACAGTAGGCTAGAATACGGGAAGTAACTCAGTTCAACTTCCGGTGCTTCGACGCTTAGAAAATGAAGTTGTAAATTTTATTGATCAAGTAACTAGATCTATCATTAATAACAAAGTTGATTATTGTTAGATCTAGCCCCAAATAAGCTAAACGCATTCTTTTAAAAATGTCAGATGCGTGGAATGACATTCAAGCTCTTAAAAATCGCCAAAGCGACATTAGAGCTAGAATGCGCGAACGTCGCATTCAGCGAGAAGGTTTGGCCGCCGAACTTGCTACTGCAACAAATTCTGCAACAGCAACTGTACAAGCTGCTGCTTTAACGGGTATGTTATGCAACAGATCTAGGCCTGTATCTATTATTACAGCCAAAAACTAATATAAAAATAGGGCTTATAAATAGTGTTATTAATATTATTAGGCCTATGATTATGAACTCACTCCCCCACCAGCCACCATAAACAAAAAAATTTTCGAAGTGACTACTCGGAAGATTTTTCTTTCCAACGTCTCCACTTAGTCGGCAAAAGATAGCTATGCGCAGTGACCTATGGCTAGGGTAAGGTCTAGAATTAGGCATAGGATTAGGGTTGTAGGGTTCTGCAGTTGTAAACACACGCATGCGCAGTACCATCGAAAACATCGCCGCAAGTCGTAGTTTCTCTCCATTGTACATGCGTATCTTATTCCGGCTAGCATCGGCCAAAATATTTTTGTCAAAAATTATTAAAATTGGGCCTAAACATTCTAACTTAACTCTTTAAGAATAATTATGGGGGGGGGGGGCAGAATTTCATTGAGACTGATAAATCTCTCTAATAGTCAACATTTTACTAAAATCAAAATCAGGCCTACATTTCTTATTGACTTGAATTTTAAGACTAGATAATCTAGGTCCATCTATTCTATAATAATCTATAATTAGGGGCCTATTAAATTCTATAGGGCTGGTAAGTAGGTCACCAACCAGTTCTACGGCTCAATAAAACCTGCATGAGCCATAGAACTGTTTATTGACCTACTTACCAGCCCTATAGGCCCCTAAACAAATCAATAATCTAATAGATTTGCATCCTAACTAAATTTAAAATTTATCTCTGTTCTTAAGCATTTAAGCTAGTTGGATATAATGTTCTAAAAGGGATAAGTTATCCTTGATCCTAACTTTTACCATATAACCTTTTATAGTTCAAGGCATAAAAACCATTGTACTTCCCATACAGCCGAGCAAAATGACATCGCGTTTTTCAACCGTGGCACTTTTTAAAATGTTGTTTTAAAATATATATTTGAACTGTACCACAAAAGAAATTCTCCAACACTCGCAGCCACATAGCACTGTAAAGGGTTAACAGTTTTGCAAAAATATCATTCAATCACTACAAGTACAAGTCACAGTTTATTGTAGTTTTCGTGATCTTTATGTTAAATGCCATACATTAACTAATAGTAAATATAGTTTAAATAACATAAGGCTACTAAATGAATATTATTATATAGGGCCTACATAATTAATATATGTATTTTTTTAGTGTAATATGTGTACTCAAACAAGAACTACATTGATGTTACAGATCAGTCCATCTCAAATACTTTGGTCAAGCCTATTGTAGCAGCTACAACAGCAAGTCCAATCAAAACAGCACACAGAGAGGCTGTCCGAGTGGCTGCTGATCCTGAGGTTGAGAAGAAACTTTTAATGGTTCTTTGTGATATCAGCCTGGATATTCCATCCGATTCTAAGGTTTGCTTTTTACTTAAAACAGATTGTATTTATCTGAATTTAAAAGTTTATAAAAGTTCAATCACATTATCTTCTGCAATATTTTTTCAACAACCAAAAAAATGTCTAAATGATTTCTAGTCATTTTTTTTATGTTAAGCCCATAAATTGTGTTGTATTTTTCACACAAATTTTCAATGTTGTCCTCTGTGTTACCTTGTGCAAATCACTAAATGATCGTAAATTTTGATTTTGTACCTATACCTTATGTTAATATTTTTCGCTGTATTTACCATTCAGGTGATTACTGAACACACATCAAGACTGATGGAGAGGGAAGTTGACTTTAAACTGGTTGAAGAGCTTTTAAAAAAATTTGCAATGCAAAAACTTATCAGGTAATTTAATGCTAACAAATATTACATTATGTTTAGGGAATATATTCTTTCACATAGATTAATTATTTAAACTTTATAGCAATATCTTACAAGAAATAATTTCAATAAAAGTAAAGTTATTAATATGTTTTAATAGTATTTTGCTTATACTGTAAAAAAAATTTATACAGCTAAATTCTAAATGTTTTTCATTTCTTTTACAATTTTTTTCCCCACTTAGCATTAAATTTTCAGAAATTTCATCTGATTTGATAGTCAGCTCTTTGGATTTGAGTAAGGTAAGTTTTGAATAAGTTGGTTTTTCGAAGGTCATGGCTTTCACTTAGAATTTTTTTTCTCAAGATTATTCTGTCTATTGTTTTGATATTGTTCATTTATTGTAACTACTTTCAGCTTTCTGATGTAACAAAGGGACAAGCAAAAAAAAGGAGAAAAGACAGGTAATTAAATACATGTTGCTATTTACACTTGCTTAAATATTTTTTTACTTTGTACATTATTGTTCAGTCATAATTTGAGATTTTCCACAGAAAAAACATCACAAGTAACAAAATTTTAACTACATTAAGATAAATTAAGAAATTTAAAACCTATTTTACTTTAATATATAAATTAATATTTATTGTTCGTATATTTTTGTTCATGTTTTGTTTTGTTTTTTAATCACAGAGCTAGCAAGGTTGGGTAATGATTTCAGTTTTGCTGTGTTGGTATTAGATTTGTGCTATTTTCATATCACTTTGATTTTATTTGAACACAGTGATGATGATGATGAAGAGGAGCTTCTCCCCAAACAATCCAAGTCAGTAGCTCCAGAATCCGGTGACATTGAGGTAACTCAAAGTTTAAGCGCTATTGTTCAAAAGCTAGAAATACTAAAGCTAAATAAATTCTATTATAATAATTTTTGTGAGAATGAAGAATTATATAGACATACCTGGGAAAAGAATATGTGGTGGTTAGACAAGAGTCCATAAATTTGAATAGTAATTGTTAAGAAATACTTTCATTCTTGGTTTTCAGTACACAAATATAATACTAATAATTTCCAGTTTTGAAGTTTCCTGACAAATTATCATTATTGATCACTCACTGTCTGAATAGATGATGAACAGTTTATTCAACTTTTATAAACATGGATAATCAAACTGGTGGAGTAATGGACTTTAATGATAGTTTGGTTTTCTGTTAACTTCCATGTTTAAAGCAACTAAAAATGTTATCTTATTTATCTTCCAGACTTTGCTATCCATGCAATCCACTAAAGAAAGGGAGGAGAAAAAGATAAATGAAGAAATACAAGAGCTTTTAGTTACCCAGACAGCAAAGGTAAAGTATTAGGCTTTTTTCTAAAAAAATATTTTGCTATATCAATCATTATTTTTTATGTAAAAAAAATACAACTGACACATAATAATTTTTTTGTAAATATTTTTAGGAACAATATTTGGTGGAAAAGTTCAAATCCAGAGGAGGTAATTAAAAATTGTTAATTTACATTTGATTTTATTCGAAAAAGCTCAAATGTTATACCAGTTTTTAACTATTCATATATCTTACTTTACCACACTGTTGTGTGCTAACAGACCTTGGGTTGTACCTATTATTGTTTTGAATTTGTGAGGATACTAACACTACATGTTTTATTACTATATCTTATTTTGAGAACTGTCTGTATTTATGCTTTAGGCCCTCAGTTACAAGAGTTCTGCCAGTATGGAACTAGAGAAGAATGTCAAAGAACTGGGCCTGACGGGGCTGTTTGTAAAAGGCTGCATTTCAAGAAAATTATCAACAAGCATACAGACGGTACTTTTTTTGTATTATATTTGTTACAGTGCCATTTGTTGAGGAACAATATAGAATTATTTTAAAATGTAACCCTATGGAAGGCATGCAAGCAACAGTTGAGAAGGAAATACTTGAAGCTGAGGTGGATAGGACACACTCTTTAAAGGCAGAGAGTAACACAACTAGACAAGCTGGAGTAATCTACAGATGAAGGGGAGGAGGTCAAATGTTCACAGAAGAGACCTTGCAAGAGAGATGGTGGAGACATAAAGAATAAATTGTTTTTTATATTTAAATCAGTTTTTAGTATAAAATAACTGACATCAATAAATATTTGAAGGATTTTTGTTAAATGGAATCAGTAATTTTCACGGAAAAACACTGCTTTTATTTCCTCAGAATCTCTTGGTGACTGCTCCTTTTTAAACACCTGTTTTCACATGGAGACATGTAAAGTAAGTTGATTAACATGTTTTATATCAGATAATTACATCTACAACATCCTGCTACTGCATGGCTGTGTCGACTCTTTATCAGAGTTAACTTTTTGTTTTATTTATCAGATTTAAATTTTTGCTTTATTTATCTGATTTAACTTTTTGTTTTATTTATCAGATTTAACGGTTTTATTTATATGATTTAACTGTTTTATTTATCATATTTAAATTTTTGTTTTTTTTATCTGATTTAACTTTTTGTTTTATTTATCCATTTTTTTTTTGTTTATGGGAGTTAACTCTTTGTTCAAGATAACAAAAGTTCTGTAGGAAATCAGAAATCAGTTTAACATAATATACAATTAATATTATATTAACCTGTTAAAAATTATGCTTTTTCAATATAAATCCTTTTGTTTTCATTTCATAACTCACTGTTTTTTTAATTTTAAAAAGCCGATGCTTTTATTTTATGCTTAAAAAGAAAGAAATACAAATTTCTCTGAGACATAAAATAAAATTTATTAAGAAAAAAAGTGGTTTAGAAATTTTTGTTTGCGAGCATTTAACGTTACAGAAGAAAGCTGCAGTTTCAGTCAGGATGGTTTTCCCTTGATTTTTTTATTCTGTGGTAAGTGAAACATTTATTTCATCAAAATGTGTGGTTTATCTTTAATTTTTTGTCGTAAAAATTTTTTTACTGATACTTTACAAAAATGTGTCCATCTTACAATTTTTGATAGTGTAAGATGTCACTTAAGAATGTAAATGTTTCACTTCCTACATTCTTTTAACTCCATTTTCTTCTTGACCAATTAAATCTACATTGTATAACATTGTTTTTAATTGCAATAGGAAACTCCTGCTTTACAAAACAGTTTAATTGGACAGACAGCTCAAGCACTAGCTGGTAATGGATGGGAAATTTCTTAACCTTTCATTCTAGTGTAGCTTCATGTGTTCTGTGGTAGTTAGAAATATTGTAGAAACAACACTACAACTGTATGGAGATGTTAATGTATTCATATCATGTTATCTTTGAGGTTTGGTGTCTCAGACTTTGGCCTTTTGTTTCAGGCCAGCAGAACACAAACCAAGACTGGCTGTACAACTTTGGGAACAACGAGACCATTCTTTCTTACACTGATCTTAAACACAACATGATGGGGGACAAGTTCTACCCCCACATGCACAACACAGACCTGTCGCAAGAGTTCATGGCACCTGGCCAAGTCTCCGCCCACCTCCCCAGGCCCTACTCCCCAGTTGACGCCCATCACAGAGTCTGTCCCCCGTGTACTCTCTCAGACGTGACACACGGCTGTCATGTTGGCATCCCCAGGTACCCACCTGCCGCCATGCCTGATGCTGAGGCTGCCACTGACCACCTCTATCCCCAGCCCATGGCTCACTCCTACCAAGATCTAATGCAAGTCCTGCCTTCCAGTTCTAGAACTTTCTCCAACATGACTTTACAAGACACTGCACCAGTGACCTCAGCAGAATGTCCCACAGCATACCCTTACACCCCAATGCTGTATTCCCAGAGTGCGTCAACGCCTGTATTGTCTGTTCCCAGCAGCAAGCCAGGCACTGAGCAACCTGCTTGGTCAAGCTCAGACTCCTCACTGCCAGCAGCAGTAAAGTCTACAACAAAACAAATGAAAAACACCTGTACAGGTACGGGCGTGAAGAAAAGGATCCCCCAACCTGAGAAGTGGAAAAAGAATTTATCAAAGTTTAAGAAAATAAAAGGGGAAGAGCACCTGAGCAGGACGGGAAACATCATCCCAGCGAAGAAGGTCGAGGTCATTGACTGCTCACAGTGCACCTTCAAATGTAACGATAACTTCAGCCTTGACCTCAGACAGCAGCTGTTTGATGTCTTTTATGGTCTAGGTTCAAACGAGTGCCAGAAACAGTTTGTCTGTCAGAACGTGCAGGAGATGCTGACCAAAGTCAAGGGGGACAAGCAGGAAAAACATGAAAATAAGAGGAAAGTCAGCAGAAAATATTTCCTCCCCGACACTGACAACACACGGAAACAAGTGTGCTCCAAATTTTTCTGTGGCACGCTAGCCATTGGGAAGACTTTCGTATCCCATGCCCTGCGCCACAAGCAGTTTGGCTGTTATGTGGGTAAGGAGAAGCGAGGAAAGCCTCACAATAAAATACCAGACAGTTTGTTAGACCCAGCCAGGCTGCACATAAAGTCTGTGCTGGGGGCTGCTGCGTCTAAGGGAGGGAAGAAAAACTTTAGGAAGAAGTTTATAGAGCAGGGGCTCAACATCACAAAAATGTATGACATGTATAAAAGTGAATGCACATCTAAAAATATTGGTCCTGTTAGCTTAAGTATGTATAGACGGGTGTTTCATACAGAGTTTTAACTGGTGGTTTTAGTTGGTGTTGCTGACTGAGGCAAGGAGAGTCGATCTAACCTGCCCACTAGACAGCTGTTGTTACTGCCTTGTAGTGAATAGACCTAGCTTTCAGACCAGGTGGTCCATGGGACAGATGTAGTAGTTGATCTGTTTCCTAGAACTTGTCATATCAAGAGTGTGTGGTCACCACAGTACTTGAATTCATCTACTCATGTCCCCATCTGAGCTGGGTGGGTGGTAAAGGGATGCCTTAAGCACTCAGGCCTGTGAACCAAATTTAAGACACTCAGGTTAGTTATCAAGTGTTCTACCACACGGCCATGCTGTTCCATAGCTGCCTTATCCCACACTAGGAACAATACTAATACTAAATTAAAAAATGAGCACTCTAATATTTGCAAAGAAAATGAGGACTTAACTGGTGCACTATTATAGGTGTACTAATCATATTTCTCAGGGGTTTATGTACTAAAATACAAATGTAAATATATATATAGAGAGAGAGAGTAGAGATACCTTATGTACAGTTTACAAGTAATATATTTTTGTGTAAATAATGTGCATTTTTGTAATAATGATCAGTTAACTTACAAATATAATAATATATGTATCAAAAATAAACATCTTATATTCACATTAAAATGTGTTGTCTTCTTGTATAAATGTACAGTATGAATTGTGTTCTCACTGGATACTAATGATAGTGTTTGTTGGGTTTTTTTTAAATCCTTTCTGAGCTTGTGTTAACTATTAGGATATTTAAAAATTATAATTTAATTAAGAACTGATCAGAATTTAAAAATTATATTTTAATTAAGAACTGATGATAAAAACTTGAAAATGACCAGCAGTTACAGAAAAATAATAGTGTTTAAAATAACATTTTGTACAATTCAACCATAGAAGTTAACTAACTAATATTAAAATTTAAAAAAAATTCCATAGCTCAAACAGGTCGAGCTTGCTTCTAAATAGATTTTCTTTTTTACAATTTTAGCTATTTTTTAATAAATAAAACTGATCTTTCTATTTATGCACATAATTGCTGGGAGTTATTTTACCTGCATAGGTTTAAAAAGGGACTTTTTTTTACACAGAATTTTACTTCGTAGTACATAGTAGGGTTTTTTTGTCATCAGCTGCTATTTGGTGTGTTCTTAAAACCACTCACTATGCATCTTGGACATTTGAAAAGCTTTTCAATCAGGTTTTATTTCAATAATGGCTGTAATGTAACAGAATGTTATGTCCACTGAAATTGTTGTTTCATATGTCAATCAATGTTAACAACATTGAATTGCCCAGTATGTTCACTATAAGATTGTGTTAACAAGCTTGTATTCCCCAGTATGTCCACTATAAGATTGTGTTAACAAGCTTGTATTCCCCAGTATGTCCACTATAAGATTGTGCTAACAAGCTTGTATTCCCCAGTATGTCCACTATAAGATTGTGCTAACAAGCTTGTATTCCCCAGTATGTCCACTATGAGATTGTGTTAACCTTGTATTCCCCAGTATGTCCACTATGAGATTGTGTTAACCTTGTATTCCCCAGTATGTCCACTATGAGATTGACTACCCACCAAAAAAACTTCCCTCCACTGAGCTGATGAAGAAAGAAGCCTCACTGGGTAAAATAGTCACAGAAATGGGAGATAACACTAGCGTTCATATGTTTCCCCCTCAGGTAGATAAACACCACATTTTATAATATCACTGTACCAAAACTTGACCTTAGATTTGTATTTTGGTTGATATGAATGTTAAACACTTGAGTTATTAAATCTTCATGCCATACTGTCCGTTAAATATCAGCTGGATATTATTGAATTCATAGTTGGAATTATATGCTAGAATTAATCAAATAACCTAGCGCTAACAATGAACCTAATGAATATATTTAGTGGATCCAGTGTGACCTGCGCTACTTTGACATGTCAACACTGGGTAAATGTGCTGTGGTCATGGCTGATCCCCCCTGGGACATCCACATGGAGCTGCCCTATGGCACCATGGGAGACAATGAGATGAGGCAGCTAGACATCCCAGGACTTCAAGACGATGGCTTTATTTTCCTCTGGGTCACTGGCAGGTCAGTATTTATTTTATCAGCTACTGACTGGAGCCTTTACAAGCTGCCACTATCTACAGCCAGTGAGTTTTTCAACTTTAAGACCTAACTGTTCAGAGGCTGTTTATTAATTTAATCAAGTCCTCTTTAGATACAAGCCATTAGTAATTCAACTCTTCACAGAATTTAACCTTTAAAGTTAAATAAATAGCCAGGGAAGTAAGTGAATTGCCAACTTTAATGGCTGTAACTATCAAGTTAAAATTAATTTACGTCCAATAAATAGCTTTATGTTTTAAGTTGCCATTTTAAAAGAATACTATAAAAGGGTTATGTTTTGTGTCCATTTTGTTTCAGAGCTATGGAATTGGGAAGAGAATGTCTGGAGCTATGGGGGTAAGGATGACTAAAGTCCTTTTGTGTGAACTCTATCAGATACAGACCACTCTTTTCCTTTATGTTATGGTCATACAAACTGGTAAACTGTACTACGTATGTTAGTTTCCATCAGGTCAGATACAGACCACTCTTTTCCTTCATATGTCAGGGTCATACAAACTGGTAAACTGTACTACGTATGTTAGTTTCCATCAGGTCTGGAAATGATAACGTTATGTTTTTTTACTATCAGATACAAGAGAGTAGATGAGATCATATGGGTCAAAACTAACCAGCTGCAAAGAATCATTCGCACGGGAAGAACAGGACACTGGATTAATCATGGCAAGGAACATTGTCTGGTCAGTGCGGAGTAGCTCTATATGTCAATGGTGTTATCCTGATTTGGTCTTCTTAATTGTAAGAAAATGCCTTAAGTAACTTAAAAAAAATTTGCGCTGCTGTAGTATGATCAATGTTATTTCAACTTAGGTTGGTGTGAAGGGCAACCCTAAAGGAGTCAACAAGGGCATGGATTGTGATGTTATAGTCGCGGAGGTGAGAAGAAAATTGTTCCACTTCCTCATTTTTTAACTCATAAAATTTGGACAAGATCTTATCAAATAAAGCAAGCTGTAGTTTGTGTTAACTGTCTAAAAGTTGTCTGTCCTTGTACTACCATGGTTGTTTCTGTTCAAGCCGCTATACATTTTCTTCTAGGTCCGCGCCACTAGCCACAAACCTGATGAAATCTATGGCATTATAGAACGTCTTTCCCCTGGTACCAGGAAAGTTGAGCTGTTTGGTAGACCACACAATGTACAGCCTAATTGGTAAGTCAATGGCGTTATAGAACATCTCTCCCCTGGTAAAGTTGATCTGTTTGGTAGACCACACAATGTACAGCCTAATTGGTAAGTCAATGGCATTATAGAACGCCTCTCCCCTGGTAAAGTTGAGCTGTTTGGTAGACCACACAATGTACAGCCTAATTGGTAAGTCTATGGCATTATAGAACATCTTTCCCCTGGTAAAGTTGAGCTGTTTGATAGACCACACAATGTACAGCCTGATTGGTAAGTCTATGGCATTATAGAACATCTTTCCCCTGGTAAAGTTGTGCTGTTTGGTAGACCACACAATGTACAGCCTAATTGGTAAGTCTATGGCATTATAGAACATCTTTCCCCTGGTAAAGTTGATCTGTTTGGTAGACCACACAATGTACAGCCTAATTGGTAAGTCTATGGCATTATAGAACATCTTTCCCCTGGTAAAGTTGATCTGTTTGGTAGACCACACAATGTACAGCCTAATTGGTAAGTCTATGGCATTATAGAACATCTTTCCCCTGGTAAAGTTGATCTGTTTGGTAGACCACACAATGTACAGCCTAATTGGTAAGTCTATGGCATTATAGAACATCTTTCCCCTGGTAAAGTTGAACTGTTTGGTAGACCACACAATGTACAGCCTAATTGGTAAGTCTATAGCATTATAGAAAATCTTTCCCCTGGTAAAGTTGAGCTGTTTGGTAGACCACACAATGTACAGCCTAATTGGTAAGTCTATAGCATTATAGAAAATCTTTCCCCTGGTAAAGTTGAACTGTTTGGTAGACCACACAATGTACAGCCTAATTGGTAACTCTATAGCATTATAGAAAATCTTTCCCCTGGTAAAGTTGAACTGTTTGGTAGACCACACAATGTACAGCCTAATTGGTAAGTCTATAGCATTATAGAAAATCTTTCCCCTGGTAAAGTTGAGCTGTTTGGTAGACCACACAATGTACAGCCTAATTGGTAAGTCTATAGCATTATAGAAAATCTTTCCCCTGGGACGGAGTGGTTTATCGGTAGAGAGCTGGGCTGCTAACCCGTAAATCTCGAGTTCGAATTCGGGTTCAAGTCAGCAGTCTTTGCCTGAGTCCACCAAACTCTGATGGGTACCTAACTAACGTTAAGGAAAGTAAAGGCGGCTTGGCATAGTGCTGACCACACTATCTCCTCATATGCCGAGGTCACAGAAACAAGTGAACTCTACTTCACTAGCCCTATGGACCGTCAGGTTTGAAAAGGGAACATTTACTTTTTTTTCCCCTGGTGAAGTTGAACTGTTTGGTAGACCACACAATGTACAGCCTAATCTCTGGTCACTAAGTAATTGTTGCTGCTTGGATATAACCGTGACTTCACATCTGTTAAAAAACAATTAACTGCAATCATAGAACAGACATGATGGGAATTTTTACCTCGATAGAGAAAATAGCAGACACTTCTGGGTCAAAAGTTTATATTAATAATATTATTTATATTGGGACATTTGGATATTTGAAAATAAATTGTGGGACACTAGGATGACAAGAAATAAATTGTCCTGGGGCATTTTACCCCAATAAGGAATATAGCAGACACTTCACTGTCAAAAGATGTCAAAAGCTCATATTATTTATATTTGGATATTTGAAAATAAATTGTATTTTAACGTTGGTATGATAGGACATATATTGGGTGACATTAGGATGATTGGAACTACATTGTATAAGGACATTAGGATGACTGACATGAGTATGACAAAGAAATGGATTGTGTAGGGACATTTGGATGCCAGGCAATACATTGTACAATGCCCACAGTAACACAGTTGCCTCTGTCTGTACAGGATCACACTAGGCAACCAGCTGGAGGGTGTCAGGTTAAAGGATCCAGACATTGTCAAATTGTTCAGAGAGAAGTACCCTGATGGCAACTGTATGGGACCTCCACAGAAGAGATAGTCTCCTGTCAGTTAGGGAAGTGGTCAAAACCTAGAGAGGATGAAACACTGTGAATATAACTGCAAGTGGTCAACTCCACTGATGGTTAACTGATTATTAGAAGGAAAATAAGAAAACCCATGGGTGGTTATAAGCTTTGTTGAAAATTGGGGGAAAAACCAATTGATAGGAATCAAGATAACAGGGAAAAAATGATGCACTATTTTTATGTAGAAGTCAGTTTGGTAATGGATGATTGTACTACAAAGCAATAAGAAAATGTGTCAAAATCTACTCAGAGGTAGCCAGTTATTTTGTTCAGCCTCAGTATTTACTAGACTTACCAAGTGTACCCTGGGACATTAGTAACAAACTCTTATAAAAACAAAGTTGGTACAGAAATAAAAGAAACTGCTAAATAAGACGGAACAAGGTGGCATTGATTCAGCATTTTATTCCAAAAGTTGTCTAAAAATTTAACTTCAAATTTGCAATGTTTTAAATTGCATATTCAATTTATTTTAAACATGTATATCACAATGGTAAAAAAAAAGAGACAGTTCAACCCCACAGGCCTAGAGCGTAGTGACTGTATAGCATGAATGTGTTACTTTTGTCAGTTGTAATTTACAACAAATGTGGCTGCCACATGCAAAGTCTCAATCTCACAGACTTGCCATTTGTACAAAGGTTTCATATGATATGTAACTTAACATAAACTTGGACCAGAAGGCTCTGAACCATGAGTTCAGTGAATTAAATTTTGATGTATATTAATTTTTTCTTTACTACTTGTTCATTCTGTATTTTTATGTGGCCTAAAATGTATATAAAATGTCCAAATTTTTTGTCAAAATGATATTGAAGTCATTCTTTGTGAAGAGTTCTAGCTTTAGTGTCAAATTTTAAAAGAATTTTGTAATAAAATATTTCAGCATTTTTTTCTCTTTCCATTTTGATTGTAAAACATTTTTGTATTTGTATAAATATGACTTGCCTACTTATCTGATATAATTATTTTGTTGTCTACTGAAATGTAGGTTCTGTTGTGTATTTTTCCATCATGTTGGGAAAAAAAAATACTGAATTTGTATGATAAAATAAATGCCTTATTAAATATTTAGTATTTTTGTGTGTGTGCTGTTTGTATGAGAAAGCAAGCTTTCTAATTGAAATAATATGTGCAACTTCCTTTAAAATTATTTTCAAGGAAAACAATATTTGCAGGGGTGCCACTTTTCCGGGATATCCCGGATTTCCGGATTCGAGAATCATATTTTTTTCCCTTTCCGGATTCGCAAGATTTGAGTTTGAAAATTTCCGGGTTTGCATTTTTTTTTTACATTTAGATCGTTTTAAGCTTGAAAATTTTGGCATTGTAAAAATCGTTTTTACCGTCAACACTCCCGCTAATGGCCTTTTCCGAAAAAAATGAATAGTAAATGACGTCAGCAACAATCTCACGCGTGTGCCAAGGACCAAATACAAATCGGCTTTATCAGATGGGTGAGGCTGTAGACGAAACTTTTTGATGTCATTCGTGGTGTGGTTGTCTGGCTATTTATGACGATATGGGTTGGGGGTAAAACTCGCATTATTTACGTGATGTCATCAATGGGATACCGCTAGGCTGTGTAATAAAAACAACTAAAGCCTACAAGTACTAGATCAAGCTCACTAGCATCGCCGATGGTCTTTAAAAAAAAACCAAAAAAAAACCGAAAGATTTTGCTCCGATCAAAAAAAAAAAAATTTTTTTTTGTATTTGGTATTACCAAAAGAAAAGAAAAAAACTATTTGAAGGACTATTTTATGTATTTTACCACCTCTTACCCGCTTCTTCAAGGTCGCGCTGACCGTAAGACCTACGTCACGAGACCACGCGATTGCGAGCACAGTCTGAGTCGTGTCTCTCGGTCAAGGCAGTTCTACAAGTACAAGCGCTGTTTAATTTTAACGTGGTTATTTTTAATAAGGGACTTCTCCTAGATTCAAGAAAAAAAAACTAGAACTGCATCGTTTTATATCATTAAACAAAATATGTAGGCCTGCTATAATTTAGTTACACAATCTAGCAGGGTCTACATCTAATTGTTTTTTTTTTTTTACTTTGGTAAAACGTCATTGAAATGTTTAAAAAACCTTGAAGTACCGTGTCTGAGAAAATAGCCGCTATCACTGCCCCCTCCCAACCGCTTGTAAAAAAAAAATCAGCTTTTCACTTAGTCGGGCGGCTACATCTCTGACATGAGTATTACTAGCGTAGTTACTTCTAAAATTATTTTTGAAATTAACTTAAATCTGTTATTCCGCGATATGGACTTAAAACTTCCACGATATTTCTTCACGTCATCATGTATATCAATGGTGGGGGCGTTGGGGTCGTTCATAAATGACGTCACACTCGTAAGGGGAGGGGGGTTCGTAATTTTGTCATGAGGGGGAGGGGTTCAGATGGTGTGACATCACCCTTTTGCATTATCAAAAAAGCGTGACATCATTTATGGATGACCCCATTGGTGGTTGATTGGGAAAACAGGGTTTTAGGTTTTTGTTGTGGCTGTTAATAATTAAAGCCTTGAATAGCTACAGTAAGTCAACCCTGTATTTTAATACAGTGACAATCTTATTAGGGGTCTGCATATAGTGCGCTTATTATTCAATAACAAGACATAGAGGTTAGCAATTGGCTGACTACACACTTTAAATCAAGCTAGGAAGTTCTCAAAAATTAAATACACTAATGTTATAAAAGCTGGCTGGGAGGGGGGGGGAGTTCTACAATAGCACATTATGGGGTAGGCCTAGAGATGGGACTAACATTGTAAACTAATTTTGTTGTAAGCACAATCCTTTAAAGATTAATTTTTATTTCAAGCTTGTTACAAAGAAAATAAATCCATTTTACAGGAATGTAAATTGAACATAATATGAATCAAATGTCTCAAAAAATAATGAAATAATAGTCCATTTTATTTTGAAATTCCGCGCGAAATTAAGTTTCAGGGTTTCAAAAATTTCAAATTTTAGTTTCAGGATTGGTAAAATTTTGGGATTCATTTTCAGGATTCACTTAGAAAATGAGTGGCACCCCTGTATTTGGTGGGCAGTCCTGATATTATTTTGTAAAGGTAATAAAGATTTTCTTTGACTAGGAAATTTAGAGGGAAAGTTAATACTTTGCTTCATTATCGGACTAAACTACTTGTTAAATATTCCAAACTTTATTTTTATGACTCTGAATGCAGCACCCCAACAGATCATCGGGCAGTGGTTGTAAAAATATGCCTGCTCCCATGAATTAAAAATTCACCACACAGAAAGTGTCAAATAACTCGTGTGACGGGTAGCTCAAGTTTTCGTGAAAATAGTGGCCCTAATTTAAGTTAAAGGTATAGCAGTTTGTTTGCTACAGGAAATTCCCTTTAAGAAATTTTAACAGTTACGGGCCTTGAAAAAAAGTGGGTCATAATACTTCGCCAAGGATATTATAACAAGTTATATTTTTAAAGTCGGGTTTTACCAACAAAATATATCATCCCATGAAGGGGAAATAATTCTTGTACAGTAGAGTTAATTTCCCTTGTCTAGCAAATCTAAATTAAATTGTAAGTGGTAAAAGAGCAGAGGTTCATCTGTTTACTCCATGAACCTCCTTGTCACAAGTGAAGACCATTTATTCCAAACTGTAGAGCTAATTTCAGATACATATATAACAGCGCTTTAATAACGCTTTCCTCTTCCCTAGAGAGGGCTGGGCTGGTAGATGAATGTTTCATTAGGTTTAAGCTAAGGAGCTTTGTGGTCTTCAGACATGATCAGCACCCAAAAGCCCTGATTGGCCAACTTTATGACTTGTCTTTGTTGACATGAATGCTGCTCTAATCCATCACCAACATACATACTTAATGTCACACATCAGCAACATCCAGACTTGATGTCACACATCACCAACATCCAGACTTGATGTCACACATCAGCAACATCCAGACTTGATGTCACACATCACCAACATACAGACGATGTCACACATCAACAACATCCAGATTTGATGTCACACATCAACAACATCCAGATTTGATGTCACACATCAGCAACATCCAGACTTGATGTCACACATCAGCAACATCCTGACTTGATGTTAGGCTTGCCTTGGTTGACGTGAACGCTGGTGGACAACCAAGAATTCTGCTGTTCCTCGCTTCGCGTTTTATGAAGGGAGAATAACTTATGAGCAATTACCTGAAAGGCGTTTGATATTCCCTCCCCTGAAAGATAAGACCGTTAGCAAGTCAGAGCGCTGATAATATTTTAAACATTTGTAATGCGCATGACATGAAGACAAAGTTGCGATCAAGTTGGAAATCTAAAAATCTTTTGGCATGAGAAGGCAGGTGTTTGTATTATATCAAAGAATATTAGCTGGGGTGAGGGGTTGGGGTGAACAGGGGTTAGAATTTCAGGCAATCTTGAGTTGTTGAAGAGGAAGTATTAAAAAAATGTTACCAGATTTAAAAAAAAGATAGATATGTGTGAATTGTTTTAATATGGATATGTGTGAACTGTCTTAATATGGATATGTGTGAATTGTCTTAATATGGATGTGTGTGAATTGTCTTAATATGGATATGTGTGAATCGTCTTAGTATGGATATGTGTGAATTGTCTTAATATCCATGATTGTGTGCTACAATCCTGACCTGTTTTAGCTGAAGCCATAAACGCGGATTCACAGTTGTGGTTAGTGGCAAAGCTGGCCACTACATCTTGAGACACCGCCCTGCCAAGGTCCGTCTTGTTGCCCAGGAGAAACCGAAGAGCTGAAAAAGTAAAACAAAAAAACAAAAAAAAAAAATCATTAAAAAATGAGAAATTTTCGTTTAGGTGTCACCCCCCCCCCCCCCTTGGATGGCGTCACCCGGTGCGGAACTAAAGTTTCATAAAATATCAGTCTATAGAAATATTTGCGTAAATAGAATTAATTTTTTTCCGAATTTCGCCCTCCCATCTTCAAGGCTGTCCGCGAGGTTTTTCCTCAGTCGTTTCACACGACTAATTTCAGGGGAGATCACTACTAGTAAAAACAGGAAAATAGTTTAGTAAGACATCAAAACTAAACAACTCATGTAGTTATAGCATATGCATAATGGTTAAAATGTTACTTTTTTTTTACATTTTTACTAAACATTTACTTATAAGTTATTATATCCCTTGGTGGGGGAAGTAGAGTCATGTACAAGCCCCGCCCCTCCCGTCCCCGTCCCCTGACGGACTACTGCCTACTTTACGGATTCAGTTATCTGAAAGCAAACAGAATCACTCAATAGTGAGATCAGAACCGTTGATTGACTGACAGATCTGTGTTCTGTATATATGGATTGTGTTGTGTGTTCGTTGCGTTGTGTGCGTGTGCGTGTGTATGTATATGTTGTTGTTTCTCGTGGATTTAAAAAAGACTCGGTGCTTCAATAGTGTTCCAGAATTAAACACTTCAAACTAATCGAATCAAACTATTTCGATAAAATATAAGTTTGTCACTTTTAATCTTCACCAGGAAGGGGCGGGTTTTTGTGACTGCGTCCTTGAACGTCCGCACTGGCACCTGCCACTTCGTGCTTGGCCTGGGTTTTTATAGCCCTAAATTTAGTAATTACATCCTCAACGCTAGAGATGCAAGATTTCTTATTGTCACTGTATAATTCTCATTGTTTAGCTTTAACCACAGTTGTCACAGTTTTCCACTTTTGAGAAAAATGTGATTTTGTGTTTAAGATCCAATGAGATTAAATTGTGGCATGGTTTTAAAATCCTAAACGTTGACGTGATCAAGGTGGTTTTATGCTTTCATATCGTTTTATATGATATATAATATATATATATATATATATATATATATATATATATATATATATATATATATATATATATATATATATATATATATATATATATATATTACTCTAGCACTACATGTATATAGCGCTAACTCAAAAATGTAAAAAAAAGTTGACATCTGTGGTTTATCCCGTGTGGTCTTCATATGTAGTCTACGTGATATTTCTCCCCCCCCCCCTCCCACCCCTCCTCCAAAAAAGAGCTTGACAGAAGCTGTGCCTTCACAAGCCTTCTTTACATACTAGATTATCTACTTGAATCCGGTGGATTGGCGATTATAAAAGTTGCTAGTAAAATCTCTTTTTTTTAATGGCCGTGCTTTAAATTTTTAAAAATTGATGGGATTAACTTATCGTCGATTTTAAGTATAGGCGGATGTGTAGCCTATATATTTTAAGTGGTTAGATATAAGCATTAAAGTATGTGTGCTAGATAGAGATAAAGAGAGAGCAAGAAATAGACATAGAGAAAGATATGGTGAATTCAAAAAGGATTTAAAGAACGGAAAACGAGTTTTGTTACATTTAATTTGCTCAACTGAAAAGAAAAGCTATACGCGCACACTGACACCAAGCACACTGACACCAATAGCTGTGAAAAAGAAATGCTATACGCGCACACTGACACCAATAGCTGTGAAAAAGAAATGCTATACGCGCACACTGACACCAATGGCTGTGAAAAAAAAGCTATACGAGCACACTGACACCAATGGCTGTAACTCAAGTCAGACAGCAGCAGCTGTCAATTTGTTATCCAATGTGCGCAACTCTCATTAATGACAATATTTTCAGACTGTTGAGTATAAAATTGAGATGGTATTGTATTTAACATTGGTGTTAGTTATTTCCCATATATGTAATATAGAATACTAAGGGAAACGATCAACAATATTTATTAAAAAGATTAAAATACAATGTATTTTTACAGTAGCAAATTATGTGAATTATTATGTATTATTAAATAAAATATAATTATTAAAGAAGTTAAAGGTTTTATAATCAAACAATCGTTTACTCTACATTTTAGTAGTATTTTTTGGCTACAATTTTTAAAAAAAACCGTAGCCAAATTACTAACTGTAATACTTAAATTAAAATTTCCGACAGAAATTTTTATTATCATTATTATCTGTTTGAGTCAAATGTTATTATAAACAAAATTGAATATTTTTTTTAACGAAAAATGTTATGTCGATATAAGCGTGTCAAATTAATCGTGTAATAAGCTGTACACGTATCACGATTTGTTACAGTTAGGAGACATTAAATAATGTACCATCTTGAAGACATGAAAGAAAGGCGAACAAAATCAGCCGTTTATTGGTGCAATTTTGTAAAAGAAACTTAACTCAACTAAATATAGTAAAAAGAATTATGGGGAGAGAAGAACATAAGGAGGAAATAACAGTTTACACCTCGCCGCACACAAAACCCACACGCCACACTTCAAACAACACCTCACACCACAGCACGAACCACTCCACCACGCAACTCCATGCTTTGGGGTGGAGTAGAGTGGTGTCGTGTATTCGTGATTGGTGTGGTACATACAGTCTGACCCTGGGTATTAAACACCTTGGATATTACCTGCTGGGGTGTCTGACACCGGGTATTAAACACCTTGGAAATTACCTGTTGGGGCGTCTGACCCCGGGTATTATACACCTTGGAAATTACCTGTTGGTGCGTAAGCCTTGACGTCCTGTTCCCAAGAGTTGAGGCTGAACAAGGTCGACATCTCATCCAAGCTGAACACCATCAGCACGGCGTCAGCGTTACGGTAGAAGTTACGGGTGATTGTCCTGAACCTCTCAACACCTGCCGTGTCCCATAGACACAGCTGAAACAAAAGTTACGGTACAAGTTACGGTACAAGTTACGGTACAAGTTACGGTAGAAGTTACGGGTGATTGTCCTGAACCTCTCCACACCTGCCGTGTCCCATAGACACAGCTGAAACAAAAGTTACGGTACAAGTTACGGTACAAGTTACGGTACAAGTTACGGTACAAGTTACGGTACAAGTTACGGTACAAGTTACGGTACAAGTTACGGTACAAGTTACGGTACAAGTTACGGTACAAGTTACGGTACAAGTTACGGTACAAGTTACGGTACAAGTTACGGTACAAGTTACGGGTGATTGTCCTGAACCTCTCCACAGATACAGCTGAAACAGAAGTTACGGTACAAGTTACGGTACAAGTTACGGTACAAGTTACGGTACAAGTTACGGTACAAGTTACGGTACAAGTTACGGTACAAGTTACGGTACAAGTTACGGTACAAGTTACGGTACAAGTTACGGTACAAGTTACGGGTGACTGTCATGAACCCATCAACACCTGCCGTGTCCCGGAAACGTTACGGTTATGGTCCGACAGACCGAATGAAAAGAAAATATTTCTGTCAAGTTTCACATGACTGGATACGACCTCCCGAAGGATACGACCTCACGAAGTTCGTTTATTTATTGAACCAACTTATCACCTAAGTTACAGTACTCTTGTCAGGTTTCGCTTGACTGGATACGACCTCGCGATCTACGTTGATTTATTGAACCAACTTATCACCTAAGTTACAGTACTCTTGTCAAGTTTTATGTGAGTGAATTATGTCCCCCGTGATGAAGGCCTACGTTTGTTTACTGTACAAACATATTACTATCAAAAGAAATATGCATTGTTGTATTGTCAACAGATTTTTTTTTTACGTGTGAACTTGTAGTCCTGAAGCCGAGTGTTGAAGTTATTTCGTATTAAACAAAATTATAGGAAATCACTGGACATTGCACTCATACCCGAAAGAAGTTCTTGAGTCCACTCAGCTCAGATAAGTATCTGACTTAAGTCAGAGAAAGATGGATGAACTTAGTTTTGACAAGATAATCCCTTAATAATAAGTCGAGGTCAGACACAAAGGACTTCTTCATTTGCGCTAAAGGCTGTCGTTTCTGGATGGGTTCTTTTTCATTGTAATAAAAGAGATGTTTAGACTGTAATTTATTTTCAAATAAAATGTTCTTTTAAAAATCTCCGTCTGCCTCGCCCTGACTAGTGTTTCTTTCGGGGGGGGGGGGAGGGGGGGAGGCTAAATGTATATTTTTTCTATCAAAATTTAATTTCGTTAAGTGGGGGGGGGGGGGGGGGGGCGTAGGCCTGAAAGAAACTCTGCATGAAACAAATAGATCTAGGACCAACTTACGTGAACCAGGGTGTCACCAACCATCAGTTTCTGTCTGCAATTATCCACTGGGATTGTTGGGGGAGGCTGCTCTAAGAAAACGTTGTCTTTTACCCTCATGAATATCGAGGTCTTCCCTACCCCGGCATCTCCCAGCAGAATCAGTTTAAACTGCGGGCACGGCGCTGAATTTTTGCTACAACCATTCATCACGAACGCCCAAGAAGTCAGGTTTTTACAACTACACACCACATGAAAACAAACACGGCTTCAGGCAGTCTTGTAGAAATTGTAACGTGTTAGCGTCCACTTAACATAGCAATTAATCACTTGGGTTTGTTTCAATAGTGGTGCTGCAGTGACAAATTTCAAGTTGGGTTTGTGTGTTTGTGTGTGCGGCGGGGAGGGTAATGTAAACTAAACAGCATCTAGGTCAGTGGGACAAGGGGGAAAACCCTTTCGTATCATGTTCGACAACCCAGCCGAAATAGAAAGTAATAGAATGGGGAAAATCCACGAACTTTAAGAGAATAAACATAGGAATTTTTCTCTAGGCTTTATTTAACTTTGGCTTAAACTTTATCAAACCACGTCATTGACCGTTACCCTTACTAACCTGGTGGTCAATAAGGCAGATAAAGTAGAGTTTACCTGTTTTTGTGACCATGGCGTATGTAGGGATGTGTTAAAGGCACTAATGCCCAGATGCCTTTCTAACATGAGTCAGGTATCAATTAGAGCTGGTGGACTCAGTGACCAATGTTTCTTCCAGACTTTTTTCTCCGGAGGATGGGGGCACTTGAAATTTCCGGGGGAGGGCGGACTAAAATTTCCGGGGGGGGGGGGGGAGCGGGCACAGTTAAAAGTATATATTTTCTCCATAAAATCCATTTCGTTCGAGGGGGAGGGGGCTATAGTCTACCCCCCCCCCCCCCCCGAAGAGATGCCTGGAAGAAACTCTGTCAGTGACGTCCAACAACACAGGCGTAGCGACCCATTCTGGCACCCGGGACGAACTCTCGATTTGGATGCCCCCCCCCCCCCCCACCACACCACCACCAATATATATGTGTGTGACTGTGTAAATATACTCATTTTACTGTCATTTGTATATAGAAATTAACATGTGTATATGTTATATGGACACTGTGAAAAGTATATATTTTCTATATAAATTCAATTTCGTTCGGGGGGGGGGGGGGGCGGTAGACTTTCTTCGGAGGGGGGCGGTGTCCCCCCACCCCCACCCCCCACCCCCCGAAGAGATGCCTGCAAGAAACTCTGGTGGAAACCATTGCTTTTTCTTCTAAGTTTAAAAGGGTTATCTACTGACCAATCCGCTGATGCGACCCTCCCCTCTTGGAAAAAGATGGAGTCGAGGTTTTTACCAGGCACTGACTCTTAAGGGTAATTGTTTTATAATTGCACAATCAAGGTTGAAATACAGTTAAGCCTCGCAGCCATTTCTTTTCTTAACTTTGACTGTGTATAATTCAATACTTCAGCTTAAAATGAGCTTTAAAAAAAATGGCACCCTTTTGGCATCCCCTAAAGCAGTGGCGTAGCTAGGGGGGGGGGGGCGGACCGCATCGGGTGACACCATTTAGGGGGGTGACACCGAGGCAAAAACAGCAAAATATACAGAGAAAAATAATTACTCCACGTAATTAAGTGATTAATATTCGAGTGTTAAAAAGTCTTTTAAGAGCAAATTTGACAAATCCCGACAAATCCAAAGTTTGAGGGGGGTGTGCAAATTGAAAGTTTGAAAGGGGGGGGGGGTGCAAATCGAAAATTGAAAGTTTGTCCCCGGGCACAGGGAAGGGTCGCTACGCCTCCGGGGGTGACACCATTAAGTGCCGCTCCGGGTGACACTCGACCTCGCTACGCCACTGTCCTAAGGCGCCCTCCCCACCTACCCCTAGTAATGCCACTGTTCAAAAGAATCTAGTCCGAGATCGGAACTAGAGACTTTCAATTAAGCAATCGAATGCTCTACTTCCCGGATTCGTCCATTGTATACGTATTTAAAAAAAAAACGCTACACAATATATTAATTTTAATAAAAGAGGGCGAAAATTGTTATTTTATAATAATAAATTAATTGATGTATGTTTATTGGCCTATAAATGTGCAAGCCTTAGTTGGCCACGACTCTGACACTGCTGTTTCATGCTTATCCATAGCTGTTTGTCATTTTCAGAACTTCCACCCCTAACTTCCGTATCAAGCTGTAGATTGTACACATTTAGTCATTTAGAAGAAGGAAGTTTAAAAAAAAACTTAAACGTCTAATGGGCACCTTGTGGGAGAAAAAAAGAAAAAAAAAAGCCCCTGAATGCGTTAAATGTGAGAAGCAAAAGTCAATTTGGGTCCTGTCAGTTTGATCAGGTCAACTTGACACATCGTGACACGAGCGTAACTTTTCAGTGTTTCTTCCAGACTTTTTTCTCCGGGGGGGCACTTGAAATCTTCGGGGGGGGCGGTAAACTTTCTTCGGGGGGGGCGGACACTGTTAAAAGTATATATTTTCTATATAAATTATATAAATTTCATTTCGTTCGGGGGGGCGGTAAAAATTTTTCGGGGGGGCTTTGCCCCCCCGAAGAGATGCCTGGAAGAAACTCTGCTTGTCAGTCAAAGGGACATGACTCTGTTATAGAAATTCCATTAAATTGTCTCATAAATTCATTATATTTAGGCCTAATGTAGATAAATAACTGTACAGTAGACTTGAGTAGACTATAATTTTATGAGTAGCAAACTTTAATAATAGGAAATCAAGCACAAAAACTAGGTATCTAACGAAAGCATTCATCAACATCATGTTCGCGCCTTGAGATGTTTGTATGTTTGACTTTGGGGTCATCCATAAATGACGTCACTCTCGTAGGGGGGAGGGGGGTCCGTAATTTTGTGACGATGTGTGAAGAAGGGGAGAGGGGTAGGGGGGGGGGGGGGGTTCAGATGTTGCGACGTCACATTTTTGCATTATAAAAAAGCAATGTTAGAAAACGAATTTTAGACGTTATTTCGCGTTTTAGATAACTGTTTTAATAAATTATAATAGTTTAGACAAGATTTTGGAAAAATATCGATGTTTAAAAAAAATTCAACTGCAATTTTGAGGGGGGTTGTAGGTTTAGGTGTGACGTCATTTTAGGGGGGGGTCTGGCTTTTTGTGACGACGTGTGACGGAGGGGAGGGGGGGAGGTAAAAATCGTCAAAAAAAGCGTGACGTCATTTATGGATGACCCCTTTGCACAATTCATTAATAAAGCTTTTTTTTCAGATAAAACATCGCAATTATTCCATTATCTGAAATGCTAATTTAACCAATTCAAACTACTATTTATTGCTTGAACGTTTCCTTTAAACCATAAATACTTGGTTTCTTTCAGATATTTTTGCATGAGAGATTGGGGGGAAGCAGACAAACATGGGATGGGTTTCCGTCCGTCCTCTCTCTCCCCCCTCCCTGTGAGATTGATGGTTGAAAAGGCTTATATATATAAAAGATTAGAATAATGTTACAATTAAAACCACCCTAATTATGTATAAGCCCTAGTAAACATATTAGTAATCAGTAATTTTAAACAGCTTAATTTCTCTGTATATTACTCCTTGATTTTAATCAGTTTATTCTTTCGGTTATAAAATACGCGTCAATATAACAATAAAAATATTTAAAACGAGTCAAATCGATCGGTCTCTCGACAGTCACGTAAAATTATCATAATTTATTTCTCTGGGTGACGCGTAATTCCTAAAAATATAAAACGGAAAAAAATTCGCAATGATTTGATAGTCTTATTTTAAATGTCAATTAAGTATACAAAGTTTTGATGATTAGAAATTATTTTTAATATTAAAATAGACGATTTGTAATATTTCTACTAAGAAACTGAATATATATCAAATATATTCGATAAATGTTTTACTAACTATAGTTTGTTTTGTATAATCTTAAAGTTGTAATCTTTCTTACTTTTTAAAATTCCCTCGCAAATTATTGAGAAGGCAAGATGGCGACTGTGCTTGCGGGCGGATTGTCGACTAGAAAAGTTAATGCTTACAGTTGCTGTAAGTGCTTTTCTAGATAGCCGACATGCAGCTCATAAAGTGCATTTAGTTTCGCTGTAATACGAGCATTTAATAAAAAGCTAAATAATGAGCGAATAATATCAATTTATACTATTAAAGAAATGCTATTCAATCTTCCAAACCAACACAAAAACAAGTGTCTGTCTTCTTTTCTTTTTATATTCTGTTGTCATGTTTTTAATTTTGTTGCTCTGCAGTGTCTTACTTGAGCATTTTGTCTTGTTGAAAAATAGTACTCTAACCAAGCCATAGATTCATAGATCTACTTCAGAGAAACACCCAAACAAAGCAAATATTTTCCTTAATGAATCTTTTTAAAAACCCAGTTTTTTAAAAAATAAAACTTTCCCCAATCCATCAGCTTTGTCTGTGATATGTGTAATAAATTTCTATAATTACTAATCAGTTAGGTAATTAGATGCACAAATCTAGATCTAGAATAAAATTGAATAGATCTGGACCTCTACTTTGTTGATTTAGAAAAACATTTCATTAAGGCCAAATCAAAGATCTAGATCTTAGACTAGATTTCTAGTGACAATCTAGAAAAATATTCTTCATGGTTTACCAAATAATAGGCCTACTACTAGACCTCTAGATATAGTCTATATCTAGACTTTTACTTAAAATAATCCTTGATTTTTCTAGGGTTAATATTTCATTATTTTGCTGAAATTAAAATTATCTAGGCCCAATTGGCCCAAATTAATCTTAAATGATATTTAGAATTAGATTTATGCTTATTTAAAAACTGAACTATTCCTTTTCACACATATAAAGACAAGTTTTTGTTTAAGGCCTAAGTAACATTTTGTTAATTAAAATGCTAATTTAAATTATTGGCCTAAATAAAATGTTTCGAACATCAAATTGTAACTTAATTTTTAAACTTTATATCTAGATTGAAGTATTAAAATAATAAAAAGCATTAGGCCTATTAAAAAGATATTGGATATCAGAAACATATCTCACCTTAAATATATATTATATTAACAAGTAATAGGATTAGCTGGCACTTAAAGTGGAAATTATTCCTCTTAACTCAAAAATTCCATGTCTTTACCAATTAAATCTCTGTAGTAATGATGGTAGAAAAAAATAACTATGTGAGAGAAATAACCTCATTGCCACCATTCATCATAACAATTATACTTGGAGCATAATAAACAAGACAATATCGTTGCAAAACAACATACAAATTCTGCTACCATACAAAAATTATTTAAAATCATATTTATTTAAATATACGGCTAACTAAGTATCTAAAAAAATTTGTTTTGAATCTGAAAGCATAAGACAGTTCCAATAAACACTTGGCAGTCAAACCATGTCGGGACCAGTAGTCCCTGAAAAAACAACAATGGGGGAGCCTGGGAATTCAAAAAATGAACTTTGTATTCAAACATCACTACCTTCATCAGTCAATTCTAAATCTGGAAATGTGGAACACCAAAACTCTGTGAACTCAGAGCCATGCTCACCACAACCAATGTCTCCCGACCAAGTTCATGATCTTCCTCCAGAGCTGCTGCAAGCAGGATGGCGGAAATTTTGGAGCAGGCGTGAAGGGAGACCCTATTACTTCAATAAATTGACTAATGAATCTCTTTGGGAAACACCTACTTTGGGAATATTAGTAAGTCTTGCAATGTTAAGTAGTTTTATTCAAATAATAACAGATACAGCTAAATGAAAAAAATTAAGTTGGAGCTTTAACCCAGAAATATACAGGTGATTAGTAAAGTTTTAAAAATCATACTGAGTAGTATTTAGTTTTAGCTATTTTTCATTGTAAAATTTTTCATAAAAGCTTGAAAATTGTATAGATTTCTTAAATTCTATCTTGAATAGCATGACCCCATCACAGACCCCCTCGGAATCAATACAGATTCCAGCAATGGTGGGGTTCCTGTGCCGGCTGCCCTTGACAAGAGATTAAGCAGACCCAGCACGGAACTAAATCCAGTTGCAGCTGTTGCCAAACGAAGGGCAAGTGCCGAACTTTGTATTGGTAGTCCCTTGAAGAAAGCTCAGTTAAATTACAAGTAAGTTTAAAACTATCCTTAATTCATTGTTTTAATTGTTCGTTTAATTAGAATTATTGTGTAGAAGTCTGAATCCGGGCTTGAGCTTTCTTTTAATACAAAATTTAAAAAATGTTCATTTAGGCCTTTTTGGAATTTTGACATCCCAACTAATGCAGTGATTAAAGAAAGAGCACCGTTGCATTTACCACCACCCCACCCAGAAACAGAACTCTATCGCAGTACTCTAGTAATGAAACTCAGACAACAGTATCAGGATATGTGCACACAAAGAGAAAGTTTGTATCACATTATCTCCCTTTTCTTTGTTTTTGTATAAGTTACCTGTATATTAAATACTCAGTAAATTTTTTTTTTTTTTATAAAAATGTAAATGTTTACCTTACTTCAAACTTTGATTAGCTTGTACTGTTATCTAAGTTCATGTTTGAATTGTTTCTATAATTTAGTATGAATTTAGTTCCAAAGTTATAAATGATATTTTAATCAAGATTTGTTTGACAGATATTGATGCTCCAGTAGACTCATTCAATCGATGGCTTCTGGAACGTAAAGTAATAGATAAGGGGAAAGACCCACTTCTGCCATCTGACTGTTCACCTGAGCTATCTCAATCTCTGGTGCATGAAATAATGAATGATATACCAATCAAGCTGGTCAAACCCAAGTTTTCACAAGATGCACGCAAGCAGTTGTACAAATACGCAGAAGCTGCAAAAAAAATGATTGAATCAAGGTAATATGCTTCACTTTTCAAGCACTGCCACACTATCTTATTATTAAAATTTAAATATTTAAAATAACCAATGAGTAGGATTTGTAGTAAATTATCACATTCTTCCATCATTTCTCCTGCATAATGTTGTTCAGCGATTGTCTGAAACTTAGGCGTTGAGTTGGCTTATAATTAAAGCCAGACATCAAACAAATAAAAATAACTGAACAGAAATGTACACATTATATAGTAAAACTGTGCTGAAATAGTAATTTATAACCTGCTATAATCTTTAAGGAAAGCTTCTCAAGAAGCTCGTAAAATCGTTAAATGGAATGTTGATGAAACTTTCAAGTGGTTGAGGAAAAGGCATACTCCTTCATATGATGATTATCTAGTAAGTAATTCTTTCATTAAGTTACTTTTTAATTCTGTAACTGATTTAATATAAGATTCTCTTACATTTTTACAAAGTTGTCATACCTTTCTGGAAGTAACTATAAGCCTGAATAAAAATGTTTCCATTAATAAATTTAGAATTCCCTAATTTCTTTGTATATTTAAAAAGAATTGTCTTAAAAAGCTATATAATTGTGTTGTGCACTAGGAAAGGCTGACTCACTTAAAACGACAATGTGAGCCTTTTTTGTATGAAGCAGCAGAGGAATCTGTGAAAGCTATCGTGACAAAAGTTTACAAGTTGTCTTCAGAAAGTGCTCAGAAAATTCATGCCAAAACATGGGAGATTTTTAATGAGCAAAACATAACAGGTGCATATTATTTTATATCATTTCGTGCATAATGCCTGACTCAAAGTTGGTTTTCTATTGTTTGTTTTTTTAATTCTTTGCCAAATATGTTATATTTCTTTTGATTAGCGGTAGTGTGGTTAACTAGTGAATATATGTTATGTTTGCTATAAAACAGTTGTATTTGTTCCTCTGTGTAGAAGGCAACCCAGCACCTGAACCTTCCAACCCAAGACTTACTTATTGCTATGCAGTTCAGCTCAGCATACCATCAATGAGACTGCCTGTTGTTGAAAGACAAATTGAGAATGAGATTGCAACATTGAAGTATAAAACAGAAACATTAAAAATGAATCAAGAACATTTTTGGAAAATGGTTAGTATTTGTTTCCAATCGCTTTAACACCTTAGTTGGTGAACCAAGAAAATAATGTACAATCTTATTAAAGTAAGACATTTAATTTCATTGTAACTGTAGTAAAATCTAAAATTAATGTATTTTTTTTAGTTTAAAAACATTTTTATTGTTTAGGAACCTTAGTAGGATTAATAATTTTGTAGAGTATGAAATTAGTAATACTAGTACTCTAAACAATGATCTTGGCAAGGCTCATAACAGGGTATGGGCTTACATGCCTGATTTGCATTTTTAAAATGCTGTTAAATGTTCATTTGTTAAAACATTTAGGAACAATTATATGGCTTAAATTGTCGAGACGATCCACGCTTTGACAACTTTCTGGCTAGAGTGTGGTGTTTGCTAAAGCGATATCAGGTAGAGTATGTTGTTGTGAAATGTGTGTAATTTGTTTATTATTTTGTTTAAAAAAATTCATTTTTCTTGTTTTTACCAGTACATTATACAAAAGTATTAAAATTCCGACAGACCTATTTTGGATGCTCCCCAAATGAAGGAAAAGGCAACCAGGGAGCCTTGACTCCAGCTGTGATGGAGTGTCTCAACCGAGTCTTTGGAGTTACTTTTGAGTGCTTTGCTTCACCCCTGAACTGCTTCTTTAAACAGTATTGTTCTGCCTTTCCTGACACAGATGGCTTCTTTGGGTCTCGAGGGTAAATAGAATCACTTTCAAATTTCTATTTGTAGAAAATAATTGCAATCTCTAAATTGATGGAATCAATTAACTTTTACAACTGGAGACTGTTGCTAACATTAGGTTGTTACTGGAAGTATTTAATGAATAATGTTATGGTAAAATGTTGTCTGTAAACTTTCTTTAATTATAAATCTAATACTAAAGAGAGCACTTGCTTTGCATTCCATTCAAACTAAGTAATAAACATTTTCAGGCCCTTTTTGGACTTCTACCCAACCAGTGGATCTTTTGAAGCCAATCCCCCATTCTCTGATGAGCTGATGGAAGCTACGGTGGACCACATGGAAAGCTTATTGAGTGAGACCAGTGAACCCTTATCTTTCATTGTATTTATACCAGACTGGAGGGACCCACCCACTGAAGCATTGATCAGATTAGAAAGCAGCAAGTAAGAGAGTTTTGGTTATGTTCATCAATTCAACTAGAATTATCCCCTTATTCCTAACATTGATTTTCTAAAAGTTTTAAAATTTACTTTAAAAATATCCTTTCCTTCCACTTATTTAGATTCAAGAGGAAACAATTTAACTGTCCTCCTTTTGAACATGAATATCGACATGGCTTTCAACATTTACCATGCGCTAAGTATGTATATTTACTTGGGAATTAATCGCTAAACATACTAATATATGTTTAAAATGTGAATACACATATACATTGTTGTTGCAAGAATTGCTGATTACCCACTAGGCTATTTAATATAAATAATTTTTACATGCAAATTTGCTGTTCAAGTGTTTAATACTGCATAAAGGGATTGGTACTGACTGGTTGATTTTTGGATTATGTTGCAGATTTTCTTAGAATTACTCTTCTGTTACAGCACTCTGTTTGCTGTTGATAACCTTTGCTGTAATCTAATCTGTTACAGGAGTGAAATGAGTGCTAAAGCTTCTTTTGGCACATTGGTTGTCTTTCTTCAAAATGATGCAGGGTTTGCAAGGTGGGGTCCAACTCCAGAAAAGATAAAGGAACTCATTCTAGCATCAAAGCCTAAAGACCCACTGCCCAGTCCATCTTCACCATCCTAAACACATTGTGAGTAACTTGAACATTTCTTTTAAGTGTGTATGTGTAGCGGAAGGTGATTTTTACCAAATATTGTATCAATATTAGCATTGGATTGTTGAATTTATCATTGAATTACATTTTGTTAAAAAGTGTTAAATTTCAGATTAATACTTTAATTAAATATCAATCCTATAAACTACAAAAATAATTTAGACATTGATATTTCTCTCTTCTGATTTTTTTCCCAGCTTTTACCAGGTTTATTTAAAATGGCTTTGAAAAGAACATCTGATAACAACAAAACTGCCGTTTAAGAATGTTTGAGCATATCCAAGACCACTCATCCACTACATCAGATCTTCAGTATTATTATTATTATTTTTAAAGCATTTATGCCAATGGATCAATTATTTTTCAACCTAGGACATTCCTCTATCAGAATTGATCAACACTTACATAGAAACATAAGGCATGAAGAAATATTTACCATGTAATAGCGACAAACTGAAATTGCCCTTTTTTAGTGGAGATTTCTGTTGGAGTTTCAATCTTCAATGTCTGGACAGGTAAGACCATGGCTTTTATCAACTCTCACTGGACAATCTCATTTTAAATTATCATAAAAATCTGCATGGATGTGTGTAGTTTACCAGCAGGTGAGACAACTCTGTTTCACCACAACTATTTTCTCACTTGGGGAAAAAGAATCAAGCATTTAATGTTCTTCCATTAAGTAAATGCAACCACATCCATCCATTGAATGATCTCAGATTATCAATTTGTACATAGTCTACATTTTAATGTGTGCTTTTAAAGGGATATGTATGTTTAGTTGTTGTAGTAATGGACAGTTTTCAAGTAGTGCTGAGTTGTAAAAGTAGCTGAGCCTCTCTTTGATGAATTTTTTACACACACATTAATTCTTTTGTTTAACTTGGAATTGTGGGAGATTAAAAAAACTTTATAATCAATATGTACATATTTATTAAATTTAGAAAAAAAATTGACATTTAGAATTTTTAGTTACAGTGGTATAGAAAGTTTTTGTGTACATAACAATTTAATAATATGCACGGAATGATATTCTTATAGTTAGCCAGATGCTTATAGCCCAAAAAGCTGGACGGCTCTTATAAAAACTTTTTTTTATTACTCAGTAGCCAGAATTTTTGTGTTTGAATTGAGCTAGCAATGGAAAATTATTATTGTTTGGTTAAAGATTTCTATTGGTAAAACACAACTTGGGGAAATCTAAACATCTGTTTTATATATTGATTTCTTTGCACTCTCCACCTATGTGAAAATGAATGTGTGCATAAGATTTTAAGTCATCTTTTTTTTTAAATTGTAAATATTAATTAGTTATTTTGTGTAAAATGGTTTTTATTGAAAGCACAACATCAATGTTTTATTACACAATGATTCTGTTCAGTTATATACTTATGACAATGTCATTTTATGCAGATTTCTCTTGAATTGCACTCAAGCTGGTGGTCCATTAGTTCTTCATTATAGTGGCTCAGGGGAGAGAAATCTCATTATATTAAAAATCATTACACAGTTACCCCCAGCCTTGTTACAAAAGTTGAAAAACGTATAAAGTCTGAGCTTAATAATCTATTTACACATTAATCACTTTTTATATAACGAGAAATAATTTTTAAATCACCAAGTTATTTTCTGTGGGAAAAAAATGTATTCACTGTACCCAAAGTTAACCTTATATCATCTTCTATCAAAGTCAAATCTTGTTTTTGGTTTAAAAATGCCAACCCTTATATAGAAATTATGTCTAGTAAACTTAAATCTTTAGGTAGCCTACTTTGATTTTTATATTGATCTTTAGGATTTGAAAGATGAAGATAATTAATAGATTAGCTATAAAAAAAACTCATAGGTTTTTTTATTGGAGACAAAAAAATATTCTTTTTCAGTACAATAGAAGCTTGTTCCATATGTATTTATTTAAATGTATATTTTTGTTTATGAACCATGTCCATATTTTCAAGAAATCAAAAACTGGTGCGTTGTTTACTTTCCTATTCATCCCATTATTATGCTGAATCATATTCTTATGCACGTCTTTTACCAGTGGCCTATTGCTTTTTTTTAATGACTTATGTGATTGTGCAATAAATTCAGGACTTGAAAAAAGAAATAGATTGTAAATACTCATCCTGTATATAAACTCATCATACAGATATTTTATATTTTTTCATATTTTTGTTCCTAAATCATGCTATCACATCATTTTAAGGACCTAGATAATTTATTTCATTAATATTGCGCTCATTTAATGAAACACTATCATCATGACAAGGTGTTTTTTTTTAACTAACTCAAAACATTTATTTTAGTCATTTGTGAATATCCATTTAATTTTAGCTTTGTTACATCATGTGGAGTAACTTCTCTTCTGGAGTTCAGAAAAAACCTTATTTTGATAGAGTTGTTGTAACCAGACCCATGCGTTTCTACATGTAATATATAATGAATTTGTCATGGTTGTTCATTCTAATTGTTACCTGTCCACTACTGAATGTTGTCCATTATGTCTGTATATGTTTAATAAGTCTTTGAATGAACTTGAGAGGCAGCAGTAAATTATTTGGCTACAAGTGCATCATTGTACATTTTTTGGTCAGTGGTGATATTGTTTACCTTTGAAAATGTGATGACTATACTTTTACTCTAGCACCTGTTTTTTTGTTACACCAGTTTAGCCTGATTGATTCTACTGATTTTTACTGTGTTGTTTTGTCAACATGCTCGACCAAATCTCTTTGGCATTAATTTATGGTCTCTAACAGTTAATTAACAATTTAATAGTTGAACACTTTGTTTGAAATGAAATTTGTTTTTTAAAGCGTTAGATTAAAACCAAATTATTTATTTTTTCTCCCAAAATCCTTCAGTTTTTTCAATCAGGGTTTGTTTTCTGTCTTAAAAATGTTTGTCCCAGAATCCCACACAGGGACTTTAAAAGATTTTAAATGTTCACCTTGCTCATAGGATAATCTTTTGGATTATTTCTGCCTATTTAATTATGACCATGCCACAAAAGTTTATAAAATTCTCCAGTTTTTTAAAACAAATTTATTTCCACAACAAAAATCCCTTGAAACACCCCAGCCACAAGTCACATGTGCTAAAAGACATGTTAATGTGTCACTGTATTTCTTGGGGTTCAATTATCCTTTTACTGTGGAAATCTCTATCAGTGTTAAGATTATACCTCAGCTGTTTTAAATGATCTTCATTCTACCATATAAAATTTTAAAATCTAACAAGACGTGTAACTGTTTTTCTTTTTGTTGTTTTTGTTTACTTTTTTTATTACAATCTTTAAAATGTTATTTTAACTGTTTGAAACTTAACTGAGCTTTAAGCCTGTAGCACCAGTGTAACGTTAGCAGTTTTGATATGTTGCTGTCATACATGATTTTCACAGGTCTTATCATTTTATTTTTTCTGGAAATTTGTTGGTATTCATTTGTGAAAACTAGATATAAACATGTAAACTAAATTGCTTTGCTAGAAAAAAAATTTTAAATGATAATTTTTTATTAAAATGATAATTCTTTATAATCTAAACAATATTTTTTTTTTACAGAACTATCTTCATTAAATTTAAACCACTTTGCAACATTTCTTACTTTTTTTTTGCTTTATATAAGCAATTATTATTTTAAAGACAGTTTGTTTTAAATTATTTTTAATGATTGGAGAAATACAACTTGACTTGATGTTTGTTTTTAAAACAAAAAGTATGTCTTAAAACTTGCATAGTTTCTATGAAATGTTTTTTTTAATGAAAATATTATTACATTTATTATTACTTTTCTCTTTGGATAGTTATTTGAATATCTGCACACACACATTACATCTTGAGCTCACTTTCTCCTCTACAATCTTTTACTCAAGAAAGTTTTTCTAGATGATTAAGACATGTTTACAGCCATTTTTTCACTCTCTGGATTCTAATCAGAAATACAGTTTGTTTAGTCCTATCCAGCTTGCTGGTTACTCAATTCTGTACAGTATTGTTTGCTTACATTGGGGTCTGGGATTTATGTCTTTTTATTTTGTTTCGCAGCTTTTTCTAATCATTTTTTCTGACCAGTAGATTCCTTGTTATTTTTGTCTATTTTTAAATACATATTTTAAAATAGACTAGCTGATTATTTAAGTGATGTAAACATTTGTTATTGCATTTCTGGTTTCATAAGTACAAAGAAATTCACTAAGTTACAATTAAACCCTCTCACATATGATTTCATCTAGGTTAGAAAAAAGTCCTTTAGATTTCATTCTTTTATATCTTTTAAGTGCTAGATATTATTTTTTAAATCATGCTATAAATTTTTATTTCAAAGCTTCATACACGTTTTGTAAATATTTTTATATTTTTTTATGTACAAGAGGAGCTTTTGGGTACGTATGAGCAATTTTTTTTTTTCGTATCTTTGTTCTTATTTTTAAATATTACATTTGAAAAATTTAATGTTTTCATCATTTTCCTTATTGTAATGTAAATATGAACTCATCAATAAAAATATATTTATCAATATTCACTGGTATTTGTCTCCTTATGTGAAGAAGCCTTAAGTTAAGTGTTTGTTAACAAATAAGAACCAATGGTGTCAATTGTAAAGTCATGACATTTTAAGTGAGTTGTCCTCTAACATGGCTCTCCTGGACTCAGCTATAATCTGGTTGATGTGTAGACACTTACAGAGAAAAAAGCAATGAACATCTGACAGGAAGGGCACAGAAAAGAAAATTTTATTCATTATAGGTGTTATTGGTTATGTTGAAATTGCCTACTTAGTAGATGATTTGGATAGCCCACCTTGTTCCTTATCTAATTGACAAGACACTGAGCACGTTGAACAAATTTAAACGAGATTGTAAATCCCAGAGGGGCAGAGTGCCATGAAACGCAACATGTTAAAACATTATCATTGAATCGTTTGCATAATAACAAAACATGACAAATATTAAGAACCACCCTAATGTAATGCTTTAGTTGTGCAAAGTTTCTGAGATACCGATTTTAAACCTGACTGTAACATTATCCATCAACAATAAATCTGATCTAGAAGGATTTTAGTTGTTACAGAGAATGCGTAATAAACACATTTATGTTAATAATAAATGGAATAATACTTGACAGTTTTTACAAAAAAATATTGTGGAGCATTAATAACCAGCAGTAAAGGATAAAAAAAATGTAAGTTAAAAATTAAATTTTATATTTACAACATGTAATCAGTTCATCATTAATATTTGAAATGTTAATGAAAATCACTCTCAGATGCAAATTGAAGAACTTGTTCTGTCTGTGTGATGTATTGGACATCAGTGGACACTAGGAGCACACCCTGTGGAGAAAGTTGTACAGGTTGACCAATGTCCATGCACTGGGACTTTTATTTAATGTGTGAGGTAGCTCCGTCTAATTGCTCTGACTTGATACATTTATTTATGCCCTAGTTTTAATGTATCTACATAATTTAGGTGTGGGAGTACTCTCTCAAGCTCACATATTTTTCAAGCAACTAATCATGATGATCAAATGTTCTTAGGGAAAATAAGTTTATCATGGAAGAAAATTAAATTGTATCCAAATACTTATAAATAAAGGGAGTTAATTTACTTTAACATGATACTTTAGTTAGAAATAGTAGGGACAATGATGAAGATGTTTTTTTAAGCAACTCGTCCAGGTAGATGTTTACTGTATAGAATGAGCACTTACATCAAGGAATGTAATTTTAGAACTCTGGAATCTGATGTCACCAGTGATGGGTAACTCAAAACCATTCTCAGCCATTTCTGGAGGTACAAATATATACTCATGTGTAGTTAACACTATAAATACTCTATGCATATTCTTTTTGTTTTTAAATTAAAAAAAATTTAATTTGTAAACACTAAAAAATATTTTAGGTCAAATATCAAATAATTAAAGTATGTAGCAAATAATTTTGTTTAGAATTATGTTTCTTTTTATTTTGCAATACGATCTAAAAAAAAATCTACAAAGATTTTATGCCAATACATTTTTTTTTTATTTGGCAGAACAAAGTTGACTCACTATTAAAACTTGGAATCACAGATAGTTTAAGTGCTGCATTAAGTAGCAAATTCAAAGCGAATTCCTGTAAAATACGAAATATAAGTGAACAATTTGAAAATCAGGTTCATTAACTGTGTTAAAGCAAACACAGTTTATTTTAAATTTATCATTATATATAAATATTTTCTAGCTACAGATTCAGATTATAATGTATACTTTATTTATAAATTGATTACTTACACTAACATCCCCCACTGCTGAATCTATCACGCTAACTTTGAAGCTATAAATACAATTGTAGTTATTGTATTAATTATTAATTTATAAAGCAAATAAAGTACATTATATTTTTGCAAAATATATTATACAAAAAATGTTAATATTTTATTCAATTGGCAATAAATTAAAAAGAAAAAGCTTAGTAATTTAAAAAAAACAAAAAAAAAAACCTGAAAGAAGAAGGCAACTTCTTTTGTGATTAAATAGCTAAAGTAGGATACACACTAAGGGAAGTAATTATTCTGGAGTTATGGTTACTTATTGATCATAGAACAATATAAAAATTAAACACCTGTATGCTGTGATGTTTCCCTTAACTTTCTCACTATCAATGAAGGCTGTCCCATTCAGTGATAATTTCTGAAATTAATGTCAACATTATATTTATAATTCTTTAAGTCAAAATTTAAAAATAGAAACGGCAGATGCCAGAACTGTTATCCTTAAGAACATTTCTAAATCACACGAGTTACCTCCCACTTACCATGGCAAGCGTGAGCAGGTAAGCCAAGTTACCATCAGGTGTGCGAGCATACAGCACCAGGTCACCCAGCAGACCCAGGTTCAAACCACTGTCAAGAATATTGGCCAGGGGGGTGGAGGAAGACTTGCCATGGATCTCTACCACTGAGTTGGGATACTTGGCCCTTATCTGTGGACAAGATCACAACTTAACTTTATCTGTGGACAAGATCACAACTTAACTTTATCTGTGGACAAGATCACAACTTTAATTGGCCTTTATCTGTGGAAAAAATTACAACTTTACTTTGCCAACAATGACAGACGAAGTGTAGTTCAAGTTTCTTGACCTCGTCTTCTAACAAACAGGTATGCCAGCACTATGACCATCCACCTTTACTATCCCCAACCTGAGTAAAGTACCCATCAGTGTTGCGTGGATTTAGAGACGTTGTGTAGTTTATGTCCGGGAACCAAACTCGAGATTTCCAGGTTAGAAGTTGTATGCTCTACCATCTGACCACACTGCCCCATACTGTGAGTAAGGGTCAGGGTCGGCGCAGAGGCGTAGCGACCCTTCCCGGCGCACGGGGACAAAAGTTCAATTTGGCGCCCCCCTCGGGAGCAAATTTTCAATTTGCACCCTCCTCAAACTTTTGGTTTGCACCCCCCCCCCCTCAAAATTTCAATTTGCACCCCTCATATATATTTATATATATATAATGCAAAAAATGCAACTAAAATGATATTTTAATTTGTTTTTACAACCCATTTTGGCGCCCCCTAAGGTCGGCACCCGGGGAAATATGTTCCCCCCGTCGCTAAGCCTCTGGGTCGGCGCTACCTATAAGGCGAACTAGGTGGTCGCCTAGGGCCCCATCCCTAAAATATGTAATCGACATTATCAAAAAGTACCTGATAATTAAATACTGATTATTTTATATAAATTCTTGATGGTAATATACAAAGGTGTAGCGATCTATTTCGGCTCCCAGGGCGAACTATCAATGTTGCGCCCCCACCCCAAAATAAGGCCTAAATAGGCCTATATTTATTCGCGTTGGTGACGATGCACCCAAACCTCCCTAATTTGAAAAGGTCTAGGCGTTTTTTTTACCAGTCACTTTGCCTTTTTATTTTGGTGTCACATAATTGATTGTAGAAAGCTATTAAATAAGTTCGTAATTTAAATTTCGAACATTTCAAACGGTTTTATCTCATTTTAGTGTTGATTTAGTGATCGCTCCAGCACATTACGGGGGCGTTTCAAAACACATGCAATTTTGGTTTTTAATGGGGCTTGTAAGTCTCGTTTTCTCTGACTTTGAATTACAAAAGCTGTTTTGGTGTAGGGCCTATATAGTTTTGTAATGACGGGGTGTTCAAAGTATCGTATATTTTATTTGGCTGCTGTCATGTAGGTGTAGGTCTAGTGGAATGTGAATGGGATTGGTAGTAGAGAAATGAGAGTGTTGATGATGAAGAACCGTTGTTCTAGAGTCCGGAAGCATCGAGCATTGCGGTATTTATCGAAGTATGTTGACTGTTATCGTGTATTAGAAGGTCGAGTTAAATCACTAGAGTTTCCAAAGCTAGTACAGCAAAGATACAGATCTTCATGAACAGATGCCTTAGACAGATTTTGAAATTGAGATGGCAGGACAAAGTGCCGAACATAGAATTATGGAGAAAAGCAAGGCAGGAGCCTATGGGTGTGCAAATAAGGAGGAAGTGGCGCTGGGTGGGACACATGCAATGTTTCTTACAGACTTTTTTCTCCGGGGGGGGGGCACATGAAATTTTCGGGGGGCGGGGGGGGCGTACGACTTTTTTTGCCCCCCTCCCCCCACCCCCCCCCCCCCCCCCCACCCCCCGAAGAGATGCCTTGAAGAAACTCTGGACACACGCTACGAAAGGCTCACCCAAATGTAACACGCCAAGCGCTTGAGTGGAACCCCCAGGGAAAGCGGAAAAGAGGGCGCCCAAAACAGACCTGGAGGCGGAGTCTTCTCGGAGAACTGAAGCCAACAGGGATGTCTTGGGAGACGGCAAAATTAATAGCCGGGGATCGGATGAAATGTAAGGAAATGGTTGAGGCCCTATGTTCCATACGGAACAGAGAGGACTAAGTCAAGTTAAATAGTTGTTGATTGGGAGTATCGTGTGTAGAGTCTGGTGAAGTTAAGCGATGTGGTGTCGTAGTTCCGGAGCATCTAGTTGTGTCTAGTTATGTTTAGGTATCGAAGTTTGATATGTGTTGTAAATGTAGTAGAGTTTGAGTACATCGAGTAGTCGAGTTTATCGTAAGTTAGATGATTCAATTCAGGACAGAACAAACTACAAAGAAAGTTAGGCGTCCTCTAGCTGAAAAAACTAACCATAAACTGTTGTTTTTTTTTTAATTATGTTTTTCCTTTAAACAAAATTTGTTGCAAATTTGTTTAACAGTTACCCGTATTTGATTTCTTCAAGGCGTCCCAATATTTTGGGGATCCAAAATTAATTTTTGTTACTCAATTACTTGGCAGGAACAAAAACTGAATGTCATAGAAATTGACTAGAAGTATGTTAAAATAAAGGTACTATGTTTACACTTTCAAACTACAATCTACAGTTAAGTAGTCAATTGGTAAAATATATTGTTTTGACAGGTTACATAATTAGTATAAAAAATTAAATATAATGATTATAAAATGAAATTTTAAGTGTTTTGTATTTTTTAGATTTGCACTTGATTAATTTATCTATACTTGTGATAGTTATTTCCCTTGAATGAAATATTGGTATTTGAATTTCCAAATGGGAGATAATTCGTTGCTCACCACTACATTCACTTCAAATTCCGGCCCTTTAGGTTGACCCATTACTTTTAAATACTACTTTAAGTTGTTATTTGCTATTGTAAAAATTATATAGAGCAGAAGTTTTAAACAACAAATACATCAGTAGCCGTTGTAGATTGCATACTTAATATTAGTAGACATACAGTATTCAACTTTGGGGTTATGTGGCTAAGTAGACTCGTGGACTAGGCAACAATTTCAATAGAATGTGATTACGCCTCCACACTGGAATTGAGGGAATTAGTACAGACTTTTGCAACGAAGGAGGCAAGTAAAATTTGATTTTGATGTCTACTTATAACGTGTATGTAATTGATAATAAATTAATATGTCACTTTTAATTAATTGTTTTCTTATACATATGTTTTTGTAATTAATTTGTGTGAAAGGTGGCGTTTTAATAAGTACGAGCCGACCTGCTGCGTATCATACGCCGCTATTTAGTTGTTTTTTTCTACTTTTCAGTAATTTATAATTTGTGAATTCGACAGTACCAATGCTGCCACTGAAAATATTTGCTTAAAAACACTAACCCCCCCCCCCCCCCCCCCGTGAAAGCAGCCTCCTCTTAGTTACCTCCTCTAAGTTTAAAATCGTTTCAAACTAAATTATCTGCCCCTAATAGCCGTGACCTGGAAGAAGACACCAAGAAGATTGGATACACCTGGGGAAGGTTGGAGAGACTAGCCCTGGACAGAGACGTCTGGAAAGCTCTTGTCAGCGGCCTATGTCCCAGTAGGGACGACAGGCAAACATGACATGACATGAATAGCCGTCACCAAACCCGTCTCTATGATTGTAAAATGTAAACAGCGTGAACCACAGCTCACCAGACCATGTGAGGGGGTGGGGGGGGGGGGGTGGTAGCGATAGAGAGGAAGAAAGGGGACTGTAGCGTCTCCCAGAAGAGAATTATATATATAGATAATAGATTGCCTAGGGCGTTAAATAACATGGCGCAACCACTGGTTAGGGTACTAATCTTTTACCTGTTACACACTAAATTGTAGAATAGATGTTAGAATTCAGCCCATTCTGTGTTTCTCATGGCTTACTGTTTGTTATGATATAAAATAGTGTTTACCTGAGGAATGAGAGTACCAATGCACATTCCAGTACATGTTGTATTCAGGATATATTTGCTGTCCGCTGGCAGCTGGGAAATACAAAAGCTTTAAGTGATATAGGCATGTCGTATATTAAGCATTATATGTATATATAACATATATATATATATATATATGCATATACATTCATATCAATAAACAGATCCAACTCACATCTTTGGCCGTCAGATTGTACTGCAGATACCCGTGATCCTGGGCCACCTGGGCCATCGTGTTGGCCGTGTACTCTGTGACCCACAGGTACAACATCCTGCTGTAGTCACCCCACGGGGGGATCCGCTCAGGTGTCAGGGGGCTTTCTTTCTTGTCCGTTATCCAGTACACCTCACCCTAAACAAACACGACATTCTAATTCTTATGTTCTGAGCTAAAAATCTTCAACTAATTTTGTAACATGTTACAGACTTTTAGAATAACTTAAATTATATAGTGTCTGTTTGATCATCAAAAGGTGAAGGCATAAACAGGGGCAGGCTAGAGAAGGAACTGGTGCCCCCTCTGCCTGACAATGCTGATATAGTAGCACTAGCACTTTAAAACGACCCCCCCCCCCCCACACCTCTTGCACTAGTTTATCTTCAAACATCTTTGACGTGCGTTTTTAGGCCGTTAAAAAAAAAAAACTGTGTGTTGTTGAATTCTTTTTGGTTTCGTCTGTAAATAATGTCACATTCCTGGATAAATCAACCCCCGTCCCCACCAATTCACCTCAATCCCCCACACATCGAATCAGTGGCGTAGCGAGGTCGGGTGTCACCCGGTGCGGCACTTAATGGTGTCACCCCCCCCCAGAGGCGTAGCGACCCTTCCCGGGGACAAACTTACAAATTTTCGATTTGCACCCCCCCCCCCTCAAGTTTTTTTCTATATATTTTGCTATTTTTTGCCTTGGTGTCACTCCCCTAAATGGGGTCACCCGGTGCGGTCCGCACCCCCGCCCCCCTCTCGCTACGCCTCTGCATCCAACCACTCTCCAACCCACTCTCTGTAAACCCCCGCATACGTTCCCTTAAAGTTAAACCCAAACCCCAACCTACCTTATGCAGACTCTCCATGTAATCAGCTGTAAATGTGACGGGCGCTATCAGCCCGTAGTCCAGTAGGAAACGATTGTCTATTTCAATGTACACTGTAATTAAATTGCTCATGTTTTATCAATGCCCCGCAGAATGTTGAAATCCCCAGCTAATCTAAGGATGAAATGTGTGTGTATGTGTATTTAAGCGACGCATGGTGGCGAGGCTAGAACGTTACAGTAGGGATGAGGTAAGCTACGCTAATATTAGATAAATAAGGACCTAACGTATAATTAATTAAACTAATTAAAACCACCTACACACCGTTCATTTTCGCCAGTTGTGCTTCGGCGTCCACATTGATAGCTTTTGTCACGAGCGTACATATCTATAGACAAAAGTACATACATACACACAATAGCATATATATATATATATATATATATATATATATATATATATATATATATATATATATATATACATTCGTGGCAGGACATTGCCACTTTGTAAAAACAAGGAGAGACGGTACCACGAGACTGTAGCATTTGGAATGGTTACACGAAAAATGACAGTCTCTGGTTCAGCTAGCCATTAGAAGTTTTACAGCGGTATGCCCTCAATGGCTTGGTCTGGGACAGGGTAGTGTGGATAGACAGTGGATAGATTGTGGATAGACAGTGGATAGACAGTGGATAGATTGTGGACAGACAGCGGATAGACAGTGGATAGATTGTGGATAGACAGACAGTGGATAGACAGTGGACAGATTGTGGACAGACAGCGGATAGACAGTGGATAGATTGTGGACAGTGGATAGACAGTGGATAGATTGTGGACAGATTGTGGACAGACAGTGGATAGACAGTGGATAGACTATGGATAGATTGTGGACAGATTGTGGACAGACAGTGGATAGACAGTGGATAGACTGTGGACAGACAGTGGATAGACAGTGGATAGATTGTGGACAGATTGTGGACAGATTGTGGACAGACATTTGATAAACAGTGGATAGACAGTGGATAGACAGTGGATAGACAGTGAATAGACAGTGGATAGACAGTGGATAGACAGTGGATAGATTGTGGATAGACAGTGGATAGATTGTGGACAGATTGTGGACAGACATTTGATAAACAGTGGATAGACAGTGGATAGACAGGCATAACATCTAGACACGAGTGGACGGAACATCACAATGTACAGCACCAGTCGGTACAGCAGAGGAGAGAAAGAGAGAGAGAGAGGGGAGAGAGAGAGGAGAGAGAGAGAGGAGAGAAAGAGAGAGAGGAGAGAGAGAGAGGAGAGAGAGAGAGAGGAGAGAAAGAGAGAGAGGAGAGTGAGAGAGAGGAGAGAGAGTGAGAGAGAGAGAAGGTACACAATAAACGAAAGATCTGTGCCTGACCTGGCCATTGAGAGCATCTTTGACCATGCCAGCCAGGATGTCCTTGAAGATGTTGTAGATCCACGCGCTGCCGCCGTGAAAGTCCAGACTGACGTCACCGATGGAACTGCCGCAGCTTTTGGTGACCAGCATGGGGCGACTTGAGGCGTCCACCCCTGGGGGACAGATATGGGGGGGGGGGGAGTTAGTTCTGGGGATAAACTGGAGGCAAGATTTGGGGGTTATTTCTAGGGATGAACTCTACGTTGAGACAGAGGGCCTAAGCAAGTTTTAGCGCACCCTTTGAATTACATTTTAACGAATTTATGGGCATCAGAACTAAAATACCAAGATAGTGTGCAATTCCGAGGGGATTCAAAGTATTGATGTTTGGAGTAAGAAAACTTCGAATAAATAACTCAAAGCTTGGGCTGAAGTGTTTGCCTGTGCATTCTCAATCCCCTTTTTCCAACATCCACCCCCCCCCCCCATACTTTATTATTAATGCCAATTAACAAATGCTGCACATAAACGACTAGATTGAATTGTATTAGAAGGCTATGTGTCACTTCATTTGTTAAATAAAGTATGAACTTAACTGCCATCGTAAATAGAACCGACTTAACTGCTAATGTTAATCCACTCCCTATCGACCTAGACCTGATTTAACTGACAATGTTAATCTACTCCCTATCGACCTTGACCTTTACTCAACTGACAATGTTAATCCACCCCCTATCGACCTTGACCTTTACTTAACTGCCTATGTTAATCCATTCCCTATCGACCTTGATTGACCTTTACTTAACTGCCTATGTTAATCCATTCCCTATCGACCTTGACCTGACTTAACTGCCAATGTTAATCCATTCCCTATCGACCTTGATTGACCTTTACTTAACTGCCTATGTTAATCCATTCCCTATCGACCTTGACCTGACTTAACTGCCAATGTTAATCCATTCCCTATCGACCTTGATTGACCTTTACTTAACTGCCTATGTTAATCCATTCCCTATCGACCTTGACCTGACTTAACTGCCAATGTTAATCCATTCCCTATCGACCTTGACCTTTACTCAACTGCCAATGTTAATCTATTCCCTATCGACCTTGACCTGACTTACCCAGCCCAACCGTTACAGAGAGACTCACGCTACTGATGCCGATATCCACAGAGCCGCTGTCTGAGATAGGGATGCTGCAAGGACAATGTGACATGAACATATTTTATATAAACACTCAAAGCAAACTTTGTGACATGAACAATACATATTTAATACAAGCACTCACAGCAAACATTCAGACATGAACATTACATCTTTCATATAAACACTCACAGCAAACATTCAGACATGAACATTACATATTTCATATAAACACAACAAACATTGAGACTTGAACATATTTAATATAAACACTCACAGCGAACATTGAGACATGAACATTACATACTTCCTATAAACACAGCAAACATTGAGACATGAACATATTTAATATAAACACTAACATGAACATTACATATTTTATATAAACACTCACGGAGAACATTCAGAGGGCTTAAATTAAGGACCTTTTGGAAATGTTAATTAAAAATCAAAATGAATGACCTATGAGTTGGGGATGAGGATAGTGGACCAAGCGGACGTGAACCTAGTATACCACACGAGAAGATAAAACAACACTGGACTACATCTGCTTACATGCCGAGAAGATAAAACAACACTAAACTACAGCTGATTACATGCCGAGAAGATAAAACAACACTGGACAAAAGCTGCTTACATGCCGAGAAGATAAAACAACACTGGACTACAGCTGCTTACATGCCGAGAAGATAAAACAACACTGGACTACATCTGCTTACATACCGAGAAGATAAAACAACACTGGACTACAGCTGCTTACATGCTGAGAAGATAAAACAACACTAGACAACATCTGCTTACATGACGAGAAGATAAAACAACACTGGACTACAGCTGCTTACATGCCGAGAAGATAAAACAACACTGGACTACATCTGCTTACATACCGAGAAGATAAAACAACACTGGACTACAGCTGCTTACATGCTGAGAAGATAAAACAACACTAGACAACATCTGCTTACATGCCGAGAAGATAAAACAACGCTAGACAAAAGCTGCTTACATGCCGTTGTATTTGGCCCACCAGTCAGCTGTTAGGCTGAGGCCAAATCCTGAGAGTGACCAGGACAGGCCATCAAGGTCAGGGTTCAAGGTCATGCTACTGCTCGGTACTGCTACATGGCGTGTCTGGATGCTGGAAGATTTGATACACATGTCAATATTGGTAACAACTTTAAACAACACACCATAAGTAACAACGTATTCCCACGCCTCAATAACAGGGTTCTGCCTGCGTCATTGATCAGTGTAGCTTTGATATCAGAAGAACTTATCTGGCACTTACTTTGTTAGTCTATATCAGGGGTCTCCAAACTACGGCCCGCGGGCCAGATGCGGCCCGCGATGTCCTCTAATCCAGCCCGCGGAGATCTTTTTGTGCACGGAAAAAACGTTGGTTGGTGATGGCTGAGGTACTTTTCCCAGAAAAATCAAATACGTGCCTGGAAGAAACTGGCCCCCGAACTGAAATTTGATAGTTAATGCGGCCCTCGGACTGAAAAGTTTGGAGACCCCTGGTCTATAGTATTGGACTATATTCCCACGTACTTTGTTTGTCTACAGTTTATGTCCCCCACTTACTTTGTAAGCCTATAAGAAACGTCCCCAGAAGAACCGGACTGGTCGTCTATCTTCAATGTCTGAAGCTGTTTGCCTAGAGCCGTTTGGGCCACCGTGTTGGCTAATGAATACGTTAAACAAAATATTTCAAGAAACGGATTTTAACACTGCAAATTTTACATTATATTTCCTCCTAATTTAGAGCGAGGAATATCATTCAATACTCCAGTAATTATCTAATCTCATTACGCCAATTAAAGCCTTACCGTAGATGACGCCAGCTTTGGTCAGTCTTAACTTGGCTCCTGGCTCGAGTGACGTCACGTGATCAGTGGCTAACACGATCAGACCGAGAATGAACAAAAGTTCAGGTCTACCCTGCTTCATCTTCTGCTAGGTATAATGAATGTGTGGGTTGGGCGGGGGGGGGGGGGGGGGTGAATATTGTGTTTAATATAAAAAATTACAATTTTTATGTTATAATTTTTAGAATTGTATCTAATTGGTGTGGCAACTATTTTTAATTATAAACATTTCATCGTTCCTACCCGACCCCCAGTAGCCTGTCTCTAGCTGAACCACTATGTACTCATTTCATCGCTTCTACCCGACCCCTAGTAGCCTGTCCCTAGATCCTACCCACCCCCATTAGCCTGTCCCTACCTCCTACCCCCATTAGCCTGTCCCTAGATCCTACCCACCCCCATTAGCCTGTCCCTACCTCCTACCCCCATTAGCCTGTCCCTAGATCCTACCCACCCCCATTAGCCTGTCCCTACCTCCTACCCCCATTAGCCTGTCCCTAGATCCTACCCACCCCCATTAGCCTGTCCCTACCTCCTACCCCCATTAGCCTGTCCCTAGATCCTACCCCACCCCCATTAGCCTGTCCCTACCTCCTACCCCCATTAGCCTGTCCCTAGATCCTACCCCACCCCCATTAGCCTGTCCCTACCTCCTACCCCCATTAGCCTGTCCCTAGATCCTACCCACCCCCATTAGCCTGTCCCTACCTCCTACCCCCATTAGCCTGTCCCTAGATCCTACCCCACCCCCATTAGCCTGTCCCTACCTCCTACCCCCATTAGCCTGTCCCTACCTCCTACCCCCATTAGCCTGTCCCTAGATCCTACCCCACCCCCATTAGCCTGTCCCTACCTCCTACCCCCATTAGCCTGTCCCTAGATCCTACCCCACCCCCATTAGCCTGTCTCTACCTCCTACCCCACACAAGACCTCTCCCTATCTGCTCCACGTTGTACATGGAAGCAGCAAACAACAACTAGAGCTGTCCGCAACGACCCAACAACAAACACAATTTAATGTACTCAACTTGGACAGTTTGTTGTTAAATAATGTGCTACACTCACACACAATATATCGAGTTCGACTCACGTGCCAGAGTCTTTAAAAGGCGCTGAGCTTATCCAGCCTTACGGCGTACCTGACTCATTGAGAAAGTACTGGCCGATGAAATAAGTGCCTTCCACACGATTTCTCACAATGACCACCTCTACCCTCTCATGAGTGTAAACGTCACTTATAGACGACCAAAAGTCACCCAAAAAAAAGCTACAGATGTATTCTTCTTCACTGCACATAAAGATTATCGGGTTCTATAGGACCTTTTTAAAACTCCTAATAGCATACTAAACGTATACACCGGTAAAACTAAGTCGTCATTCTTACCAGCAAGATAGAAAACTTATTTTACTGGCCTAACCAAGAGAATGGAAGGAAGTTGTTTCAGAAAATGTGCCACTTCTCGCATGACTGGTTTCATACACATTGTCAGGGCGACTGGGTCAATTCATGCAAACACACTACACACAGCAACTGAGTCGAACACACAGTAAACACTACACGGCAGCCATGTCAAACCATACCCTCATTCACAACTCGGTCAATGTCGGTCAGTGAATCCATTCAACACAGATTGATTCAACACAGATCGTCAACACGTCGTAGCCATATTTAATCGCACAACATTTGGGAATTGCATTTCATTTTGTTGATTAAAACACAATTTTAAACTGAGGTTAAATCGAGAGTTAAGATGTCATTCACGTTAATCTTTTTTTTAATCCATAAAGAGCGTTGTCGATTGAAAACAATCAGTGTTGCATAAAATAAATCTAAAAATGAAAGCTGAAACAAACTCACAGTATAATAAACTAACACACGAAAGCACAAAAGATATGAAAACTTATGTAGTTCAGTGTTGTTTGGTTCTGTCGTGTGGAATGTAAAGTTTTACGTCTACTACTTACCATTTTGTCGGCTGTTGTGATTCACCCTGTCGTCTGCTGTTAAGGAATAAATATAGGTCACTGGTGTGGTAGGATGTAAAACTCATTGGGGACAGCCTATAAATACATAGGGAAATTCCCGTTAATTGTTTTGAAATGGCCCTATACCAAAGTTTGAATGTTTAGATGTTGTATGTTGTATGTTGTATGTTACGTTAAATTTTACTTTCGGTCAAGGTGATTGTTTGGTCATATACAAATATAATGCTTTGACATTGGGTTGGGTTGGTGGGTGGGGTTCAAGATACTTGGTGTTATATCCATGAGTGTAATGGTGGGTGGGGTTCTATCTTCTAATTGTTATATCTATGGGTGGGGTGGTGGGTGGGGTTCTATCTTCTAATTGTTATATCTATGGGTGGGGTGGTGGGTGGGGTTCTATCTTCTAATTGTTATATCTATGGGTGGGGTGGTGGGTGGGGTTCTATCTTCTAATTGTTATATCTATGGGTGGGGTGGTGGGTGGGGTTCTATCTTCTAATTGTTATATCTATGGGTGGGGTGGTGGGTGGGGTTCTATCTTCTAATTGTTATATCTATGGGTGGGGTGGTGGGTTGGGTTCTATCTTCTAATTGTTATATCTATGGGTGGGGTGGTGGGTGGGGTTCTATCTTCTAATTGTTATATCTATGGGTGGGGTGGTGGGTGGGGTTCTATCTTCTAATTGTTATATCTATGGGTGGGGTGGTGGGTGGGGTTCTATCTTCTAATTGTTATATCTATGGGTGGGGTGGTGGGTGGGGTTCTATCTTCTAATTGTTATATCTATGGGTGGGGTGGTGGGTGGGGTTCTATCTTCTAATTGTTATATCTATGGGTGGGGTGGTGGGTGGGGTTCTATCTTCTAATTGTTATATCTATGGGTGGGGTGGTGGGTGGGGTTCTATCTTCTAATTGTTATATCTATGGGTGGGGTGGTGGGTTGGGTTGTAAGACATAGTATAGCAAAAAAAAATACATCATAGAGCTGCTTAAAGCTTACATAGACCAGGATGAATATAGACGAGCTAGGACCATGGGAGCTTTGGAAGGAGGGGGGGGGGAGGGTTAGCACTAAATATTTTGATAGATTTTGATACTAGGTTTCAGTGATTCTACCAGGAAGGTAAATTCCTTGTGGTGTGCCGAGGTCAAATTTTTCAACTATGTTTGACATCGTCCAACGATTAATGACGTACTTAGTGGCAATCGGTCAAAGTAAATTTCAAATCACATCCCTTCAAGTGGAGAAAAATTGAGATGATTTACATTTTACATTTTTATCGCTGAACCATAATAAAACCATTTTAGAAATGTAACCTTTGTGTATACATTTAAAAAAATAATATAAAAATTGCATGAATTATAACAGTACGACAAGATTTACTCTATATGTATGCTTTGGCATGTATAATTCAATTATTAATTCATTAAACGTAAGCATAACAAGTTATAGTATGTCAAAAATTACAAGTTATAAGTGTGTTCTTAAGATATAGTATTGATTTTAATATATCATTAATGAAACATATATATTATGTGAATTTAAATTTGGTTTTGAAATATAATTCATGAACGAAGCGTTCTTCCTATTAGTTTTGTACTCATAGAGAACTATTGTAGCTTATACTATAGTGCTTATAAAACTCAAATAGATAAGGTTATTGGTAATGTTTTATCTCATATTTCGTTTAAACGTTGAAAATGTATTATTTTTTTGCAAGTTCATTGTTGTTTCTTAGTTTTTTTTTTTTTAAAAATATACTTTATTTTTTAAATAATTAATATCGACATTTAAAAACCTTTTCTTTCAAATCTCGGTTATTGAACTTTCGGTTTCTCGATTAAATAACTAGTGACAATAAGGCCTCTCTACAGAACATTTAATTAAAAGCTGTTATAAACATGTCGTTTATGTTATAAACATGTCGTGAACTCACTTATGTTATAAATATTTGATGGACTCACTTATGTTATAAAGATGTCATCGACTCCCTTATGTTATAAAGATGTCATGGACTTATGTTATAAAGATGTGATGGACTCACTTATGTTATAAAGATGTCATGAACTCACTTATGTTATAAAGATGTTATCGACTCCCCTATGTTATAAAGATGTCATCGACTCCCTTATGTTATAAAGATGTCATGGACTCCCTTATGTTATAAAGATGTCATCGACTCCCTTATGTTATAAAGATGTCATCGACTCACTTATGTTATAAAGATGTCATGAACTCACTTATGTTATAAAGATGTCATGTCATGAACTCACTTATGTTATAAATATGTGATGGACTCACTTATGTTATAATGTTGTCATCGACTCCCTTATGTTATAAAGATGTCATCGACTCCCTAATGTTATAAAGATGTCATGGACTCCCTAATGTTATAAAGATGTCATCGACTCCCTAATGTTATAAAGATGTCATGGACTCCCTAATGTTATAAAGATGTCGTGGACTCACATATGTTATAAAGATATCATGGATTCACTTATGTTATAAGATGTCATGGACAAACTCCCTTATGTTATAAGATGTCATAGATTCACCTAGTGTTTACATTCACACAAAATGGGGTCAAGGTAATCCCTGTGGTATAGTGTATCGAGTGACTGACCCAACTCAGCGACACCCGTCAATAGCATTAGTTAAGTAAAGTATCTTGCCCTAACCTAGCCACGTTGCGTGTAGAAGAAACCGTTTCAACGTTCTAGTGACCTCAGCACAACAGTAGAGTTATCCTCAACACCACGCACAGCTGTCTTATTACTTCCCCTGTTTTAGTCAGGTACCCTTCACAGCAAGCTGGACTAGTAAGAAAGACAAGAACGGACGTAGGTTGGTTGTTTTTTTTTTTTACTAGTCTTATCAGACTTTTAGAGCTACTCTAATTGTGGCTGTTACTTAGTATTAAAAGCTCACTACTACAAATACTAAGCTACTGACTGACTTCAGCTATTAATATCAGGCCCAATTTTTAAAAATAACTAGATCTAAAATCTACAATGTATTCACTAAAGACATAAGAGACTAGATACAACGTTTTCTATTGGACTTATTGCCCACAACTGCTAGCTACAAAGCTAAATTAGATTAGATGTTAAGCATATTTACTACACTACATTAAGTATTAGATCTGAATCTAAAGCAGAAATCAAAGTTGGTAAACTTACCGGTAGAAATACTTTCCTTAAAACAAAACTCACAAAAAGAAAATATACGACTTGATCAGTACAAAAAAGCAGGGAACAATTCGGTAATTTGTTGACGCTTCTCAAAATTTGCTGTCAAATTTTACAGAGATAAAATCAAGTGAAGAGACCAAAACGATATATCCTATTAAAACCTTGTGCGTCGTAATATATTTTGACTCGTAAAAATATCCGTTTGGCTTTCACCTACAAGCAATATCTGGTAGGCTAATGAAAATTAGAGGTCGCGTTCTATGAATTGACATCGAAAAATTATTTTAATATTATTTTCAAATTAAAAATTAAAAATACAGCACAATCGCTAGCTTTAACTAGCGGTGACATAAATGTATCAAAAGTAGTTGGTAGGATTTTAAGCATTACATAAAATGAAAATACTTTGAAGTTATAAATAAATTCTACATCATATAAGATGACTAGCTACAATTATCATGTTGGGTCGGGGGAGGGGAGGGGAGGGGGGGGGGGGGCACGTGTACATGTGAACGTGTACGTGTACGTGTACGTGTACTTGTACGTGTACGTATACGGGTACGTGTATGGTACGGGTACGGGTATATACTTCATACATTAAGGCGTTTAATCCAAATAAAAAGTCACCCCTTAAAGCCACCAGAAAATATTTTTCCGCCTCTGTTAAATACTGGACATCAGTTGACACTATAAGCACCCCCTGTGGAGAAAGATTGTTTATAAACATCAGTGAACAATATAAGCACACCCTGTGGAGAAAGATTTTTTTTATAAACATCAGTTGACACTATAAGCACACCCTGTGGAGAAAGATTTTTTTTATAAACATCAGTTGACACTATAAGCACACCCTGTGGAGAAAGATTTTTTTTATAAACATCAGTTGACACTATAAGCACACCCTGTGGAGAAAGATTTTTTTATAAACATCAGCTGACACTATAAGCACACCAGGTGAATAAAGATCGTTTAAAAACATCAGTTGACACTATAAGCACACCCTGTAGAGAAAGATTTTTTTTATAAACATCAGTGGACACTATAAGCACACCCTGTGGAGAAAGATCGTCTATAAACATCAGTGGACACTATAAGCACACAGAGGCGTAGCGACCCTTCCCGGCGCCCGGGGACAAACTTTTCAATTTGCACTCCCCCTCGAGATTTTGATTTGCACCCCCCCCCCCCCTCAAACTTTCGATTTGCACCCCCCCCGAGATTTCCATTTGCACCCCCCCCCCCCTCAAACTTTCGATTTGCACCCCCCTCAACCTTTCAATTTATTTTTCCAACCCATTTTGGCGCCCCTAAGGTCGGCGCCCGGGGACATATGTCCCCCCCCCCCCTCGCTACGCTACTGTAAGCACACCAGGTGAATAAAGATCGTTTATAAACATCAGTGGACACTATAAGCACACACTGTGGAGAACGATCGTTTATAAAGCTCTGCTACACGGGGACATGTTTTTCTATCCTTTAATTATGGACTAGGTCAGATGTTAGATTTTAAATGTGTGGATTTTTGTCAAATAATTAGAAAAGTCCTAATGTTTTGTGTGTTTGTGTGCTTTTGTTGATTTATTTTGCCGGAGGGGAGGGGAAAAAAAATCTCACGGAAAGAAATTAGCACACGAGAATTGTTTATAAGGGGAGTAATCAACTTGAGAATGAGATCTTTGACACTTGTACCGATTTGACGAGAAACGTTTTATATTGACATTCAAGCATCAAGTTGTATTTTATTTTTATAATTTTATACAACAATTCAGGTCGAACATAGAACTATGGAGAAAAGCAAGACAGGAGCCTATGACTGCAAATAAGTAGGAGGAAGTGGCGCTGGGTGCTGGGCCGTAGCGAGAGGGGGGGCGGGGGGCGGACCGCACCGGGTGAGACCATTTAGGGGGGTGACACCAAGGCAAAAGATAGCAAAATATATATATTAAGAGCCGCGCCTGGTGACACCCGACCTTGCTACGCCAATTGCTGGGTGGGACACACGCTGCGAAAGGCTCACCCAAATGTGACACGCCAAGCGCTTGAGTGGCACCCCCAGGGAAAGCGGAAGAGAGGGCGCCCAAGACAGACCTGGAGGCGGAGTCTTCTTGAAGAACTGAAGCCAACAGGGATGTCTTAGGAGACGGCAAAATTAATAGCCGGGGATCGGATGAAGTGGAATGAAATGGTTGAGGCCCTATGTTCCATACGGAGTAGAGAGGACTAAGTCAAGTCAGGCTGGTAATGTTTGTTAAACAACTCATACGGGATGAATGAACACTTACTTCATGGAATGTTATCTTTGAGTTCATGAACATGACGTCATCAGTGATGGGCAGCTCAAAACCTTTCTCCGCCACAGCTAGAGGTATACAAAATATGTTCTATTTTTAGATGGGCGGAGAGTTTTCTTAACTTTAACATTTAAGTTTGTTATAAAATGGCAAAATCTGCTCTTTAAATAGTTACAGAGTGGGATTATAGGTTTCAGCTTATCTTAATTTCTTCCTTTAGTTTGAAAATAATTAACTAATGTTATTAGTTTTATGGTTCTTGATAAGACGATGGAGCTAAGATTAGCATGGAAGCCTAAATAAAATCTATAACTAGAAAATCTTTTTCTTTTTAATTCTTACTTCCATAAGTTGAAAGCAGGTTGTTAATTATAAAAAAAAACCAAACTCACTGTTAAAACTTGGAATAACAAAATGTTTAAGGGCAAGACTAAGCACTAAATAAAAACCAGATACCTGACAAATGTAAAACTTTGGTAAGACAAAATATTGATAAGCATATTAAAAAACTGTTTTCACAATAAATTTTCTTTTATCTGTCTTCACACGTAAACACTTAATAAAATAATTAATTATTAGTTTATTTTTTTAATGTACAATTAGCTTTGAATACTCTCTAACCGAGCTGCAGAAAGTATCTTTCACAATTTTATTTGTGAAATAATTTCTGAAATAATTCGAATCTAGATCTACTTACGCCAACATAACCCACAGTCGAATCTTTCAAACTAACTTTGAAGCTGCGAAATGAAATGTCATTATTGTTGTTAATTAATCTGAGGCACATTTAAATCAATTAGCTATTGTAATAAAACATTTTAATTTTATTGACGATGAATTAAAAATAAAATTTTGACTCAGTATAAATTAGTTATAGATCTACATGTATTTGTAAGGTAGAATCGAAAAGAGGAAAACTATACTGGGTTATGACAAATAATTGTTAAAGAAAAAAATATTTTCGTACTTATGGTCTGTGATTTTCCCCTTAACTTTTTCATGGTGAATGTAGGCAGTTCCAGTGAGTGATAATTTCTATAAATAAATTTTATTTTTAGAATTTTAAAAATTCAGAAGAAAAATCCAATAAAAAGCTTACCTAATAATTGACCAGATGTATCATCCTTAAGAACATTTCTAAATCACACGAGTTAGCTCCCACTTACCATGGCAAGCGTGAGCAGGTAAGCCAAGTTACCATCAGGTGTGCGAGCATACAGCACCAGGTCACCCAGCAGACCCAGGTTCAAACCACTGTCAAGAATATTGGCCAGGGGGGTGGAGGAGGACTTGACATGGATCTCTACCAGTGAGTTGGGGTACTTGGCCCTTATCTGTGGACAAGATCACAACTTTACTTTATCTGTGGACAAGATCACAACTTTACTTTATCTGTGGACAAGATCACAACTTTACTTGGCCTTTATCTGTGGACAAGATCACAACTTTACTTTATCTGTGGACAAGATCACAACTTTACTTTATCTGTGGACAAGATCACAACTTTACTTGGCCTTTATCTGTGGACAAGATCACAACTTTACTTTATCTGTGGACAAGATCACAACTTTACTTTATCTGTGGACAAGATCACAACTTTACTTGGCCTTTATCTGTGGACAAGATCACAACTTTACTTTATCTGTGGACAAGATCACAACTTTACTTTGCCAACAATGACTAGCCTAGCTTGTAGATTGTAGTACACACATCGTGGTCTACTGTTCCCTTATAAAATCATGTATTTACCTTAGGAACGAGAGTACCGATACATCTTCCTGTGCATGACGTATGTAGGATAGATCTGATAGCAGCTGGCAGCTGTAAATCACAATTTGTTTTATTTCTATTTTGTAACCATAAACATTTGTATATATATATATATATATATATATATATATATATATATATATATATATATATATATATATATATATATATACTTCAAAGATTAATATATATTTCGAGAGCAGGACATTACTAGCCCCCGCCCCATCACTCATCATGCCGGTTATTTAGACAAATGGAGTTGGATGGGATGGAGGGGGGGGGGGGGTAAATGACCCAACACATTATTATAAGGGGTAATTATTCAAGTGGGGGGGGGGATATGACAGGGAGAGGGAAATTACCCCCACTTCCCCCCTCCTTTGTATAAAAAGAGCAAGCGAACACATTTAACTCACATCTTTGGCCGTCAGGTTGTACTGCAGATACCCGTGATCCTGGGCCACCTGGGCCATCGTGTTGGCCGTGTACTCTGTGACCCACAGGTACAACATCCTGCTGTAGTCACCCCACGGGGGGATCCGCTCAGGTGTCAGGGGGCTTTCTTTCTTGTCCGTTATCCAGTACACCTCACCCTGCAGCAGTTGATGACGTCGTTTAGCGACTGTCCAATTATACTTTAAGCTCCGATACTAAGCTTTTAACTCCGACACTTATCTCCTGAGCTCCGCGACTTTATCATATAGAATTTATCATATAGGATTTATCATATAGAATTGGATTGATCATGTAGTTTATCATTATTTAAATTAAAAAAAAACTACCCTAACACTGAACATTAGTAGATCCGTAACGTCCTTGTACAGAGAAAGAAGCAATGAACTTGATAGTGTTAACATCAGTTATAACACAATTGTAACATGTTCCTGTGCATAACTATATACTTAGCACAGAGATCGAACTCTTCAAAGACTATTTGACATGTATTTAATAATTTTTACTAAATAACACAAGGGAGATAACAATTTCTACAGGATGGTAGGAGTTATTTTTTTATAGATACCTTTTCACTTACACAAACTTTCCTTACACAAACTTCCCTCACACACACACATTTCCCTCACACACACTTCCCTCACTTTCTGAATTAGCACAACGTTTCCTGACGCGCCCACAGTCCGTCAAACATTTGCCTGTTTTACCCACACTTCACTCAACTACTCACAATTCCATTCACTTCCCGAGTGATCAGTTCAGTCCTCAAACAACCACTTAATCCCCACACACTTACGCCCCCACACTTTTTTCACTTAGCCACCCCCCCCCCCCCACTCCACGCATACTGTGAGGGCACCAGGAACCTCGTGTGTCAACTATCCTCCGCATTCATCCCCACACGCCATTCTCCCGCTCACAACACAGCCGCTGTCACTCGACCAGTCGCTTCCCTTGTTACCCTCGTTCGCCCCGTACAACAACATACACGTCAACAACCGCTGTCACTCGACCAGTCGCTTCCCTTGTTACCCTCGTTCACTCCGTACAACAACATACACGTCAACACACCCGGCCTCGCGTCTCACTACCATCTAGGCCTTTATAAACACGCAGTAATCCGTTCCACGGACACACCTTTCGTGCACATCACATCACCATACACAAACACACACACGCACGCACACACGCACGCACGCACACACACACACCACAGACACACATACCAAGCTAAACCCAAACCCCAACCTACCTTATGCAGACTCTCCATGTAATCAGCTGTAAATGTCACCGGCGCTATCAGACCGTAGTCCAGCACGAAGCGACCACCTAGTCCAACTTTCACTGTCAAATATTTTTGTTATACTTTTGTTATACTTTTTGTTAAACTTTTGTTATACTTTTGTTATACTTTTGTTAAACTTTTGTTATACTTTTGTTATATTTTGTTATATTTTTGTTATACTTTTGTTAAACTTTTGTTATACTTTTATTATACTTTTTAAAATACTTTTGTTATAAATTTGTATACAAAATAGCGCGAAAACAACCTTTTTCAATCTAAGCGTGTGCGCACGTTTGTGTTAGCTTCACATTTAAAGCTGACGACAGTTATCTATCTAGATCTTATTTTATGACGTGACCGTCAAATAGATAAGGTCGTTGGGAGGATTAATCTCCCTTGGTATAGGGTAATCAAATGGACTGATTTCTTAGATTATGTGTGTAAACTCAACAGTGGATAAAGCACAGAATCTCGTAATTTCATTATGTAAGGCCACCAAGGTTTGGCTAGTGCGACTTATGCTTTCTTGTTACCCTCTATACCAGAGTTTCTTTCAGATATATTTTCAGTACACTACCTTCAACTTGTGGGGGGGGGGGGGGGTTGCACACTGACTGACATCAAGCGGTTTTGTCATCTGATTAAAACATGTACTTGCCGATCATCTTTGCCAATTGAGCTTGGGCATCCACATCGATAGCTGAGGTCACCAGCGTACATATCTTATAGAAACAGTATATATATATATATATATATATATATATATATATATATATATATATATATATATATATATAGACATTCTAACAGTGATAGTATTAACATTACAGTTTTAATTGTGTGACACGGTCTACAAAGCTAACACATATATGTAACATGTTCCCTACCTGATATGTAAGATGTTGCCTACCTGATATGTAATATGTTCCCTACCTGGTATGCAACACGTCCCCTACCTGATATGTAACACGTTCCCTACCTGACTCTGTAGAACATCTTTCAACAAATCTCCCAAGATGTCACTGAACAGGTTCCAGATCATCTCGTTCAGGCCCTGGAACTTGAGACTGACGTCATCAATAGAGCTGTCGCAGCTTTTGGTGTCCAGCATGGGACGACTTGAGGCGTCCACCCCTGGGGGGACAGATTTGTGGGGGGGGGGTAGTTCTGGATATGAACTGGAGGCAAAATTTGGGTTGGTGTTTTTTTTTTCTTTCTGCAGACACAGTCTACAAGACTTCATTGCTTGGCACGATGATCACAGTGTCCAACCTTAAAGCAACTCGGCACAAGCCAGACCCTAATAATGAGTTCATGGACAGTGTGAAGCCCCGTACGGATTTAACGTGAGGCTGTCAATCAGGATAGCCCGACATTTTAATTCAAAGCATGGGCGGTTATGTTTTTGTGTGTCGCACCTTTCTTCCACCCTCCTTTCACCCCCCCCCGCACACACACATACACTGACATACCATACCAGATTAATTATTGATAACTTACAGGACTTACATGGTCTAAAATTTATAGAATGGTTAACATTGTCCTAGGATGTATTTCCCCCCCCCCCCTTGTTAAGGTTTGTTTATCCCTGACTTACCCAGCCCAACCGTCACTGAGAGACTGACGTCACTGATGACGATATCCACAGAGCCGTCGTCATAGATCTCCAGGCTGTAGACACATTCATCACGTGACTGGAACATTTAACTATGGCAGCTAAAGACATTGTTACATATTTTCACATCCATTGCCCCATACAAGTACGGGAATTTCCGGAACAGGTTTTATATTAAGGAACATTTCGGGGATGGACTAGTAATAGAGCACTAGACTGCTAACATGTGAGTCTAGAGTTCGAATTCGGGTTCAAGTCAGTAGACCATTTGATTCCACCCAGCTCTGATGGGTACCTAACTGACGTTAGGGAAAGTAAAGGCGGCTGAACATAGTGCTGGCAACACTATCCCTTCATGCCGAGGTCACAGAAACGGGTAAACTCTACTTCACCTGTCACCATTGACCGTCAGGTTCCAAGAGAGAACTTTACCAGCGGAACTGGAACCGAAGCCTTGGAGAGCTGGAACTATTTGAATTAAAACCCGAGGGTTACGCGAGATTTGGATAGCACAGAGTCAATAACACAACACAACAATTTTCAAAAACTCCAGTTGAACTAAAGCATGGACCAGAGTGGATTGTCCAGTCCGAAGGAAAAAAAAAACAGCTAACAATGACAACAGTCGTCATGTTTCAATGAATGTGTGTAGTTAAGTACTGGTGGTAGATAATTCACTAACTAACGTACATCAAAATTATGAGATAACTTCAATACTATGAGCAGTGTTTCTTCCAGAAAGTTTACCGCCCCCCCCACCCCCCGAACGAAATAGAGTTTATATAGAAAACATATACTTTTACCAGCGTCCCCCCCCCCCCCCAAAAATCAAGTTCCCCCCCCCCCCCTCCACCGGAGAAAAAAAGTCTGGAAGAAACACTGACTATGAGCTAACAACAAAACTATGAGATAACGTCAAAACTGAGATACCGTCTGCTTACAAGAACAAGCCCATATACTTGACCATCCAGTCTGCCGTTAGCTTCAGACTGAAGTCAGAGACTGACCAGGACAGACCGTCAAGCCAAGGGTTCAAGGTCATCTTGCTCCTGGGTGACGTCACATATCGCGTCTGGAAGCTGGAGAAGTTGGTGAACATTAGAATTCGGCGTGGTCGAGTCGGTAAAGCTCATGGTTGCTAAACCGAAAAGTCACGAGTTCGAACCCTCGGGCAGATGAGGCTCGTTAGCTGGGGATAGCCACTCTTCTAGGAGAGACAACTCTAAAATCAAACAACTGCTGCCTTGTAGTTTGTTCTTGGTTGGACAAAGGCTATGGAAGCAATCCAAAAAGAAAAGCAGGCTGAAATCGGAGTCAATGGCCTCAAAGGCGCTAAACCAGTTGACACGTAATCCTTAAAATTGTGATGGAAGCATGGTTGAGTCGGCAAAGCTCATGGTTGATAAGATTAAATAAACCGGGAGTGATCTCCCCTAAACTTTCTCGAATATTAATACTAATAGTTTTGCTGTCTGTCTATCTATCTATCTATCTATCTGTCTGACAAGAACGCTCTAGAGAAAACACAAGCAAAATAAAAACATGCACAGTAAATTAATTACCGCCTAATTAATGTGTCTAATCTCAAAAGTGGTTTTCTTGCAATTTCTTTAATGCAATTCTTCGGGTAGTGGCTAAGCGCGACACCAGTGTTTCTTTCAGACTTTTTCCTCCACGGAGAGGGGTGAGGGTACTTGAAATTTTCGGGGGCGGGGTTAGAATTTTCGGGGAGGGGGCGGACACTGGAAAAAGTATATAATTATATTTCGTTGAATGGGACGGTAGACATGTTTTTTTAGGGGGGTGGGGGGTGGGGGTGTGTGTGTGTGGGGGGGGGGGGTGGTTTTAATTTAGACTTTTTCCTCCCCGGAGAGGGGTGGGGGTACTTGAAATTTTCGGTGGCGGGGGTAGAATTTTCGGGGAGGGGGCGGGACACTGGAAAAAGTATATAATTATATTTCGATGAATGGGACGGTAGACATTTTTTGGGGGGGGGGGGGGTGTGGGGGGGGGGGTGGTGTGTGGGGGGGTGGGGGGGGTGGTGTGTGTGGGGGGGTGGGGTGGTTTTAGTTTAGACTTTTTCCTCCCCGGAGAGGGGTGGGGGTACTTGAAATTTTCGGGGGCGGGGGTAGAATTTTCGGGGAGGGGGCGGACACTGGAAAAAGTATATAATTATATTTCGTTGAATGGGACGGTATACATGTTTTTTGGGGTGTGGGGGTGTGGGGGGGGGGGGGGGGGTGGGGTGGTGTGTGTGTGGGTGGGGGGTGGTGTGTGTGGGGGTGTGGGGTGGGTGGGGGTGTGGGGGGGGGTGGTTTTAGTTTAGAGAAAAGAGACAGCACTATCAGCCTAGCGCCCGGTGTATCCTTCCTCAACGGGCCATTTTTCTCGTTCTAATATAACACTACGTGGGATGGCAACTAGGAGTATAGACATGATTTTTGTTTACTTAAACTTTTAAATAAAATACTTAAAAAAAAACTTTTTAAAAAACCACGTTTTTCTTGTGGACTAAAAAGTAGAAAATAACTATTTACATACATTTGATGACAAAAAACGTGGGTACGTTCACCATCAAATTTCCCGACCCATCTGCCCGACCCACGTTTTTTGTCATCAAATGTATGTAAATAGTTATTTTCTACTTTTTAGTCCACAAGAAAAACGTGGTTTTTTAAAAAGTTTTTTTTTAAGTATTTTATTTTCTCCTTTTTAGTCCGTTGCTACACATGAAAAACGTGGTTTTTAAAAAAGTGTTTATAAATACACGGATTAAAAAAATCTTGAGCGACCAGGATTCGAACCTGGGTTGTCGCGGCCACAACGCGAAGTACTAACCACTATACGATCACGGCCAGCGCGCTCACATCGATCGGGGCCGAAGTAACTGTGTCTATAGGCCTCCAGTCTTGTCGGTATCTTTAGAAATCATGTCCTCAATTTTATGGTCCTTGGGGCGTAATTAAATTAAGCTAATTACGGTCTCTAATTGCTAGTTTTTATGATTGCATCTGAAATTGTTAGGCGAAAGTAACCTGCATGCCAAATTTCAGAACTATAGAACAATCAGAAGTGGGCTAATTTTCGATGTCAATTTTAACAACAAACACATCCACGCGAAGCTGAGTTAATAAAAAAAAATACTTAAAAAAAACTTTTTAAAAAACCACGTTTTTCTTGTGGACTAAAAAGTAGAAAATAACTATTTACATACATTTGATGACAAAAAACGTGGGTACGTTCACCATCAAATTTCCCGACCCATCTGCCCGACCCACGTTTTTTGTCATCAAATGTATGTAAATAGTTATTTTCTACTTTTTAGTCCACAAGAAAAACGTGGTTTTTTAAAAAGTTTTTTTTAAGTATTTTATTTTCTCCTTTTTAGTCCGTTGCTACACATGAAAAACGTGGTTTTTAAAAAGTTTTTTATATAGTTTATTTTCTACTTTATCTAATCACTTGATTAAGTATGACTTGACAAAGTGTTTTTAAATACACGGACTAAAAAAATCTTGAGCGACCGATACGCTTTAAACAGAGAAAGGGTGTAATTTACGTTGCTGGCGTGGAGATCTACTCACGAATCACGTGATCAAATCTCCCATAAACAAACAAATAAACGCGAAGCTGAGTTAAGGAAAAACGTGTTTATGTGTATTTTAGCATGCCCAGCGTACCAACCGTGTCACCGTTAACAATGTGTTACCGTGTCCGTTCTCCTTTTTAGTCCGTTGCTACACATAAAAAACGTGGTTTTTTAAAAAGTTTTTTTTAAGTATTTTATTTTCTCCTTTTTAGTCCGTTGCTACACATGAAAAACGTGGTTTTTTAAAAAGTGTTTATAAATACACGGACTAAAAATCTTGAGCGACCAGGATTCGAACCTGGGTTGTCGCGGCCACAACGCGAAGTACTAACCACTATACGATCACGGCCAGCGCGCTCACATCGATTGGGGCCGAAGTAACTGTGTCAATAGGCCTCCAGTCTTGTCGGTATCTTTAGAAATCATGTCCTCAATTTTATGGTCCTTGGGGCGTAATTAAATTAAGCTAATTACGGTCACTAATTGCTAGTTTTTATGATTGCATCTGAAATTGTTAGGCGAAAGTAGCATGCATGCCAAATTTCAGGTCTCTAGAGCAATCAGAAGTGGGCTAATTTTCGATGTCAATTTTAACAACAAACATCCAAACAACCAAACAAACAAACAAACGCGAAGCTGAGTTAAGAAAAACGTTTTAAAAAAAACGTGTTAAAATAGAATAAAATCTAGTAGAAAAAAACATTGCGCACCAAGTGAACGCCAAAGCAAAAAGCGCATAATAGTGCGCAATATTATTAGTTCTTTATAAATTTATATGCGTTTTTTGAGAAATCGGAAATAGCGTAAATTAGTAATTCCGGTCAACGGAAATTACTCAAAATTTGATAGAAGGTAGAGAATTAGATCTTTTACTTACTTGTGAAATTTCATATATCTATCTAAAATAGTACTCAAGTTATAGGCTTTTGAAAAATTCAAAGTAGAAAAAGTACCACTTACGGTTGTCGGAAATCGCTCAAAAGTTGATACGGATCTACGATTTTGATAAAATACCTATATATGAAATTTCATCAACATAGCTGTAACGGTACTCAAGTAATCGTGTTTACACACAGACAGACAGACAGACAGACAGACAGACAGACAGACAGACAGACAGACAGACAGACAGACAGACAGACACACAGACACACAGACATACGGACAAGATTGCAAAATTATGTTTTTCCGTATCAGTGAGGTGTAAAACGTCGAGATTTGTAAAAATCTCGATTTTTTTTTGCACGATTACAATACTTTCTCTATACTTCGTATATACGAGAAAGTAAATAAACCGGGAGTGATCTCCCCTAAACTTTCTCGAATATTCTTATATAAAATAACAGGGGATGGGAACTCGGGCTATAGACATGATTTTTAATCCATTTTAAATACTTAAAGTTTTAAAAATAGAATAAAATCTCGTAGACAAATTAATTGCACACCAAGTGAACGCGAATAAAAAAGCGCATAATAGTGCGCAATATTATTAGTACTTTTAAAATTTACATTAGTTTTTTGAGAAATCGGAAGTAGCGTAAATAAGTACTTCCGGTCAACGAAAAATTCTCAAAATTTGACAGAAGGTATAGAATTAGATATTTTACTTACATATCAAATTTCATTTATCTATCTGAAATAGTACTCAAGTTATAGGCTTTTGAAAAATTCAAAGTAGAAAAAGTACCACTTCCGGTTATCCGAAATCGCTCAAAAGTTGATACGGATCTACGATTTTGATAAAATACTTATATATTAAATTTCATCAACCTAGCTGTAACGGTACTCAAGTTATCGTGTTTACACACGGACACACACACACACAGACACACAGACATACGGACAGAATTGCAAAGCCCAGTTTTTCAGACTGGAATACGCATAAAACCTTTTAATTTTGATAAATCTGGATTGATAATTTTTGCCCGATTAAAATAAGTCCTCTATACTTCGGATGTGATGAAGGACTGAGGTGTAATACGGTGAAAATAGTTAAAATTTCAAGTGATTTTTGTGCACGATTACAATACTTTCTCTATACTTCGTATATACGAGAAAGTAAAAAGACTCGAGTTCAAACCCTCTGGCAGATACAGCTCGATCTCTCCCAACACTAAAAATTAAGAACGAAGAAGAAGAAGAAGCGACAACAATAAACAATGCAACATAAATAAACAGAAAATCATCAGCAACATAAATAAGCAACATTAGCAAAATAAATAAACAATCAACATTAGCAACAACAATAAACAATCAACATTAGCAACAACAATAAACAAGCAGCATTAGCAACAACAATAAACACGCAGCATTAGCAACACTTACTTTATTAGTCTATCTGATATGTTCCCACTTTGTTAGCCTATAGGCTATATTCCCCCTAACCCTAACCCACTTACTTTGTTAGCCTATAGGCTATATCCCCCCTAACCCACTTACTTTGTTAGCCTATAGGATGTCCCCACTTACTTTGTTAGCCTATAGGCTATGTTCCCCCCCCCCCTAACCCTAACCCACTTACTTTGTTAGCCTATAGGAACCGTCCCTAGATGAACCGGACTGGTCGTCTATCTTCAATGTCTGAAGTTGTTTGCCCAGAGCCGTTTGGGCCACCATGTTGGCTGATGAATACGTTAAACAGAAACACATCATGGCGATTAAATAGACTCAAAACAATGGGATTTTACTGTTTTGGAATGATGGGAATTTTTATTATTGTATTTATTCTGTATGGTGTCATGCTTTTTAGGGTCTTACCGTAGTCGATGCCAGCTTTGGTCAGTCTTAGCTTGGCGCCTGCCCCCCGTGACGTCACGTGATGGACAGCCAACCAGACGATACCGAGGATGACCAAAATTTTCAACTGACCGGATCTCTTCTCCATTGCCTCTAGGCAGTCGGCGGATTAACCGACGTTGACACGATATATAGAACTATTAAAAGTAAAGATGACGATACCAACTTTTTGGTATAGGGAAAGGATCAATTTACATCAACACGCAAAGAGTTATTTAACCTCTAGCACATGTGGAGATACATCTGTACTACACCCAGTGCCTTTTTAATTTAAATGAAAACTGTGCTTAAATTAAACTGAGTGTAATAAAAACGGTTTCAAATTTAACCCGCTTCTAATTAAACATGCTTATAATTAAACTACTTCTAATTAAAATAGTATCTAATAAAAACGTTGATGGTATACTCACCTACAAGCAGACAGACTTGATTACTTTCATGCTACAAAGATAAAGTATTGGCAGACTGTAGGCCTAGTCACAGTTTAGAAACTGGAGGTTCAAACAAAACATTTCAACTTCTGCTGTAACATTTTGAACTGTTGGTTACTCTCCACTCGGTAGTGTGGGCTGATGATTTACATTGTACTCTGTAAGTGGAGTACATGTGGGTCATCACACCACACGTGGGTCATCACACCACATCACATTATTCTGTTTCTTTAAACTTGCGTCATAGTTTAACGGTGTTCATCACTCTTTAAAAAAATTCTTAATGATGCCCCTCCCCAACATAGTTCCAGCGTCCCCAGGGGTTAATATCACCTAGTTTGGGAACCCCTGGGTTGTGTAAAAGTTTAACTTAGAACAGTACTGAACGGAGGGGGAGTTAACACTACAGATATCAGTGGCATATTTAATAAGAGGCGCCGAACGTGAGTTGTTTTTTTATGTCACGGTCAATTGGTGAGTCATGGGAAATGTTATCCACTATTACACCCACCCTCTTCACTCATTCTATCCTCCTCCCCCCCCCCCACATACATTACCCCCACCCTCTCCACCCATGCACATCACCCCCTCCCCTGTTGCCCAGAAAAGAGATCTAATGTTACAAAATGTGAAATCCACTCAGAAAATAGATGAATATCAATTTTTTAAATTTTAATTATATCTGATAGCAAATGAGATTTACAAAACATGAACACCCCAAGATTAGGACTGAACGTAAAACAAAGTTGTTTCTTGATCTACACTTAACGTTACAGTGGAAAAGATGTCCAAAGGAGACGACTAAAATTTGTTTTCTTTTTCCTTTTTTTTTTAATTTTTTTTAATTTTTTTTTTTTGTTCTTTTAAAAAAAAAAGCAAATTAGCTTCGGTTTCATTATTTTTTGTAATTTTATAGCCTCGTTATCTATGTTTCTTGTCTTCATTCTCGTCCTGAAGTTGTATTTCTCTGTTTGCTGTGTAGAGTGAAACATGAACTGTAGTAAGCTGTATGCTAATTTCTGTGGTCGTTGTTTTAATTTACACATTTTTTTTTGCTACTGTGGTAAAAATCGACATTATTTTGAAAAAAATCTGTACAAAGCAAATTTGATTAGATTACTTCATTCAATTACTTCAGTAGTGCTAAAAATCACATAATAATAACTAGAATGGCGCGACAACTACGCGAGCAATTCTCAGCGAAAAGGCACCAGCAAAGAAAATTTTTAAAATTTCAAACTTCTACCGTCTTGAATAGGAACTCTTCTTGATAGCTGGGGACAGTCACTCATCTAGGAGAGACAACTCAAAAAATTCATAAAGTGCTGCCTTGTTTACTCTTGGTTGGACAAACGCTATGGAAGCATATCGGCGTCAACGGCCTATATAGCGCATATTAGTTTTAGTAAGGTGTCCGCATAACAAGTTGATACGTAATACAGGCAAGAAGAGGGAGAACTTTGTATTGAAAGTATAAAAATGTAGTTTTTAAAGGTATATTTTAATATAAAATTGCTTGCTAACTTTTTTCTGGATTTTAAAATTATTACTATTATTATTATTATTGTTATTATTATTATTATTATTATTATTATTATTATTATTATTATTATTATTATTATTATTATTATTATTATTATTATTATTATTATTATTATTATTATTATTATTATTATTATTATTATTATTATTATTGTTTATGTTGTTATTAACAGGTTTTTTTTTAAATTCTGGTAGATGTTTCCAACACCATTCATCGCAGAGAATGCCAACACCTTCAACATGCGTGTCATCCAAATGTACAACACATTTTTACAACAAAGTCTGATACAGTTAATTCAACAAAAGCCCCAACATGAGTTGAATGTTTTATTGAGTGATGACGAAAGTGGTTGACTTTTGATCATAGATCTTGCTGTGGGGGTGCTTGCTACCACACTCTCCGTTACACAGTTCTGGGGACAGGAAATTTTTAAAAAATCAGTGAAATACCACCCACACTGTAGAGGGCATAGTTTCTTCCAGGCATCTATGGAGCCCCCCCCCCCCCCCGAAGAAAGTCTACCGCCCCCCCCCCCCCCCCCCCCCCCCCCCTCCCCCGAACGAAATGAAATTAATATAGAAAATATATACTTTTAACTTTTGAGAAATATGAAGTGACTGCCATAATCAAGTTTTAGAATATATTTTTTACAATGCAAATGTGTGTAACTTCCCCCCCCCCCCCCACCCTTTATTACCCCCAACCTAGTCAAAAATTGTCACAATTTTTACTTATTTATTTATTTTGCAATAAACTACTACAGTGGATCTCAAATTGTCACAATTTGTTTTTTGCTATAGGCTACTACAGTGGATCTCAAATTGTCACAATTTTTTTTTGCTATAGACTACTACAGTGGATCTCAAATTGTTTCATTTTTTTTCTTGCTATCGACTACTACAGTGGATCTCAAATTGTTTCATTTTTTTTCTTGCTATCGACTACTACAGTGGATCTCAAATTGTTTCATTTTTTTTCTTGCTATCGACTACTACAGTGGATCTCAAATTGTTTCATTTTTTTTTCTTGCTATAGACTACTACAGTGGATCTCAAATTGTGAAATCTTTGGAGTCTGTACTCACGGACTGTAGCGGTGTAGGTTCCTGGCAGCCATTCCTCACAGAAGTCTTGGGTGGGGTCACAGTCAGGGTCGGGCTCAGCGTCCAGGTCAATGACCGGGGCGTAGTTGCCTGGCTGCTGTGGCTCCTGAAGGAATGACCCTTCTGCAATGTCCAGCAGGAATACACACAATTTACCTCATCTTTCAACATATCGTTAAAACTATTACTGAACTTCTAGCTTAAAGTTTAAATTTTGAAATTTATTTTAAAATGTAGAAACGTAGGAAATAAATTAAAACCAGAGTGTCAGAAGATTGTTTAACTAAAAAAAAAACATGACTGACCAACTGGGATTTGATCCACGGTTTGGACAAAGAGGTATAGCTCTCCAGTGCCGGTGCCGTTTCTTGATGTGTATTGAAGATTAATTGTTTTCTTTCCTAAAGAGGAGGAAAACTTTTTAATAAATCATCAAAACATAATTAGACGTAAGGTAAACATCTATTCAAATATAGTGAGCTTATTTCGTTTGAAATGTTAAACTTTTCAAATTAAACGTTGGATTAAAAATGTCAGGAACAAAACTTTGTCAAGGACTGATAAGGGGTTTTAGCATGATGGAATTAAAGATGCCATCGACAGCTTTGTTTATCAAAATATAATTGAATCACACGTGTAACTAAGATCTCATCAACTCACCTGTATAACAAATGTGTCAACTCATTTGTATAACAAAGGTGTAACGGAATTACCTGCATTACAAAGGTGTTATTGACTCACCTGCATGACAAACATGTCACAACTCATCTGAATAACAAAGATGGCATCAACTTGCCTTTATAATAAAGTTCTCATCTACTCACCTGGATAATAGAGGTGTGATCTACTCACCTATATACAAAGGTGTCATCAACTTACCTGTACAACAAAGGTGTCATCAACTCACCTGTACAACAAAGGTGTCATAGACTCACCTTGTGGTCCACTGCTTGGCACGACGGTGAATCCTGTAATGGTGGCATCACCACCATCAAAGACAGGACATGACTTCAGAAGTTCACACAGGTAGATGGGGTCAAGGTCAGCCCTGGGGTCACAGTGACATATATCGAAACAATCAAAGCATGAAAAACGGATCTAAAAGTTAATAAAATAATCGAACACGTTTATCACACATTTTTGAACGGCAGTCCAGCTTTTGTTAGCTACATTTGTGATGGTGCTAGGTGAAGTAGAGCTCATCTGGTTTTGTGATTTTGGCACATAAACGAATCATTCGTTCACCCTTATGTCTGTCCTTACTCCTCAGTTATTCGTGCACAATACTCATGAGGCAGATGAAGTAGTGTTCATCTGATTCATTGACCTCGGCATATGAAGAGATAGTGTGGTCAGCACTTTGCCCAGCTGCCTTTATTTCCCTAACGTAAGTTAGGTACTGCTTTGAGCCCGAATTCGAACTCGGGACTCTCGGGTTCGCAGTCTAGCTCTTTACCGCTAGGCCAAGCCGTCCCCTTATAAAATCCTACTAGAACTGAAATGTAGTTATAAAATCTCACCACAACTGAAATGTAGCTATAAAAAACCACTATAACTCAATTGTAACTATAAAATATCACTAGAACTAAAATATAGCTATGAAAAAACTCACTTTTCGATTAGGTTGACAAACTCCTTGACGCCCTCCACGTCACAAAGAATGTTGCAGACGGCACCAAGGATTTGACTTCCGGTTTTCTCCGCCAGAACATTGCACAGATCAGCGCACGTGCCTATGACGCCCATGTCTGAGAGGAGAGAGAATCACGTGATCTTTACACTTAGGCTCGTGTAATACTTTGTGTTTGACTTAGATGCGTAATGTGGTCTCATTTTAATATTTTTTATAACTTTATTGCTTAAATAAACGCAAAATCCATAAAGATTTGTTTTTTAGTTTTAAAAAGATTAAATTAATCCCCAGCTACACAGTCTAATCTAGATTACCACACCAGAAAATTTTCTTCAGAAATTAAGCTAGATTCACACACCCAACTATTTGTTTCGGAGATTTTAAGCTATTTTCGCAAAAAACTTTACATAACATAAGCTAATTTATCCCAGCTATTAACTTACTTAGCATAATGTTAAGCTATATTCTCACAGCCAACAACTTATTCGTATATTACAAAGCTAGTTTCTCACAGCGAACAACCTACTTCAGAAGCTACTAAGCTAGCTTCTCAGCCAACAACGAATTTTAGAAGCTACTAAGCTACTTTCTCACAGCCAACAATGTATTTCAGAAGTTACTAAGCTAGCTTCTCAAGGCAAACAACTTCTTCAGATATTATTAAGCTAGCTTCTCACTGGCAACAACTTACTTAGAATGATGTTGAGCAGTTCGTTGATGGCCTGACCAGAGAAATCGATGCATGTCTTGCACCAGTCGACCCCCACTGGTTGTACACCCAGCACCCTCAGACCCCTGTAGTTTTTCTGACCAATGGGGGACAGTCCTGAGGTCAGGACCACCGCGGACAGTAACGTGGACAAGACCTGAATCTAAAAATAGACGTGAAAATAAAAAGTTCTGAGTTTCAAAAGGTTTATAAACAAAACAAACAAGGAGTAAATAACATTACATTGTTTCTATTATTTTAAAATAAAAATACACATTAGTCTAATTTAAATTAAATTATATAAATGCATAAGCTGTAGAAAAAATAAACTTGAGCGTCTGGATAAAAAAAAATATTTTAAAATCTAAATTTTAATGAGTGAAGTATTGGACCATTTCCAAATCAAATGTACGTTCCAACAACAAAATTATAAAGGCTACATTTCGTAAAATGGAAATTTAGGGGCACCTTTGTTCTAATTTCTCACCATCCACTATTATATCTGTCTTGAGCAGGTTCCAAATTCCCAAACTTTATTGTAATGGATTAAGCCTTTACAAAACAGAATTAAGTCTAAAATAGCTTGATATTCTTCTTAAAGATTGATTTATTTTCTCGCGGTGCTATTTTGTTTCGTTTAACAGCTTGAGATATTGATCTAATGAAATCACCAGCCGTTTTTTTTTTTTGTCTTTGTGCTTGACCCAGCAATGGGATTCTACACTTGTTAATGTCAAGGTATTAGGCATACAGCAGCTCGACACCACAATAAAGTAGTACTGTAGCGTGACGTCGCAATAAAGTATAACTGACTATTGCGTGACGCCGCTATAAAGTAGTTCTGTAATGTGACGCCCGTATAAAGAAGTACTGTACGCTGACGCAAATGTTGATCTCATCAAACAATTTTTACTGACGCAATTTTCCATGGAGCAGTTTACCTACATGTCATAAGCTCTGTCGTTGTTGAGGTGTATGTATAAGCATGACTTAACCTGTACCTGTTGGACTATTGACTTAATAAATCCGATAACTAGTTCAGTACTCTTTTTTAAAACTGCAATTTCTCTTGCGAAGCCATATCTAATTATTTAAAACCAATCGCGCATATTGAAAGCTATTACAAATATCAAACGATTGCGAAAAGCGAAGAGAATCTCAGACTAATCAAATATTTCTTACGTAGTTCATCTTGGCGGTGTCTCCGTCCAGATTTCTGTACAGTTAAGATCTGAATCTCTCAGCTAAGTTCAGTTATAACGTGGCCAGTGTGGGAACTTGCCAGATTGGCAACATTTGTGTTACGACAGATAATGGATAGATAAGAAATCAGTGCTGCTAGTTGCAACTTTTTTTCAATCTAATTGGGTTTTTTGTTTTATTTTTCGCCTTGAACTTGAGGGTTTTAAAGCTGCTAGATACTAAAAATTGTTTCAGAAAGAGGACGCGATGAATGGCTATGGGCATCTTGACAACTTCGCTGTTGACAAAGATTGTTTCAACTCATCTATTACACCACCTGTCTTATGATGCCACTGTTGAGAACAACAATCAAACAAATAAATAAAACACAATCTAATAAACAAGGGACGCCGTTAGCATAAGCCCATTTCATAGACACCTGTGTGTGTAATTATTAAAAGTATTGTCGCATAATTTTGTAGCAATTAACCTGCATTCTCATCAACTGGTGAAGCTATGTTTGAGCTAATTTGTACAGAAATATGCTTGGATTAAATGCTTTGAAGAAACAGAAAAAATAAATTCGAATAAGAAAAAAGGCTTTAGCTGCCCTGTGTAAAATTGAACACCAACTAATGACAAAAACTGGACTATTTTCGTTACTTCAAAATATTTCAAAACATTTCAATTATTCCATGCAAAGTTGTATTTAAATAGGACGATTGCGGCTATTTCAAAACATTTTAAAACCACGCTAATGGTTCATTTAATACTCTGCTGAATGCTAAAATACAGATCTTGGCAAAAGCCTGGAAAGTCTTTGCTCGATAGCACTGAAACTTATGGCATTGCACAACTTGGATATTTGTTATTTTATATAATAAAGTATAGATAAAGTATAGATATATGTAATGCAAAAACTTAGGCCCAAATAAAAATGACAAAACATTATCTTATTTCTTTTGTTTGTTTGATGCGATGATGCTTTTTTTTTTTCAATTATGTACTCTTAGAATAAATATTTTAACCCTATTTTTTGCAATACAGAAATAGAATCAAAGACGGAAAAAACGTTCCGTTTTGTAATCGAAAAAGTTCAGATTATATGGGGTTAATAAATTGTTTGAAAATAGACCGAGGCGGGCAGCGTAGTGCTATCAATGTATTAATCATATTAAATTTGGAACAGTATTGTTATCAATGGAATAAATCAGCCAACGATTGTTTTGTTTTCTCAGGACCACAATGCACCGCGCCAGACCACAGGAAGTACAGGAACCAGGGGCCACCACGGAACAAAGGACGCGCTGATCAAAGCGATCCGGAGAACCGAACCCTGGAGTTAAATCAAATGCAAGTCTGGATAAAGCCGCCGATTCACATCAATAGAGAAGTTCAATGCGCTGGACACAAAGTCGCAGATTTTTTCGAGCAAAATATAAACGTATGTTGACATTTCATACCCGCTCCTTGCTGATGGCGCACAGAGAAACGGCACGACGTCTTGACTAATATTTTATACATTAATTTTATTACACAAACTTCTGGAAAAATTGTGTTAGGGTTTAGATTTTGTTTTATAAACGTCAGTTTTCTAATAAATCTAAATGTAGGGCCTAATTAATTTGATTGGGAGCTAAATTGCGCCATGATGAAATTCGTACACGGGAGCTCCTGCCTTCACGCTTCAATAGTTTTCTGTTTCACAGTTTGTTATTATGGTGAGTAAACATTTCATGCATTGATGTATTCACAAAGTTTAGAGGATCAACGTGATCTTTTTTAAACGGTAAGTTTTATGTACAACATAATGTACAGAGTTTCTTCCAGACTTTTTTCTCCGGAGGGGGGGGGGGGGGCACTTGATATTTTCGGAGGGGGGGGGGGCGGTCAACATTTTTCGGGGGGGGGGGGGGCGGACACTAGTAAAAGTGTATGTTTACTATATAAAATCCATCTCGTTCGGGGGGGGGGGGGCAGTAGACTTTCTTCGCGAAGAGATGCCTGGAAGAAACTCTGATAATGTACAACACTACTCGGAACCCTACCCGAACACATAATCTATATCTAACTCTCTAAACGAACCCTTATCTTTAACCCAACTCTCGCCAATTACTTATCAGCACTACTTCCAGTAACCTCTCCCACTAACCTCTTCCACTAACTCTCCCACTAACCTCTCCCACTAACCTCTCCCACTAACCTCTTCCACTAACTCTCCCACTGACCTCTCCCACTAACCTCTTCAACCTCTCCCACTAACCTCTCCCATTAACCTCTCCCACTAACCTCTCCCACTAACCTCTCCCACTAACCTCTCCCACTAACCTCTCCCACTAACCTCTCCCACTAACCTCTCCCACTAACCTCTCCCACTAACCTCTCCCACTAACCTCTCCCACTAACCTCTCCCACTAACCTCTCCCACTAACCTCTCCCACTAACCTCTCCCACTAACCTCTCCCACTAACCTCTCCCACTAACCTCTCCCACTAACCTCTCCCACTAACCTCTCCCACTAACCTCCCCCATGTCTCACGCAGGAAGTGTCCAGAGTGATAACCCCACGATGACCTACCTGTGGCCCCTGTCCCAGAAGACGGTAGCCTTTGAGATGGTACGTAACCAGGACGCCAAGAAGCCAAAGAAAGGATCCTGTCCGCTTCTTGGCGTGAGTAACATTCATTTTTACTTTCTCGTATATACGAAGTATAGAGAAAGTCTTGTAATCGTGCAAAAAAAAAATCGAGATTTTTACAAATCTCGACGTTTTACACCTCACTGATACGGAAAAACATAATTTTGCAATCTTGTCCGTATGTCTGTGTGTCTGTGTGTCTGTCTGTCTGTCTGTCCGTGTGTAAACACGATAACTTGAGTACCGTTACAGCTAGGTTGATGAAATTTCATATATAAGTATTTTATCAAAATCGTAGATCCGTATCAACTTTTGAGCGATTTCCGATAACCGGAAGTGGTACTTTTCCTACTTTGAATTTTTCAAAAGCCTATAACTTGAGTACTATTTCAGATAGATAAATGAAATTTCACATGTAAGTAAAAGATCTAATATTCTCTACCTTCTGTTAAATTTTGAGTAATTTCCGTTGACTGGAAGTAGTAATTTACGCTACTTCCCATTTCTCAAAAAACTAATGTAAATTTTTAAAGTACTAATAATATTGCGCACTATTATACGCTTTTTTATTTGGCGTTCACTTTGTGTGCAATTAATCTGTCTACGAGATTTTATTCTATTTTTAAAACTTTAAGTATTTAAAATGGATTAAAAATCATGTCTATAGCCCGAGTTCCCATCCCCTGTTATTTTATATAAGAATATTCGAGAAAGTTTAGGGGAGATCACTCCCGGTTTATTTTACCTTTACAACCACGAACATTCTCATGAAGATCTTACACGTCCACAAGCAAATAATTATTTTGATTATTTAACACAAACTTAAGTAAACTTAACTAGCCAAGTTTGCATGCGAACTTCCTGTTGAAATACTAAGTTTTCATTTTTAGTGTATTCATCAGCCAGATATAAAAAAAAAACATTTTGTGTAATGGGCTCAAAAATTTCCATCCTAATTAAACATTTTTGACAAATTTAGATATTTAATCGCTTACAAATAAAGTGAAATAAAAGTGAAATAGATAAACTTCAAATAAAACCAGCATTAAAATCATTGAATCGCCTGTTTCAGACAGCCACAAACTATGACAAACAAAATGGTACACTAAGATCTAATACTGCAAACGGGGCCCCTAAACCCTAAAACAGTCATTGAATCTTACATTCACATATTTGATACGGGACCCCCAACCAAACAAAGATTGTACTTTAAGATCCCCTGTTTCAGAAGGGGCCCCCAAATCAAACATTGTACCTAAAGATTCCTTTGTTTCAGACAGGGCCCCCCAAACAAAACAAAGATTGTACCTTAAGATCCCCTGTTTCAGACCCCCCCAAATCAAACAAAGATTGTACTCTAAGATCCCCTGTTTCAGGCGGGACCCCCCAAACCAAACAAAGATTGTACTCTAAGATCCCCTGTTTCAGGCGGGACCCCCCAAACCAAACAAAGATTGTACTCTAAGATCCCCTGTTTCAGGCGGGACCCCCCAAACCAAACAAAGATTGTACTCTAAGATCCCCTGTTTCAGGCGGGGCCCCCAAACCAAACAAAGATTGTACTCTAAGATCCCCTGTTTCAGGCGGGACCCCCCAAACCAAACAAAGATTGTACTCTAAGATCCCCTGTTTCAGGCGGGACCCCCCAAACCAAACAAAGATTGTACTTTAAGATCCCCTGTTTCAGAAGGGGCCCCCAAATCAAACATTGTACCTAAAGATTCCTTTGTTTCAGACAGGGCCCCCCAAACAAAACAAAGATTGTACCTTAAGATCCCCTGTTTCAGACCCCCCCAAATCAAACAAAGATTGTACTCTAAGATCCCCTGTTTCAGGCGGGACCCCCCAAACCAAACAAAGATTGTACTCTAAGATCCCCTGTTTCAGGCGGGACCCCCCAAACCAAACAAAGATTGTACTCTAAGATCCCCTGTTTCAGGCGGGACCCCCCAAACCAAACAAAGATTGTACTCTAAGATCCCCTGTTTCAGGCGGGGCCCCCAAACCAAACAAAGATTGTACTCTAAGATCCCCTGTTTCAGGCGGGACCCCCCAAACCAAACAAAGATTGTACTCTAAGATCCCCTGTTTCAGGCGGGACCCCCCAAACCAAACAAAGATTGTACTCTAAGATCCCCTGTTTCAGACCCCCCCAAACCAAACAAAGATTGTACTCTAAGACCCCCTGTTTCAGGCGGGACCCCCCAAACCAAACAAAGATTGTACTCTAAGATCCCCTGTTTCAGGCGGGACCCCCCAAACCAAACAAAGATTGTACTCTAAGATCCCCTGTTTCAGGCGGGGCCCCCAAACCAAACAAAGATTGTACTCTAAGATCCCCTGTTTCAGGCGGGACCCCCCAAACCAAACAAAGATTGTACTCTAAGATCCCCTGTTTCAGGCGGGACCCCCCAAACCAAACAAAGATTGTACTCTAAGATCCCCTGTTTCAGGCGGGGCCCCCAAACCAAACAAAGATTATACTCTAAGACCCCCTGTTTCAGGCGGGACCCCCCAAACCAAACAAAGATTGTACTCTAAGATCCCCTGTTTCAGGCGGGACCCCCCAAACCAAACAAAGATTGTACTCTAAGACCCCCTGTTTCAGGCGGAGCCCCCAAACCAAACAAAGATTGTACTCTAAGACCCCCTGTTTCAGGCGGGACCCCCCAAACCAAACAAAGATTGTACTCTAAGATCCCCTGTTTCAGGCGGGACCCCCCAAACCAAACAAAGATTGTACTCTAAGACCCCCTGTTTCAGGCGGAGCCCCCAAACCAAACAAAGATTGTACTCTAAGATCCCCTGTTTTAGGCGGGACCCCCCCAAACCAAACAAAGATTGTACTCTAAGATCCCCTGTTTCAGGCGGGACCCCCCAAACCAAACAAAGATTGTACTCTAAGATCCCCTGTTTCAGGCGGGACCCCCCAAACCAAACAAAGATTGTACTCTAAGACCCCCTGTTTCAGGCGGAGCCCCCAAACCAAACAAAGATTGTACTCTAAGATCCCCTGTTTTAGGCGGGACCCCCCAAACCAAACAAATATTGTACTCTAAGATCCCCTGTTTCAGGCGGGACCCCCCAAACCAAACAAAGATTGTACTCTAAGATCCCCTGTTTCAGGCGGGGCCCCCCAAACCAAACAAAGATTGTACTCTAAGATCCCCTGTTTCAGGCGGGACCCCCCAAACCAAACAAAGATTGTACTCTAAGGTCCCCTGTTTCAGGCTGGGCCCCCAAACCAAACAAAGATTGTACTCTAAGATCCCCTGTTTCAGGCGGGTCCCCCAGAGCTGGGCTACAACGTGATGGTGTTTGACAGCGACAGCCAGAACTTTGCCAATATGGACATGAACTGCTGCGACCTGTGGGACGACATGGGGCTGGTCTTCTACCTGTACCCCTACAGTCTGGACGGTGTGGTCATCGAATATCTGGCCGACAAAAAGTTGCCAGGTAGGTCCTGGTCTATGGCAAATGCCCGGAAGACGCTTGCCCTAATGCCGTTTGCTCGAAGGCAGTATTCCTGAATTAACGTTAGCCGGAATGGACGTTTGCCGGAATGGACATTTGCCGGAATGCAGTGTTTCTTCCAGACTTTTTTCTCCGGGGGGGGGGGGCACTTGGAATTTTCGGGGGGGGCGGTAGACTTTCTTCGGGGGGGGGGGGGCGGACTCTGTTAAAAGTATATATTTTCTATATAAATTATATAAAATTTCATTTCGTTCGGGGGGGGGGGCGGTAAATTTTTTTCGGGGGGAGCTCCCCCGAAGAGATGCCTGGAAGAAACTCTGCCGGAATGCGACAAACGCCAGAAACGACCATCGGGCAAGTATCTTTCGGGTATTTGTCTCACTCAGGAAAACGTTCATTTGGAAGTTTGTTTCATTCGGCATAACGTCATTCCAGACATTTGTCAAATACGGGCAAACGTCCATTCTGGAAAACGGCTTTCGGACAATCGGCTTTCGGACAATCGGCCTTCGGACAAACGGCCTTCAGGCAAGTGTCTTTCGGGCCAACATCCGGCTCCTCACGTAGGTACGCTATGTTTGACAGCAGGGTAATAGAGAGGTAGTAGAGAGGTAATAGAGAGGTAGTAGAGAGGTAATAGAGAGGTAGTAGAGAGGTAATAGAGAGGTAGTAGAGAGGTAATAGAGAGGTAATAGAGAGGTAGTAGAGAGGTAATAGAGAGGTAATAGAGAGGTAATAGAGAGGTAATAGAGAGGTAATAGAGAGGTAATAGAGAGGTAGTAGAGAGGTAATAGAGAGGTAATAGAGAGGTAGTAGAGAGGTAATAGAGAGGTAATAGAGAGGTAATAGAGAGGTAATAGAGAGGTAATAGAGAGGTAATAGAAGTTAATAGAGAAGTAATAGAGAGGTAATCAAGAGGTAATAGAGCGATAATAGAGAGGTAATAGAAGTTAATAGAGAAGTAATAGAGAGGTAATCAAGAGGTAATAGAGAGGTAATGGGGCAGTCCCTTTATTTTAAAGTTACAAATGTTACAGCTAGAAATATATATTGGTTTAAGGTTTGGACAAAGTTTGTGGTTGACGTGAGGTCCCAGTAAATGAGTAAGTAGTTGAATGAAATGCCTGGCAAAAATAACTTAGATGCAGCCCTAACAGCTAAAAAGAAATTAGGATCTCAAAAAACTTTATCAGCTCATGCATTAAGTCTTTATCAAAATCTGAGTAAACACAATACATCGAGTGGAACTTAGTAGAATTAGATAACGCTCCCATTAGACTTCTATTGTTTTACTTTCCCTGGCCACTCCGGTTGACTTCAAGGAGGGGTTTAGGGCGGTTGTTTTTTTCAATATTTGAATTGATAAACTAATTCAAAATGAGTGTGATCGATGGTTCCCAAACAGCTTTAATTTTCTGCAAATGTAACCATAGTTTTATCGCTTGCCATATTTTTACAAAGTTTGGTGGCTTGTTTTCAGAGTTTACACCCCCCCCCCCCCGAACGAGATGGATTTTATATAGTAAACATACACTTTTACTAGTGTCCGCCCCCCGCCGAAAAATGTTGATCGCCCCCCACACCCCCCGAAAATTTCAAGTACCCCCCCCCCCCCCCCGGAGAAAAAAGTCTGGAAGAAACACTGCTTGTTTTGTGGTTAATTTTGTGGTTTAGTTAATAGTTTGTTTCATGGCTTAGTTAGTAGTTTAATTGGTTGTTTGGTAGGTGGTATAGTTGATAGTTTAATTTGGTAATTTAATTGTGGTTAAGTTGGTGGTTTAGTTGGTAGTTTGGTTAGTGGATAAACTGGTGGTTTGCTTGGTGGTTTAGTGAGACTGGTAAGCCATTTCCAACAAATAAGACAGGTAAGACCAGACACCAGATGTCCCATTGTGTACTGACCAGATGTCACATTGTGTACTGACCAGTTGTACATTGTGTACTGACCAGATGTCCCATTGTGTACTGACCAGATGTCCCATTATGTACTGACCAGATGTCCCACTGTGTACTGACCAGATGTCCCATTGTGTACTGACCAGATGTCCTATTGTGTACTGACCAGATGTCCCATTGTGTACTGACCAGATGTCCCATTGTGTACTGACCAGCTGTCCCATTGTGTACTGACCAGATGTCCCATTGTGTACTGACCAGATGTCCCATTGTGTACTGACCAGATGTCCCATTGTGTACTGACCAGATGTCCCATTGTGTACTGACCAGCTGTCCCATTGTGTACTGACCAGATGTCCCATTGTGTACTGACCAGATGTCCCATTGTGTACTGACCAGATGTCCCATTGTGTACTGACCAGTTGTACATTGTGTACTGACCAGATGTCCCATTGTGTACTGACCAGATGTCCCATTGTGTACTGACCAGATGTCCCATTGTGTACTGACCAGATGTCCCATTGTGTACTGACCAGATGTCCCATTGTGTACTGACCAATTGTACATTGTGTACTGACCAGTTGTACATTGTGTACTGACCAGATGTCCCATTGTATACTGACCAGATGTCCCATTGTGTACTGACCAGATGTCCCATTATGTACTGCCCAGCTGTCCCATTGTGTACTGACCAGATGTCCCATTGTGTACTGACCAGTTGTACATTGTGTACTGACCAGATGTCCCATTGTGTACTGACCAGATGTCCCATTGTGTACTGACCAATTGTACATTGTGTACTGACCAGTTGTACATTGTGTACTGACCAGATGTCCCATTGTGTACTGACCAGATGTCCCATTGTGTACTGACCAGCTGTCCCATTGTGTACTGACCAGATGTCCCATTGTGTACTGACCAGATGTCCCATTGTGTACTGACCAGATGTCCCATTGTGTACTGACCAGATGTCCCATTATGTACTGCCCAGCTGTCCCATTGTGTACTGACCAGATGTCCCATTGTGTACTGACCAGATGCCCATTGTGTACTGACCAGATGTCCATTGTGTACTGACTAGTTGTACATTGTGTACTGACCAGATGTCCCATTATGTACTGACCAGCTGTCCCATTGTGTACTGACCAGTTGTACATTGTGTACTGACCAGATGTCCCATTGTGTACTGACCAGATGTCCCATTGTGTACTGACCAGATGTCCCATTATGTACTGCCCAGCTGTCCCATTGTGTACTGACCAGATGTCCCATCGTGTACTGACCAGATGTCCCATTGTGTACTGACCAGATGTCCCATTGTGTACTGACCAGATGTCCCATTGTGTACTGACCAGTTGTACATTGTGTACTGACCAGATGTCCCATTATGTACTGACCAGATGTCCCATTGTGTACTGACCAGATGTCCCATTATGTACTGCCCAGCTGTCCCATTGTGTACTGACCAGATGTCCCATCGTGTACTGACCAGATGTCCCATTGTGTACTGACCAGATGTCCCATTGTGTACTGACCAGCTGTCCCATTGTGTACTGACCAGTTGTACATTGTGTACTGACCAGATGTCCAATTGTGTACTGACCAGTTGTACATTGTGTACTGACCAGATGTCCCATTGTGTACTGACCAGATGTCCCATTGTGTACTGACCAGCTGTCCCATTGTGTACTGACCAGATGTCCCATTGTGTACTGACCAGATGTCCATTGTGTACTGAACAGTTGTACATTGTGTACTGACCAGTTGTACATTGTGTACTGACCAGATGTCCATTGTGTACTGACCAGTTGTACATTGTGTACTGACCAGTTGTACATTGTGTACTGACCAGATGTCCCATTGTGTACTGACCAGATGTCCCATTATGTACTGCCCAGCTGTCCCATTGTGTACTGACCAGATGTCCCATCGTGTACTGACCAGATGTCCCATTGTGTACTGACCAGATGTCCCATTGTGTACTGACCAGCTGTCCCATTGTGTACTGACCAGTTGTACATTGTGTACTGACCAGATGTCCCATTGTGTACTGACCTGTCGATTGTGTACTGACCAGATGTCTCATTGTGTACTGACCAGATGTCCCATTGTGTACTGACCAGTTGTACATTGTGTACTGACCAGATGTCCCATTGTGTACTGACCAGATGTCCCATTATGTACTGCCCAGCTGTCCCATTGTGTACTGACCAGATGTCCCATCGTGTACTGACCAGATGTCCCATTGTGTACTGACCAGATGTCCCATTGTGTACTGACCAGCTGTCCCATTGTGTACTGACCAGTTGTACATTGTGTACTGACCAGATGTCCCATTGTGTACTGACCAGTTGTACATTGTGTACTGACCAGATGTCCCATTGTGTACTGACCAGATGTCCCATTGTGTACTGACCAGCTGTCCCATTGTGTACTGACCAGATGTCCCATTGTGTACTGACCAGTTGTACATTGTGTACTGACCAGTTGTACATTGTGTACTGACCAGATGTCCCATTATGTACTGACCAGATGTCCCATTGTGTACTGACCAGATGTCCCATTGTGTACTGACCAGTTGTACATTGTGTACTGACCAGTTGTACATTGTGTACTGACCAGATGTCCCATTGTGTACTGACCAGTTGTACATTGTGTACTGACCAGTTGTACATTGTGTACTGACCAGATGTCCCATTGTGTACTGACCAGTTGTCCCATTGTGTACTGACCAGATGTCCCATTGTGTACTGACCAGATGTCCCATTGTGTACCGACCAGATGTCCCATTGTGTACTGACCAGTTGTACATTGTGTACTGACCAGTTGTACATTGTGTACTGACCAGATGTCCCATTGTGTACTGACCAGTTGTACATTGTGTACTGACCAGATGTCCCATTGTGTACTGACCAGATGTCCCATTGTGTACTGACCAGATGTCCCATTGTGTGCTGACCTGTCCATTGTGTACTGACCAGATGTCCCATTGTGTACTGACCAGATGTCCCATTGTGTACTGACCAGATGTCCCATTGAGTACTGACCAGATGTCCTATTGTGTACTGACCAGATGTCCCATTGTGTACTGACCAGATGTCCCATTGTGTACTGACCAGATGTCCCATTGTGTACTGACCAGATGTCCCATTGTGTACTGACCAGATGTCCATTGTGTACTGACCAGATGTCCCATTGTGTACTGACCAGATGTCCCATTGTGTACTGACCAGTTGTACATTGTGTACTGACCAGATGTCCCATTGTGTACTGACCAGATGTCCCATTGTGTACTGACCAGATGTCCCATTGTGTACTGATCAGTTGTACATTGTGTACTGACCAGTTGTACATTGTGTACTGACCAGATGTCCCATTGTGTACTGACCAGTTGTACATTGTGTACTGACCAGTTGTACATTGTGTACTGACCAGATGTCCCATTGTGTACTGACCAGATGTCCCATTGTGTACTGACCAGATGTCCCATTGTGTACTGACCAAATGTCCCATTGTGTACTGACCAGTTGTACATTGTGTACTGACCAGATGTCCCATTGTGTACTGACCAGATGTCCCATTGTGTACTGACCAGCTGTCCCATTGTGTACTGACCAGTTGTACATTGTGTACTGACCAGATGTCCCATTGTGTACTGACCAGATGTCCCATTGTGTACTGACCAGCTGTCCCATTGTGTACTGACCAGATGTCCCATTGTGTACTGACCAGATGTCCATTGTGTACTGAACAGTTGTACATTGTGTACTGACCAGTTGTACATTGTGTACTGACCAGATGTCCATTGTGTACTGACCAGTTGTACATTGTGTACTGACCAGTTGTACATTGTGTACTGACCAGATGTCCCATTGTGTACTGACCAGATGTCCCATTATGTACTGCCCAGCTGTCCCATTGTGTACTGACCAGATGTCCCATCGTGTACTGACCAGATGTCCCATTGTGTACTGACCAGATGTCCCATTGTGTACTGACCAGCTGTCCCATTGTGTACTGACCAGTTGTACATTGTGTACTGACCAGATGTCCCATTGTGTACTGACCTGTCGATTGTGTACTGACCAGATGTCTCATTGTGTACTGACCAGATGTCCCATTGTGTACTGACCAGTTGTACATTGTGTACTGACCAGATGTCCCATTGTGTACTGACCAGATGTCCCATTATGTACTGCCCAGCTGTCCCATTGTGTACTGACCAGATGTCCCATCGTGTACTGACCAGATGTCCCATTGTGTACTGACCAGATGTCCCATTGTGTACTGACCAGCTGTCCCATTGTGTACTGACCAGTTGTACATTGTGTACTGACCAGATGTCCCATTGTGTACTGACCAGTTGTACATTGTGTACTGACCAGATGTCCCATTGTGTACTGACCAGATGTCCCATTGTGTACTGACCAGCTGTCCCATTGTGTACTGACCAGATGTCCCATTGTGTACTGACCAGTTGTACATTGTGTACTGACCAGTTGTACATTGTGTACTGACCAGATGTCCCATTATGTACTGACCAGATGTCCCATTGTGTACTGACCAGATGTCCCATTGTGTACTGACCAGTTGTACATTGTGTACTGACCAGTTGTACATTGTGTACTGACCAGATGTCCCATTGTGTACTGACCAGTTGTACATTGTGTACTGACCAGTTGTACATTGTGTACTGACCAGATGTCCCATTGTGTACTGACCAGTTGTCCCATTGTGTACTGACCAGATGTCCCATTGTGTACTGACCAGATGTCCCATTGTGTACCGACCAGATGTCCCATTGTGTACTGACCAGTTGTACATTGTGTACTGACCAGTTGTACATTGTGTACTGACCAGATGTCCCATTGTGTACTGACCAGTTGTACATTGTGTACTGACCAGATGTCCCATTGTGTACTGACCAGATGTCCCATTGTGTACTGACCAGATGTCCCATTGTGTGCTGACCTGTCCATTGTGTACTGACCAGATGTCCCATTGTGTACTGACCAGATGTCCCATTGTGTACTGACCAGATGTCCCATTGAGTACTGACCAGATGTCCTATTGTGTACTGACCAGATGTCCCATTGTGTACTGACCAGATGTCCCATTGTGTACTGACCAGATGTCCCATTGTGTACTGACCAGATGTCCCATTGTGTACTGACCAGATGTCCATTGTGTACTGACCAGATGTCCCATTGTGTACTGACCAGATGTCCCATTGTGTACTGACCAGTTGTACATTGTGTACTGACCAGATGTCCCATTGTGTACTGACCAGATGTCCCATTGTGTACTGACCAGATGTCCCATTGTGTACTGATCAGTTGTACATTGTGTACTGACCAGTTGTACATTGTGTACTGACCAGATGTCCCATTGTGTACTGACCAGTTGTACATTGTGTACTGACCAGTTGTACATTGTGTACTGACCAGATGTCCCATTGTGTACTGACCAGATGTCCCATTGTGTACTGACCAGATGTCCCATTGTGTACTGACCAAATGTCCCATTGTGTACTGACCAGTTGTACATTGTGTACTGACCAGATGTCCCATTGTGTACTGACCAGATGTCCCATTGTGTACTGACCAGATGTCCCATTGTGTACTGACCAGTTGTCCCATTGTGTACTGACCTGTCCATTGTGTACTGACCAGATGTCCCATTGTGTACTGACCAGATGTCCCATTGTGTACTGACCAGATGTCCCATTGTGTACTGACCAGATGTCCCATTGTGTACTGACCAGATGTCCCATTGTGTACTGACCAGTTGTACATTGTGTACTGACCAGTTGTACATTGTGTACTGACCAGATGTCCCATTGTGTACTGACCAGTTGTACATTGTGTACTGACCAGATGTCCCATTGTGTACTGACCAGATGTCCCATTGTGTACTGACCAGATGTCCCATTGTGTACTGACCAGATGTCCCATTGTGTACTGACCAGTTGTACATTGTGTACTGACCAGATGTCCCATTGTGTACTGACCAGATGTCCCATTGTGTACTGACCAGATGTCCCATTGTGTACTGACCAGTTGTACATTGTGTACTGACCAGTTGTACATTGTGTACTGACCAGATGTCCCATTGTGTACTGACCAGTTGTACATTGTGTACTGACCAGATGTCCCATTGTGTACTGACCAGATGTCCCATTGTGTACTGACCAGATGTCCCATTGTGTACTGACCAGATGTCCCATTGTGTACTGACCAGATGTCCCATTGTGTACTGACCAGATGTCCCATTGTGTACTGACCAGTTGTACATTGTGTACTGACCAGTTGTACATTGTGTACTGACCAGATGTACATTGTGTACTGACCAGTTGTACATTGTGTACTGACCTGCCCATTGTGTACTGACCAGTTGTACATTGTGTACTGACCAGATGTACATTGTGTACTGACCAGTTGTACATTGTGTACTGACCTGTCCATTGTGTACTGACCATATGTCCCATTGTGTACTGACCAGATGTCCCATTGTGTACTGACCTGTCCATTGTGTACTGACCAGATGTCCCATTGTGTACTGACCAGATGTCCCATTGTGTACTGACCAGATGTCCCATTGTGTACTGACCAGTTGTACATTGTGTACTGACCAGTTGTACATTGTGTACTGACCATGTGTCCCATTGTGTACTGACTAGATGTGGTACTCTCCATGACGGTGGAGCTGGTGGGCGGGAATGTGCGCGCGACTGTCCGGGACGACAAGAACGTCGAGGTCAATGTCCTGATGACCGGTGAGGTCCTGCAGGTCCACAGGTGGGCGGTGGTCATCTTGAGCCGGCAGAAAACTACCGGCGACATCATCATACAGGTGAACCAAACGGTGCAGGTGCTTCCAGCAGGTAGGTTGGTGGTAGCAGATATATTTAATGGTAATTTGTGGTAAGTGTGGTACATTGTGGCTTGTGGGTTTGGTGGTAAAATAGGCTTGGCATTAATTTGAGACAAATAGGCAGTCATTTGTATCAGTAAGGATTGGTGGTAATTTGATGAAGGTAGGCTTGGTAGTATTTTTGTGGCAATTAGGTTTGGTGGTAATTTGTGGTAAGTAGGCTTGGTGGTAATTTGATGAAGGTAGGTTTGGGTGTTAATTGTTTAGTGGAATGTTTTATATTTTAGTCATGTGAAAAGTGGTGGGTTGTTCATATTTCAATTATTTAAACATTTATGTTCATGTAATTTATATTCATCATAACGTTTCGAACACTAGCCTAAAATGTGTGCCACTATTTAAATTGTCCCTGTGACTAGATCTCATCAAATCCTTAGAAATGATTTTCGTTTATTCATGACCTACAATTCCCATTGATTCATGACCTACAATCCCCATTTATTCATGACCTACAATTCACATTTTATTTAGCTATAATGTGTATTCATACTAACTAAACTACAATTTACTTCTTCAATGATTCAATTTATTAAGCTAAATTTCGTATTTTATCAACTAACATCAACATAAATTTTCAAAGGCAATTATCTTTTCTCAGTCATGTACAATATCCATTTGCAATGAATTACAATCAAAATTTTCCATGACCTGCAATCCACATTTCCCACAATCTACATTTCCCATGATTTATAATCCACATTTCCTGTTACCTACAATCCACATGTCCCATGACCTACAATCCACATGTCCCATGACCTACAATCCACATGTCCCATGACCTAAAATTCCCATGTCCCATGACCTACAATTCCCATTTCCCATGCCAGCTTTCAGCAAAGCCAAACAGTTCAACTCCCGCGGTCAGGTCTACGTGTCCCATCCTTTGGCTGCCGGCAAGGTCAAATACCAAGGTCGCGTCTGCTGTCTGGCGTTCTTCAACGCTTTGGTACCAAAAAATATCGATCCACAGGTGGTTACAAGCTGGTTTACAGAGGCCCAGTGGCCCAACCCTGCCCCAAGTACGTGCTTGCTTTATTGTTATGTTTTAGGCAGAGCAACCTCAGTGGGCCAACCCTGCCCCAAGTACGTGGTTTATTGTTATGTTTTAGACATGGTTTTTAATTAGCGGCGTTTTTATGTTGACTAGACAATAACTAATGGTCGTTGGTATTTGATGTTCTTATGGTGACTAGACAATAACAAACGGTCGTTAGTGTTTGATGTTGTAATGGTGATTTAAAAAATACACGGTTGGCTCTGTTGCAGCGGTCAAGGCCAATTGTCCAGTTGGGGTCAACTACACCGGTCCACCCATCACAAAAATTTGGCCCCTCAACACGTCCAACTGCTCCAGCTTTGGATATGAAGTCATACAAGGTCTGCCCCCTATTGCTCCGCCCTATTTTACGGTAAGGGTGTTAAGTTTTAGGTATTATATAGTAGAGCGTGTCAAATTCTACGGTAGGGGCGTGTCAAATTTTACGTATTTTACAGTATGGCGTGTCAAATTTTACGTATTTACGGTAGGGGATGTCAAATGTTACAATAAAAACACGACCCTTGATCGTTTTAACCTTTGATCTTCGCACAACTTACTAAACTGTCCGTAGGACACCTGACACAGTAGCTGGTCTCATCTACGTGAAGCGTTTCAAGCTATTTGTAATTTAATGAACTTTTTAGAGTTTTACTTCATTGTAGTCTTATCTTTTGTTTTTGTTTTAGTATCTTGAATCCCCATTTTTAGAGTTCATATTTAAATTACATACATGTTGATATAAAAATAATTAATATACAATACATGTTGATATAAAAATAAATAATATACAATACATGCTGATATAAATAATATGATGAAACTTTCAAAGTAAGTATTTTGATAACTAATGCTATTGAAATCATTTGTTTATCAAGTGCTTGAGGTCCAAGGAGAACTGCGTCTTCACAGACAACCCAGTCGTTTACTTCGATGGGTCAGAGTTATCGTTCCTGAAAGCTGACTTCCCCGATCAGACGATGGCCGGAAACTTCACGGTCGCCATGTTTATCAAGCCCGATACCCCGATGGAGGGCGTTGTTTTGGATTATGTGGCTTCCCCGACAAACCTAGACGGAATCTCTCGGCTGACGCTAACCCTAAACGCCGGTTTAGTAAATCTGGAGATGAGAAATAAACTTGGTGAGCATGCAAGTCTGGGGTTTCTCTGATCTTCGGGAGGGCGGTATCGAATTTATTTTTATCGTATCGCTACTAATCACAATGGAACGCTCTTTACTCTTTACCTATTTCTATCAGTGATACTGGTAAATATAATCGTCCTCCTATGTAACGATATAACCCAATTGGAAGATATTGAAAATAAGATATGGGGGGGGGGGGGGGGGGGTGGTCGTCTATAAATGACGTCACACTCGTAGAGGGGAGGGGGGTCCGTAATTTTGTGACGGTGTGTGATTAGGGGGAGGGGGGGGGGCTGTTCAGATGGTGCGACGTCACACTTTTTGCATTATAAAAAAGCAATGTTAGAAAACTAATTTTAGACGTTATTTCGCGTTTTAGAAAACTGTTTTAATAAATTGTAATTGTAATTTATTAAAGTACTCTATGCTGACAGAGTTCAGACAATATTTTGGAAAAAATATTGACGTTTTAAGAAAAATTCAACTGCAATTTTGAGGGGGGGGGGGGGTTGTAGGCTGAGGTATGACGTCATTTTAGGGGTGGGGGTTAACTTTTTGTGACGATGTGTGACGGAGGGGATGGGGGGAGGTAAAAATCATTTAAAAAGCGTGACGTCATTTATGGATGACCCCTAACGGTTTCCATGAGTGCTTTCATTTTTAAGATTACGCCTAATCCTAACTCCTAGCAATACTATATCACTAATCCTAAGCGTATCGGTAAAATCAGCGATCCATCATTACAATTAACCAACCACACCATTATGTTTGAGAACATGTTTTTATTTTCTCCCGACACAAGGAGTCTGCTTTAGCTTGACTTCCCTTAAGATGTTATCTACGACGTCCTGGGCTGTTGTCTATTTCATCTACTCTGCGATAACCAACAGCGTCGCCCTCTACGTCAACGACACCTCGGTCAGCAAGCCTATGGGCTGTGTGCGCACATCTGGTAAGATCAAAGGCGGCTCTATGGGGTGGCATGGGTGGCTCACCCCCCCCCCCTTCCCAATACCTTTATATCAGTCATTTCGATTTTTATGGACTTTTTTTTGTAGCAAGTAATGATAAAAATAAATATACCAATGTACCTAACGAGTCTTAAATGAGTCCTGAACAAAGTCCTACGCCCACATCTACAATGTCGGTCGTATCCATCTACAATGTCGGTCGTATCCTCTTCCAGCTACAACATTAGTGCAAGCTGCTGACATTTGTACCAACTTGACCTTTGACCCTTGGGGCGTCTCTGATCTCACCTGTCTTTTCCTTCCAGCCACGACATCCATGGGGGTTATTTACCTTGGCAACAGCCTGACCTTTGACTCGGGTTACCATGGGAGCGCGGCGTGCCTCACCGTGGCTCAGGGCGTCATGGACAACACGACGGCCGTGTCGGTCTTCAAAGAGCGGTGTCTAACACTGGACCTGCTTGTCGTCACGGACGGGGGCGCTAACGATACAGGTACGGTACAGGTTAGAGGTGTAAAGGTGATACACTGGGGGGGGGGGGCTAACGATACAGGTATGGCACAACGATACAGGTACGGTATAGGATATAGGTGTAAAGGTTATACACCGGAGGGGGGGGCAAACGATACAGGTATGGCACAACGATACAGGTACGGTATAGGATATAGGTGTAAAGGTTATACACTGGGGGGGGGGGGCTAACGATACAGGTATGGCACAACGATACAGGTACGGTATAGCATATAGGTGTAAAGGTTATACACCGGGGTGGGGCTAACGATACAGGTACGGTGCAGGATATAGTTGTAAAGGTGATTCGGGGGGGGGGGGGGGGCTAAAGATAACGGTACGGTACAGGATATAGGTGTAAAGGTAATACACCGGGAAAGGGGATAACGACGATACAGGTACGACACAGGATATAGGTGTAAAGGTGATACACAGGGTGGGCTAATGATACAGTTACGACTCAATGGTGATACACGGGGGGGGGGGGGGGGGTTGATAACAGAAAACTTCAGGGTTGTGAGTTGAGCTTCACTTGCAATGAAGTTCAAAGGGCAATTCTCAACTCCCTCCCCCCCCCCCCCCCCCCCAATTGTTACACATCATCGCAAATAGCCAGCCGCTTCCAATAAAAGCGCCATGAGGCTCCACAATTCCAACTTTAACAAGAAATAAAAAGTACGTCATTAACAACTATGCCACGTCGTCCGTCCCGTCCCCCGTACTGACACAACCACCGAAAAACTTCGTCAATTTGCTAATCATCTATCTATATCTATATATATAATTCTCCTCTTCGAGCCGTTAGAAAACAAGCTGCAAACGCTCTCCCTACCTCCCCACCCCTACATGGTTTTAGTGAGCTGTGTTCACTCTAAATGTTTACAAGCAGAGCCAACGATTTTAAACGTAGGGGGGGGGGGGAGGGGGGGGGGGTTATGGTCCTTAACGAGCTACTTATAGTGTTTTAAAGAAATATTTTCAGTGTCAGCGTTGGTACTGTCGAATTCACAAATTATGAATTATTGAAAATTAGAAACAACTAAATAGCGGCGTATGTTATGCCGCGGGCCGGCTCGTATATATATAATTCTCCTCTTCGAGCCGTTAGAAAACAAGCTGCAAACGCTCTCCCTACCTCCCCACCCCTACATGGTTTTAGTGAGCTGTGTTCACTCTAAATGCTTACAAGCAGAGCCAACGATTTTAAACGTAGGGGGGTTGGGGGAGGGGGGTGGGAAGGAAGGGGGGGGGGGGGGTTATGGTCCTTAACGAGCTACTTATAGTGTTTTAAAGAAATATTTTCAGTGTCAGCGTTGGTACTGTCGAATTCACAAATTATGAATTACTGAAAAGTAGAAAAAACAACAACTAAATAGCGGCGTATGTTATGCCGCGGGCCGGCTCGTATATATATAATTCTCTTCTGGGAGCCGCTAGAAAACAAGCTGCAAACGCTCTCCCTACCACCCCTACCCCTACATGGTCTGTTGAGCTGTGGTTCACTCTTTATGTTTACAAACATTACAAACACAGCCGGGTTTAGTGACGACTATTAGGGGCAGATAATTTAGTTTTAAACGGTTTTAAACGTGGGGGGGGGGGTAACTAAGTGGAATTTACTCTAACGAGGGGGGGGGGGGGGTATCGTCCTTAACGAGCTACTTATAGTTGTTTTAAAGAAATATTTTCAGTGGCAGCTTTGGTAGTGTCGAATTCACAAATTATGAATAACTGAAAAGTAGAAAAAACAACAACTAAATCGCGGCGTATTACATGCCGCGGGTCGGCTCGTTTTCTTTAACAGACATCTGCAATGCAACATTGATAGGGAGAGAAAAACGATTCAAACTGACCTCAGAGAACAACCAGCCTGACCCGGTTTTGAACCCGATCAGTGTTGATTTCGCCCGGTCCGTCCTGGAGTGCGCCTCACGATGCGCGCGCATGTCCCAGTGTCGCTCGCTGACGTACCGTAACACAAGCAGGAGCAGCAACTGCGCCCTCTATGATTTGGTCACAAGGAAAGGGCTAGTGGCCGATCCAGGAAACAAGTATTACACGATTACCCTTAGCCAAACTTTGTAACGGTGCAGAGGTTCGAATTAAAGCTAATATGTTTGGAATGTTTTTTTTTTGTTAAATTGTGTTGAATGGGGTTGGGTATGAGTTGGTAAAGAGTAGCTTTCCCTCACAAAAGATATTACACGTAGGCCTACTTAATCTCTGTTTTGCTCAATGCAATCTATTACTTTGATAAATCAGTTGACAGCTTTTGGGTTTTTTTTTCTTCAAACTCAGATAATCAGTTTTTGCTATTGTTTTTGTTGTAGATGTAATACGGGATTAGCAGATAAACAATAATAGGTCTGGTGACTCTGTGGTACCACTCCTGATTAATCAGACCCACCTTGAGGGGTCTGGCTCTAGGCCTACCACTGATGTGACCCCCATAAAGCCAACCACTGATGTGACCCACATTGAGGGGTCTGGCTCTAGGCCCATCACTGATGTGACCCACATTGAGGGGTCTGGCTCTAGGCTCACCACTGATGTGACCCACATTGAGGGGTCTGGCTCTAGGCCCACCACTGATGTGACCCACCTTGAGGGGTCTGGCTCTAGGCCTACCACTGATGTGACCCCCATAGAGCCAACCACTGATGTGACCCACTTTGAGGGGTCTGGCTCTAGGCTCACCACTGATGTGACCCCCATAAAGCCAACCACTGATGTGACCCACATTGAGGGGTCTGGCTCTAGGCCCACCACTGATGTGACCCACATTGGGGGTCGGGCTCTAGGCCCACCACTGATGTGACCCACATTGAGGGGTCTGGCTCTAGGCTCACCACTGATGTGACCCACATTGAGGGGTCTGGCTCTAGGCTCACCACTGATGTGACCCCCATAAAGCCAACCACTGATGTGACCCACATTGAGGGGTCTGGCTCTAGGCCTACCACTGATGTGACCCCCATAAAGCCAACCACTGATGTGACCCACCTTGAGGGGTCTGGCTCTAGGCTCACCACTGATGTGACCCCCATAGAGCCAACCACTGATGTGACCCACTTTGAGGGGTCTGGCTCTAGGCTCACCACTGATGTGACCCCCATAAAGCCAACCACTGATGTGACCCACATTGAGGGGTCTGGCTCTAGGCCTACCACTGATGTGACCCCCATAGAGCCAACCACTGATGTGACCCACATTGAGGGGTCTGGCTCTAGGCTCACCACTGATGTGACCCCCATAAAGCCAACCACTGATGTGACCCACATTGAGGGGTCTGGCTCTAGGCCTACCACTGATGTGACCCCCATAGAGCCAACCACTGATGTGACCCACATTGAGGGGTCTGGCTCTAGGCTCACCACTGATGTGACCCACCTTGAGGGGTCTGGCTCTAGGCCCACCACTGATGTGACCCACCTTGAGGGGTCTGGCTCTAGGCTCACCACTGATGTGACCCCCATAGAGCCAACCACTGATGTGACCCACTTTGAGGGGTCTGGCTCTAGGCTCACCACTGATGTGACCCCCATAGAGCCAACCACTGATGTGACCCACATTGAGGGGTCTGGCTCTAGGCTCACCACTGATGTGACCCCCATAAAGCCAACCACTGATGTGACCCACTTTGAGGGGTCTGGCTCTAGGCTCACCACTGATGTGACCCCCATAAAGCCAACCACTGATGTGACCCACATTGAGGGGTCTGGCTCTAGGCCTACCACTGATGTGACCCACCTTGAGGGGTCTGGCTCTAGGCTCACCACTGATGTGACCCCCATAAAGCCAACCACTGATGTGACCCACATTGAGGGGTCTGGCTCTAGGCCTACCACTGATGTGACCCACCTTGAGGGGTCTGGCTCTAGGCTCACCACTGATGTGACCCCCATAGAGCCAACCACTGATGTGACCCACTTTGAGGGGTCTGGCTCTAGGCTCACCACTGATGTGACCCCCATAAAGCCAACCACTGATGTGACCCACATTGAGGGGTCTGGCTCTAGGCCTACCACTGATGTGACCCCCATAGAGCCAACCACTGATGTGACCCACTTTGAGGGGTCTGGCTCTAGGCTCACCACTGATGTGACCCCCATAAAGCCAACCACTGATGTGACCCACATTGAGGGGTCTGGCTCTAGGCCCACCTCTGATGTGACCCACATTGAGGGGTCTGGCTCTAGGCTCACCACTGATGTGACCCACATTGAAGGGGTCTGGCTCTAGGCTCACCACTGATGTGACCCACATTGAGGGGTCTGGCTCTAGGCCCACCACTGATGTGACCCCCATTGAGGGGTCTGGCTCTAGGCCCACCACTGATGTGACCCACATTGAGCGGTCTGGCTCTAGGCCCACCACTGATGTGGTTCACATTGAGGGGTCTGGCACTTTCCCGTCAAGTTCATTAGCCTACAGAAAGTTAATAATGCTAAATGCCCGAACAGAATGTATCTGAAATCTAAACATTTCCCAAACTACCAAACAGCATAGAATGGCATTGACGCATTTTATAAGTTCTTTACGTGTTCAAAGTTACCCTTCGTCAACCAGTTTTGACAAACATCATCTATTCCGTAAGACAGGGGTCTCCAAACTTTTTAGTCCGGGGGCCGCATTTACTATCAAATTTCAGTTCGGGGGCCAGTTAGTTCCAGGCATGTCTTTGTTTTTTTCTGCGCAAAGTTCCTCATCATCACCAACAAACGATTTTTTCTTGGACAAAACGATCTCCGCGGGCCGTAGTTTGGAGACCCCTGCCGTAAGACCATGCATTAAAGAAAAAAAAAATTCTATATATGGGAGTGTGAAAATTTATCGAGCTTTTCTCGCCCCCCCCCCCCCCCCCCCTCCTCCTATCACAGCGAGTTCGGTGACGACACGAAGCTTGCTTCTGCCAATGAACTCGCACATATTGGTAATAAAGATCAGGGGAGTGAACTTAGAATAAATTTCCTCGATTGAATACAAATTACTTAAGTGCAGTTTCTAAATAAATAAAATATTATCATTAATCATGTCAGTTATAATATTTTTTTTAAATTTACCAGTGCATTAAAAACAGATTTTAGTTTTATTATAGAAAAAAAATCGAAATTTTACTGAACTAGAAAATAAAATACGAACAGCTTTTTAAAATATCTCCACAAATTTATACATAGTTATTTCTTGTCATCAATCGAATTATTATTAACAGTATGCCATCTACCTCTGTAACCATTGCATTATACTTTAATTTTAAAGTTTTAAAATATTGTGAAAGCTGGAAGAATATTTAAACCTGGCTTGAAATTATAGATTGACATGTATTTTGTATGGAAATGAAATAATTGAAAACATGTTTAAAAATGATTATTAATTTTATATCTTAAAATAACTTCAGCGTGATATTAGGTTTTATTGAAAGAACAGATTTTCCATGAGTTGGGGGGGTGGGGGAAGGGGGAGCACTTGAGATTTTCGGGGGGAGCGGACATTTTCCGGGGGGGGGGGGTTGACACTGGTAAAAGTATGTTTTCTTTATAACTTCCATTTCGTTCGGGGGGGGGGGGGGGGAGTGGGTAAATGCCTGGAAGAAACTGATCAAAATTCGTACATTACGTTAAAAGCTTCGTCAGTATAGTTAGTAACCTTAACTCCTTCACAACAAATCACAAAGTTAACTGGTTCTCTCCCTTTAATGAATTGAACCGTGATGAGTATTTTTACCTTACTAAAATATAAATGAAATGACTTAACCTATTATTATCAAAGATAAACGCATGAAGAAATTTTAAAGTCGTTCAGTGGTTTAGCTAAATAAAATTTAAAAAATTCATGGAAAATGCACAAGTGCAAGATTATAAAAAGTTACTTAAGTTAAGAAACTTTTTTTTTCTAATTATGACTACCTCTAGGCTACTATAGAAAAAAAGTTTTTCCGCAACGAAGTCATTGTAAATGGTAAAGCACTGCTGATGATTACAGGTATTATCTCAGTTGCTTGAATTGTATTTTTTTTTAATGTCAAGGTTAATCATCACCCTGATTAGAAGTTTTTAAAAAATAATATTAAGTATTATCTTAATTTTGTAAAATTCCAGTTACATATATTTAAACGACATATAGCATTTGTTTTTTTAACTAGGTTTAAATATCTTTTTAATGCTGTAACCAGATTTAATCTGACACCTTTTTGTAAACATACATAACATGAAACCATTTTAACACACACAACCTAAACACCTGAAGAGTAGAGGTAGAAGAGTACCCTTTTTAAAACATTCCATGGGGCAAGTGAAGTAAAGTTCACCTGTTTCTAAGGCTCTGCACTATGCCCAGCCACCTTTTGCTTTCATCAATGTGAGTTAGGTAGGTACCCATCAGACTGGGTGGACGTTTTACTCGGATTCGGTAGAGTGCTAGACTGTCAACCCGAAAGTTTCGAGTTCAAATCAGGTTTAGAAGTCTAGCGCTCTACTTCTAGGTCACGCTGACCTAAACACCTTGACTTTAACACACATTAAATGAAACTTTTGAACAAGCCATACACATTAATTAAACTAATTAAATGGTACCCATGTTAATGACAGTGTGCCTAAACCATTATACTAAAGATTGCCTGAAATGGGCCATGCCAGAAGTAAAAATAAACACCATACTTTGCACTTTGCCGTTCTATAGAATGCCAAGAAGGTGATTGGGTTAAGTGTAGATTAAGCTTATTCCATACAAAAAATTTCACACTATAAGAATTCAGTTTTATTCTTAGAAATTATTTGCACTGTCGAATATGCCACACATTCTTTAGAATGCATTGCATATTATTTAGAATATCTGATTTTTTCACAGTCTAAATATAACATAACTAAATTATTAGTGTTTGGAATCAATTTTTATTCACAACAAAAAGAATATCGATCTGTTTTTTTTTTTGTTTTTAACATAATCAAAGTATCTATGAATATATATAACAATAGTCACCACTTGAAATTTAGTATGCTAAATTATTTTATATTTTAAAACTTAATACTTTGAAAATCTTGTGTGATAAATTTACAATTCATGTCAAATTTACAGTAAAGGCAATGGACTAAATTCAGTCAAATAAAAAAAAAATTATTAAATGCCAACTTTGGTTACGTCATGAAAACTACAAAAGCAAACAGTTTTAACTGCAGCAAGCTCTGACAACATAAAAACAAAATATCTTTCTTTGTGTGACACTCAAAACTGGTAGTTCAAGTACCTGGTTGAAAACTGACAGAACAGGATTGTGAAATAGCTGGAAGGATTCAAACTTCCTGGCTCTATTGATTAAGCTGGCAGGGGGCAGGAGGAACACAATTATGCTGGTCTATTCTGTCTGGAGTGAGGTCCCTTTAAAACCTGTCTTACTGAATAGGAGGCCTGTTAGTGTCAAGCTTCCTTTCTTGCATGAAGAAATTCACTACAGGTTGTAGAAGAGATTGTTGATTCAAATATCCATACATGTAATCATTACAAGGTCTATAGTAGTAAAATACATACTGAATAAAAATCAATTTTAAACAACATTAAATTAGCCAAAAAGCTTAATCTGAAAACACATTGAGATCCAAGTAAATTAAAAATTAATGTAAGCTAAAAACCTTCAAGTTCAGTTAAGCAACAAAATAATATCTTGTTAAAATGTACAAATAGAGGCTGATCTAGCATAACAAGACAGGCCCTTACCTGGAAACCACAAGCAAAAGAAGCTGAACAAGGAAGAACTGGAGACATGGCCTGGAAAAAGACATCTAAGAAGAATGGATACACCTGGGGACAGCTGGAAAGACTAGCCCAGAACAGAAAGCTCTGGTACCAGGAGGACAACCAGACTAACCTAATGTAACTTAAAAAGTACAAACTCTGGTGCGCTGAGACAACATAAGAGTATCAGTTGTAGAACACAAATAGTTTTATTGTTGAAATGTTGGTATAATATATTCATTTTTTCCCAAAAATGAAAATGCTAATTTAACTACAAATGAACACATTTTAAAAATAGATTTAAGAGCCAAAAAAAATTTTAGAAGAATAATTTGAAATTATTCATTAAAAAAACTGTGAAATTAAATCAACAACTAAGCATTTTCATTTTTTTTAAATTTGCTTTTAAGCACATCCACCATTAAATTTGTATTGAGTGTTTATTATAAAGTAAGTACTGACAAAAAGACTAATCAGGAAGATAATACTGGTATTTTATCATTTACTAAGTGGAACAGATAACAGAGATTTATAGATATTAAAACCACATCTGCTAAGGGATATTTCAAGGTAGCACAGAAAAGGTCTTCCAAGTTTTAGTAAACAAGTCATTAACTGTCTTGGTCCTGAATCTCAAACAATTCAAGAAATAAATCTGGGATGGGAATAAATTTATATTTATTAGGTTTATATTGTTGTGCATTGTTTAACTTACAGGTCGAGTACAAGGCACAATAAGATTGTGATGCATAACTGTTGTCAAACAAAATGAATACATATTTAAACACTTTCATTCCTGAATTATGGTTAACTAAAGCTATTGGCTTGATCTCTAATACTATACTATAATTTACAATCAATATAGAAGGCACTCATTCAGCAGCAAGCCAAGTATAAGACATTATTACTCAGTATTTAACATGGGCTGAATAAATAAAAGCAATATTTCAGTTTCATAAATTGTTGTGTTAACAAAAATCAATAGGAAAAAGTAAAGTATGAAAATATGTAACATACGTCAAAATTATGTGTTAAGACTTGCTTACTATAGTTTTGTCACTATTTCAGACCTAGAAAGTGTACAATAAATAAATATACACATGAAACTCACTCAGCTTTCACAACTACAAAAACTAATTCAACAATGTGTTGGTTTCTTCATAAACATAGTGAAGAAAAATAGAAAGAATTATTAGTAGTTTCAAATATGTGACCTCTTAGTTTAACCTTAGATATACAGTTCTGTATTCATTTAGAAACAATTGGTCATAGCCAAAAATTCAAAACATCAGTTTCTCTAGCTTGGGTTGGTAATGCTCTCAGCCAGCATGTATATATTTTTTGGCCAGCAAAACATGAAAGTCACAATGTTGTCCATTCTGTACACTATTGGTTCCAATTTAACTAACTATAAAGTAATGTTTTGATTATGCAAGAGTTTTGTAATGACATGCCCTGAAAACAGTTAAAAACTATGATTCAAGAAACTTAGACCAGCCATTATCTTATATAGAGTTTGTAAAGGACTTTGAACAGAAGTTGACTACCGTGAACATTCAAGAGTGTATGACTCACAATACCAAAGAAATCTTAAATATAATTTAAGTTTATTTTACTATCTGAGATTTGCCATTTGTAAACAGGTACAGTCAAATGATTTATGTACTAGCTATACCCGCAGATTTGTATATCTGGTACATTTAATAACAATTAATTATAAATAAGGTTTTGTGTGGAGCTAAACAGTACTATCTTAGCACCTATACAAATAAATGGTTACAACTAATCAACATCAACTAGAATTTACAACCCAAAATACACAGGCACCTTTGAATTTTTTAAAGTTCTATAACTGTCTCAGAAATCCCTCAAGAATTATCAGTGGAAGGAAACTTTAACATGTAAGCAGGTGGGTCAAGCTCAGGTTCACACAGAGCTTCATAGTACTCCAGACAGCCATACCACTTGATTGATCCCTCCTTGCTGATGAAGCAGTGGATCTTGAGCTCATCATCCGGGTCTTGAAACGTTTCAACAATTAAAGAATCCCCCCAAACACTAGGGGCGAAGTGCACCATTGAGATACGCATGACGTAATAATCTTGCAGCATGTTGGCCAAATGCTGGTAGAAATTTTTGTTAGCGGCTATACTGATATTGTCTATGAAATAGCGGGTGTACGAGGGGTGACGAGTCCTGCCGCTGGTGTCAGTGTCTCGTAGCGGAACCAAAACGTGATGTGTGAAGATCTGACCCACACAGTCTGGGGGCTGGATGGGCCGGTAGTTGTCCGGCATCTCTGGCAGCAGCCTCAAGAACTTGAGCCTCCACCAGTCTGGGATCTGCTCTGTGAGACCAGACTCGCGGTGCACCATTGTGTTGCAGGTCTTCACCATGATAGAGGCTCGCTGTCTACCTCCAAATGTTGCACTGCTGCGGACTGTGTACATGGTGTCCATCATACCCGTCAATTTTAGAGATACCTTTGTCATGGAAATAAACATTATTAGTCATAACTTTCATGCTTGAATTTTTTTTAACTTTTACAATTCTTTTTATTCTGTAGGTCAATATATATTATGGTAGAATATGGTAGAATTTGTAATAAAATCAGCAGAAATTCTTAATTTTTTATCTCACAATTAGTAACCCGGCTTCATAGTAAATTTGCTACATGGGGAAAAAAGTATTTAATAATATCACTGGTATTTTTACCTGAATTGGTGACTTAGCAGTAGTGGTTTCATAAAAATGTCTTCGTATTTCCATGACTAATCCTTTAGCATAGCTGCCAATCCCTTTCCGACTGAGGCTCTGGTAATCCAAAAAGGACTGGATATTTTCATACAGTGCAGCATGTTCAACTCTACCAATAATGTTCATCAGTCGATGAAGATCTGGCTGACCTAAAAGTTTTAATTTTGAAATAATATGTAATGTCTGATTCTCATACATTTAAATAGTTATTTGTTATCCCTTTTTATTAACAACTGTAAAATTTCTTAACCATAGAATTTACACTAATTTGACCAATCCAAAATGAATATGTTTTTCTCACGTAAAAAAATAGAACGGGTTATTATTACTAATTTGCAAGCATCTAGTTCACATAAAAAAATTGAAAAAATTCTGTTATTATTACAATAATGTACAAAACTAGGCCTAAACTTGTACCTGTGTGGCTGATATCATCAAATCGCAGACCAGGGAGTAGTGCTAATGCCTTGTGTTGATCTTTGTGAACTTCCACTCTTAAATTTAGGGAAGGATATGCCCTGAAAATTTAATGATGTAAAAATAAAAATAGCTAAAAATTTGCATCAATTAGAATACAGATAATGGGTTTGAACGTGGTTTCTAGACACATAATATAAATCCAGTTGCTTTGCCTGAAAAATGTAATCTAACACAAGTTTGAGGATGAAAATAGTAATATTGTAATATAGGCCTAAAAACAGTTGCAAGATATATTAAGAAAATGGGTAATAACCAATAATACTTCTACTATATTATAAGAGCTAGAGCTTTACTATCACAATTTAAATTATTGGTGAAAACGGTGTGTTTACTCAATGATTATTAATATATGGACAGTTAGCTCACATCCTTTTTAATTAGGAGATTCCATTATTGTGCCATAGAAGACACTGGTATGGCACATACACCCACGTTGATCATACTCATAGTAGTAGTTAACTTTATACTAGATCTACTAGTGTTAATTTATTAGTAGGCCTATCTATATATAATTCTCTATTTTACCCAACCATGTGGTACACCACGCACGCACGTTGACTCTCTAAACCTCCTCCTGACCCCTCCCTCGCTCTCAAGGCATGAGCAACAGTGTGTACCCACCCACCTCATTTGGACAACTGTGTCTTTCAGGAAGTCTTCACCCATGACGAAATAGCAGCATATGCTGCGCAACGGGTAGGCTCGTAAACTATACTAGGTTAACAACTATGTTGATGCAGTCTTAAAAAAAAAGAAGTTCAAGGACACACATTATAAACTTCATTGTTACCAATTATTTATTTTTAGTCGTGCAACCTAATTCTCTGTGGAGCGCTCTAGGGTTGCTGCGGTGTAATTCCACACACGACAGTGACAAATCATTTTATAAGGGTTTCATCAACACTTTACCATTTTTAGATGTGTGACCTCGTTTTTTTAAAAATGAGTTATTTCAGTGTAAACAGCAACAGCGCTATATTGTATCTTAAGATGTTGGGGTTCATATCTGTCCACACTACATCACATACATCCCTGTACGAACGTCTTGAGTGTACAATAATCACCCTCCATAATATGACGTAGAACACTGTGACACAGCTAGACAACCGCCCAGGTGTCAGGGACTTCTTCTGGAGCCTCTGGTTAACTACTCCCAGGGGCTCCAGGTGCATCTCTAGTTCTGTTTTAGCCATCAAATGTGTTGGCCCACCATGTCCTTATTGAAGGGTTCTCTTTAAAAAACAAATATGGGCTCTATAGTGCTTACAGGTGAACCCTGGGTCTCCAGGACACCCATTTGTTTTGGTCAACAATTATAGTAGTCCACTGTGTTCCTAGTATATGGCAATCTTTAAAACTGGTCCAGTGGATGCACCTTGTGCTGTTTGACCTTTGAATAACTTAGTACCCCAGTGACCCCCTGTTCAGGATGCCCAATCACTGAATCCTAGGTGCTAAGAAAGCTGCCGGGGAGCTCTGGGCACCAAACGGTCCCCAACTTCAAGGCACTGCGCCTCAAAAAAAAAAGATTTTGGAAAAACTTCAGAATAATCTCTAGTGGTTTTCACACCGGTCTGGTGGGTGTCAAAAACATCAATGAAAACCAATCAAGGCCTACTCAATGCTCATCATTCTCAGTAGCTATTTTTTTTTAAATTACCTTTTTTAAAAAAATTAGTTTTGAGAGTTGTGGTAGACTGAGGTGTGACATCATTTAAGTGTTGGGTCCTGGTTTTTAGTGAAGATTTTTTACATTTGGGAAGGAGGGGAGGTAAAGATTAGTTAAATATATTGACGTTACTAAGTTACTTATTTTATAGAGGACCCCAGTGTAGGTAAAAATTAAATGATTTATTTTTACTAAGTGGCCCTAAAAGCTATGCTATGTTTTTTTTAAATCATGAGCATTGCCAACTTTAACTTTTTTCGTGCACGATACATGTATACACTATACAAGTTTTATGTAAGTTTTAAATTAAATTGAAATAAATTGTAGGCCTAAGCACTTTGATATTAAATTCAATATGTCAATATGTGGACCTCAACTGACTTGATCACACCCTCCCCCAGTCCACATAGTCAAAAGTCAATGTTTTTGGACTCAACATTTTCAATCATTCATTATTAGAATCTAGACCTAGATCTAGATCTTTTCTATATTAATAATATTATTATTCATTATTCCTCACTTTAGAATTACTAGATCTAGTACTACTAGATCTCTAGATCTAGATGTCTAGATCTAATCTAGATCTATGCAAAAATTTCTTTTTGTGCATGGCCCTTGGCACTGGCAGTCATTGCTCACCTTAGCAAATGGTTAATTCTGCTGCGAAACATTTTCCCTATCTACAGAAGTCTAGTATAGTATAGTAGATCAAGTGCTTTACCATAGAGTTACATTTTAAATGCATGCATAGTTATCATTAATCAGATTAAAAAATTAAACAACTATGTTTTGGTCTGCTATACAATACAGATACTGAATGCAATGACTATGTCTGCAGTAGGCCTGATAACAAATAACACTTGACCTTTGTACCAGGTTTTTAAAGAAGCATAGGCCTATGCCACAACATAAAGACTTTCGTCATTGGTTTTATTTGGTTTGTGAAAATCCATGTGTCCTGTTAGATATAGATCTAGATCTAGATCTTGAATTTTTTCGTACTAGAAAAAAAATTGTTAAATTTCAATTTACCTGTTTTCAATAGCCTAGGATTTTTTTGAGCAGTTTGCAAAGCTGATTTTATACTCTTATGTAGCCAGAGGACCATCGGGCCTTACTTAGTACAGCTGTCTGTCAAGGTAAACAAACTATTAAACAGGAAGTCTAAAAGCCAACTTACTTTCACTCTCACACGAATGTGATCCAGAAATTTTTCGCTGTTCAGGTGGTAAGAAAAATTAAATCCTAACTTACACAACTTTAATTACCTTTGACATTTTTTAAAATAATATTTACAGGCTAGAGTTTTTTAGATTAGAGATTTTAGATTAAAGTGAATCTCGAGTAGATCTACTAGACTAGTAGTTAGTAGTAGACTAAAGTTAGTAGTAGTAGATCTAGGATCTAGAATCATCAATCTAGATCTAGGCGGCGCCTAGATCATTCTAGTAGTAGATCTAGTAGACTCGAGTCTACTAGCTACTTTGCCTCTGCTAGCTACTCTGCCTATGCTAGATTCTAGACTTCTAGACCTAGATTCTACCTAGTTTGTACTAAATTTAACAGACGAAAATGATGCTTGCGTAAAAAAAAAAAGTAATTTTAACTAGAGCTAGGCCTAGCTAAAAAGAAAAAAATAAACACTAAAATGGCCGTAACTTAAACAGATTATTGATTATAGCGCCAAAAAGAAAAAGGCAGTTGAATGAGCGTTGTTTAAAATACGCAGCGATGACAAAGGCTAACAGCCGATCAATTAAGTCTAAAAATCGCCCGTAATTACTAATTAGGCCTAGCTCTGAAAAAGGCCACTGAACAAGCATCGTTAGAAATACTATACATTTCATTCAAATTATATAGACGAATATGAATAGGCTACGCAGCGTTAATGAGGTTAACCACCGGTCACGAATTATTTACAATGCAGCTACTGTCGGCCCACAATGAAGAAAAAAATCAATATACTAATAAAATTACTTATACAATAATAATTTCCATAATTTTACTTTTTCTGCACAAGCTTCAATTAAATTATAATTAAAATACTAGACTTAACAGTTCATTCAGCAAAAAACAAAAACTTGTTGTTTCTGTCAGGCAACTAGCATAACAATGATGTAACGATACTAAAAATAGTTGACCGAAATTACCCCATGGGTACTTCATCTTCGGGTTAGATTTTGGTAAAAGGAAACAACAATTTTGTAATTAAACATGGTAAATATCTCAATTAGACATTAATCTAGAGTTAGTCTGGCAGTTTTCCTAGTTAGACGGTTGTTTTTGGCGGCGGTTCAGTTTTTACGGAGAGTGCTCCACTAGAAATTCTCTCACTATTTACAACCACAAATCTCACGATTTTTTCTGGCTTTCTAAGGCAGAGTATCCATTTTATTAGCTTTTTGCATTAAAATAATGATGAGAATTTGCGAGATAAAGTTTTTTCATTTGTCGTGGATAGGACCCCTAAAATAAACGTAAAAACCGCAGAAAACGACTAGTGACGTTTCAGGGTCAGAGGTAATTCCGCCATCTCAGTAAAGAGCTGGACTGCTACTTGCTGATGAGTGATGTCTGCGAGGTTGCTAGGGCAGCTAGAATCTCTACTATTCTCTAGAGTCTAGAGTGCTCTAGACTAGAGTAGTAGAGTAGTCTAGAGTCTAGATTCAGACTATCTATAAGCAAAATGACTCAAATTCAGCTTCTAACATTATTTTTAAATGCCAAAGTATGACCTCACACTATCTTCTTCTTTGTTCTAAATTGTATTTATAGTGGGAGATATACAAAAAGTCACACACCTAAAAATACTGATTGGGAATGTGCTGATGAAACCCTCAAATAAAGTGGTGTTATTTTGCTGTGGTGTGTAGTAACAGACCACAGCAACATATGACAGGTACGCAAGTTGCTTATAAAAATGATTAGACATGAAGTGTTACTTTCAACATCCTTATGCGACTATGGTACAGAAAATAGTTCGACTATGGTACAGAAAATAGTTCTAGTAAAGACAAAACAATATGGACTCAAGCTACTTGAGACCATTACTCCTCAGGAGTGGTACTAATTTACCAAGCTACTAAAAAACTGAATAAGTAAGCTGTAAGCCTTTGGACCAGTTGCCTTCACAAAAGCGAATCATTACTGTGGGGTCATCATCACATAGAGCAGGGGTCTCCAAACTTTTCAGCCCGAGGGCCGCATTAACTATCAAATATCAGTTCGTGGGCCAGAGTTTCCTCCATGCATCTCTTTGGGGTGGCGGAGTTCCCCGCACCCCTCCCCCTTCAACGAAATATAATTTATATAGAAATATATATATATTTTTAAAATGCCCCCCCCCCCCCCCCCCCAGGAGAAAAAGTTTGAAAGAAACACTGTCGGGGGCCGACAACACACTCGATGTCCAAGCTTGTTCTCCATGGGCAAACTCAAAAACCCACCCGCTAATTTTTGAACTTGTCTCTGAGGAGGCCATTTGCTTGCTATTCAGTGACCTCCAGCTGTAGTTCATCAGGGCAACTGATTACATTTGCTTCAATTGGGTTTTGAAACAGTCTCACTTCTTCTGCCTTTGAATCCAAGTCAGACAACCGCTACCTAAACTGCATCTGGAGGTCTTTGATGATCTCGCATGCAAATGATGTGGGGAACTCAGCTGTAGTTTCAGCCATGAAGACCTTGCACTGCTGAAAGTGCATCAAGTTGTTGCCCTGTACGTGTTCCAAAAACATGGAACAACTGTCCAGCAACTCACCCATTGCAATTGAAAAATTGCGAAACTTGTTAGCAGTTTTCACTATTTGAGTCACAATGTTTTCATCAATGTCTGCAACACGGAGGGCAATGGTATTTGCACCCAAAGCTACAGCTACATATTCAGATTGTTTTACATTTTCTGGGCAAAGTTCCTCAGCTACTTTTAACAAACATTTTTTCCGTGAACAAAAAGATCTCCGTGGGCCGGATGAGAAGACCTCGCGGGCCAGGGGCGTAGTTTGGAGACCCCTGATATAGAGAGTTGATCAGGCTTACCCCCTTGCCCTAAAAAATGTCAGCTTATCTACAATTTTACAAACATGACTATAGATAATTTTTAAACAATACAAGGGAGATACCAATTTGATGATGTAGCAGGCTTATAGTAGTGTCTTCAGATAAATTGGGGTAAAAGATTTGAGAGAGTTGGAAGCATGCACTGTGACAGAAATAGCAATTATAGACATAAAATAATATTAAATTTTCAACACTTTAATGATACATAAGTTTATCAAAATAATTAACAAATACTGAGCAATGGAAAAAATGGTATTTAATTTTCAACAATTTAATGAGTCAAAAGTATCTATATATATAATTCTCTTCTGGGATCAGTTAGAAAACAAGCTGCAAGCGCGCCTTTGCAGTCCCCTCTCTTCCTCTCTATTACTATCACTACCACCCCCACCCCACCCCACATGATCTGGTGAGCGGTGTTCACTCTGTTTACATTTTACAATCACAGAGACGGGTTTGGTAACGGCTATTAGGGGCAGATAATTTAGTTTGAAACGATTTTAAACTTAGAGGAGGTAACTAAGAGGAGGCTGCTTTCACGTGGGGGGGGGGGGGGGTAATGTTTTTAAGCAAATATTTTCAATGGCAGCATTGGTACTGTCGAATTCACAAATTATAAATTACTGAAAAGTAGAAAAAAAAAACTAAATAGCGGCGTATGATACGCAGCGGGTCGGCTCGTATCAAAATAATTTACATAAATGAAATACTGAACTATGAAAAAATGGCATTTAATTTTCATCAGTTTAATAAGACAAAAGTATTTAACATAAAAACTGAACAATGAACAGTATAGCTAGATGCAAGAGAACTACCCTAAAACAGCTTAACCCCTTTTATATCAAGTTACATGTAGTAGCACTCTTACCATATCATTTTTACCTTTTTGTGCCCAAGACACATAGGGCCGCCACAGAAAGCTCCCTCAACTTTTACCGGTCACTGGCAATTTTCCTGGCAGTCCCCCATGACAGTCCGTCGCCATCTTCTTTTTTCGATTAATTTGGAAACTGTTTCCATTTTGATATCTCCTAGTAATTTATCATTTGAGATGGTGTTCAGACAGTGTATGCCTTTATTTTGTTCTGTCAATGTCACAATTAATAAAATTTTCATGCAGAATCAACTACTTTTTTGTGTGTAAAATTTTGAAAACCTATTGCGATGAATATATTGGTATTAGCCGAAATATAATATAAGTTAATAGTCCTTACATAATATAACGCTAATTTTTATCTTCCACTACACTTTGTAGCACATCATCACAAGTCTTGACAACCCCTATGTAATAGCTTTGCTGCAATAGTTGCACAATTGCATGTTCATCTTCTCCAAGGCATACATCATTCAGTACAATTTGTGATTTTAATATCACAATTTTAAGTTAATTGAGCTGAGAATAAAAATCAAAAAACATATTTAGCTTTTGGGTTTTTTACAACTGACCATCCAACAGCTTAATTCCTAAGAAATATAAGCTTTCAGTTTTGTGATGTCATTACATTTGAATGATTGCTTAAAAATGTCTTATCTCCTGTCCAGGATGTTAAAACAAAGAAATAGCTACTATAAATCTCTACACTTCTTAATGCCAAAATTAATTGTCTTTACTTTAGAAGAGTAAGAGGTACGACCGTACGGTTTATGACTTAAAGTGTTTGTTTCTGGAAACAGGAACCTATTATGTTCATGCTGTCACAGAAAATGGGCATGTTTTATTCATGAATGTAACCAAATATTCTTCATTTGATCCACAACACTTCAAATTCTCTAAATTCTTAACACAAAAAAAAAAGTTTATTATTATAGTATTATCAAAAAACTTTGTAAGAAATTGAAGAGATTTATTCAATTTACATGTAAAGCTTTTGAAAACATTCTTTTTCCTGAATAATATCTCATTGTTCTCTGTGGTTGTGTTTGTACTAAATTTAATGTATATATTATTTTTAACCAGTAGACTGGATTACATCTTATTACATGTGTAACACCAGATTTAAAAGTTTATTATAAACTACTTGAACAATATTCTGGACTCAATCAGACCTAGTACAAAATGTACCATTAGGCTACAAACAATAATAAATATTTCAATGTTAAATGGTGCCTTGTATAACCTTTAATATTGTCATTGCAACATATGCTTGTGACTGTTCCCTCCCTAAAGGTTGGATCAATTATCTTCCTCATTATCTTACCATATGATGTAATTTCTATTGTTGCTACTGTACACATTAATACTGGGCATTTACATTTACAATAAGTTTTAATTATCAACTTAAAGATACTGTAGTTAGAGTATGTAACATCTTTTGTATAGTGTTGATTTTTTTAAAAATGTTACATAATGGACTGCATCAACATTAAATTATAACACTTTGTTATAAAAACAAAAAATTTTTAATGAAAATTTCCAATTTTAAAATGGAATTTTTTTTAAATGCAAATCAATTCAACAGTTACACTTAAATGTCTAATTATAGATTTTTAAAAATCCGTGTGCTTATTCAGATAAGTTACAGATGATTATGTGCAGTATAACTTCCTTGTATCAGTAAATTAGTCATGGAAATCCATGGATGCAGCCTGAAGTGGTTTAATGAATACACAAATGTTTTTTATAATGAGAGCACTTCTGATTTATTTTTCTCACAGTCTTTTGCTATTCACAGTTATTGTTTTTTCTCACTCTTTGGCTGTCTTTTTTTTTTCATAGTCTTTGGCTGTCTTTATTTTCTCTTAATATTAGGCTGATTTATTTGTCTCTTAATATTAGGCTGATTTATTTTTCTCAGTCTTTGGCTACCTTTATTTTCTCAATCTTTGGCTCTTTTTTTTTCTCAGTTTTTGGCTGTCTTCTTTTTTTCTTATTCTTTGGCTGTCTTTTTTTCTCTCAATATTAGGCTGATTTATTTTTCTCACTCTTTGGCTGTCTTTTTTTTCTCAGTCTTTGGCTGTCTTTTTTTCTTAGTCTTTGGCTGTCTTTTTTTTCAGTCTTTGGCTCTTTTTCTCTCAATATTTGACTGATTTATTTTTCTCAGTCTTTGACTGTTTTTTTCTCTATGGTTGTTGACAGCTGTTTGATTCATGATATGCTTGCTTCATTCAGTTTTTACTTCTGTTTTGAAAAATCCTTAACATTTGTTAACAAACAGGATCGTGGGCTTTTGTTAATTACTTAAACACTAGACATACAAGTCACACACCCACTTTCTAGACCTAACTATCAAAGAGATTTCATGTTTCTTAGATATCAGCAAATGAAGGAATTGTTTGTCAGCACTCTATACCTTTTTCAGACTTGAGTTAGGTATCTATTATTAGAGCTGGGTCAACTCATGGATATGATCTATGTGCTAATTAGAAATTTTTATGAACCGATTCATTTAATGTTACTGTTGTTATTATTATTACAGAAAGTCTGCTGCTTAAGATTGTTATAAAAGTTTTTAATTTTTAACTTTGAATATTTTTGCCAGGCCAAGATATTAAAGACTGTGATGGTGAACAATCTATCATAATATCAGCACTCAGCTGCAAGAATTGAACCTAACCGACACAATGTGTGAGTCCCAGCCCTATATGCCAGGAAGGCCAGTACCAAGGGCAGATAATTACACTCCTGTTATTCCAAGGGCCAAGCGATCAGAAACTGGAGCTACAATCATTCAGATAACTTCTGAACCATACGTAAGTCCTACTGTAAATACTAACCCAGGAAATAAGGTAGGAATGCACGGCACAGCAGTAATTAATATAGATCTTTTGAATGATGCCTAAGTCTTTTTAACATTTTTGAACATGTCATGATTTTCTTATTGTTGGAATATTTCAGACAGAACATTCTATAATGCAAGCATATGGAAGTCCTTCTGGAATTACCAACCCAGGAAATAAGGTAGGAACACAAGGCACAATAGCAATTTATATCATTCTTACAATAGCTGCCTTTTTAACTCTTTTTTAAAAGTATTAATTATGTTCTGATTTACTTTTTTGTTGGAATATTTCAGACAGAGCATGCTATTAAAGAACTTGAGTCTGGAATAGTTGTAACATTATACCATGTGAAGAAACGTCCAGAAAATTTGACGTTATGCCTGCGTTCCCAGTTGTTTACCATGGTTTTTGTTCGAGCCTTGGGAGGGAAACCCGTATATACAGGTGTGTAGCCAAATTATTGGTTGGATATAATATACTGGTAGGATTTATATAGGTGTGTGGCCATATTTTGGTATGATTTATATAGGTGTGTAGCCATAATGGTAGGACGTATACACATGTATAGCCATAATGGTAGGATGTGTACACATGTGTAGCCATATTATTGGTAGGATTTAAACAAGTGTGTAGCCAAATTATAGGTAGGAATTATTTCTCTTATTGAGATCTCCAGAATCTTAAGATAATCCATATTTAGGAATCACAAATAGAAATTTTATATTAAACATTTATATTTGCAGTGGATTTGAGTCAGCTGAAAGAAATAGTAACAGACCCCCTCCCTAGGTTAGCAAGATGCCCAGAAGGAGTGTTTGTAGAGAAACCAGAGTTGGCCATCACAATTTACTTTGGTGCTACATTCATGCTGAACTCACTAACTTTCTCAGGTGAGACCACATGAAAACAGACAGTGAGTAGATTATACAAAGTCTGAACTTTGTTGTAGAGAATACATGTATACATTAAAGTCTGGATTAAATATTTTTAGAACATAAACTGAGAGCAGAAAAACACATTACTAACTAATTCTGGTAATTTAAAAATATATTATTTTCTTTTTAAGTTTTTTTTAAAAATAAAGATTGATGCATATCAAGATTTGAATATGAGTACTTTTTTTATATTTAGCCTACCTACAATTTGATAATTTTCGAATTGTTTGAAAATTGTATTCAGTGAAGGTTGCAATTCAGAATAGTTTCTGATTTTACCCAGTAAATGTCAAAGAAAGTTAGTTTATTTGTCAATATACTTTTTTTATTAAATTGGCTCTTTTTTTTTACAGTAAAAGACAGAACAGATTTTACTGTTATAGAGGTAGCCATCAGGGACTGTTTGGAGAAAATTGCAAATGAAAATGCTTATAGCCGAAAACAAAGGTTGGTTACAAGTGCAGTTTATTATATTCGAGTAAAGGTTTCTTACTTGTGTAATATCAGTGTGTGAGTGTGTTAAAGATTTATTACTAGTATGATGTCATTCCAGTAAGTAAAAGTTTTTTTACTAGTAGTGTGTTTATTACTTGTATTTTATCATTGTTGTTGTGTGTTAAAGACTTATGACTTGTATGTTAACATTGTTGACTTGTGTCAGAGGTTTGCTTCCTAAATTAAAAAATGAAACTTTCTGGAAAGGGTTATTAATAGTTAATAAATATAAATAATAGGTTAATATATTTATACAAGGTAATTTGAATATTAGGTGATGAATAACTGTTAATGCATGCCATATAAACATGTCATCTTACTCCATATACTTAGCATTAATGTGATATTGTGTGTATTGCAATATTTAATTAAAAAATAAATTAAAACCCCGAGGATTAAACTTCTGTAAAAAAAAGCGCAAACAAGCACTCATTTATTTTCAGATGGTTGTATAGGGAATACAGTAAAATCCAGCAGCTAAGCGGAGGTTTTCTACACTCAAGTAAAGATGGGAAGTAAGTAATTTTGGTTTACTGTAAACTTTTGTAGTTACCATCACTGCTCAACACATGTATAAAAACTACTTTTAGTTTTATCAACATTACTTTTTCTAATATATATTCTAAGAGTTCAATACACAGTTGGGTCAGCTATGAATGGCATCGCATTTTATAAGCTGATTTCCCCCTCCACTTCAAATGATACATCAAAGTTCTCTCTATCTTCCTGTAACCATTATATTAATACCCCATAATCATAATCTTCAACATTTTTCTTTGTCCTTTAAAAAATAAAAATAAAAACATTTCACTGACATTATTATTAGCAATTTAACTTACATTTAATTCTCTGATTATAAGGAGAATTTTCCAGATCTCTTCTTGTATTTAGGAATTTATGTTTATATAAAAGCCTTGTAAATGCACTCATGTAACCTTTTGCTTTTGGATTAAAGGTTTAAACACTTGTTGCAAGTGTAAGCAATTTTAAGCTCTAATATAACTGCTCTAATTACATAGACATTACATAACCCAACATAGAGAATCAACAGAGCCCGACCTGTACTTTATTTAGGCTAATTTAGTGTACAAAACTTTTAATAGAGCCTGGCCTGTTGGCCTACTTTATATAACAGAACCTGACTTTATTGAGACTAATATAGTGGACAAAACTTTAACAAAGCCTGACCTGTTGACCTACTTTAGACTAATCTAGTGGACAAAACTTTGCAGATTTTGCTGAACCAACCTTAAAAAATTAGGCTGTTCCATTTTTTATATCAAAAACTTACTCAAGATAGTTTGCTAAAAAATGTTTTGTTAATGTTGCTTCATATATAATTTCTTTAACATTTCTAGTTAATTAAATTTAAATTGCTTATACCTCATTAGTTTTCATATGTAGACTTCCAGTAAAAGACTTGATACATATTGAAAGATCGTATTATTCTGTTCTGATGATTGAGTCATGCTTTGCTTACTGATCTCCACCAACAAAAATTTAGGTTTCACCGCCACAGTAAAGAGGTGTATGAGCCGAGGTACCAGTATGTTTTGATAGCCCCTCAGACTCATAACGAGCCTGATAGTCTTTAACCCTTTAACCTGAGATTACTGACATTCTAACACTTTTTATGTATTAACTTTTATGTTGGGAATTGGAGGGTTGATTTTGATGGGTTGGATTGGGATAGAAATGTAAGAAATTAATTTTTTAAAATTATTTCACCTTATGATTTAGTATTTAGTTAAATTATCATAATAGTAAACATGACTGAAAATGGCTAACAGTTAAAGATTAGATCTATATAAGGAAAATTTTGAATTAAGTGATATTTAAGTTAAAAGATATATAAGTGACAAAAATCATGTTTGGGTATTTACTTTAGGTAGATTATAAGGTGTGGCTGAACAGGTTTGATAAATAAAAATTCAACTTTTTATTTTTGGAAAAATGTATTTACTTATTAACACACTAAAACACCTAACAGTTGGTGTAATAAAAATCTAATATAATTTTTTATAACTTTGTTATTGTTGAGTCGACAGTTTTGGAATTATAAGGGAGTTTGAGTCATGGGATGGTTGAGCTAAAGCACAGGACTGAAATCGTGACTGTCTTGAGTTTGGTTCCTGGCTCAGGTTTATCATGTCCATTGAGATATCCTAAGGTGTGATCGAGTCTGTAAAGCTCATGGTTGCTAAGCTGAAAAATCTTGAGTTTGAACCCTCATGCAGATAAGGCTCTTTAGCTGGGGACAGCCACTCTTCTAGGAGAGACAACTCCAAAAGCAAACAACTGCTGCCTTGTAGTTTGTTCTTGGTTGGACAAAGGCTATGGAAGCAAATCCAAAAAGAAAAGCAGGCTGAACTCTGAGTCAATGGCCTCAATACTTAATTGTGTTGGAGGAGATCCCTTCCAACACTAAAATTCAGAACGATGAAGAATTAGAAGAAGATATTCTTTAGTGGGGAAAATATAAAGCTGATGGAAGCCTGATGTCGATAAGGAAAAATAAAGGCTGCAAAAATCACTTCTTATTGCCATAGAAGCAAATTGCCTCATTGACATATGCCATAAAATTTAGAATAATAAACTAAATATTATTTTTATTTTAAAAGTTATAGAAGTGGCAAGTTTATTAACAAAATTCTTTGTTTTAAAATTATTGCAGGTTTCTTTACTAATTTTTTTATTTTTTTTAAACACATTTTACTTTGGGGTCATCTGTAAATAATGCCACATATTTGTGCATGATTTTACTACCCTCCACCCTCACTCTTATAGTCACAAAACATCAGGACCCCCCCCCCCCTCCCTCATCACAATTTAAACCTTCCTTCCACTACCACTCAAACTGAATTATTTATGTTTTAGCAAAGATCTATTTACATGAATGAATCCTGTTTTTTGGCTTATTTAATTTTTTAGCTGAGTGTTGTTCCTAAAAGTATGTCAAGAAGCATGAACAGTAGTAGATCATCATCTGTTTGAAGCCTTTGGTATCTCTGGTTAAAATATATCAATTTTCGTTCTAACAATTCTGCCATGTATAAAAAAGGCTCATATGTTTCCAACAATAAAACAAAGGAACTTTTCAAAATATGAATGCTTTTGGTTTTTTTACAAGTCAAATGAATCATCTCAAAATATTTCTGTTTTTCTTTCTCTACCTCAACCCTTGCAATATTTTACTTGCTCATACAGATGACCATTTTCTGTCAAATGTTTCTATGCTGTTTGACTCAAATAAATCCTACTAAAAATTTAACAATATGCTTGTAATCATCACATTAGCTGTGTGTATTTAAAATGTACTTATAGAGATCTACATTATACCCTTATTTATTGTGCCATCTGGGTTTGATAACCTTTTGACTGACTGACATTATATTACATGTAAATTTGGTATTAATTTTAATACTTTTACATATTTTTTAATAAACATTTTTCTTATCACTTATTATCTCATTATTATACTATGCTATTTTAACTTTCTCACGTTTGCAATAATCTAACATGTTCATATTAATGCTCACAATAAATAGTTAATTTCTGTTTAAAAATATTTTTAAAAAACTTTTTCTAATTTCAAATTAGAAAAAAACTTTAAGCAACAGAAATATATCTGTAATCAGATGTTCTTATGTTTGTTTTCTGCCAAAAAAAAATTCTGCCAAAATTGTATACTAATGTATAACCATTTTTTTCTCCAGAATCAACATTAAGCAGATCATGACATGGTTGTTACAGCACACAGACTCTATAACTAAACACTACCTGATGCTAACTAAAGGGGTTAGTACAGCTACTCTATAACTAAACACTACCTGATGCTAACTAAAGGGGTTAGTACAGCTACTCTATAACTAAACACTACCTGATGCTAACTAAAGGGGTTAGTACAGCTACTCTATAACTAAACACTACCTGATGCTAACTAAAGGGGTTAGTACAGCTACTCTATAACTAAACACTACCTGATGTTAACTAAAGGGGTTAGTACAGCTACTCTATAACTAAACACTACCTGATGCTAACTAAAGGGGTTAGTACAGCTACTCTATAACTAAACACTACCTGATGTTAACTGAAGGGGTTAGTACAGCTACTCTATAATTTAACACTACCTGATGCTAACTAAAGGGGTTAGTACAGCTACTCTATAACTAAACACTACCTGATGCTAACTAAAGGGGTTAGTACAGCTACTCTATAACTAAACACTACCTGATGCTAACTAAAGGGGTTAGTACAGCTACTCTATAACTAAACACTACCTGATGCTAACTAAAGGGGTTAGTACAGCTACTCTATAACTAAACACTACCTGATGCTAACTAAAGGAGTTAGTACAGCTACTCCATAACTAAACACTACCTGATGCTAACTAAAGGGGTTAGTACAGCTACTCTATAACTAAACACTACCTGATGCTAACTAAAGGGGTTAGTACAGCTACTCTATAACTAAACACTACCTGATGCTAACTAAAGGGGTTAGTACAGCTACTCTATAACTAAACACTACCTGATGCTAACTAAAGGGGTTAGTACAGCTACTCTATAACTAAACACTACCTGATGTTAACTAAAGGGGTTAGTACAGCTACTCTATAACTAAACACTACCTGATGCTAACTAAAGGGGTTAGTACAGCTACTCTATAACTAAACACTACCTGATGTTAACTGAAGGGGTTAGTACAGCTACTCTATAACTAAACACTACCTGATGCTAACTAAAGGGGTTAGTACAGCTACTCTATAACTAAACACTACCTGATGCTAACTGAAGGGGTTAGTACAGCTACTCTATAACTAAACACTACCTGATGCTAACTAAAGGGGTTAGTACAGCTACTCTATAACTAAACACTACCTGATGCTAACTAAAGGGGTTAGTACAGCTACTCTATAATTAAACACTTCCTGATGCTAACTAAAGGGGTTAGTACAGCTACTCTATAACTAAACACTACCTGATGCTAACTAAAGGGGTTAGTACAGCTACTCTATAACTAAACACTACCTGATGCTAACTAAAGGGGTTAGTACAGCTACTCTATAACTAAACACTACCTGATGCTAACTAAAGGGGTTAGTACAGCTACTCTATAACTAAACACTACCTGATGCTAACTAAAGGGGTTAGTACAGCTACTCTATAACTAAACACTACCTGATGCTAACTAAAGGGGTTAGTACAGCTACTCTATAACTAAACACTACCTGATGCTAACTAAAGGGGTTAGTACAGCTACTCTATAACTAAACACTACCTGATGCTAACTAAAGGGGTTAGTACAGCTACTCTATAACTAAACACTACCTGATGCTAACTAAAGGGGTTAGTACAGCTACTCTATAACTAAACACTACCTGATGCTAACTAAAGGGGTTAGTACAGCTACTCTATAACTAAACACTACCTGATGCTAACTAAAGGGGTTAGTACAGCTACTCTATAACTAAACACTACCTGATGCTAACTAAAGGGGTTAGTACAGCTACTCTATAACTAAACACTACCTGATGCTAACTAAAGGGGTTAGTACAGTGCAAGCCTGGATTAACCCATTCATGGCTGTGACATGATTTTATGTTTTTCTTTGTTTACATCATTTTGACTGTACTTGTGCCCTACTTCGACATATCAACACCACACCAATGTCACTTTGCTTCTCAAATTATTTTAGCCTTATTCAAAAATATCTGGATAGAATATTGATTTTTTAATTTTAGTTGTTTCTAATTATTTATTTATGTATGAACAAAAGTGCGTTGGAAGTGTTTTTTAAATCAAAGTTTTAAAACTTATTTTGTTTGGTAAATGATGGCAGATAAAAAAATCAAAATTTCTCTCAAGTACATTTTGGATATAGTTAACAGAGTATTGCTCTGAGCTTAAAACAGTTCTCCCCATTGAATTCAATGTCAATTCAAATCACTTTACGACTGATGAAAAAACTTCAGCCATAGGTGTGTCTCTGGGTTACATGATGACTCTCATCATTCTACTCTAATTATTTTTCTCATTCAGAAACTCTGCTTCAGCTCAGATTCTCTTGAGATCCACCAGTTCTCTCAGTTGCTGAGTGAATTATTTAAGCCAAATCCAGTTGTGAGTTCTCTTGGTTTTTTTTTTCCATGAGATTGTAAATTGTATATCATTTGTAGTTTTATTTATAATTTGTAGTTTTATTTATCATTTGTAGTTTTATTTATCATTTGCAGTGTTATTTATCATTTGTAGTTTTATTTATCATTTGCAGTTTTATTTATCATTTGTAGTTTTATTTATCATTAGTATTTGTATTTATCATTAGTTTTTTTTATTATTCAGTATTTCTTTGGCTTTTCCCCCTATAAATACTCCAATTGATTACATTGTCTTAAAATAGTTTTCTCCTTTATTTGTTAGGTGGAGCGATTACTTAAAGATTATGGACAGAGTTTGCCTGACTGTAATTGGTCAGTATTATCTGGAATGTTATGCAAATTATTGGTTTCAAAATAATTTTTAAAAACTGCTATGGCTGTTTTAAAAGCATTGCAAAAATTATAAATGAAAATGATTTTAAAAATGTTATTTAGTGCATTTTATATGGAGAAAACAATGTCACATATTTAAGGATAGGTTTCAAATGTATAGTTGATAAATATTTTTTTTTAATTTGTTAATGAAAACAAATTAATCTTAATGGAATATATTTTGTTTTACAGATTGTATATTAGAAAAAAAATGTGTTTCTCTCCACAGTATACTTTCATCCGCTTCATTTAATAAGTTTTTAACATCTGAGCAAAATGTAAGTTGTATTAATTAAGACATTCTGATGATTGTTTGTCTGTTGTTAGCTCCAGCCTCAAGCTGCACTACTCTGTTATTGTTGTCCACTGATTATCTCCCTTGTTTTTTTGTTTTTTTTTTTTTGGGGGGGGGGGGGGGCGTAGAACCATTTTGACATATCAACATTATTTTACTTTGCTTGTTTGAATATTGTTAACATGATACTTGTTCTGTGTGAAATGAAAACAGTTATGAATGGATGGATATCAGCATGATAAACAATTTATTTTTGTTTGGTAGAAAAACTCTTAATGTCAAGTTTTTTAAATTTTATTTCTTCTGCACTTATGTTCTGTGTTTACTTTCAGGAAGAAGTTGACCCTAGTTTCATCACCAGGTTAATGTCCACATGTCTAGCCCCAACTAAAGGTCCATTTTTTGACTTGCGTTTTACTGCTAGAGAGGTGACCAACTTTTCCTTAATGATAAAATTTTGTTTTCAATACTTTTTTTCTCAGTGTAAATACTATCTTTTGTAATATTTTCTCTCTTTGTGAATTCTGCCATTTGTAATATTTTCTCATTATTGATAATTTTTACTCATTATAAATACTACTTTATGTAAAGCTTTTCTCTCCTTCTAGTTTGAAGCCCACCTTTATGTAAAGCTTTTCTCTCCTCCTAGTTTGAAGACTACCTTTATGTAAAACATTTCTCTGCTCCTAGTTTGAAGACTACCTTTATGTAAAACATTTCTCTGCTCCTAGTTTGAAGACTACCTTTACTCAGAGTCCAATTCTATTCTGGATCCCAGAGAGAGAACGGTCCACCAGGACATGGGATACTCATTGTCCTGTTACTGGATTGCGTCCTCCCATAACACGTAAGTTTTTAATTGACCAGTCAGTTGTCATTAGATATCAGAAAAATAATTGAAAATGGATAAAAACTATTTCATGTGCAGTTTTTTTTCCATTTCATATGGACATATTGAGCTTTAAAGATTCATCCAGACTCTCTTACCCTGTCTATGTCTCACATGTGCATCTCTCCTGACTCTCTTACCCTGTCTATGTCTCACATGTGCATCTCTCCTGACTCTCTTACCCTGTCTATGTCTCACATGTGCATCTCTCCTGACTCTCTTACCCTGTCTATGTCTCACATGTGCATCTCTCCTGACTCTCTTACCCTGTCTATGTCTCACATGTGCATCTCTCCTGACTCTCTCCCCCTGTCTATGTCTCACATGTGCATCTCTCCTGACTCTCTCCCCCTGTCTATGTCTCACATGTGCATCTCTCCTGACTCTCTCCCCCTGTCTATGTTTCACATGTGCATCTCTTTTGACTCTCTTACCCTGTCTATGTCTCACATGTGCATCTCTTTTGACTCTCTTACCCTGTCTATGTCTCACATGTGCATCTCTCCTGACTCTCTCCCCCTGTCTATGTCTCACATGTGCATCTCTTTTGACTCTCTTACCCTGTCTATGTCTCACATGTGCATCTCTTTTGACTCTCTTACCCTGTCTATGTCTCACATGTGCATCTCTCCTGACTCTCTTACCCTGTCTATGTCTCACATGTGCATCTCTTTTGACTCTCTTACCCTGTCTATGTCTCACATGTGCATCTCTTTTGACTCTCTTACCCTGTCTATGTCTCACATGTGCATCTCTTTTGACTCTCTTACCCTGTCTATGTCTCACATGTGCATCTCTTTTGACTCTCTTACCCTGTCTATGTCTCACATGTGCATCTCTCCTGACTCTCTTACCCTGTCTATGTCTCACATGTGTATCCCCCCCACCCACACATTGACATGTTAACTATCAACACATGAACTGTATGAGAGAGTAACAATGTAACTGAACTACTCCTGCACAGATATCTAACTGGAGACCAGTGGAAAAGTGAATCTCATGTTGAAGCTTATGTCCGCAGCTTACAGATGGGATGTCGATGTGTTGAGTGTCAGTATTTTTTTTTATATATCCAAGTATTTAGTCCATTGGTTCTGAACCTTTTTGGAAGTACCGACCCCCCACCAGTTTCATATGCGCAGTCACCAAACCCTTCTTTTGCTATGACAAAATGCGATCGTGAATCATTTGAGTCAAGTGTATGTATTGACCTCCGTGGAAGAACCACAGTTAGTCTTTAAAGCTACATGCAAAAGATTTGTTCTTAAATTAGTACTTTGTAAAATTATAAGTAACAAAGTTTAATTTAAAAAAAGAAAGTGCTGAGTAGTTTTGCAGCATTTTTTTTCCTTCCATGTTTTTATATAACTTCCTGAATTTTTTTTTTAGTGGACTGCTGGGATGGTCCAGATGGTAAACCAATTATCACTCATGGGAAAACACTGACAGGAAAAATCCGGGTGGTGGATGTCCTAAAGACCATCAAAGAACACGCTTGGGAAGTGTCAGAGTACGTTTTGCCATACTGTCATTTAATAAAACTCCTGAGCCAGTTTGGTCATGCAGTAAAGTACAGTAAATCAATATCTTGTTTTATAGGTACCCTCTTATTTTATCACTTGAGAACCACTGCAACTTAGTCCAACAAAGAATAATAGCAACACAGCTGAAAGAAATATTTGGAGGTAATACTGTGGCTGTATTGCTTTTTTACTCACTTGTCTTCTTTCTCATCAACCATTTCTTTCATCTACTTTTTCTCTCATCCACCATCCGACTTATCCATGTATTGGCTAAAAGCTGCCCCAGTCAACTGAAATATTTACTATCTCATCCATAATCCAACTTATCCATGTATTGGTCAAAAGCTGCCCCAGTCAACTGAAATATTTACTATCTCATCCACCATCCAACTTATCCATGTATTGGTCAAAAGCTGCCCCGGTCAACTGAAATATTTACCTTACAGATGAGCTTCTTACTGAACAGGTGGATGTCAATGAGACTTGTCTCCCCTCTCCACAGAATTTGCTTAGAAAAGTCATCATTAAGGTAAAGTCAAGTCTGAGCTACTTTGTCAGATTTCTTTTCTTTTTTTTTTTTACCTTATCCAGCCATCAGTAATTTTTTTCCTGGTTGAATGTAATTCGTGTAATGAAATTAAGAAGATGTGTGTAGTTTTCTTCCTTACATGATGATCACATCACAGTGAACTTTGCAGATGTAACTAAAGCAGTATTTACCCATCTCACAGCTCCTGAAGGGTTAATTTTTCTTTTCTCATGGATTATTGTGAGATTATTGTCATGGCTGATTTTTTTTAATGTACATCTCTGTTAAACTTGGGACATTCATAAGTAGGATCTAGTGAATGAGCTCTAGTCATTGATATTGTGTTTACACCATTTTAAAAGCTTATTCTTTGTTTCAAGTTAATGGACCCCCTTCATTGATATTGTGTTTACACCATTTTAAAAGCTTATTCTTTGTTTCAAGTTAATGGACCCCCTTCATTGATATTGTGTTTACACCATTTTAAAAGCTTATTCTTTGTTTCAAGTTAATGGACCCCCGTCATTGATATTGTGTTTACACCATTTTAAAAGCTTATTCTTTGTTTCAAGTGAATGTGCTCCTGTCATTGATATTGTGTTTACACCATTTTTAAAGCTTATTCTTTGTTTCAAGTTCATGGGCTCTAGTCATTGATATTGAATATAACACCATTTTTAAAACTTTCACTTTTTTATTTTTTTTATTTTTTTGTAGAACAAGAAACTTCAGAGAGATGGAAGGCTGATGGAAAATAAAAATTATGTTGATTTAGGTATGTGTTAAATTTTGTGTTCTTTTCACACTAAGTTCACTTTTTTTTTTTACATTTTTATCCTTGAAATATACCTGTATATTTTCTTTTGCCCTAATAATTACACTTGGTTTTTGTTTTTGGAAAGAAAATAAAAATTATGTTGATTTAGTTATGTGTTAAATTTTACTTCCTTTTCACACGCAGTTGGTTCTTGTTAGTTTTTAGATATTTTATTTTTAAGCAGTAGCTGTATGACATTTTTTGTGCACTAATAATTCCACTGGGTTTTTTAAACAGTCACTGTCCCACATGTTTTGTTTTGTATATAAAATAATTTTTTTTATTTTATTTTCAGCTGATTTAAATGACAATGATACCAAGAAGCATGCCATACTGCACATGAAATATGCAGCAGAAAGGGTATTTAATTATGATTTCACTGTACTGATATATTTTTGAATAAAAAAGAAAACAATTTATAGGGAATCCTTAATAAATTAAATAATTAATTTTTCAGCAAAGTGTAAAAAAAAATAAAAAATTATTAAATTGTTATTTTGATAACTTTTCATTGTTTGAAACTTTTAATTACTTATTTTACAATGTAATAGAAGACTTTTGTGATCTATAGAAATGGTACGAGTACAATGTTGTCCTGACTGACACCCACATATGTTTTACACCGCATGTGGTAGAGGTGGAGGAGGAAGTAGAGTTTGAGGAGATTGATGATGATTACTATGAAGTAAGTAACTTGTGCTCTTTTATTGTTAATTGATGAGTAACTTTCAGTGTCAGTTGATTACATTGAAGTAAGTTGCTCTTACTCTTGCAATGCTAGAAAACAAAACAAAAATGGTTTATTAGTTTACATTGTACTTCATCACCTCAGTCTAGAAACCCATCTGTTATTTTTAATATATAAAAATTATGTGGACATGATATACTTAACTGCTTCTGAAAGTCCCAATTTGTAGGCTCTTTTTACCAATATAGTTTTATTTTTTATACTCCAACTTTTCTTTTTTTGCCATTTACAAGAAATTTTTTAAACTTAATACTATTCAATACTTACTTAAGTCAACATAGCTTGTTATGAAGGTAATTATTTTTAAAATTAACTCGATCAATAAAGCTTGTTATGGTGGTAATTTTAAAATGCTGTCATCAGTAAAGCCAGTTGTATGGTGATTAAAAAAGGTAATTTGATCAGTAATGCTTGTTATGATGGTAATTTAAAAATGTTATTTGATCAGTAATGCTTGTATTGATGGTAATTTAAAAATGTTATTTGATAAGTAATGCTTGTTATGATGGTAATTTAAAAATGTTATTTGATAAGTAATGCTTGTTATGATGGTAATTTGAAAATGTTATTTGATCAGTAATGCTTGTTATGATGGTAATTTAAAAATGTTATTTGATCAGTAATGCTTGTTATGATAGTAATTTGAAAATGTTATTTAATCAGTAATGCTTGTTATGATGGTCAATAAAGCTGGTCATACTAATAAATTAAAAAATGTTATTTGGTCAGTAAAGCTTGTTATGGTGGCAATTAAAAAATGTAATTTGATGTCAGGGCTTTGACCTGGAGGATGAGGATGATGGTGATGAAGCGTGTGGCCTCAACTCTCTCCTGTGGTACCATGGGAAAATCAAGCGATCTGCAGCTGAGTCTTTGTTGGAAGAGAACCGCATGCACGGGGACGGCACCTTTTTGGTCAGGGACAGTGACAGAGGGGGGCTGGCCTTGTCTTTCTTGTGAGTATCTGGTTGTTTCTTTGTGAGTATCTGGTTGTATCCTTGTGAGTATCTGGTTGTTTCCTTGTTAGTATCTGGTTGTTTCCTTGTGAGTATCTGGTTGTTTCCTTGTGAGTATCTGGTTGTTTCTTTGTATCTGGTTGTTTCCTTGTGAGTATCTAGTTGTTTCATTGTGAGTATCTGGTTGTTTCCTTGTGAGTATCTGGTTGTTTCCTTGTGAGTATCTGGTTGTTTCCTTGTGAGTATCTGGTTGTTTCTTTGTATCTGGTTGTTTCCTTGTGAGTATCTAGTTGTTTCATTGTGAGTATCTGGTTGTTTCCTTGTGAGTATCTGGTTGTTTCCTTGTGAGTATCTGGTTGTTTCCTTGTGAGTATCTGGTTGTTTCCTTGTGAGTATCTGGTTGTTTCCTTGTGAGTATCTGGTTGTTTCCTTGTGAGTATCTGGTTGTTTCCTTGTGAGTATCTGGTTGTTTCCTTGTGAGTATCTGGTTATTAGTTTCCTTGTGAGTATCTGGTTATTAGTTTCCTTGTGAGTATCTGGTTATTAGTTTCCTTGTGAGTATCTGGTTATTAGTTTCCTTGTGAGTATCTGGTTATTAGTTTCCTTGTGAGTATCTGGTTGTTTCCTTGTGAGTATCTGGTTGTTTCCTTGTGAGTATCTGGTTATTAGTTTCCTTGTGAGTATCTGGTTATTAGTTTCCTTGTGAGTATCTGGTTATTAGTTTCCTTGTGAGTATCTGGTTATTAGTTTCCTTGTGAGTATCTGGTTATTAGTTTCCTTGTGAGTATCTGGTTATTAGTTTCCTTGTGAGTATCTGGTTGTTTCCTTGTGAGTATCTGGTTATTAGTTTCCTTGTGAGTATCTGGTTATTAGTTTCCTTGTGAGTATCTGGTTATTAGTTTCCTTGTGAGTATCTGGTTATTAGTTTCCTTGTGGGTATCTGGTTATTAGTTTCCTTGTGAGTATCTGGTTATTAGTTTCCTTGTGAGTATCTAGTTGTTTCCTTGTGAGTATCTGGTTATTAGTTTCCTTGTGAGTATCTGGTTATTAGTTAATTTTCAGCCTGTTAAGGGTGGGTGGGGTGGGGGGGGGGGGGGGTGGGTTGTTAAAAATGTAAATACAATTTTTGGCTCAGCTAAGTTTAAATAATTTTTATGCTTAATTCACATTTTATATTATTTAAAATTCTGATTTACCTCTTTGAAAAAAGATGTCCTTATTTTTGTTTAAAAATGTGATTGTGATTTTAGAGTTCAAGGGGTAATAACTCACACTCAAATAAAAACAAGATTTGACTCAGAGGGGAGGAAACAGTATTTGATTGGCAATGAGGTGTGGCACAACTCCCTGGCCGACATGTACAAGTTTTATAAAACTCACAAGCTCACCTACAAAGAGAGGGGCCTCAGCATCAACTTAACTTATGCAGTCTGTAAATTGGACTTTGTTTATCAACCGTAAGTTGAAACCTCTTTAGATAAGCTATGCTTCTTTATAAAGTAAATTTTTTAAAATGTTGGATTCTCCTTTATCTAATTAGAATTACATTGCTATATTTTTTATGACTTACATTTTTTGGCGATAAAGTAATTTCCAAAAGTTAAAAAAGCACCTTTTATGTGAAAATAAATCACCTTAAATGTTTAAATTTTCTAAACTAATAGATTCAAATTTTTTGAATAGTATATCTTTTTCATTAAATTTATTTTATTAAGTTTTTCTTTAAGATGTGTTAATGGTCTTTATCCTTAATTCACAGGATAAAAAAAATAGTTACATTTTGCCATTAACACATCCAAAAGAAAAACTCAATAAACTTAATGAAAAAGAAATACTATTCAAGAAATGTGAATCGAATAGTTTGAAAATTTAAATTCCACAGTTTCCCCCATGCAAAACTGGTGTTTTGTAACATTTTTTTTAAACAAGTTCCTCTTATTGACCTTGTTTCTAGCTGGTATTATCGCTATGTTGACCGTGTGACAGCCGAGGACTTTCTCCGAAGAATTCCTAAAGATGGTGTGTTTTTAGTCCGGCCAAGCTCAGTGGAAGATAGTTTCTCTCTCACACTCAGGTAATTGGTCTTAATCATTATTAGAGAGCAACTGCATTAACTTTTTACTCTCAATAATGTTTCAAAATTAGAAGAAATTCTATATTTTTTTAAAACAATAAGTTCGTGTATTAATAATTGTATATTTTTGTCTAAGTTATCAGTAAATTAATTTATATTTACTTTTGGTAGAAATATGTTATGTGTACATTATTAGAAGTACATTACGTACACTTTTGTTGTTTGTTGTATTTGCAAAAAAATTATTGTGTATGTACATTAAAATTATGCTTTGTGTCTGTCTCAAGGTTCTGCCGCAGAATATCCCACTACCAAATAGATTACAAAAAAGGGAAATTTGTACTTGGCAAGTTCAGATTTTCCTCCATGGAGAAGCTGATAGAGTACTTCAAGCGCCACCCACTGTACAAGTCAGCCAGACTCACTCAGGCAGCATCTAATGACATGGTGGATGAAACAGTGGAAGATGTAAGGAGTTGTCTTCACTTATAGCAGGTTTTATAGTTAATGAAACAGTGGAAGATGTAGGGAGTTGTCTTCTCTTAGCTCTTGTAGCAGGTTTTATAGTTAATTTAACCTTTGTTCCCTTAATTTTCATACATTTGACAGTCTTCTTCATTCAATATTTTTTTCAGTTTCCTCTTACAATGCCCTTGTATTGTTATTTTCAGGAGATGTACTGTGCACCTGAGGTTTACTCCATGGTGTCAGCAGCTGAAAAATTGGTCAGTGAACATTATATAAATCTGTTTATGATAGCAATGTCAAATTTGTTATTTAATTTAAGTAGGCCTGGAACATGCAGTTCAAACAAAATGTATGCGTTTATGAACTGTTCAATGAGTTATTAACAAATGTCTTACATATATGATGGGACCCCAAGCACATGATTGCTAACCCATAGCTCTCTTGTTGACTTGACTGCCAGTAGCCATCAACTGATTAAAGAAGATTTTTATATAAATCAGCATATCACCATCAACTGATTAACTTTTTTTCTATGAAAGCCATCACAATTCCCTCGTGAGAAAAGTTTTATTTCTGCATGAAAAATAATTACTGAAGATATGGTGGGCATTGTTTTTAAAAAAAAGTAGTAGGCTTTTTAGTGTTAATAAGTGCGCACTGAGAAAAACAGCAACAAGTAACGAAAAGTAGGTCACGAAAATAACATCTGTGTAATTTGTAAAGCTGATAGTAAGCTTTGGGTGTTTCCGAGATGATCGAAAATATGCTTATCAAATACATGAGAAATGCAGCTTTCCAATGATGCCAAATACAATATGATGACAGATATAAAGTGTTTCGTAGAGAGATTGTAAGATTGAGAAAAAATGAATATTTTTTTAATTAACAGGGTCATAAAAATTGTATTTTAAACACAAAAATTATTTGTTTTCATTAAGTTTATTATTTTATTAATACAAAAATGGACAAAGTATCCAAAGTGCAAGAAACCCATCATGATGAAAAACCAAGAATTTAGTGATTTTGTAAGGAGCATATCCCCTTAAGAGAAATAACAGTACTTTGTTAGAAAAATATAACTAAAAATTTTTTTAAATAAACTGTTTAGACAAAAGCAAATACACATGCTACCAACGTCATCTCAGTTTGTGCATTCATTTTCTCAGGTGACTGTTATGGCTATCTTTAATTTTCTCAGGTGACTGTTAGGGCTATCTTTGATTTCCATGGGACTTCAGATGACGAGCTATCTTTCAAACGAGGTGCATTAATTTCCAATGTTGTTGTAGCTGATGAGGCGTGGTAAGTGCCCCCACATGATTGTTTTCTCTCGTGTTCAAAGTGGCGTAACTTTATTTTAAACCCTAATTACAATTTTTAAATTTAATCAAATGTTTTATTGCAGGTGGAGAGGGGACCATGCTGGCTTTGTGAATAAATTATTCCCTGCTAATTATGTGGAACTGGTTGACAAAGAAAATGGATCTGGCATAGGTTCTGATGCTCCAGCAGAGAGCATACTAGCGCTTGCTGATTGCCATTTTGGTTAGAAAGTTATTTTTTAATCTCAAATTATTTGAGAAAACTTTTGTAATTAACACCCCTGTATTGTCCACCTGCTTTGTGTTTTAGATTTGTTTTCGTGCATTCTCTGGGTTTTTATTTCTGTACAAAATAGTTCTACTTTTTACATGGCAGATGAAACCAAATCCAGAGACAGCATGCACTATTTCACACTCACCCATCGCAATCTGCTTGGAAACCTGCAGATTGGGTCAAAGGTTAAGGCTGAGATTGAAGAGTGGCGTACTTTTGTTATTAACTACAAAGCAAAAATAAATTCAGAGGTAAAAATAAACATTGCCGCTACATTCTTCAAAGATGTGTTTCAAGTGTATTTTAATAATTGTATATTTTTTATCAACCTAAATTTTTACAAAAAGTTAAATTCTATTGCAGACCTTAGAAATGCAGAGACAGGAGAGAGCTAAAAACATTGCACAGGAGTTGTCTGACTTGGTTGTTTACTGTCAAGCTGTGCCCTACAGTCCCAATAGTAAGCTTTGTGGCTAGAGAAATGCACAATTAGAAAATGTTCTCACAGAAAAAAAAAATGTACAAATAGACATTTCTGCACACAGAAAAGTTGTACATTTTTCCATTGGGCATTTTTCTGGGGACTGTTTGTTGTTACATGAAATTAGTGACCTAGTTTTAGATTGCTTGGCTGTTCGCTACAGTCCCAATAGTAAACTGTTGTATACTGCTTGGCTGTTCACTACAGTCCCAATAGTAAACTGTTGTATACTGCTGGGTTGTTCACTACAGTCCCAATAGTAAACTGTTGTATACTGCTGGGCTGTTCGCTACAGTCCCAATAGTAAACTGTTGTATACTGCTTGGCTGTTCACTACAGTCCCAATAGTAAACTGTTGTATACTGCTGGGTTGTTCACTACAGTCCCAATAATAAACTGTTGTATACTGCTGGGCTGTTCACTGCAGTCCCAATAGTAAACTGTTTTTTCACATGACATTATAAAGAAACACACTAGATATTAGGTTAACTTGACAAGTGATAAAGTTTATCAAATTATAACTTCCACTATATTTTTTTTTTTGTGAGTCTGAAATGGTTTTCTGATTGACTTTCAGGATCCTTGAGATTTTATGAGATATCATCATTCAGTGAGGAGCGTTTGGATCCTGAGATGATTCAGTAAGTTGAAGTGGTTTATAAAAATATGTTTTGTTTTAAATGCAGTAAGGAAAGAAAAAGCTATACAATTTAGCCATAAAGTACATTTTATTAGTTACAGTTACCCGAAATAATGAACCCTACCTGTTGACTTAAGACTTTATGGTTGAATTTGTGTGTTAATAATAATGTTAAACAATTCATTATTTTGTATTTGCACGATCTGGTTTGTATTGGAATGTTTATATTTTTCTCTTGTAGCTATAACCAAATCCAACTGAGTCGAGTGTACCCAAGGTTTTTGCGCCTGTCCTCCACCAACTTTGATCCCATCCCCAAGTGGAACATTGGCTGTCAGATGGTTGCCATGAACTACCAGACTCCAGGCAAAGCCATGCAGATCAACCAGGCTATGTTCCTTCAGAATGGGAGGTGGGTTGGGGGTTTTTGTCATTGTTTTCTTTATTTTGACCTGCAGAATGGTAGGTGGGTTGGGAATTTTTGTCAGTGTGTTTTCTTTATTTTGACCTGTAGAATGGGAGGTGGGTTGGGAATTTTGTCAGTGTGTTTTCTTTATTTTGACCTGTAGAATGGGAGGTGGGTTGGGAATTTTGTCAGTATGTTTTCTTTATTGCAACCTGCAGAATGGGATACCTCCCTCTCAATACTAGGGTAGATTAGAATGCACTGCTAAAATATAATGATACCTTCTTTCAATACAAGGGCATATAAAAATGTACTGCTAAAATAAAATGATACCTCCCTCCCAATACAATGGTAGATTAAAATGTGCTCCTACTCCCCAGTAAAAGATCAGCAACTCTAATATAAATATATTTATCCACCCCAGGTCAGGTTACGTCCTGAAGCCGAGGTTTATGAATGAGAGCCACTACAACCCAGCTGATATCCACTCACTCAAGGTTCACGTGGAGTCTGTTGTCCTCTCCGTCTCAGTCTTAGGGGGCCGTAACCTGGGTGTCTTGAGCTCAGGAATGGGAGTTACCCAACCTTTTGTTGCAGTGGAGGTCTTGGGGCTTCCACTTGATAGCCAGAGAGAAAGAACCAGGATGTTGAATAGTGAGTACAGATCAGACAACTACAACAGACACTTTGCTATCTATTACTGCTGATACTAGTTGCGATTGTTAACATTGTATTCAATTACTTTTAGTTAAAACTATAACAGCTTATTACTTAATAATTGTGCTTCAAATCTGAGATGTAATCAGCTATAAAAACTGACTCCAGCTTATTTGTTTTGCATTCCACAACTTAGAAAAGCTTATAGTTTTTTAAAGCTAAATTTCAAAACAGTCAAAGCAGTTTTAGACAAGTTAATTTCTTATAAGGTAATAATTCATTGAAACAGATAAAGTATTTTTTTTTAATTGTTATTTTCAATACATTGATTTTAAAAGATTTTACGGGGTTGTTCAATATTTTCAGGTAAAAATAGTCTGAATCCCATCTGGAAAAATGAAACTTTTGTGTTTCATATAACTTGTCCAGATTTAGCATTTGTTAGATTTGAAGTTGGCAGTGAGGACAATGAAGGAGCTTATCTTGGCCAGGCAACTTTCCATCTGAAGAGTATCCGTGCTGGTAATGACTTTAACTAGCTCAGTTGAATATATGAGCTCAGTTTTGTTGAATCTAATTCCTTACACTTCTTTGTTGCTGTGTTAATTAAATTTATTTTCACATTGATTTTGTTTTTCTTTTATTTTTTACATTTTTTTTGTTTATTCACAATTTTTATCAAGATTACAAAAATTATTTTTGGCAACTGTTTATCAGCATTAATTTATGATATATTATTGCATTGTAATGCTGAGATTTAAAAGAAGCAAATGTTTTCAGTGTGTATTATAACCTTCTGTGAATGTAGTCACATTTAGTTTGTTACAAATTTGTAATCTTTTTATTATTGTGCCCAACTTTAAAATTTATGTGTGCAGGTTATCGTAGTGTACATTTACTGAATACATACAGTGAACCACTTGGAATGTCAACATTGTTGGTTTATATTGACTTGAAGAATCCAAAGGTTTGTTATCATTTTTTTTTTCATTTATATTCCAAGGACTTAACTTACATTCAGTTTAAATTTAACATTTAATGCATCATATATAAAACTGTTTTCCTTTTGGTAAACTCTAGCTGGTCAGTATTTTACAACTCTAGCTGGTCAGTATTTTACAACTCTAACTGGTCAGTATTTTACAACTCTAGCTGGTCAGTATTTTACAACTCTAGATGGTCAGTATTTTACAATTCTAGCTGGTCAGTATTTACAACTCTAACTGGTCAGTATTTTACAACTCTAGCTGGTCAGTATTTTACAACTCTAGATGGTCAGTATTTTACAACTATAGCTGGTCAGTATTTTACAACTCTAACTGGTCAGTATTTTACAACTCTAGCTGGTCAGTATTTTACAACTCTAGATGGTCAGTATTTTACAACTCTAGCTGGTCAGTATTTTACAACTATAGCTGGTCAGTATTTTACAACTCTAACTGGTCAGTATTTTACAACTCTAGCTGGTCAGTATTTTACACTTCTAACTGGTCAGTATTTTACTACTCTAACATCAATGACAACTTCTTCTAACCAGAAGTCCAATATGTCTGTTACTTTTGATGGTTATCTTTGAAACAAAATAAAATTACTATAATTCTCCCATTGCACATTTTTATGGTGATCCATTTTTTTTCTTTATTCTTTTTTATCATAGTTAAAAAAAATTAAAAGAGTGTATTTTTTTTAGCTCTCCTGGTTTAAAAATGTAAAAAGAATGTATTTGTTTATTTGTAGGAAGAGGAAGAGAAAAATGTTTTCCGTATTGTGGAGGAAACCAGAAAACTGTATGCAGAGTTATCCAGCTCAGATGAGAATGACAGACGACGCAGGGAGAAGTTGCTGGAGACAGAACAAAAACTGTTGGAGTACCTGGACAGGAGCAGGATCACAGGGTATTCCCAATATGAGAATGTTTATTATAAGACTTCATGATTACACTCTTAAGATCACAGGGTACTCCCAATATGAGAGTATTTATTATTAGATGTCATTACATTGTTTCAATTATTTTTTACAGTTAAAATGTATTTACTTTTTTATGTTAATAATTTTCTCAAATCAAGATATAAAATTAACTCTTTAAGACCGTAAAGACACTCCCAGCTGTCAGTCCGCTGGCCTGCCTTACTGTAACAACGCTCCCTGGGTCCAATAATATTTTCTCTATTTGGTTCATTATTTTTCCAAGTTTTCAATTGTGTCTAGGTCACTGTATAGCAAGAATGGCCAATTTTCTTTATACTTACTTCATGTAAATTCCTGTTGGGTTTGTATTTTATAGAAATTTTTTTGTAAAACCACTCACACATTTTTTAAACGGCTGAACACTATTGAGACCGATGTCTTAACGTTAACATCGCCACGATATAAAATTAACCAAACGTAGTTTTTATTTTAATACTAATCCGATACATGACTTATGTAAAAAAAATTGCATCCTTTCATTTTCTAAGAAATAAGAACTCATGAAAAATAATTCTTATCATTAATTTTTCTAACAGGGCGTTTTTTTTTCCCCAAAAAAAAATCAACTCTTTAATTTTTAATCAAAGTAATTATCTTTCTTCAATTAATAAATATTATTTTAAAATTAATGTATTAATTTATATCAGTAATGCATGGGTTTTAAGTCAATGGGTAAAGAAATATAAGTCATTTTGTGGCAAAAAAAAATTGAGTGGAAAAAAATTCTGGTGAATCGTGAAAATAATTACGTTCTTATAGAGTTTAGATCTTTTATTTTTTGCCGGAGCAAATTATTTAAGTAGATGCCATATACAAGAACATTCCCAAATTAAAATATCAGTTAATTCTTTAGGCCTTCTGCACTTGTTTAAATTTCAGACCTACTACACTTAATATAAATTTCGTTGTGTATTATTGATCCACAAAGTTTTTTTCATCAGATTTGTGAGACAAGTTTTAGCTCAAAAAAGTTTTCTTATCTATAAGTAAAATTTTACCTTAATGCGCAACATTACTTCATGCATGAATTTCACTTTGATTTCGTTGGCATGTTTTGTTTTAAATCAGTTTCTTTTTCATAGCACACTTTTTTTAACTTTTTTCATCTAATAATATTTTTCTAATTTTTTAAAAATGATTTTGCAAAACATTTTTTTTAACACTTTAGGCTCAGTTTTTACTCAAATTTCTTCTTTCCTGTTGTGTCACACTTGAGGTTTGTTTTGCTTGTTTAAAATGCCTGTGTATTTTTTTCTCAGAATGCGTAGAACATGGAGGAGATAAGCACAGAAAGAATTGCATGCTGGGACCACAGAAAGAATTGCATGCTGGGACTATTTGTTGAAGCCTGTGTACATTTTTTTCCCTTGCATCTTGAACAAAACCACAAACAGCAAGCTCATCAAATTTAATTAAAATTGTGCACCTGGATTTTGTTTAGCAAATTTTCTTGTTAGCTGTTACATTTTCCATCTATTTTTCTTCCAGCAGGTTGTACTCAGTGTAGCAAAAATTGCACTGTTAATAATTCAAAGTTTACAGTACTATTTTTTGTTACTGCTACATATTTCAGACTACAATATATTTCATAAAGCTACTAGTGACATTCTTGGTTATTCCACCTGATAGAACCATTTATTTCATGCTTACAAAATTCTCTGTTTAGTGTTCATCATTGCTAACAATATTCTCGGTTAAGTGTTCAGTGAAAGTAACTTGCTCAATACATTTTGTTTCGGCATTTTTTGCTCATTTTAAAGATACCTGTGCTATTTTGCATAGTTTAGACATATTTCACTGTACATAGCTGTCCATTTGTTTTTTATTGAAATTTTTATTATACTTTCAATCTTTCTAAACTTGAAAACAAGAATCTACAACTGTTCTAATCTCTTTAGTTTCTGCATAATGTCTTAAGATGATTTGTTATTGCTGTGATAACAACTGATCACGTCCATCTCCACCAATACTCGGTCTGTTCTCTGTTGGCTTCTCTATCAGATCAAACTTTAAAGACCAAACCAGGATTTGTCCATTTTTAAGATAATGAAGTGTTTTTTCATAATTGACATTCTGTTGAGCAGATGAAGTAGAGCTCTTCTGTGGTATTGCCATGGTGAAAAAAGACGACATATTTTCAAACCACCTCTGCTTCCTCTACTTTAGATCTGGGTGAATTCTAGCACCTGTAACAGACTTTATGTGAAGATCCAAGCTCAGAACTTCTGTGTTGGCTATGATAAATTGTATGGACATACTTGCCTTGACAGAGACATATACTACAGTAATTGACCACTGGCTCACATTGGATGAATAGTTTATCAATGACCAAATGAGAACCATTCATATGTCATGTTGTTGTTATTTGTTTACATTTGTTGAAGTTACCAATGATACTGGGGTTTTTTAAATCCAAAACTATTGTATGAGGTCCAAAAAGCTGCATTTTTACAGTAATTTTTTTTTTACAAAAATATACAAATAATTGTTACTATGTTAGTTATGCATAAATTTGTTTCAAAAATGTGCTCAGTACACCAAAATATTTTTACAGACTTATGAAAAGTTTATTCTACTATTTGTTATTATTAAATAAGCTTACTGTTTTCTATTGTTCCCGGTTAAACAAAGCTTGATAATTTCTTGTTATTAAATCATGTTGAAGATAGTATATTTTGACTGTAAATCCAAAATAGCAATTAATTTTTAATTTCCAATCCTTTATTAAAATTGTGCAACGTATTATGTTACACTTGAAAAATATTTGCATGCAAGTTTCAGACATTTTAAAATTGTGCTCACCAAGCTTGCTTATCGCCAATATGAATATAAATTGATTCTACACAAAAAAGTGAACATGTTGCATTAGTCTTCTATACAGTCAAGCTTTTTGTTTAATTCCATTTCAGCTTTGTGAAAGGGTTTGATCAGTATTAAAATACACAGCTTGAGTAATATTTCACACAAGTCTTTGTGTGTTTACAACACAATTCTATGCATGTTTTTCCCATTACTTGTTCATATGCAAGTGTGTGAAACTGCATGCAAAACTATTTTGTTTTATATACAAAGTTTTTAGTGTTTACATAATAATGAACTTATTAAATCTTCGCCTTATTTAGGCAGCAGTTTCTGCAGTATGACATTTATTGCAGGAGAATTTCATGCACTCAAACAGTAAATATAATTTTAAACTTTAATTTTTGTTTCGTGTAGTTGAAAGATTTTTTAATTGTAACTGGCCATGTATTAATAGGGCATGTGGTATTTTCTGTTGAATCTCTGTTGAAATTGATGAAAATAAAAGTGATTAATTAAAACAGATGTATTCAATCAAAATGACCAATTCAGGTGGTAAGATTAATTTAATTTGCATGGTGGGTGAAATTAATGCCTAGCTCAATCACTGTTATTGTAACAGAGTATTTTTTACTGTTGTTTGTTATAATTCTGAATTATATTGGTGAAAGTAACGAATATATTGCTAGCACAAGTGCCATTTTTTTTAAAATAAAATTCTTATGTAATTTGAATATATTTCATTCACAAGTGCCTTTTCTATTAATTAAAATTTATTTTTTAATCTTTCATTCTTTGCCTAAGCTACATCATTTGTGTTGATTGTCTATGAATACCTTTATCTTTTGTTACATTCAAAGTCAATCATCATTTACAATCAAATAGAAGCAATTGTGTGATTGTAACCTTTTTAAAATCACTTGTTTATTTTGTTGTATGATTTTTCAATATCAAACCAAAAAGATATCTTATGCAATTTTTTAATGCATTTTTTCTAATAAACATATCTCTTTTCTGTTATATAAAATATTAAAGATGCTATATGCTTAATGACAAGTCTATAAAAATCCAGTATATTTTCCCACCCCTTTGAACAAACATACCTGCTTTTTTATCCTAAGCATATCAAGCTTTGATCTACATATTGTGTTGTTGCTATTATTGAATGTCTTCCATATATTTCAAACATGGCCATAATAACCCTCTGTTGTTTTCAATATGAATAAATTTTTTTTTTATTTCTTAACTTAGCTAAAAAAAATTGTGGCTCAATGTCATTGTTAGTTATTGTTACTCACTGATATTTTAGTGTAAAATGGAATGAGTTATTGACATGATTGCATGTTGTTTAGTAATTGGATGTTCTCCCCTTTTTAAACTCAATTGCTGCTGCAATGTTATTTGAACCTTTATTTCAAAGCTTTAGAAAATGTTTCAAATTAAAACAATTTTCAAGAAAGTAAAAGTCTATCTTGCTGTGACCACCAGAGCTTAAATAATGCACAAAGCTTACACATTCAAAATAAAATTTAAGGCTATAAACCTTTACGTATTCAAAGTGATGTCAGATTTACTCATTTTTAAAATGACAACTACTTAGTTAATGTTTACCAGTTTCTCAAAAACTGGTGATTCCCGCCTATTTTTTTTGGAAATATTTTACCAATACTTCAATTTTGATGTTGATTACATTCATTAAACCAAGTAATTATAAGATAACAAAAAATAATTCTCTAACTTAATCCTTTTATCCTAAATAAACCGGGAGTGATCCCCCCTAAACTTTCTCGAATATTCTAATATAACACTACGGGGGATGGCAACTCGGGATATAGACTTCTAGACATGATTTTTAATCCATTTTAAATACTCAAATTTTTAAAAATAGAATATAATCTCATAGAAAAAAGTATTGCGCACCAAGCGAACGCCGAATAAAGATGTTCATAATGGTGCGCAATATTATAAGTACTTTATAAATTTAGATGCGTTTTTGAGAAATCGGAAATAGCGGAAATTAGTACTTCCCGTCAACGGAAATTACTCAAAATTTAACAGAAGGTAGAGAATTAGATCTTTTACTTACAGGTGAAATTTCATTTATCTACCTGAAATAGTACTCAAGTTATAGGCTTTTGAAAAATTCAAAGTAGAAAAAGTACCACTTCCGGTTATCGGAAATCGCTCAAAAGTTGATACGGATCTACGATTTTGATAAAATACTTATATATGAAATTTCATCAACCTAGCTGTAACGGTACTCAAGTTATCGTGTTTACACACGGACACACACACACACACAGACATACGGACAAGATTGCAAAATTATGTTTTTCCGTATCAGTGAGATGTAAAACGTCGAGATTTGCAAAAATCTCGATTTTTTTTTTTGCACGATTACAAGACTTTCTCTATACTTCGTATATACGAGAAAGTAAAAATGAAATGGAAATTAACTGTTTATAATAGACTGCCTCAAATATCCATCTTTGTTTTTGTGATCGTTGTTTTGGCATGAATCTACACTTAATAAAATTCTGGCCACTGCTGTGCCAAGCTTGCTATAATAATTTTTTGAGCCAGTGTCCACAGACAAAGCCTTGTTAGACCATTGCCTTAACCATAAATTATCTTCAGTTGTGTGGGTAGACTATTTTTGTTTATTGTTTATATTAATTTGTTTGAATCCCAACCTATCCATTGATGTATGTGATTTTTTTTTTCCAAACCAGCAATTAGTAGAAGCAGCTCAATTTATTTTTTGTACATCAGTTTCTTTAGTGGCATATACTGTATTTATTAACAACCGTCTTTATATTCATTCTATAAAATTAGCTAAATAACTAAATTAATTTCTTTTATATAGAAAAAACTTAGTTCTGTAACACCTTTTTAGACATTCAATTATTGTATTTTAACTAATTATTTTTTATTGTATAAAAGAAAAGTTTTCTTATTAAATACAAATTTAGCTTTTAAAACTGTTACCTTTGTTAATTTTTTCATGTAACTGTTATTCATTTTTCATATTCATGTCAGTTGGCCTTAAGTTAATATTTAAAATTATATTATTGAATATATTACAAATATTATGCTCAAATAATACCATACCTCTGAGACATTAAAAATAGCATCATCAGTCTGATTTTTTTTAAATGATATATCATTAAGCAATGTAATTATGCTCAAAAGCCTGATGTCTTACATCTATTTTTCTTGGGTTTTGTCATTTCATTTATAGAATAAAGCAACAGATAGCTTTGAATACATCTCAACTTTTATACACTTCCTAAAATGTACATCTTACTAAAACTTATTTTTGGTTGTTTGCATTTTTAAATTATAATTCTATGTTCATGCTTAAAGTTTTATTTATAAAATTGTTCTGTCAAATTAATTAAAATTTCTAGCACAATTAACAGACCTTATATTACTTACAACAACACATTTGCATGTTAGACATTATTAAAAGCATTTGATATTAAATTGTTCCTTACATTAAAACTTTTAGATTTTGACACAACTGATGTTTCAGTGTTTGAAATAAAGATTATTTAGTAATTTAAAAGTATTTTGTTGTTTAGTGGTTAAAATGTTTGATGGACAAAACTAGTTTATGTTAAAAAATATTGAAATTTTTCACTTGGAAAATATGTGATCACCATTAGAATAATGCTAACTACCTCACTATGGGCAGCACATAATGAGTATGACGACATAAAATTAAAATCCTATAATCAGATGTCTAGACATACCTATTGCATTGTATTGAATAACACATAATCACTACCAACAACTATAATAATATAAAAATGTACAAAGCGATACTTGCAATTCTTGAATATTTACGTCACAATTGTTTAAGTTTGTGTTCACTGGATATTCGAAAATTCAAATTTATGTGTTTTTCACGCCATGTAGGTTTCATGTTTTAAAACAAAAAATGACCAACTTTTCTTTTACATGATACATGGCAGCATAAACACTAAACGCAGAAAAAGGGTTAAAAAAGAAAGGAAGTGACATAAAGAATCAATATTTCTAGTACTTGTAATTTAAACCAATTAGTGATAGCATTATTTATCAAAACTTAAATGTAATGAAAATACCCACAACACTTATAAAGAAGTAACTTTTAATTCACACAGTATTTATATCAATATTACAATACCATAATTTAGTTCAGAACAAAAGCTATTGAGATAGTAGCCTCTGCCCAGGTAATATACTTTCACTGGACTACAATAACAAATGTCTGAGCAGTCAACAGCTGATCCTTGTCTATGTTTACCTACAAAAATTTATTTCTTTTCTTCTGGTTTGCTTGCTGTCTGGTCTTTTCCCTCTGCAATTCTGTAAGCAGGAAACGTTTCCCAAGGAGTGTTGTTGTCAAATTTACGAAACTCTTGGGTTAATTCTAAAGGCTCAATAACAACTCGCTGCACTTCATCATCATAGCGAACCTGAGGAGTAATGGGAAAGATTTCAATTCTGGTCAAGATATGATTTGTAAAACATAAATGACACCATTTTATGTGGTAGTTTGAGCTCTTCTTTCTTCTTAATTTTTAGTGTTGGAAGGGATCGAGCCTTATCTGCCAGAGGGTTTGAATTAGAAACTTTTTCAAATTTATCAACCATGAGCTTTTTGCAGACTCGACCACGCCTCCATCACAATTAAGGATATGTATCAACTGGTTATGCGCCATTGTGGCCATTGACTCCGATTCAGCCTGCTTTCCTTTTTGGATTTGCTTCCATAGCCTTTGTCCAACCAAGAACAAACTACAAGGCAGCAGTTGTTTGATTTTGGAATTGTCTCTCCTAGAAGAGTGGATGTCCCCAGCTAATGAGCCTCATCTGCCCGAGGGTTTGAACTCGAGACTTTTCGGTTTAGCAACTATGAGCTTTACCGACTCGACCACGCTGACCCCCTAGTTTTAACTCTGAAGAACAGTGCTATTTGCAAATGTTTAAAAAAAAATGAAATAGGTTAAATAATTACCTCAACATAACCAGACAATGGGAAGTCCTTTCTGAACGGATGACCTTCAAATCCATAATCTGTGAGTATCCGTCTTAAATCAGGATGGTTGGCAAAAAACACACCAAACATGTCCCAGATCTAACAGAATTATTAAACAAATGCTGCAACATTATGCACATCTCAGTCATAAAGCTCAATATACTACATCAAAACAAAAAAGGTTTGTGTTTTAAAAGTTGTAAATGTAAAAAGATTTAACGTTGTTCCAATTAAATGCATTTAAACAACTCTTTTTACTACTTCTTAAACTATTTTTTGTTTAAATTAAGAACAATAAAATAAAATTATATGTACAGATTATGATTTGTTTATTTTATTGGATGGAAAACTAACATCAGTTGTAAAGAAAATTGCACATTGGAAAATACATCAGATCATATAAATGACAGTTGCTCTTTTTACTGAGATGGTTATTTCAAGGATTTAAGAGATCACTATCAATATGCTTTGTACGTGCTTGTGAGGGAATGAAATGGTATTATCTTACCTCCCTTTCATACCAGTTTGCCCCCTTGAATACAGAGCAGGCAGACTCAATAGGTGTTAGCTCATCTGTGTAGGTTTTAACACGTATTCTAGCATTAAACTGGAGGGACAACAGCATATATACAACCTGTAGAGATCAATAAAATTATATCACGTCATAAAAAACATTTCTTCTGATAAAAACTATTATATCTTGCAATCAAATGCTTTTGGTAGGAAAAGTTAATATTACAACAAAACTAGGATAAATCACCTCAAACCTATTTTCCAGAGTTGGTTTATCTAACCCGGCAATGTCTACAATATTGAGAAACTGGGCATTGGTATGATCTTTGAGAAAGGATAGAACTGGGATAACTCCATCAGGGTGAATCATCACCTAAAATGAAAGTTGCACAAAGGTGTTTTAATTTTTAAAAATATTAAAATGAAAATCTTTTCAAACTGGTTTTTACATTTTTTTTTGGCAAATTTTAATTTTTGCTATAGTTTTTAAAAAGGTAAATAAATCTCATTTTTAAAATACAAAATTGTAACTTACAAATGTAAAATATCATTGATTATGATATCTCAATATAGAGAAAACTTACTTCCAGTTCCTCGTGATGTGAGACCTCACATTTCTGAACATACTTAGGCAAACATTCTGCTACATATGCTCCAAAATCTGTCAGCTGCTGTCTGACAAGTGGATTGCGGACTGCCACAGTGGCTAAAACAAAATGTTTTTATTTTTATAATAGTTTTCATTGATAAAAATAAAAAGACAATTACTAATAAAAGTATCTTATGTTTACAAAAGGCAACAAAAAATGTGAGCTTGTAAAGACAAAAAACTTTTACAGCATTAGACTTTACAGGAGAGAATTTTACATATGATATTCTTATTTAGCTTAAGGAAAGTTTAGAAAAGCAAGCAAGCACCAGCTACACAAAAACACTTACGTTTGCTAGCTTCTGTTGTTTGAAATCTTTTGTTTTGCAAAGCAATAGGAGATATTTTTACTACTGTAAAAATAAATAAACATTGTAAAAATTGACTTTTTAAAAAATTAAAAAATAACTTTACATTTTATGAAATGTTTGTCAACTGGATTTTACTAAAAGCTAACTTGAAGCAGAGAGAGAGGACAGCCCACAAAGTAGGTGCTTTTTATTCTTACTACTATTAATCCTTTAATACATAATGACCTGTAGCTGAAGAACATGGAAGGGTTGACAAATAGTTGCTTTTTCGATGTCATGGTATGTATTTCAATGGATTTTATGTTGTGCTTATAGAATATAATTCCTTTGATTTCTTATACCAATGTCAGGTATGTTTAGGATATGTTCAATACATTTTCATCAGAAGTAAATTTAACCCCTTTACCAATGACCTAATATTTAAAGTTAGATCAGCGATCTATGTGCATGTGGATTAATTTAATAATTTTAATTAATTTACATTTTGAGAATACTAGAAAATCTACATACTTAACTACTTGGTGACCTAAAGCTGTTGTAAAAACAAGCCCTTAAGTTACAAGGCATATTCATTATTATTCTAGATTTCTCTAAACTCTAAAATAAACACTTTTGTAGGCTTAATTATAATAATTAACTTAATTATGCCCCATTTAGTTTAGCTAATAATCTTAAAAAGCTATTCAAGTCAAGTTTGATTGTAATGGTGCATGGCATCACACACAATTGATAATTATTGAATTAACCAATACACACAATAAACGAGTGCATGGGTGTTTTACAATATTTTTGTGAAGACAACAAACCTCAGGATGATGACGAATAAATGAAAATAACTCGTCTAAACTACTCTAAACTCTACTCTAAGACAAGAGCTTTTTACTTTTTTTAAGATTAGTTAGTTATTTATAAATATAAGCCAGGTTGTCTCAGAGGCGTAGCTAGGGGAGTGCGGGTGGGGCGGCCGCCCCGGGCGCCAACCTTAAAGGGGCGCCAAAAGGGGTAGAGATATTAATTTGAAAGCTCAGTTTAAGCTGAAGTATCGAATTATATACTGTCAAAATAACAAAAAATAAACGACTACAAGGCTCCACACACTGATCTAATAACTGTGTGACATCGAAATAGAAATTGTTACAGGATAGTAACTGGTAAGAAGCGCTACAAACCTTTCCAACTTAGGGGGGTTTTTTTTCACAGACAGGAAAAACTATATATATAATAAGGGAGGTGCAAACTTGATAGTCCGCCCCGGGCGCCGGATTAGGTCGCTACGCCTCTGGGTTGTCTTGCTTAGTGTTAGACTGTTAGAGTTGTGTTACTTGGCTAGATTCTAGATCAGAGATCTAGACTAAGAATCTAGATCTAGATCTAGAATCTAGATCTAGAATCTATTTCATTTTCTAGATTCTAGATCTTAAATATAATAAATAATGGTAATCTATCGTTTTGGGTACGTAAAATCGCCCGCGATTTGTAATGTGAAAAACAGGTGACTCCTTAAATTTTAATAATTATTTCACATTTTGAGGAAGATTTATGTTTTAAAAAATTCAAAAATGTTTCCTTGATTCATTTATGTACCTGTTTTTAAACAATTGAATTAAAACTTTTCCGTAATAAATGAAGACTAGCGATGTTTCCAACAGATGCAACCATGCTCATTTACTATAGCAGCCATCTTGTCTAAGTTTTATATTTATAAGCTTTTAGCGCCAGATTCAGGAGGAAGCCACTCTATTTTACAAATGGCTGCTGTTTATATAGCAAATCTTGCTCTCAGACACTGCTGTTTAAAGTTAATTTCTGGCCTGTATCGATATATTAAATTATATTAAAATATTTAGTAGTTAGTAGTATGACAATACACTTCTATTAAAGCCTTGACAATGAGGTAACGTTTTCGTACATAAATAGCCGCGGGCGATTTTACGTACCCAAAACGATAGATTACCTAAATAATAAATATTCAAAATAAAATCTACTCATTTCTGATCTAGGTAAAATCACGATATAGCGTCGGAAATTATTGGGTAATGTTCGTTGAGTTTCGGTAACATTCGTTACTGTAAACCATAGTTTATTCGACCGTTGAAAGAAAAATAAAGTCAAGTGCATTAAATTAATGTTTTAACTTAATTTAATGTTAAACTGACAAAAAATTAGCAACAATTAGTAAATCTAAATATTATTAATAAATTCGAGTGTGGTCATTAACGTTTTTTTTAAGAAACGCAGAAAAAACCGGGAGAAGATTTGCGACAACTAGATCTAGTTCTGTTAGTAAAGATAAAAGTAGTAAGAAGAGCTAGAATAACGTTTAGTAGCAGCAATAATTAGCACATACACTTAAAATAATTAGAAATACAAAATAATCAGAAAAACAGTGTTTAAAATGCAACTAAAATCAATCCTTGCACCTTTTTAAACATTGTGTATTAAAAATAATATGGCGGCAAATAAATGATGGTTTACAGTATTTCCGGTGGTTTCCGGAACGGCTCGACAGACTACGCCATGGTTTTACTGTTTTTTACTGCTGTACAGTTCCGGAATAATAACCGACGCTATATCGTGATTTTACCCTGATCTAGAGGTTTTTTTGTTTTTTTTTGTCTACTTGTTTTGTTTTAGATCTAGTAAAAAAATAGTTTAGTTAGGCCTAGACTCTAGTAGTAAATTTTTAATTTTAGTTTTAGTTTTAAGTTTTAACTTTTAACTGAGCACTCAGCCTGCCTAGACCTAGATAACACGAAGTCTACGATTTTTCATAGGCTTAGATCTAGTATTAAGAAAATACCGTTTGTTCTTGACACTGCTGATGCTAATGGAGCAATAAGCCTACAAATTCTTAGGGCCATTTTCAAGGAGAGAACGAATTAGTTAGTACATCAACAGAGCTCTCCCCAAAAAGAAACACTAGTTCTAGAGTCTAGATCTAGATAATCTAGATCTCTATGTGTTTTTTGTGACGTTCTCCACACTTCCGCCAAGTGCTTAGTTCAAAACGAAACAAGAAACTAGATCTCGGTCTGGATCTACATTTGAATTTAAACATTTCTACATTAAAATTGTCGTGTAGTTTAAGCAAACTTAGATTATAGATCTTAACCCCAGATTATATTTAAAAAACAAACATGGCAGATGTTGATTTGAGTGAAGCCGAGAAAACATTTATTCTTCACAGTGTTCAGGTAGAGTTCACTAGACTAGGCCCCTAGGGCAGGGGTCGGCAACCTGCGGCTCGCGAGCCGCATGCGGCTCTTTTGATGTCGAGGTGCGGCTCTTCAGTTCCATGGACAAATATCAATAATTATTTTATTTTCTTCCTGAAGCTAATAAAAATATTAGTCTGCAACACTTTGACATTTTATTTTCGCAAATATCTCCCCATGAGTATTCTCAACAGCTTCCTAAAGTTTCATGGCGATCGGATGAAAGTTGTAATAATGAATAAAAGACAGACACACACACACTTACATACATTGATATATATATAGTATTATATAGGCCTATATATATATATATATATATATATATATATATATATATATATATATATATATATATATATATATATAGGCCTACCTAATCCTAATCAAAGATCATAATATTAAAATAAAAATGATTGTGGCTCTTTAAAAGCTGGGAAATTTTGAAAATTGTAACTTTTGGCTCTTCCGTCTCAAAAGGTTGCCGACCCCTGCCCTAGGGCCATAGGCCATCATATGATCATAGGGGTGGTGGTAGTGTCAGTACTGACAGTCTCAGTAGTAGTAGTGACAGTTTACGAGTGTAGTAGTAGTGTAGTATGTAGATTTTCTCGCTAAAAAATCTAATCTAATCAGTAGGTCAGGCCACATACCAGGCACGCACAGTGTTGTGTGTCGTGCCTTAACCAAAATAAAATATCAATCTGATTTTCAAGAAAATCAGATTGTCATTTTATAGGATCATTTGTTGAGCATTATATTTTTAAAGGGCTGATTACTTGAGCTTGATCGATGTACAAAAATAAAATATAGATCTAAATCAAACTACTTTTACTATAGCAAAATGAAAATGTACTGGGAAATTTTTTTTAGTTGAAGCATTGGTCTCACAAATGTGCTAGAGATTTTATGAGCGAATGTTCTTACTTAGAGTTACTATGTTCACTAGATGTATCTGCTATGTAGTCTTGGGTAAATTATTTTCAATTTTCTTAGGACAATTTTAGAGAAGATGGCAGAGGCTGTGAGGATTTTCGACACATGGAACTAGAAACTGGACTGATTTCCAACACAAATGGGTCTGCACGCGTCAGATTAGTAAGTGGTTATATTTGTCTGTTGTCCTATGACACATTATGTTCATCATGCAGAACACAGTATCAAACACATGCTAGAAATATTGTTTTGAAAGTATGCTTTATATGTAATCTTCATTCAATGTGGTTGATCACCAGGCCAGCACAGATGTACTAGTAGGAATTAAAGTTCAACTAACACCAGTAGATCCTAGTAAACCAAATGTTGGTCGCATTGAGTTTTTCCTTGACTGGTTAGTACATTTTTACTATAGACGCCTTTTATATTTGATTTAGGTATGTGTGTAGTGTACAATTTGGGAGCTAAGTATGGTGCCATTCTACTTTATTTGGCTGTAAATATGCACTTAATACTCCTAGAGTTTAAAACAATGACCATAACTATCTTTAACACATAATGTGACATTAGAGTATTATTTAAAAATATTTTTACCCAAAGTCCAAGAGTAAGTTTGTCCATCAAAGTTTTGTATTTTGCTTGTTTCAGCTCAGCAAATGCTACACCTGCATTTGAAGGCCGGGGTGGGGAAGGGTTAGCCTCTGAAATAACAGCGATGTTGACGAGAGCCTATAGTTGTCCCAGTGCTTTAGACTTTCATTCCCTGTGTGTTCTGCCTGGTCAGCACTGTTGGCTGTTGTACATAGATGTTTTGGTATGTTTGTAAATTAATGCAAATACTTAATCCATCCAAAAAAATTATGAATGCTGAAATAAAATTATTGGGCGAGCTTTAATATCATAAACACCACAGCTATATAATTTTCTTATTTGTTTACATTCATTAATAACCTATAAGCATATAATCTCTATCTATTAGCTGTTAGAGTGTGGAGGAAATTTGTTTGATGCTGTTTCAATAGCAGTTAAAGCAGCATTATTTAATCTCAGGTAAGTTCTATAACCTTAACAGTCCTCTGTCCTATACACTTAATAAAAATATCAAAACCTTTATGATTATAAATTTTGAAAATATGAAAACAAAACAAACCTACTTTCTTTTATTTAAAAAAAACATTGGTTGTCTTTTTCTTTAGAGATAAATATTAATCTCATACATTACTATTTTAGATACTGGCTAATAATTAGCATTATTAATTTCACAATATCTTATTTCTGAGTCTGGTTTTAAAAGGAATGCAATTATTTTAATCAGTGTAATGAAATTGTTTTCAGGATACCGAGTGTTACCATGACAAAAGATGAAGGAGGAGTGGAGCTGGACGTGTCTGATGACCCATATGATTTTAAGAGGTTGGATATTACAGGAGCACCCGTAATTATTACAGTCAATAAGGTCAATATCCAGGGTTTTTTTTTTAACTTCTTTAAATAGTCAAATGAATGAATCTTGTTATCAAATGAATGAAACTTGTTAAATTAATTACATTTTTAAATATATAAAATGTTTCCTTTTTTTTTTTAAAGAAATTTTATGAGAAAGGGTTGATACCAACTTGGATACCTTCCCAACAGCGTTTATATTTAAACTTGATTAAAATTACAAGTTTGCATAGCACTCTTTTCTTTATTAGACATTTTAACAGCTTTTATATTCTTTATAAATAGATTGGACATTTCCATGTTGTGGATGCAAGTGAAAAAGAAGAGGCATGTTGTTTAGCCAGGTATAGAATGATGCTCATATAGACATTTTTTTTTTCATTTAACAAAGCTGTTGAATGTTTTAACATATATAGACAAGAATAGGTAGACATGTATAGTTTATTTACCATTACTGGGAGGCTTCCACTACATTTATATTAACTAGTAGAAAAGCCTTGAGCTCAGTGGCATAGCTACCGTAAAGCTAGCGTAAGCAAAGCATAGGGGCCCAAGGCAAATAGGAGCCCTTTTTCAAAAGTTTGAGGGGAGGGGGGGTGCAAATAGAAAGTTTGTCCCCGTTCGCCGGGAAGGGTCGCTACGCCTCTGAGGGGCCCACTAACACTTTTTACATAGGGCCCCAAAAACCCTAGCTATGCCACTGCTTGAGCTTTTGTCCTGTATATTTATTTTTTATTAATCTCTTGAAATTACATGTTAGTCTTTTTAATATAACATATAGAAGTAATTTTCTGTTGTAAGTAATGGCACATATTTGTATTATTTTTATAAATGAACAATTGCTCCTACATTAAAAGAATATTTATTTAAACAAATTTGATTTCTTCTTAACATTTGTTGTTTCTTAATACATTTTGACAGAATTGTTTTGGGAATAACTGAAAAGGGAACGATAACAGCGATGAAGAAAGAAGGCTCTGGCAGCCTGGATGCTGACAGTATATCAGACATGATGGAGGTAGGAGATCATTGGTTTTGTTTTTTTCTGGGTGGAGACATTTTATTTGAGCTCTGGTTGGTCAGTTGTCGCAGGATGGAAGGCAACAATCAGAAACATCAGGATGTGTAGGTGCTGTTGTTTAATAGAAGTGATCGGGACTTGTCCACCCACTGTGTTTAATATCAGTTTATGAACAGCTAACAACACATTCTAATTAGGTTAGTAGTAATCAATAGTCCCACCAGGATTTAGATTTCCAGGCGACTCTGTCCTTGATTAATTTCTTCAACTGTTCCCACTTCTCAGGTTTCTGGACAGCGTTTTCTTTTTTTTTTTGTCTCTGCATTCAACTTCAGCTATCATTTTCTTGTACTTTTAATGTGTTAAAAAAAAGAATGTATATTAATTTTTTACAAGGTAATAATACATGAAGCAGCCCACAGTTTTTTATATAGTACAATTCTAATCCTAAAATACCTTTTGTCTGTTACAGAGTGCAAAAAAAGTTGGAATGGAGCTCAACAAATGTTTATTAAAAGCACTAAAATCTGAAGAAGAACAAGAAGCAAAGCCTGTTGGATTTCTCAGATGATTTTTATGTCAATTTACTGTTGTTTTTTTTTTCAATAAACATGTACATAGTAATACCTAATTTTTTAAATTACGTCAGTGTTTGATATATTAGCTCTATAACTGGTTCAGGAGTTGGGCATTACCCCCCCTCCCCCTCTCTGTATAGTTACCCCGTCCAAAACCTCTTAAGTTAATGTTTGTAAGTCCATTTGATTCTAGATAAAACACAAGAGTTATTTATAATTCTGCTGTGAGCAGATAACATGTATGCTGGTAGCTGTTCTCAAGAGAGAGAGTGGGGGTTGTGTTGACGGGTACTGTCCTTACTTCTCAGGTTTACTATTTTTAAAATGCATTTGGAAAGTGTGGAAGCCAATATCAGATAGTTTATATTTATTTAACACAATATCACATGTTAGACACCCCCCCCCCCCATATAATAATAAATACCAGACCAACCCACCATTTTCATGAATTTTTAAATTCTAGGAACCCCTTCCCCCCCCCCCCCCCCCCCCACCTCTTGTATTTGAACATCAAAAAAATTTTTAAAAACCTGATTGGATGTTCTCTAATTAAATTTGGGATGGTCACTTTTCAGAGTGCAGGCAACTGAAGTAGAATTCATCTGTTACTTAGGTATGATATATTAAGTTTGGATAATGTGGTCAGTTCTATAGCTATAACAAGCAACTTTACTTTCCCAACGCTGGTCAGATATCCCTCAGAGTGGAGTGAGATATTTTATCAGCTTGATTCCGGGAACTGAACTCGAGACTTTCAGGTAAGCAGTCATGCGCTCTGCAGTCCGACCATACCATCTCATAACGAGTCTGCTAGCCACGAACTAATCCTTATTACGTTTACCCTCACTCAGTTTTAACGTTGTTTCTTATAATGTTTGCGTACAAACACTATTTCATCGTTTAACTTGAAATTTCAGTTATATTTCCTTTTATTTTTATCACGAACCATTAAAGTTAGAAACGTACCTCAGCACCCAACTGTAACGTAATTTAGCTAAATCATAGTAAACCACACCAGTGGCGTAGCGAGGTCGGGTGTCACCCGGTGCGGCCCTTAATGGTGTAACCCCCCCCCCCCCCCCCTTACGAAAAAAAATGATATATATATATATATATATATATATATATAAATTAAGTCTTTGTTGATTATTATTTGGAATTACATTGTTATTTTTACACTTGCAGCGATTTGTTGTGCACTAGGTTGTGCAATTGTAGTAAATATAGCTGGCCGCCGGTCAGTGATTGTGAAGATGCGATGGTTCGAAGTGATTTCCCTCAGTGCCAACCGGTGACAATGAGAGCAGTTTTTCGTGAAGAATTGAAAACCAACTTCTAGCTTATAGTTGTTTAAATACACCATGTTCCGTTCCTAGCTTGTAGAAAGTGCCCTCGACGCTCATGCCAACTGCAATGACCCTTCGGGGATCACCGCGACCTCTGTCAACATCTGGAATACGGATGCGACCAATATCTTTCACTTCAGCTTGTTTAAATTTTGTTAGCATCTTAGCACCTTGAGTTTGCAAGGTAGTATGAGCTGCTGGCCTGTTGTCAATGGTTTTTTTTTTTTGTTTATTGTGGCATTCTGCGAATACTGTTCCCTCCATCCCCTTCGTCTGCCTTATTGGCTACTCCGCATATTGCATGGACATCGTTGCCACAGGATCCACAAGAATGGGCTGCACTACAATATTTTCCCCCACAAACTACACAGAATCTGATGGCTTTATTATTGTCACGCAACTGGTCTGGACGTTGCGCCACGGCAGGAGATGTGTTAGCTGAGGATGTCGTTGCATTTATGGAAACATCCATTCTTGTTCAATGTTCTCAAGATCTTCCTCAGTAGCTAACTTATCGAGAGTCTCTCTTGGTAGATTTGAAGTGCTAAGTCCTACTTTTGCTTTGCGTCCAAACAAGGCTTCGTACGGCGATTGTTGGATTCCTTGGTGAAAATTACGGTTTTTCATAGGACTCTCAGCCCAATGAGCTGATTCATCTGTCTGCATCCATGTCATCATCATGTTTCAAACATCTTAGTATAGCATATAGAATGCTATACAAACAAGAGCCAAACAATACGTTACACACAATGAAACGCTTTTTTCTGTTTGCGCTTTTTTTCCGTTTGCGCTTTTTCTGTGTGCGCTTTTTTCTGTTTGCGCTTTTTTCCGTTTGCGCGTTTTTTCTGTTTGCGCTTTTTTCCGTTTGCGTTTTTTTCCGTTTGCGCTTTTTTCTGTGTGCGTTTTTTTCTGTTTGCGCTTTTTTTCTGTTTGCACTTTTTTTCTGTATGCGCTTTTTTCTCTTTGCGCTTTTTTCCGTGTGCGCTTTTTTCCGTTGCTCTTTTTGTTTTGCGCTTTTTTCCGTTGCTCTTTTTTCCGTTGCGCTTCTTACTGGTCACCCCCGCCGCCTTCCACCCACACGATTAGAATAGATAGCCTATCTGTGACTAGTCCTTGCAAACAATATTAACCCCTTCTTCCCCGTGTCGTGTCGCAGGTGTCAAGCCCTGCGATCATACAAGTAATTGGAAATCGACATAGACCTCATTTACTGTCTGGAAATTCTAGGAATTCTATATTTAGTTTAGCGCTTTCTTTTTTGTTCTACATTCAGAACAAGAAACTGATAGATCTAGTCTTTGGTTACACAATTTCAGTTAACATTTCAGTTACAAACACACAGTGGCCATATTGAAAACAAGACAGTATGTATTTATTTTTATTTCTACGGTTAACTATTAATTATTTAATGATAGGACACTTGTACTTTACTAAGTTTATTTGTTTCTTTATGTAAAATCATGATTTAAAATTCGGATTTAAGTCTAAACCTATTGTTGTTGTTGTTTTTTTTTTACATAGAAATCTGTCAAACAATTAACCCCTTTTATAAGAGAAATTGTGTGATAACGTCAGAGGCGTAGCGATCCGGTAGGGAGGACAAACTATCAATTTTTTACCGACTAATTTAATATTAAATGTTTAAAAAATGTTTGTTTCGTAACTGTTGTAGTAGAGCATTTCTATCTAATTTGGAGCATCGTAAGAAGGTTACGGTTAATCGTAGAGACAAGCCCCGTCCCCGCACCCCTTCTTTCACCACACAGGAGTTTACTTCTCTGTCTCTTAAATCAACAATAGGCTTACGCTTTTTTTACTTTAGTTTTAGGCCGAAAAGTTTTCAAGCAATCTATTTATGGGGCTTACTCAACTTACTGTATTGAAACTGAAACCGAAAGGTAGATTACTTACCTTTTTTCGTAATGCGTAATGACATCATTATGTCAAACCAAAACTAAAACAAAAGCTACTTTTAGGTGGCACTAAAAATAAATTTCGTAGAATTTTTCCATTCAACCTATGGAAACTAGGGTATTATGGGGTTAAAGCTTACCCTTGGGGAATACGCTGCCATAAAATAAATTAACGCATCTGCCATATACCCTCCAATTGAATATTTTCGTGTGTAGAGTGTAAAACGATCTTGATTTAGCGCTCGATTTACAAAGTGTACTCTACCAAATAGTTAATGAATTCTTTCACCTTTCAAGCATTCTTCGACTGTATTTTAGTAATTTTTAGGTTGGGTCAAAGTGTGTTAATTTAAGAACCCCATACGCTATAGTTCCTATTTTAATTATTTATTCTTATAACTTAATAAGAGTTAAGCGTATACAATTAATACACTGTTTTTTTTTTCAAGCTTAACGAGATTTCAACTGAAAATTTGTAATTATGGCAAATGGTTGGCACATGGATGATTATCAAACACAGATAAACAGCAATGGAATAGTCTTTCACTCAGAACGTTTACAGCGCCTACGATCGTCAGAAACATTTCCAGCATTTGATGACGACGCACCGCCTGATGATTTTACTAACATAACAATATTCCCAGACACTGAAGAAATAAACACATCCATTGAGCCTTTCCTCAGAGCCAACAAAACTAAAGGCAAATACCGGGATTTACAACACTATCTTGATGTACATGCAAGACTCATGAAAGAAGATTATGTAGCTCCAATACGGGAAGGCTTAAAGGAATACAGAGATGCTGAAGAGAATAAAAGAAAACCAAAAGAAAATGAACTGCGGTTTTATTATGATGTTAAACTTGTCTCCATCGAGTGCGATCATGCCGGTTTTACCCATTTTGTAAGTTTCGATACTTCCAAGTTTAAAAATTTCGATTGGGAACTTTCTAAACGCCTAAATTTTGGTTCACTTTTAGTATTTTCTAAAGACAATTTTAAAACAATAATTTTTGCCACAGTTGCAGATAGCAATGTAACCATGCTTAAAAGAGGGATAATTCAAGTTGTTTTTCAGAATAACCTTGAGGTTGTATTTACTAGTTCATCGGAAGATGATACGTTCATCATGGCCGAAACAACAGCTTACTTTGAAGCCTACAGACATGTTCTGGAAGGTTTAATAGAAACGACAGCTTTACCATTTCAAAAGTACATTCTGTATTGTAAAAACAAGATACTGCCTCCAAAGTATTTAAAAGACATAAGTAAATACGACATTGCAAGTATCATGAGTGACACTTCTGATGAGCTTTCGGTGTCTGTTCTAGAAGATTCTGATTGGCCAGAGACTAGTGAAACAACTTTGAATGATTCTCAACTTAAAGCTTTAAAACAGGCCCTAACTAAGGAATTTGCAATCATTCAAGGACCCCCTGGTACTGGAAAAACATATATTGGGTTAAAAATAATGGATATTTTATTGCAAAATGAGTCGAATATTGTGTGTGAAGGTCCTATTCTTGTAGTTAGTTACACAAATCATGCTCTTGATCAGTTTATGGAAGGTATTTTAGACTTTTGTCCTGAGGGTCTAATTAGGGTTGGAGGAAGGAGTAAAAGCGATAAGCTTGCAGACTTTAACCTAAAAGTATTACGAAAGAAAACAAAAGAAAATAATTACAAAAGCTCCAAAAAAGACATGGAATTCATTGGCAGTGCAGCAGACGAACTCTGGCAGGAATCAATACGTCTTGAGACAACAATATTGAAAGTAGAAGATCTTGCTGATGAAATCAGTGCTGCCCATCGAAATTCACTAAATGAACCTAATCGCACTGAAGGAATTGTCTGTGAAGTAATGGAGATCTGGCTGAAAGCTTCTAATGCTAACATAGACAACCATTTGTTAAAGGTTAGTAGAAGTTATCTGGCGGGGATTATCGGTGAAGGCGCTGAGACTCGCATAGATACAGAATTAAAGTACAGTACTCAGATGAGCTTTCAGGACAGGGTGAAAATATATCGTTTTTGGCTTTACAAATACAAAGAAGACTTGACAACACGCATTGATCATTTAAAATCTATCAGCCCAGATAACCCTGAATCAGAGCCATTTCAACTCCTATTGTGCAAAGCAAATGATGATATTCTTCCAGATAATGTGTTAAAACCTTACATAGCTGATGAAATATATGCAATCATACAATCAATAGTACAAAAGGAGAATAAAAAAGTTGATAATGAAAATAGCTATTTGAGATTTTGGCTTTTGGAAATGTTTGATACCACCGACCTGTTTCTTGATGCAATTGAGCAACTGCAGGTTATTGAACGCGAAGACAATAAGGAAGTGGGTGTAAGTAAAGTGCCAGTGGCAAACACAACAAATGAACGTTCTTGGGTAATTACTGAAAGTGATGACAGCGATTCAGAAAATTCAGTTGACTCTTATGATACTTCAGAACTAGAAGCGAATTTATTAAAAGATATAAAGGATATCGAATTCAATTTTACAAGCATTCAAAACAGAAATATCCAATTACTTAAACGCGCAAAAGTGCTCGGGGTTCATCTTTCCAACACTGAAGAAAAAATGGAAGACAAAATGTGTGTGAACAATATGTCTTACCCTCAAGTTTTTAATTTACTTAACAAAAGTGTACCTTATACTGAAGAAGAAGTGTCTGCCATAACTGATTTGTGGGCTCTTCCACTTGATGATCGTTACAGACTCTATAAATATTGGACTGTAAACAAGAAACGAAAGATCGCCGAACAACTACTTACTTACGCAGAAGCATACAGAGTCATGGTAGAAAGTAAAAAAAATGATCTTCAGCGTAAAGATATAAACATTCTGAAAAAAGCTAAAGTAATTGGCATGACAACATCAGGGGCAGCCAGAAATAGAAAAGTTTTACGAAAGGTCGGATGTCCAATAATAATTGTTGAGGAGGCCGCGGAGATACTTGAAGCCCATATTGTGACAACACTAAACAGTAGATGTAAACATCTCATCCTTATTGGTGACCATCAACAGTTGCGTCCTAGACCTAAAATGCATAAGCTTGCTAAGGATTATAATTTGGAAATTTCACTTTTTGAACGGCTAGTAGCGAACAGAGTGTCACTTGTTACCCTTATAGAACAGCATCGAATGAGACCTGAGATATCAAGATTTATCAAACACGTTTATCCCCATTTAAAAGATCATGAATCAGTGCAGAACTATGAAGATGTCAGGGGAGTTAAGTCAAACGTTTTCTTCATACAGCACTCGTATGAAGAGAGTGTAGTAGAGGACAGTACAAGCAAGTCAAATGTTCATGAAGCAAGGTTTCTAACTGCACTGTGTAAATATTTTCTGCAGCAAGGATATCAGGGTCGCCAAATAACTATTCTCGCCGGATACCTTGACCAAGTAACATGCATAAAAAACGAAATGAAACCAGAAGAAAGTCTTTACGAATGTGTCACTGTCACATCTATAGATAACTACCAAGGTGAAGAGAATGATATAATTTTACTTTCTTTAGTAAGAAGTAATCAAGGAAAAGAAGTTGGCTTTTTGAAAACAAAGAACAGAGTCTGTGTGGCTTTGTCCAGAGCTAAAATAGGTATGTTTGTTATTGGGAATCTGGAACTACTGGCTGAAAAGGTTCATCTTTGGAAAACTATTTCAGAAACTGCTAAAGAACAGCAAGTAATTGGTAGGAATTTGGAGTTGGTCTGCGTTAACCATCCAGACCACGTGACAATAGTTTCCCAACCTGAAGACTTTCAAAAAGAAGTTCCAGAAGGTGGATGTAATAGAAAATGTGAAGCTAAACTACCCTGTGGACATGCCTGCCCAAGGATGTGCCATGCTATTAATGGGCTACATAACGAAGTAAAGTCTTCGAACCTATGTTTAAAAACTTGCCAAGAAGAAAATAGGTGTAGCAGCCCATGTCTAAATTCATATTACTATGTGTGTGAGCAACCGATGTTAAAAACTTTGCCTATGTGTGGTCATGAAGCTACAATGCCTTGTTTCAAAGACGTAGGTGATGTTGTTTGTTCAGAGAATTGTGGACAAAAAATGGCATGTGGTCACATCTGCCGTGGTCAGTGTGGAAAATGTTCAGCTGAAGCACAACATCAACCCTGTCTGGAAAAGGTGGATAAGACTTGGTCTCCTTGTCAGCATTCAAAGTCTGTAGAGTGTCACACTGATACTTCTGTAGATCCTTGTCCTAAAGAATGTGATGCACGTCTTGAATGTGGCCATAAATGTAAAGGAACATGCGGAGGTTGTCTCTCTGGTAGAGTACACAAGTCTTGTGGTGAGAAATGCAACAAAATTCTTCCCTGTGGTCATCTTTGTACTGGACCTTGTGGTGGCCAGTGTGTGCCCTGTTCTTCAAGATGTCTGACAGCATGTAGGCATGGCCCATGTAGCAAAACAACCTGTGGAGAGAAATGTGACACATGCATTGAAAACTGTGCCATGATCTGCCAGCATCATCACTGTACTTTGCGATGTGTGGATGGGTGTTTAGAACCTTTGTGTATTGAAAGATGTAACAAACGTGTTGCGTCATGTAAACACAAGTGTGTGTCGCTGTGTGGCGAACTGTGTGTTTGTTATGATTGTGAAAAAGATAAATTTTCTCTCACAGATTCAAGCAACAAGAAAAAACATAAGCAGGTAAAAAAAATTGAAATGATCGAAAGGATGAAAAAATTCCAAGTAGATGAAGACACTATTCTAATGAAAATTCCAGAATGTGGTCACATATTTACCTTAAACCAACTTGACAAATGGGTTGAAGATTTTGAGCCTGATACAACTCATTATATTCGCTGTCCTAACTGTACAGTTCCTATCCAAAGTATAGCAAGATATGAAGCAAAAAACAAACAGAGAGCTGAGAGAAGAGAAAACCTAAAGGAATATCTTTCAAAATCTGCATGCACATCACACGCAGAAATTGAGAATCTCATTCATTGTAAAACTTGTTTGAAAAACTATTGTACTGTAGATGAAGGTGAATTTCTTACAAGAAAACCAAATCAAATAGACTGCAACCATGCTTTGGCTTTAACAGTCCAGATAAAGTTTTCATATGTGCTCCTAAAACTTTATGAACTGCACAAAATGTTTAGTGTCAATAACTTGGAATTTGAAATAAACAAATGGAAGTTGGCTATCAGCTCTATACAAAGAAACGTAACTGATCAGTTTTATAGAGAGATGACCTTAGAGCTCCACAGGTTGCTGTTATTAGAACAGATCTACATCTTGAAAGGATTTCTGGGTAACATTAATTGTAACTCTCCGTCAGGGATGACAACGAAGATCAAAACAATTAAAAAGTCTAAGCTGACCAGTGAAAGTAGGGAAGAAAATCAGACATTCATAGACGATTTGTACAAACGGTTTGACCATCTAGAACCTGGAAATGAGTATCTTGAAAAAGTAGAAAAACTACAGAGTTACAGCAAAGATGTGAGGAAAGTTCTAGATATGTCAAAAACTCAGGTGAGTATCTAGACATGTTTTGCTAATGACAATTGTCATATTATTCAAAAGTTGAAGCTACCGCTATGTGCAGCTCAGCACCCCTTTTAATTCAATAAAGTTGTACTTTATGAATTACACTGTTAAGCTAGCAAAGCACTGGACAGGTAGAAACACACTTCAAATATATTTTGATAACGCCTAATATTAGATGAGCTGCATTCAATTATAAAACCTTTAAATTAGAAAACGGAAAGGGGTCGGCGTGGTCGGGCCGGTAAAGCTCCTGGTTGCTAAGTCCCGAGTTTTAACCCTCCCCCCCCCCTCCCCCCTTCGCCCCCAATCGCCGTTAACCCTAACACATCCAGGAGAGAAAATTTAAAAACTCAAACAACTGCTGCCTTGTAACCTGTTTTTGGTTGGACAAGCGCAAGAACAAATAACAGGCTGAAAATGAAATCGGCGTTAACGGTCCATATGGCGCATAAAATGTTGACATGTAATATGCCTACTTTATTGTGTTGTATGAAATGTCGTCCAACATTACAATTAAGAACGAAGAAAAAGACGGAATGCATTAAGATTTACTTGTCGTTTTTTTTTTTTTTAAACTTGTCGAACTCGTTTTCAATCTCAGGTTATACTGACTATTCGGCAGATAATTAAGAGATATGAATGGTTATTATTGCCTTAAATTGACAGATGTTTCTTTTTGACAATCTGCAGGACTTGAGATCTGCTCTACAGAACGAGTGAATACCGAATGTACCTTCTTTTTTAAAATTAAACAAACGTTATAATAGTATCGCTTATATAATTAAGTAATAATTTAAAAAAAAACATGACTAGATGTATCAGGCTAGTCTTATTGCGTTGTTTTACTTAATGTTCTTAGTAAATACAGTTATTGTAAAATTTTATGTAGAAAGTTTTTATTTTACTAGCGCTATAGTATACTCTCTTTCGACAACTGTTTTAGCAGTAAAAGATATCCTTAGTTGTTTCATTACTCAATATAATAAGTATGATGTACACGTGTTAAAAGGTTGGTTACAAATGCTTTGTATGTGTGAGTTATAATCCAACTACAAGCGTGTGATTCACTGTGATGGCAGTGGCGTAACAACCATGTAACCAAGGTGGACAAAGTCCTGGGACCCCCGGGCTTTTTCAGAAAATAAACTGAGTATCTGAGATTCGTTATTTTTATTTTTTTTTCTTTAGAACATCTCTTGTACGTGCTCTTATGTCCAGGTACGTAATAGGTTGACGGCGAACTGTCTCTATTTTCTCAACATTACCAAGAAAGCTATGAGAGATATTTCAAAATTTTGTTATTAGAAATAAAATTTCGTATAGTCAATAGTCGTGTGTTTTTTAATAGTTACTAAAACTAGAACAATTTTAAGGTGTGATCGAACGGAAGAGGGTATGATTGCTAACCCAATTATCACGAGCTTGGTCCCATCGAGGAGATGAGGCTCGTAAGCTAAGGACTAGTTTTTTTCCAGCCTTTTTACAAGTGTAGCGTTTGTCAGACTCAATTCAGTATACATTTGTTAATGGAAGGACTATTATCTTTAGGTTTTTAAGACCAGAAGGTTAATTGTTCAATAAACAGTGTTCCCTTAGAGTAAGATTTTGCTTATCTTTGTCAATACTGGCAGGAAGTGAAATTGCAGGTCACTTGCATATCAGCTGATATAGAACATCTAAAAAAATATTCGTTGAGGTTATATGCATACAAATTACAGCAAACGACCGAAAAATTATTAAATACATCAAACAAACCGTTCACATATAACATATTTATGATAGGACTCCCAAAATGCTTTAGTACAAGGCCCCGCTCAAGCTCAATCCGCCCCTGATTGGCCTACTGCACACACATATAACGCCCACATATTCCAGATAAGATTTTGCTTTGTCGACCATATTGAATATTTTTAACATAAAAAACAAACAGTAAGTAATAACATCTTTTGTGTGCCTTTATTTTATAAAACAACTAGATCGATGTTAGTTCATCAAACGCATGTAAACCTTTAATAGATGGGTTTAAAGCAATTTTAAGCGATTAAATAAAATTGTTGGAATGGTGAAAACGAAACGGCCCCTTTTTAAAACATTGTGATACAAATCAAATACTATTGAAATAGCCTAGATCTAATCTTGGCCTTGATAACGTAATTTCCATTATTTCAACATTTTTTAGTTTAAGATTTATCTTACATTAATTTACTTTTTGAAATAAGATACTAGATTTGTCTTAATAAATAGACTTTAATAAAGACTCTAATACTGCAATGTATGTATTTATATCTTGGCCTGGTTGGCCTAATACTATTGTGAAACCGAAAGAACGATTGGGAATTCCCGATGAATCTCAAAATATCTCTTATAAAAATTCTTTGTAAACATAATTAAAGATGTGTCACTCTGGTCTCAGTAAGTCACATATTATTTTTTATTTATTTTTTATTTTTAAGGATACACATTTTTCGCTAAATTGAAATTATTACATCTAGAACTATATTGGCTGTAAATATTAATAAATTCCCTTTACTATCGGCTACCACAGGCAACGGTGACGTATTTTTAGAAGTCCCAGTTTTTCTCTCCTCCACAAACCAGTCTTTACATTGGGTCATGTCATCCTGGCATCTAGATCTAGGTTGAATGGCTTACAAGACACTCTCTAGTTGCGGTTTCAGTATGAAACTCGTTCAAATCTATCACGTCTTTAACTGAGATGTGGGTGGATCGGCTTTCAACGATTTTTAAAATCACGTACCCTCATTATTCGATTGTCTCATCGAACTTTCGATCTCAGCAAAGGGGCGAATACACTATTTGATGTCAGGTAGCTGACAGCACTGAGTTCATTAAAGCTGCTTACCTCAGCTGCTATATAGAGGAGATGGAGGGGAGGGGGAAATGAGGCTATTTATGTAAACTATATATATATATACAGTGGCGTCGCTAGGTCGGTTGTCACCCGATGCTCCACTTCGTGGTGCCCCCCCCCCCCAAGATACAAAGTATATATATATATATATATATATATATATATATATATATATATATATATATATATGTGTGTGTGTGTGTGTGTGTGTATATATATAATTATATATATATATATATATATATATATATATATATATATATATATATATATATATATATATATGTGTGTGTGTGTGTATATATATTTGGGGCTTGGGGTGCGGACCGCATTATTTAGGGTTGGGGGGGGGGGGGGAGGGGTAACAACAAGGCAAAACATAGCAAAATATATACAGAAGATAAATGATCATTCCAGTTAAATAAATTATTAATTAGAGTTAAATAGACTTTTAAGAGCAAAATTGACAAGTCCTGACAAAGGTAAGGGGTGGGGGGGGGGGAGGGCAGGGGGGTGACACTATGACGTAATACTGCTACATCCAGCTGTATTAATTACCACTATAGATAAACATCGTTAGTATTGAGCACAGTTTAAAGCTATCACTGTAGGGGAGGGAGTTGCATCAACTAAACGTTACGAAATTTGCTCGAGGAAAAGGGTTTTGTTGATATTCGTAATAACTTATATTTCACGGTGAGAGGGGGGGGGGGGCGGGGGGGGGTGACACCGAATTTTATAATTTACTACAAAAACAATTATTTTCGTAGTTGAATTAATAACTGTTACAGTTAGGCCTTTAAACGCTTTTCTAGGGCCCATGGCCCCCGATTTTAGGAGGCCCACGTTTTCTTTAAAAAGGCAGTAAATGTATAACCATTTAAAGTCTACTGCATTTTTCTAAGTATCCAGAAAATATAATGTTTTTGAGAGCGTAAGAGCAGAAGCGTAAAAGAAACACCAATAATTTCCTGCAATTGATACAAAATTAACGATTCTTTAAAAAAAAAAGTAAACAGCTAAGCCCAATCAGTATTATTTCTGTAATCTCTAAGTCCAGTAATTGTAAAAATCCTAAGGTTTTGATAGAGTTATGTCATGCAATCTTACCACAAAATTTGGAGAATTATTTACAACAAATAAACAATACATTATGTTAAATTTAAATGTGTATATTTTAGTAGGTGGGACTATGTCCATGAAAAAAAAATATCGAACAAATGGGTTTTGTTCATTTAATTGTAGAAAATAAATGAAAAATGTAGAAAAAAATCTCTTGTTTATCTTAGATGGGCTGAATGTAAATACTTAAACCAGAAGAATGGCCGAGAGATTAAATCATGAAGGCGACGAACCTGAATTGGAATGGCCATCCCAAAGACTAAGGCGAGGCAGATCATATCCAGCATCAGATAATGAAACTCCACCAGATGACTATACTGACATAACAATATTTCCAGACACTGAAGAAATAAATACATCAATCGAGCCTTTTCTGAGAGCCAACAAAACTAAAGGACCATACAGGGATTTACAACACTATCTTGATATACATGCAAGACTCATGAAAGAAGATTATGTAGCTCCAATACGGGAAGGCTTAAAGGAATACAGAGATGCTCAAGAGAATGAAAGGAAACCAAAAGAAAGCGATCTTAGGTTTTATTATGATGTAAAGCTAGTTACAATCAAGTGTGAGCCTCAGGGTATCACCCATTTTGTAAGTTTCAACAACTCGTCTCTAAAACACGTCGACTGGGAGTTTTCTATGCGTCTCATTTTTGGATCTCTCTTAGTATTTACTAAAGATGACTTTGAGACTGTTACGTTCGCTACTGTTGCTAACAAAGATGTGGCTAAAGTGAAAAGAGGGATAATTCAAGTTATTTTTCAAAACCACCTTGAGGTTGTGTTTACATCATCTGAAAACGACACTTACATTATGGCAGAAACAACAGCTTTCTTTGAATCTTACAGACATGTTCTAGAAGGTCTTATTGCGATGAGGACAATACCTTTCCAAAAGCATATCATTTACTGTAAACGTGAAATATCACCTCCAAAATATTTGAATAAAAATAGTTCCTACAATTTAAACACTATCATGACTGAAACTTATGATGAGTTCCCTGTTTCTATTCTAGCTGATTCAAATTGGCCCGACTGCAGTGAAACAGAATTAAATGACTTACAGTATAAGGCTTTGAAACTGGCCCTAACTAAAGAACTTGCAGTTATTCAAGGACCCCCTGGCACTGGAAAAACATATCTTGGCTTAAAAATAATGGATATTTTATTAGAAAACAAGTCACATGTTCGGTGTGAAGGGCCTATTCTTGTAGTCTGTTACACAAATCATGCCATTGATCAGTTTTTGGAAGGCGTTTTAGAATTTTGCACGGATGGTATTGTTAGGGTTGGAGGAAGAAGTAAAAGTGAAAAACTAGAAAAGTTTAATCTGCAAGAGTTGCGTAAGAAGTACTCATACCAAAAAAAGGATGAACGTCTTATATCAAAATACAAAAAAAGAATGAAATATATTAGCACCTTTATTGATGAGCTCTGGCAGGAGACAATACGACTAGAGACGACCATTCTGAAAGTAGAAGATCTTAATGATGTCATGAGTCAAGTACATAAAGAGGCATTAAATAACCCAAGTCGCATTGAAGGTATTGGCTCTCCAGTGATAGAATTTTGGCTGAAAGCTTCTAATGCAAACATGGAGAATCATTTGTTCAAGATTTCTAAGCGTCACCTATGTGAGATCATTGCTGAAGGAACTAAGCAAGAGCTAGACACGGGTTTCAAATACAAAGTAAAGATGTTATTTAAAGAGAGAGTTTTAGTGTACCACTTCTGGTTAAACAAATATAAAGAGAACTTACAAAGTGAAATAAACAGTCTTGAGTTGACAGACAACGACCCTGACAACAACGAAGAATTAGATACACTTAAACACAGATCAGAAGAAGCAAGCCGAGATATTCTACCTGATGATGCGCTGAAACCGTACATTAGTGATAAAGTATATGAATCAATTTGTACGGTTGTTGCAAAGGAAAATAAAAAACTGGATGGTGAAAATAAGTACATAAGACAATGGCTTCTAGGCGGTTTTCAGACAGCTCACCGAGTTCTGGACGCTATTGAACTATTGATAAAACAAGAACAAGAAGACAACGCGGCAAGCCATATATCACAGTTGGCTAGTACAATTGAACGGCGCTGGGTTATCACAGATAGTGATAGTGAGGAAAGTAACTCAGACGACGATGATAATTCCGATGATGAAAATAGCGGTGATGAGGATGTTTACCGTTTAAATAATAATATAAAAATGCTTGAACTAAGATTCCGAGAGCACAAAAATAAAGAAATCCAATTGCTTCAACGTGCAAAAATGCTCGGGATACTTCTGTCAGAAACAGTTGAAGAAGAAACAGAAGAAAGAGAAGAACAAACAAAAATCAATCCTTCTTATAAGGAAGTTTTTGAACTATATAACACAATAGACCCATTCTCAAAATCAGATGTAGCAAGAGTAACTGATCTTTGGAAACTTAAACTTATGGATCGTTACAAACTTTATAAGTATTGGGTTCTAGAAAAAAAAGATAAGCTTAAAGCACAATTATTGCAGTTGACTGAGGATTATGAGGACGTTATAAAAAGAAGAAAAGAAGTTTCAGAGAAAAAAGATTTTGAGATCCTTAGACAATCTAGCGTAATTGGCATGACAACAACAGGAGCGGCCAGACACAGGGCAGTCTTACAGAAGGTCGGGTCTCCAATCATAATTGTTGAGGAGGCTGCTGAGGTACTTGAAGCCCATATTGTGACAACACTTAACAATAGATGTAAACATCTCATCTTAATTGGTGACCATCAGCAGTTGCGTCCTAAACCCAAAATGTATAAGCTTGCTAAGGATTTTGATTTGGAAATTTCACTTTTTGAACGCCTTGTAAAGAATAGAGTGTCACACGTTACCCTTACAGAACAGCATCGAATGAGACCTGAGATCTCAAGATTTATCAAACACATTTATCCCCATTTAGAAGATCATGAATCAGTGCAGAACTATAAAGATGTCAGGGGAGTTAAATCAAACGTTTTCTTCATACAGCACTCGTATGAAGAGAGTGCAGTAGAGGACAGTACAAGCAAGTCAAATGTTCATGAAGCAAGGTTCCTAACTGCACTGTGTAAATATTTTCTGCAGCAAGGATATGAAAGTAGACAGATCACAATTCTCGCTGCATACAGTGGCCAGGTAAGATGCATTAGAAATCAAATGGAACCAGAAGAAAGTCTTTATGAATATGTCAAAGTGACCTCTATTGATAACTATCAAGGAGAAGAAAATGATATCGTTTTACTTTCTTTAGTTCGAAGCAATCAAGAAAACGAGGTTGGCTTTTTGAAAACTAACAACAGAGTTTGTGTGGCTTTGTCCAGAGCTAAAATAGGCATGTTTGCTATTGGAAATCTGTCGTTACTTTCTACAAAGAGTGAGCTTTGGAAATTTATTTTCGATCTTGCGCGAGAAAAAACCGTAACAAACTCCAGCTTACAGTTGGTTTGCATCAATCACCCAAACCATGTAAGAACTGTTTCTACTGAAGAAGATTTTCAAAAATACGCCCCTGAGGGCGGCTGTGATAAAAAATGTGAAGCTAAGCTACCATGTGGACATACCTGCCCAATGATGTGCCATGTAATCAATAGACAACATTACAACATGAAGTCGGAGCGTCTGTGTTTGAGAACCTGCCGTGAGAAGAAAAAGTGCACTAAGCCCTGTCTAAACTCTTATTATTGTGTCTGTGAAATTCCTGTTTTAAAAACATTGCCGAACTGTGGACATACGGCTACAGTTCCGTGTTTTGAAGAGGTAGAGAATATTATTTGCTCCGAGACATGTGAAAAATTAATGGAATGTGGTCACATCTGCCGTGGTCAGTGTGGAAAATGTTCAGCTGAAGCACAACATCAATCCTGTCTGGAAAAGGTGGATAAGACTTGGTCTCCTTGTCAGCATTCAATGTCTGTAGAGTGTTACAATGATATTACTGTAGATCCTTGTCCTAAAGAATGTGATGCACGTCTTGAATGTGGCCATAAATGTAAAGGTACATGCGGAGGTTGTCTCTCTGGTAGAGTACACAAGTCTTGTGCTGAAGAGTGTAAAAAAATTCTTCCCTGTGGTCATCTTTGTACTGGACCTTGTGGTGGCCAGTGTGTGCCCTGTTCTTCAAGATGTCTGACTGCATGTAGGCACGGCCCCTGTAGCAAAACAACCTGTGGAGAGAAATGTGACACATGCATTGAAAACTGTGCCATGATCTGTCAGCATCGTCACTGTACTATGCGATGTGTGGATGAATGTTTAGAACCTTTGTGTACCAAAAGATGTAACAAACGTATAACGTCATGTAATCACAAGTGTATGTCGCTGTGTGGGGAACTGTGTGTATGTTATGATTGTGAAAAAGATAATTTTACTCTCATAGATGCAAGCAACAAGAAAAAACATAAGCAGGTAAAAAAATTAGAAATGATCGAAAGGATGAAAAAATTCCAAGTAGATGATGATACTATTCTAATGAAAATTCCAGAATGTGGTCACATATTTACCTTAAAACAACTTGACAAATGGGTTGAAGATTTTGAGCCTGACACAACTCATTATATTAGCTGTCCTTATCCTAGCTGTAAAACTCCTATCCAAAGGATAGCAAGATATGAAGCAAAAAACAAAGAAAGAGCTATGAGAAGAGAAAACCTAAAAGAAAATCTTTTAACGTCTGCATGCACATCACACGCAGAAATTGAAAATCTCAAGTATTATAAATCATCATTGAAAACAGTTTGTGCAGTAGATGAAGGCGAATTTCTTACTAGAAAATCTAATCAAATTGATATCAATCATGCCTTGGCCATAACACTTCAGATAAAATTTTCAAATGTACTTCAAAAGATTTATGACATTCACAAAAAATTCAATCCTCATGATTTTGGAATAAAAAAATGGAAGTTCATTATCAGCTCTATACAAAGAAACGTAACTGATCAGTTTTATAGAGAGATGACCTTAGAGCTCCACAGGTTGCTATTATTAGAACAGATCTACATCTTGAATAAATTTCTGGAAGATATCAACTGTAAACCACCAGAGGAATTAAGGAAGCAAGTCCGCAATGTTTTAAAGGAGAAACCTAAGCTGACAAGTAATGACAGACAAATACATCAGTCCTTAGCAGATTCACTCTATCAACTCTTTGATCATCTAGAGCCTGATGATAACTATCTGGCTAAGGTGAGAGAACTCCAAGGATCCAGCAATAAAGTGTCTCAAGTTCTGGACATGCCAAAGAATGAGGTAAGTATCAAACAGTGTAGGATTTATTTTGGTTGATAATTCTTTCAGACTTGATTTTTTTTTCGGGGGTCAGTTGAAATTTTTTGAAGGGGGGGGGGGGTGGCTAAATTCTTTTTCCGGATAAATATTTTTTTCTATATAAATTCTATTTCGTTCGGGGGGGGGGGGGTGTCCTCCCGAAGAGATGCCTGCCAGAAACATTTGTTTATATCAGAAAACACACCCCACAGATTTTCATAAGATTTCATAGATTTTCATAGAAGGTGTACTTTACCTAATGAAATAATCTGCACGTGGGCGCCCTCAAGATGTTACTGCTAGCACGGGTCATTCTTAGTAGCAAACTTACAGTTGATAACAATTAGAGGGCTTGCTGTTAATTTATCGTTAACTGCATTTTCTCTTATCCAATTTATAATAAAGCATATAATCCTAACATATAGCACTGTAGCTTTTTTTTTTTAATAGGACTTGGATTCTGTTATGAAAGACGGTAGCTGATTGTAGACTGCAAGCTTCTGGTTATAGAAAAAAGACAGCATTCCATAATGTAGACTGCCAGCTTCTGGTTCAGTGTTTCTTCCAGTCTTTTTTTCCGGGGGGGGGGGGGGGGCACTTGATATTTTCGGGGGGGGGGGGGGGGCACTTGATATTTTCGGGGGGGGGTCAACATTGGGGGGGGGGGCTGACACTAGTAAAAGTGTATGTTTACTATATAAATTCCATTCGGGGGGGGGGGCGCCTCTGCGCCCCCGAAGAGATGCCTGGAAGAAACTCTGTTCTGGTTATAAAAAAAGAGACAGCATTCTAAATTGAAAATGATGAGGGAAGAAAAAATGTTGAGCTTATACATATTTTTACCGCTCATTATATTGTTAGAAACTGGGTTTATTTATATGAGTTTTCTGTGATTATTAAATCAAGTAGGTTGTTTGTTTGTTTGGTCTGTTGTGGTTAAATTCTGTTATTGTTAAATTCCATTTTAGTTTTAGCTAATTATTTCAATGCTCGGGAATACAAATGTGATCTTGCTAATAATAATTATTATTATTATTATTATTTTAGATTTAAAATTAGCAATAAATAGACAATATATAGCACAATAACAGTGATAACATTTACCTTCTTTTATATTGAGGTATTAGTTAAATACCAGGCAATATATAAAAGACGTAAGGATTTTTTTTTTTTTTTTTTTTTTTTTTGCAGATTGTAAAACATGCAAATCTGTTCTGTGAATGTTACTTAAGCTTATTGATTTATATTGGAATACCATGCTTTGTGATTTTATACACATGATATACATTTTATGTAGGTATTTGTTGCTTATCATTTTCTTATATTGTGTTATATATATATATATATATATATATATATATATATATATATATATATATATATATATATATATATATATATATATATATATATATATATATAGGGTAGATTGGTTTGATTTATTTTTTAAACTGTTAAATAGTAAAGCCAAATATTTTCTTTAATTTTTTTTGCAAAATGTGTGCCAATTAAAATAAGTGGACTAATGTGTTTAAATCGAATGCTATTTTTTTTTTTTGGTAAAAGAAAATTCGATCTATAACAGCAGTAATTGTTTTACTACACTAGCAAACACACGCTGTTGCTTAGGAGGGGGAAAAACTACAAAGAACAAAGTTTCAAACCACTTCCATGACTTTTTGCTCTTCTTTAAGAGAAGCAATTTTTTATTTGCTTAGAACAACAAAACTATCAAAATGAGCTTTACTGGCACCTTTATTAAACTATTTAATTATTATTTAGATAAGACATACTAATGATTGACAAATAAATAGAAAGGAATTTATTCAAAATTATAAATACAAAAAAAAAGCATAAACCAAACACGGGAAACCCATTACACATTTCAAGCGCCCGTTTTTTCATTTACTTGTGACCGAGTTGCCAGATAAAAAGTTACACTTTTCACAATTTTCGGCGGGCGTAAAATGAGATAAAAACAATTAAATTTAATTACTTTAGGCCCGGAATGAGTATTTGGCTAATTTTGTGTGATTTGGTTGACTCACGATGGATATAGATCGATTTTGCAACGAACGAAATAGGTTAAATTAATAAATTTAAAATTTAGTGAGAAAGTCTACTAATAGGCATATATATATATATATATATATATATATATATATAGGGGGGCGAAAACATTTTTTGTAAGCAGTAGCGTACGCAGGGGGGAGCAGGGGGACCGGCCGCTACCCCTCTGGCCATTTACAGAATGTGGCGCATTTTTTGGAAACTTTTTAAACGATGATATTTGTTAAAAAATATTTTTGGTCGGCACATGTAAATCACAAGATTTCTTTTCATGCAGCAATTAAGCATTATTGTACTAGTCTAGTAGTGTGTACGTTTACAACACGTATTAACAGCTGCATCAGTTTGCCATTCTAAAAATAACCATTACGATGCATTGCAATGTTTAAAAAACATCTACGGGTAGTACCACTATGGCAAGAGGGGTGTTAAGTTTAAGGCAACTGTATAATGTATTTGCTTACGAATAATTGAATTAGAAAATGTTATACATAAAACTTCACACATAATTACTTTATATATACAGTTTAAATCGTGTGATTAATTAAAAACAATTACAATACAGAAACAAATACAACTGATTAGGCACCTCTATTTAAATTTACTTATGAGAAAACTGAGGAGCGGTGGGGAAATTTTGACAAGGTCAACAACGTCATCACGATGAAGTAGTAGTATTCTTACAGTTTGGGCGATAGTGATTATGATTACAAATTATATGAAACAGTTACAACCCCCCTCCCCCATGGACCCCTCTGTAAAAAAATATTGCCATGATACCACTGCTACTTATTTAAATCTATTTCTGAATCAGTATACATGTGTAATATATATGTATGTTTAGAACAGTCATCTAAAAACTGACGCTATGTTCACTCTGAGTTGGTTATCTCCCCCCCCCCCCACACACACACACCTCACCACCACAATTGTGTAGAGCGACATTAATGTCACACCTAGGTATACACTGGGTTGGATAATTGACCTAAAGTGACCGGACAGTGGTGAATGAAGTTGAACCCCCCCCCCCCCCCCCCCACACCCAACGCACCTCGACTTGATCTGTTAAATACATTTGGGAAAACGCGTAATGATGTACCAAAGTGCCATGCCGCCAGAAAATTAGCTTTTTAAACGTAAAAAATCTGTGAATATTGTTTTTGCAACTACCAGTAAAAAGGTGTGTGAGCAATACAGTGATCTAACCCATACCTATCACTATGTTAAAACATGATCATTAAAGAACCCAAAGAATCAGTAGTTAATTTTAAAATATATAATCTGGACTACAATACCGATATTTAGTTAAAAGTGATTGTTATTCCGAATGTTTTTCTATACTTTCGAAAAGCGTTGTTTTATACCAACTCTGATTTCAAAAACTTTCATTATGCTGTTTTACTTTAGCATTTATGTTGACGATATATTTTATTCTGATTACAGACAAAAACATTTTGGATACACGAATAGTGTTAAACAATTTCATTATATTCTAAAGTAATTATTTATTTGTTTTGACATTTGTAATTAAATGTGTAGATATATACATATTTATATTAATAGAGTGATTATTTCCCATATTTCACTTGTCTTAAATAGTTTCCCAGGAATTATTATGTAAGAAATTTTGTTACAAAAATTACAATACAGATTGTGTTACTTTTATTGTTTTTGGTTGTAGTGTGTGTATATTTTTTTGTTTTGTTTTTTGTTTAGATTGATACAATTTTTGTTTTGTCGGCCTACATTGTGTGTTTTTTCTTATTTCTTCAGAGTGCTACTTTCAATTTATTTTAAATCATAGCGAAGTAATGACATACAACTATATATGTATTGCTATATATATATATATATATATATATATATATATATATATATATATATATATATATATATATATATATATATATATATATATATATATATATATATATATATAATACACGTATATAGGACGTGTTAAAAATGCTGCGCCTTTTTTACTCAATTCGCTCCCCCTACAACGAAAACCTGGATACGCCTCTGTTTGGAAGTTTGACCTTTTTTTCTCCAATTCCGCCACTGATCTTGAACACAAATTACGGCTTTGCAACTATTTTCACGATATCTTATAACACATATTTTTTTCTAAAATGATTTATTCCTATAATTTATTTTGAAAAAAAAAATATTTGTTTTTATATATTTTTGTGAGGATGGAAGGGGGGGGGGGGGGAAGAGTTCAAATAAATAGACCTAGATCTATATTACAAAATAGCATACAGTTTACCTATTGATAAAGGTCATTAATATATATTATAAAACTGAGAAGAAAAATAAAATTATCTTTAAAACTTACTGTTTTATGTTCTTTGCATTGTTACAACTACTTTCAAAATATGTCTTCTTAATTTTGGCAATAAAAACATGTAACGGCGTGTAGGCTATTATTTAGCCTATCCTGAAAAACGACTGTAATTAATACTAAATAATATTTACCAAAATCAACTATTTTTCCCTAAAATAAAGCTTTTTTTTTTTACATTTTTAAAAATTAAGCAGCATTTGAATTTAAAATTAAATTTTAACGCTCTCTACAAAAGAGAAGTGAAATCTTTTAGTCTAGTAAATACTTTTTTTTTTTTTTTTTACACTTACACTTTCCGTGAATGTTTAAATAATTAAAATATGTAGCCTATATGGGCCTAATAAGCTACTAAGTATTATAGTTCGCAAGCAACAGAGACTAAGTGTGTAAATATAATAAAGAAGCCGAACGTCAAAAGTTTAAAGGTGAAGTGAAATATGGTACAAAAAAGTCAGTTACTATTGGTTACTAAAATAAAATAGCTCTAATCTATTTTAATTTCTCGATTATCGGACCTAATTCGTAGAATCGTTTTGGGAATTTCCGAACACACAATGCAGACTTCTTTTAATTTTTCTATTTATAACTCCAACGTCAACCAACGGAAAAATGTTTTAAATTGTTACATTTTACCTGGAATCATATTATTTTGTTTAATGTGAAGCATAAAGATCTTAGCCATTTGTGAAGAGTCCAAGGTAAAACTATAATTTGTAAGTCTAAATACTAAATATCCACTTTTTTATTTAACTTTCTAAAGTCCTTAATAGACTTAATACTTTAAGACGTAAGAATACGAATTTCGTGTGATGTTTGTACTTTGTATGTAGATTTAGTTCTAGATTCTAATATGTAGTAATAAAGTATGTAGTACTAGATCTATGCAGATCTGTGTACTATGTCGCATATATTTAATTTATTTTGGCTACAAGCCTACAAAAATCAAGATTCTAGAAATCTTGACTAGATCTAGTAAAATAGTAATGAATCTGATTTTTTTTCAACTCCTCGGCTCTCGGGTTTATTTTTCGCAAGATATTTTACGCCATAAAAATACTAGATCTATCACCCTTTTAATTTGTATAAATATCTAGATCTATGTTTGCTTATAAGTATATAATATACAGAGGCGTAGCGTGGGGGGGGGGGGGGCGGGGGGACATATGTCCCCGGGCGCTGACCTTAGGGGGGGGGGTGCAATTGAAAAGTTCGAGTGGGGGCTGCAAATCGAAAGTTTGAGGGGGGGGGGTGCAAATCGAAAGTTTGTCCCCGGGCGCCGGGAAGGGTCGCTACGCCTCTGATAATATAAACATGTTTGTAATGTCTAACAAGGTCTACGTTGTACTTAAAATTATCTTTAACATAAATTTGCCTCATTTACAGAAGCTAATGCATCTTCTGGACATAGGAAATGATACATCGGGCAGGATGCAACCTTTATAGGATTTCAACTTTTAAAAATATTACATGCATGCATTAATTTTATTAGGAACTAAACTAAAAAACAATTAAAATAAGAAACTTTTAATACCAAGCTTTTATATAATTATGCACTAAAAAGTAGAAAATAAATTATTTTCTCTGAATATGTAATATCGAACCACTATTTAAATAACTAAAAAGAAAAAGGTCGTTCGTTCGTTAAATTGTAGACTTTTAGTAAAGGTAATGCATTCAATACATAATAGATTTAAGTGTCCCCCGCTTTTCTTTTTAGTTATTTAAATAGGGATTCTTTATTATAGGCCTATATTTAAAGAAAATCCTTTATGTCCTAGTCGTATTTTTTAGTGCATTTATTAAAACGTTTTTAAATAAACAAAAATGTCAACACTAATACTAACGATTTTTATCTATAGTAGGTTATTAATAGGGCTGGATGTGGCAGTGTTTTCTCTATCGTGAGCAGGTTTACGTCATGGTGTCACCCCCCCCCCCCCCCCCCCCCCCCCACTCTTGTCGGGATTTGTCAACTTGGCTCTTAGAAGACTATTTAACTCTAATTAATCATTCATTTGACTGGAATGATCATTGTCTTTCTCTATTTATTTTGCTATTTTTTTCCTTGGTGTCACCCCCTAAATAGTGTCACCGGGTGAGAATCGCACCCCTGCCCCTCCCCCCTCGTGACGCCTCCGGGTCCACCTTTAAAAAGCAATGTTTGTACTTACCGCCCTCCCCCATCTCAACGGGAACTTTGAGACAGTGGTATATTCTCTATATAAATTCTATTTCGTTCGGGGGGGGGGGGGGGTTAGACGTTCCTCGGTGTGGCACTTTCCCCCTGCTTCACCGAAGAAATGCCTAAAAGAAACACTGTTAAGAGAACTATTAGTTAGGCTATATTTCTGTACATGTCTCGGCCGGTAATGGCAAAAAAAAAAAAAAAAAAAAAAACGCATTTAAAAAATGCATCGTGTACATTCGTTGAAATTAGTTGGGGGGAGGGGAGGCAGAGTAAAAACTTAATAATTTTTAGAGTGGCAAAAAAAAAAAAAGTTAATAAAAAGTCTAGTGACAATTTAAGCGCAATCTCCTTATGTTATCCATATCAATTTTTATTTTTTTTTGGTGACCGAACGAAAGGATATTTTTGAAAACTTTCTTCGGCAATATTGTTCTAAATTATGGCAGGAATCGATTGGTAAATGTTTCAAGTCGCTAAGTGGTCTGGTTGCCGAGATATGGGCAAAAAACTGCATTTTTTCGAGGCTTTTTGGCTTTTCCGGGAAATCCAGGAAGGAATTCCGGGAATTTTTTTTGGCCCACAATCATCATCGAAACTTGCTTAACATATTTGCTTTTGGAACTAGTCCTCGATATTGCTTCGTTGAGGAGGAGATACGACTTAAAGGCTGCGGACACACATCCTTCCATCCATCCATCCAGAAATAACCAATTAATAATCGCAATTGTCAGTATGGAAATTGCGCTAAAAATAGTTGTTCACATTTATTAGAAACACGATTCATTTCTTTTTTTTCACATGCTTAATACGCAACAATTTTAGATACACTTTTTTTAAGTTAACCAATATCATACGGGTTTCTGTTAATTAGGCTTTTAATTAAATATGGGAGGTTTAGCAATCTAGCTATGTATGGCGAATCGATTAAAATATTCTCTCTCTTTAGGCATAGGCCTATAATATAGCCTATAATTTTTTTATAAATAACACCCTCAAAATTAGAATTTCGGCTTTTTAAATGGTTCAAAGTTTTTTTTAACTGATAGTTATTTATCATTTTAAAAAAAATGAAAATAGGCCTTGTAGACCCTGCTCAAGTAATACTTAGGGGGGAAGGGGGGGGGGGGGGAATCTGAGCGGGGCATTAAGGTGGGTTAGGTCAGTGGCGTAGCGAGGGGGCTGGGGGCGGGGGATGCGGACCGCACCGGGTGACACCATTTAGGGGGTGACACCAGGGCAAAAAATAGCAAAATATACAGAGAAAAATGATAATTCCACTTAATTAAGTGATTAATTCGAGTGTTAAAAAGTCTTTTAAGAGCAAATTTGACAAATCCCGACAAGGGTGGAGGGGGGGGGGGAGGGGTGCAAATCGAAAGTTTGGGTACGCCTCTGGGGGGTGACACCATTAAGTGCCGCGCCGGGTGACACCCGACCTCGCTACGCCACTGGGTTAGGTGAATTTTTTTTTTGTAAAATGTGACGATCTCTAACATCAAATATATTATTATATAGATCTACTGACCCCATATAATATGTACACACATATAGACCTATACATAGGCCTAAAATATAGGTTCTTTAAATATAGGCCTACATAATACAAGCCTAAAAATATATGAATGTATGTTTTTTTGTCCTCGTGTGGCGTCAAAACGGCCAATGACAAAACGGCCCCGTCAAAACGACCCTGACATAAGAGCCCCGTCAAAATGGCCAGCGACAAATGGAACGCGTTATTTGGGCTCCCGTCATTCAGGCTCCCGACAAAACGGCCCCCGTCATTACGACTCCCGACAAATAGGCTCCCGCCATTTTGTTTCTCTACAAAACGGCTCCGTCATTACGACTCCCGACAAATAGGTTCCCGACAATTTCGCTCATGACAAATAGGCTCCTGTCAATTTGACTTCCGACAAAAGGACCACTGACAAAACGGTTTCCGTAGAGACTAAGTCTCCCTGCAAAATGGTCTCATTGAATATGACACCTGCCAGTGGGACCCCTCCATCAATATTCTTTTTAGAGTATGCTTATCCAACACTCTCCAGTAATACAACGTATGCATCTCTTGTTCGGCAGACCTTATTTTTTATAGGCCTAATAGTTTATAATAAGAAATAGATCTAGTATGTTTTAATTTAAGGGTCATCTAGATTCTATCTATGCCTCTATGGCTTCCACACAGAGCCGGCGTTAGGGGGTGGCGAACGGGGCGGTCGCCATAGGCCCCGCGCTTGAAGGGGCCCCGCGCTTGAAGGAGCCCCGCGCTTCAGCAATGTCATTGTTATCTGAATTAGTTCGTAAACTTAAAAAAAATGGTTGCTGAATTCAATTGGGAAAAACTAAATGGTCGAATGCCGACGTTGTTGATTGTTATAACTGAGTCCACAGTTGATGTTGGTGAGTTATCACCCACTGAACTGGGACAGGCCGTAATTCTATTTAAAAAAAAGTGTCACACACCTCCCCTTTGTGTAAGGTACGGTCGCCTGGCATTTGACCTGAGCTGACTGGAGATGGCGGTCGAGAATTAGCCCACGACGTAAAGAGATACCCTATTGTATTTTGTATGTGGACCCATGAAGACGTCCTTTTAGTGAGCAGACGGGATGTCTGTAGTAGACAGTTAGTGACCTGATGAACTCTAGTCCTGACTTTCTTGTTGTAGATGTCGTATAATGTCGTATATGTACAGTGTTTCTTCCAGACTTTTTTCTCCGGGGGGGGGGGGCACTTGAAAATTTTCGGGGGGTGGGGGCGGTAGACTTTCTTCGGGGGGGGGGGGCGGACACTGTTAAAAGTATATATTTTCTATATAAATTATATAAATTTCATTTCGTTTTCGAAGAGATGCCTGGAAGAAACTCTATATGTAGGCCTACTTGTCTTGGTATAACAAAATTAACATTCAATTGCGTGCAGAGGGGTGGGAGGAGGGCGACGAGGGGGGGGGGGGGGCTTAGGATCTATAACAGGCGGCATTAAACAGAGTGATTTATTATTATTTTTTGGAAGAAAGTTAAAATTGTTGTTATGTTGTGTCACCTTAAGGATTCACCCGTTCAATAATTAAGACAATGATGATTTTGGTTTTAAAATATTGTATGAATTCTTAAAAATTTTTGAAGTCTATACTGTTTTGATACATCAGGCCGAGTTCGCTGTATTGTAAACTTTATTTTCCTAATTATTTGGCACGTGATTAAATTTTCTTAAGTGATTTGGTATGAATTACATAACTGTCAAACGTGATTTAATATCTTAGCAAAGGAAAAAAAAACTACGAACATTGGGTTAATACATGGGAGAGATAAAAATCTGTTATTATAGTGGAAAGTTTGACATTAGCTTATAAACTTCAAAACATTTGTGTTATTGTGTGTACATCACATTATATAGGCCTTTATATATATATATATATATATATATATATATATATATATATATATATATATATATATATATATATAATATATATATATAATGGAAAGGCCCCGCGCGGATGGTTGGCCCTAGGCCCCGCGTATTCATAACGCCGGCTCTGCTTCCACAAATGAGTCGGTTATAGGCTGCTCCAACTCAGTGTGTGGGGAAGAGGGGTCCACATGATGTAGATCTATCTATAGGCTTCCCGTACCCAGTTTAAAAAGCGCGATGACTGAAACGCCAAATTTAGGCTTACGTCAACAACATGGTCAATACGTGGGTCTTAGGCCTAATCGGGAAGTCGTGTGACATTTTGCGGACAATCGCGATAGGCTTTTATCGCGTAGGCTACGCTACGGTAAGTAAGCAAACAGTGTAGGTCTAGACTTGAGACACTTCGGTGAGCTTAGACTAGGCTACATATTTTATTATTTAGTTCACGGGTTTCAATTATTTTTGTCCGACTTTAATTAATTTTAAATATTAGATCTAGATCTAGATTCTAGAATCTAGTTAATTCTAGTTAGTCTAGATCTAGATCCACTATCACTAGTTAAATAGTTAGTTAGTTAGGGTTAGGCCCTAGAATCTAGATCTAGTCTAGTCTAGATTAGATCTAAGTCACTATTCACTATAGTATTTGTGACTAGATCTAGATCTAGATTATTCTAGATTCTCTATATATTATATTGAATTATATTGTTGACTAGTTCTAGAATCTAGATTTTAGGCCTAAGTAAGGCCTATAGATGATAGATCTAGATCTAGATTCTAGATCTAATCTAGATCTATAGGCCTTAGGCCTAAAATTAAAAATTAGTAGACTAATAGACTAATACTTAATACTAATAATTTAAATTTTTTTTTTTAAATTAGTAGGCCCCCTAATTGCCCTAACTTTAGAAAAGATATCAATAATAGTAGGTCATAGTCATAGGCCTTTTCTATATTATTATAGATAATCTATCGTTTTAGGTACATAAAATCGCCCGCGACTAGTAATGTGAAAAACAGGTGACTCCTTAAATTTTAATAATTATTTCACATTTTAGGAGGATTCATGTTTTGAAAAATACAAAAATGTTTCATTTATGTACCTGTTTTACAAGCTTTTATTTAACTCACTTCCTCGTCAGTTTGTCTGTTTAGATCGAAACGCCTGAGTGAAAATTCGGACAGTTCTACTTGACCGATACGATTCACAGTTAGCACATGGGTCAAGACATGAAGACAATGCAATCTGAAACTAAATTTGACTTAATTGGATGCCTAATTAATTTTTTATGAATTAATTAAAATTTGGACCGAATTAGTAGGCATGTCTATCCAACCACACCACAAGCGTCATCACGTTCAATAGCTGCGCCATCACGTTCAGTAGTCGCACAATGGTTTTTAGTCATGTAACTCTTGAAAATAAAACATGTAAAGTACTGAAAAAAAAATTCATAAAAAAAACGTTTTAATAACAAGCTTTTAAGTACTAATGCACTAAAAAGTAGAAAATAAATTATACACTACTATTTAAATAACTATAAAGAAAAACTGCCTCCCAAAGACCCTCAAAAAATGAAAGCATTATTATGTTAAGTAACAATCAATTTTAATGACACGATGCTGATGTTTTATTTCTGTCATTTCAAACTTTAAAAAACCCACAATATTATGTTTTAAAATCTATGTAAATCTGTATGCAGTGGGATAGGCATGGCTGTGTTAGCGGGTCCTGGCCAACTATTCTCCCCTCCCCCAACACCAAAATGATGAAATCATGCAACTTTATCCAACATGTGTAGTGTTCCTGTAGGGGGGCTCAGTAGCCCATGTACACATCCTGGCCAGTTTGTACCAGGCAGAGGTTGTTGTTCTGGGTGTAGCATAGCCCATGTACACATCCTGGCCAGTTTGTACCAGGCAGAGGTTGTTGTTCTGGGTGTAGCATAGCCCATGTACACATCCTGGCCAGTTTGTACCAGGCAGAGGTTGTTGTTCTGGGTGTAGCATAGCCCATGTACACATCCTGGCCAGTTTGTACCAGGCAGAGGTTGTTGTTCTGGGTGTAGCATAGCCCATGTACACATCCTGGCTAGTTTGTACCAGGCAGAGGTTGTTGTTATGGGTGTAGCATAGCCCATGTACACATCCTGGCTAGTTTGTACCAGGCAGAGGTTGTTGTTCTGGGTGTAGCATAGCCCATGTACACATCCTGGCCAGTTTGTACCAGGCAGAGGTTGTTGTTCTGGGTGTAGCATAGCCCATGTACACATCCTGGCCAGTTTGTACCAGGCAGAGGTTGTTGTTATGGGTGTAGCATAGCCCATGTACACATCCTGGCCAGTTTGTACCAGGCAGAGGTTGTTCTGGGTGTAGCATAGCCCATGTACACATCCTGGCCAGTTTGTACCAGGCAGAGGTTGTTCTGGGTGTAGCATAGCCCATGTACACATCCTGGCTAGTTTGTACCAGGCAGAGGTTGTTGTTCTGGGTGTAGCATCGTGCCACATCAAGGAATTAAATGTGGCATAACTCTTGTAAAAACAATTTAATATACCTGAAACAAAGATAACCAAAGTCAACAAATAAAAATGGTTCATTGTAATAGATCTATATTACTAGATCTGGGAGGTATGGGGTTTTTGCACCATAACTATCACTATGTATAAAAACCTTACTATTAAAAAAAAATCAAAATTTTTAAAATGCACTAAAAATACATAATTTCCTTTTGTTATTGTAGGCAAGTAAATGCATTGGTCACTCTAGAAAGAACTATTTTAAAAATATTTTAGCAACTACCAGTAATACAAAAGCAAAAAGTAACTTATTGATGGATAGCTGTCTCCCCTTTTGTTATTATATCTATATAGGCTCTATACATCTAGTAATCTTAAAAATTATGTTGATGATGAAATGTGTGGTTAGATTAAAAATTAGTTAAAATAAAATTTGAAAGAAATTACACAGGCAGTAAAAAAATAAGAGCCTTGAGAAAAAGCTTGTATAATAAGCCATTTTATTGAAAAGATTCCTTACAAGAGGTACTTTATATTCCACAGAAATGACTGGATAAGATCACATCGATTCAGCAGTAAATGATGAGTGATTCATCTTCTTTTGATTCAGACTCAGAAACAGAGGAATCTATAGTCTCTCAAGCAACATCCAGGTTTGCTTTCTGAGTTTATGAATATTTTATTTTATGACGGGTTTACACATTTTTTTAATTGTGTGAAATTGTCTGTCGTGTGTTAAAAAAAAAAAAAAACTACTGTTGGCTTTGTCTAATAAACATAAATATATTTTATATGGAAATCATGTGTATTGTATTTTTGAAAATGGAAAGCCCTTAATAAAGGGTAAAGAAAGTTTTGTATTAAGGCATATTTTTAAAGTCTTAAAATGAATATAAACAGAAATAGAATAAAACATATAAAAGACACACACAAATTTAAAAATTAGAAGCTTAAAATTACACAGTCATATATAAAAGCCAACTCATTTACTGACAGGTGAAATGATAAAGAAACAAAATATCAGTGAACAGTTACTTAGCCAATAGTAGTTTACTTTTGTTCTGTTGCTTCATAAAGTTTAAAACTGAGACAGAAAAAAGTTGAATATAATCTTAAACATAAGTTGATAATACATTTTTTAAATTTAAAATAATATTGATATTTAAATTAAACTATTTATATTAAATATTTTGGTATTGTAGTTTTGTGCTGTTGGTTATAATTTCAAATTGAAAATTCAGGAATTTCCATATTAAATGTAATCCCTAATCTAATTTTTTAATTTTAAGCCTACATGCTTTAGACATACAAAATATTAAATTAGGGAGGCCTACTTATATTTAAATTTAATATGAAATAAAATAAATTGTATTACAGAAAGCATCAATTTTTGGAGGATGTAGATGATGTAAGCCTTCCGATTGTCAGCCCTCAAGAAGACACATACACTAAGCCCAAGCATCAGGCTTTCAATAAGGCACACCCAAGCCCTATAAGACCATCATCTATAAATCATACAGATGTTGAAAATGGAGGACCTTATCAACAGAAGAACTCACATATTAAATATGAGGGAAACAGGAAATTCAATAGGCCATTAAATGTCTCACACAACTATCAAAGTAAAGAGAGAAATTCAGAAAACGGCTATGAATTTCAACCACAACAATCTCGACGTGAAATTCAGCACTCTGCAAGCTCAAGGAGAGAAAATGAGACTAGAAAAATTGGGTATCCTACCCTATCCAATTTTCGAATGAAAGAAAGTCAAAACTACAATGAAAATCAAACGTTTAGATTTTCTAAAAATGAACATGAATTCTCTACTAGCTCAAGACAGCATAATCAACATAGGGTAAATGAAAGTAAAAGCCATGTTGGTTATAAAAAATTGGAAGAATGGGCTAACAGCTCAAATGCAACTGTTTTAGTTTTTCAAATGAGCCTGGATGTAGATGGCTTATTCCATCTCCTACAGCAAAGAAAGTTAAATTTTGATTGGATGCTTCACTTAGTTTCAGCTCTCAGGAAAATATTGATGGCGCAGTCTCAAAAAAGTTCTTTAAAATATTTTTTTAGTCGGATTTGTGAAAGCAACTTTTTAAATCCTCATTTATGCTCATTTGTCAGAGAGTTAAAAATGCGCAGGCCTCCAGATATTTATAGTATTTTTCAGAAGATGATTGATATAATTGAATATTTTATCCACAACTTGGACAAATTCAATGCCAAATGCAATGAGTTTTTGCAGGTTATTATGGACATTGGTCAGCAGCTCAATCTTTTAACTGAAAATGATGGCAATCTTGGAAAAGTTCAGAAACTTATTCAAATCACAACTGTTGGGAGAATTGAACGTAATCAAGTGGTTTATCATCGTGCAGTTTCACAAAGACAAAAGAGGGATAAAGCTGTTCCTATTCCTGATGATGAAACACCGCCTGATGATTTTACTAACATAGCAATATTCCCAGACACTGAAGAAATAAATACATCGGTTGAGCCTTTCCTCAGAGCCAACAAAACTAAAGGCCCATACAGGGATTTACAACACTATCTTGATATACATGCAAGACTCATGAAAGAAGATTATGTAGCTCCAATACGGGAAGGCTTAAAGGAATTCAGAGATGCTCAAGAGAATAACAGGAAACCAAAAGAAAATGAACTGCGGTTTTATTACGATGTAAAACTGACTAAAATAAATTGTGAATCAGAAGGTATCACCCACTTTGTAACTTTCAATAATTCTCAGCTCACAAATGTAGATTGGGAATTTTCAAAACGTCTTATGTTCGGCTCTTTGTTAGTATTTTCTAAAGACAATTTTGAAACATTAATTTTTGCCACTGTTGCAAACAGAAGTGTTACCATGCTTGAAAGAGGGATAATTCAAGTTGTTTTTCAAAATCATCTTGAGGATGTATTTACTAGTTCATCGGAAAATGATACATTCATCATGGCAGAAACAACAGCTTACTTTGAATCTTACAGACATGTGCTTGAAGGTCTTAAAGAAATGATATCTATTCCACTTGAAAAGTACATTATATTTTGTAAACATGAAATATCACCTCCTGATTATTTAAATGAGATAACAGCCTATAACATAGAAAGTATAATGAAGGAAACTTATGATGAGTTCCCTGTATCTGTTTTAGATGATGATGATTGGCCGGAGTCTAATGAAACTAACTTGAATGATTCTCAACTTGAGGCTTTGAAACTGGCCCTAACTAAAGAACTTGCAATTATTCAAGGACCCCCTGGTACTGGTAAAACATATATTGGGTTAAAAATTATGAACATTTTATTGCAAAATGAAACGAGTGTTGGATGTGAAGGGCCTATTCTTGTAGTCTGTTACACAAATCATGCTCTTGATCAGTTTATGGAAGGTATTTTAGACTTTTGCTCAGATGGTATTGTTAGGGTTGGAGGAAGGAGTCAAAGTGAAAAACTAGAGAAATTTAATCTTCAAGAGCTGCGCAAGAATCCTGTTATTGATAACAAGATTAAAAAAAGTATCAGGGTGAATTTAGACAGGTGTAATAAAGAAGTAGGCACTATAAGCAAGGTAGTGAATAAGCTCTGGCAGGAATCAATACGTCTCGAGACAACCATTCTGAAAGTAGATGATCTTGCTGATGAAATCAGTGATGTCCATTCAAATTCATTAAATGACCCCAGTCGTACTAAAGGTATTAACTCTCAAGTAATGGAAATCTGGCTGAAAGCTTCAAATGCTAACATGGAGAATCATTTACTAAAGGTTTCTAAGAGGCATCTGTGTGGGGTTATAGCCAAAGGAACTGAACATCAATCTGATACAGTATGTAAAGACTATGTAAGGATTGTTTTTCAGGATCGAGTTCAAATTTATCATTTTTGGCTAAACAAATATAAAGAGATTTTAGAAAATAAGGTAAACCTTTTGCTCTCAAATGATCCAGAGAATTTTCAAGAACTTGATCCACTTCTGCAACTATCAGAAGAAGCCAACCGAGACATTCTGCCTGATGATGTACTAACACCTTACATGAGTGATAAGGTATATGAATTAGTTAAAAAAGCTGTGTCTCAAGAGAATAAGAAAGTTGAGTGCGAAAATAATTATCTTAGACTATGGCTTTTGGGCAGTTTTCAAGCCGCAGATAAGATTCTTGATGCCATTGAGCTACTGACCACAGTTAAAAAAGATACCAATCAAGCTGGCAGAAACAAAAAAGCATTTGTTGAGACTGAGGCTGCTAAACATGCTAAACGTTGGGTTATTGAAGACACTGATGAAAGTGCTTCAGAGAATGAGACTGAAGATGACAGTGAAAATAGTGATGGTGGTGGTGAAAAGCTCAGGACGGATCTCAAAGAACTTGAGCAAAGATATGAGCAACTCAAGACCAAAGAAATCAAACTGCTAGAGCGTGCCAAAATGTTTGGAATAGATCTTTCGGAGACGGCAGATGAAGCAGGGGAGGATGACTGGCAGACAGTAAACAACATGTCTTATGCTAAAGTCTTTCATTTATATAACAGAACTGTAGCTTTTACTGAAGAGGAAGTGTCAGAAATAACTAATGTGTGGAATCTTACACTTGGCGATCGCTACAAACTTTATAAGTATTGGGTTTCAGAGAAAAAGCGCAAACTAACTGACAATTTAATAAGTGTGACGAAGGAGTATAAAGATATCTTACAAAGAAAGAAGGAAGTTTCCCAATTAAAAAATATTGAAATCCTGAAAAAGGCAAAAGTGATCGGCATGACAACAACGGGAGCAGCCAAACACCGGGCAGTCTTACAAGACGTCGGGTGTCCAATCATAATTGTTGAGGAGGCTGCAGAGGTACTTGAAGCCCATATTGTGACAACACTAAACAATAGATGTAAACATCTCATCTTAATTGGTGACCATCAGCAGTTGCGACCAAGTCCCACTGTCCATAAACTTGCTGTAGATTATGAGTTAGAAATTTCACTTTTTGAACGCCTTGTAAAGAATAGAGTGCCCCGTGTTACTCTCACAGAGCAACATCGAATGAGACCTGAGATCTCAAGATTCATCAGACACATTTATCCACATTTAGAGGACTATGATTCAGTACATAGCTATGAAAATATTATTGGAGTAAAATCAAATATTTTCTTTCTACAACATTCAATCGAAGAGAGTGTAGTAGAGGACAGTACAAGCAAGTCAAATGTTCATGAAGCAAAGTTTGTAACTGCACTGTGTAAATATTTTCTGCAGCAAGGATATCAAGGTAGACAGATCACAATTCTTGCTGCATACAGTGGCCAGGTAACATGCATTAGAAATCATATGGAACCAGAAGAAAATCTTTATGAATTTGTCAGAGTCACGTCTATAGACAACTACCAAGGAGAAGAGAATGATATAGTTTTAGTTTCTCTAGTAAGAAGCAATCAAGAAAACGAGGTTGGCTTTTTAAAAACTGACAACAGAGTTTGTGTGGCTTTGTCCAGAGCTAAAAAAGGTATGTTTGTTATTGGAAATTTGCAACTGCTTGCTACAAAGAGTTGGCTTTGGAGAAATATTTTAGAAACGGCACAAGACAAGCATGTAACAGGAGTGTATATGAAGTTGGTTTGTGTTAACCATTCTCATCATGAAACTGTTGTTATCAATGGTGAAGATTTTCAGAAAGAAGTTCCAGAAGGTGGTTGTAATAAAAAATGTGAGGCTAGACTACACTGTGGGCATACTTGTACCAGAATGTGCCACGCATCAGATAGGTTTCATGAAGAAACAAGGTGTGAACAGCCATGTTCAAAGACCTGCCCAAAAGGACATAAGTGTCAAAAGCTTTGCTATGAGCCATGTGGTAGCTGTGAAGTACGTGTGTTGAAAACCATGCCTTTTTGTGGCCATGACGATATGGTTCCTTGCTCTAAGGAAGTGGAAGATGTCGATTGTTCTCAGAATTGTGGACAAAAAATGGCATGTGGCCACATCTGCCGTGGTCAGTGTGGAAAATGTTCAGCTGATGCACAACATCATCCCTGTATGGAAAAGGTGGATAAAAAGTGGTCTCCTTGTCAGCATTCAATGTCTGTAGAGTGTCACACTGATATTACTGTAGATCCTTGTCCAGAAAAATGCCCAGAAAAACTTGAATGTGGCCATAAATGTAAAGGTACATGCGGAGGTTGTCTCTCTGGTAGAGTACACAAGTCTTGTGGTGAGAAATGCAACAAAATTCTTCCCTGTGGTCATCTTTGTACTGGACCTTGTGGTGGCCAGTGTGTGCCCTGTTCTTCAAGATGTCTGACTGCATGTAGGCACGGCCCCTGTAGCAAAACAACCTGTGGGGAGAAATGTGACACATGCATTGAAAACTGTGCCATGATCTGCCAGCATCGTCACTGTAATATGCGATGTGTGGATGAGTGTTTAGAACCTTTGTGTACCAAAAGATGCAACAAACTTATTATTTCATGTAAACACAAGTGTGTGTCGCTTTGTGGCGAACCGTGTGTTTGTTATGATTGTGAAAAAGATAAATTTACTCTCATAGATTCAAGCAACAAGAAAAAACATCAACTAGTCATTGCTCACGATAAACGTGAGAGAGCTAAAAAATTTGAAGTTGATCAAGATACAATTTTAATGAAAATCCCAAAATGTGGTCACATATTTACCTTAAAACAACTTGACAAATGGGTTGAAGATTTTGAGCCAGACACAACTCATTATATTCGCTGTCCTAACTGTACAGTTCCAATCCAAATGATAGCAAGATATGAACCAAAAAACAAACAGAGAGCTGAGAGAAGAGAAAACCTAAAAGACATGGTTATAACTGAATCAAGCATTTCAGATGAAAAAGTTGAGAAAATAATCCTTTCAAAACAATTTATTAATAACTTTTGTTCAGTAGATGAAGGTGAATTTCTGACCAGAAAACCAAAGGAAATAGATTTTAATCATGCTTTAACCTTAACACTTCAGATAAAATTTGCTTATGCACTCCTAAAGATTTTTGAAATTCATCAAAATTTTAATGAAAATGAATTTAATATAAAAAAATGGAAGCTGATTATCAATTCAATGCAAAGAAACGTAACTGATCAGTTTTATAGAGAGATGACCTTAGAGCTCCACAGGTTGCTATTGTTAGAACAGATCTACATCTTGAATGGATTTCTGGATGATATCAACTGCAAACCACCAGAGGAATTAAGGAAGCAAGTCCGCAATGTTTTAAAGGAGAAACCTAAGCTGACAAGTAATGACAGACAAATACATCAGTCCTTAGCAGATTCACTCTATCAACTCTTTGATCATCTAGAGCCAGATGATCATTGGCTAAATAAGACCATGGAACTTAAACAATACAGTAAACTTGTTACTCAAGTTCTTGATATACCAATGTCTGAGGTAAATATATTTTTTCTTTTTGTTATATTTATTCATGGAATATTTGGGACACCCTTTAAGAAATGAAAGTCCTTTATTTGAAAATTAACATTATGTTTAAAAAAACGTTTTTGATAAATAGGACTTACTGTTTAATAAGTTGACATTGGAAGAAGAAATGAACCTCATTTGGAACACCTAATTATATTAATAATATTTATTCCAATTTTATGTTTTTCAGGATCTGTGTGATTTTCTGCACTGAAAGTACTGAAAGTTTACATAAGAACAGGTACTGGAAAACGTTCTATACGGAGATGAAATTGAGAAAGCACATTGACATTTAAAATGTAATACAGACAAATCCATTAGATAAAGAAATGTTGAATGTAAAAGGGAATCATGAAATTGTAGTTTTAAAAAGTTAATTTCAATATTACTGTTACAGTACAACTCTATTAAAATAGCGATTTCCTAACAATTTTTATGCAAAATGGAAACTTTTCTTACATTTAGTGTTAGTTTTTTTGTTTTTAATAAACAGTGTTGTTTTTTTTTAGCATTATTCTCAGTACAACACTTTCCTCCTGCTAAGTATTATAAATTGATCAATTAAAATTAAAACATAGTTTTTTATTTTGCCAAAGTTTTATTTAATGACTTTTTCTGTAATTTAAGCAGATGATGTAGTTTATTATGTTTTCATTTGCATTGTAAGTATTTTAAAAATGTATTAATTTTACAAAATTTTTAGAAAGATGGATGAATTTAATTTTAAAACCATTTCTAGATATATGAGGTGTTATTTTTTAAAATGTTGCATGCTTATTTTCTGTTAATTTTATGTTATGAAGCGGAAACTATTCGCCATAACTCGACACTTAAGCATATCTTTTTTTTTTGCAATTTGATAAAAAAATTTTTTAAACCAGTACTAAAACTGAGACATTTTAAAGTCTTATAATTTCTATAAAAAGAATAATCAATATTTGTTTATATCCCATTGATTTACATTTAATATTTTATTGTTTATAAAAATAATTTATATGATCTGTATGTTTCTATAGCTATCTAACTTCATTTTAAGACTTAAAATAAAAATGAATAGATCATACCTTTCAAAATAAATATGCAGCAATGACAAACTAACATGACAATGTGCAGCTTAAGAGTACATTTTCAATTGATACGCAACTTATATTTTTAAAATAATTTTTAGTTTTAAAATAATTTTTAGTATTTGTAGCAATCATTAAGATTTGGTTTAAGCTATATATATATATATACATACACACATACACTTTTGTATAATGATTTTTAAAATCCTAATTCCTTTTTTTTAAAGAAAATGTATGTTTTATACATTATATGTTTATATACATTTTGCAGTCAGGACTGCAGAGTCTGTCAAATATTCACAGACAACCTTGACCAATTGTAAGAGCAACTCTGATCATGACTCATGTACATTTTTGGACTTGTGCTTACAAATTTTTGAATACCCATAGCAGTCTGTGCCAATAGTGCCAGCATATTTGTCAAAGTGTTTAATCGCCTTTCATTGTTCAATTTTTAAAATGCATGGAATTCGGGTTGAGTAGAAGTGCTCAAAGCTTGTTTTTTAAGAAAATAAAATATTGATTTTATTTGATGTTTTTTGTGTAATCTATCATCTTGCAAAATAGATGGGGGGAAAATGTCTTAGGCTATAGTAAATATATTTAGTTTACCTAAAGAAGTTTTACAGTTGATGACTGTTAAGACCTAAAATCCTCAATTCTGATACCACAAATTACATTTAGCTACTTTTTGCTATATTCAATTTACAAAAATATTGTACTAAGACCAGAGGTATATTTGAACTAGTCAAGATAATTAGTTGAAAGTTATAAATCATACACTTAAGTTAGGTGACCAATCTTGTACTAATTGTTTATTTTTATTTCAATAACCTTCCTCTTCTTTGTTCACTTTACCTGTCAATGTGTTAAGCACCTTTTAACTCCCTCTTCAACCTGCTTTTCTTTCTGGGTTTGCTTCCAGTCTATAGATGTAGCCTTTGTCCACCCAAGAACAATCAGCCAGGCTTTTGGAGTTTTCTCTTTTAGAATTAGATGGCTATAGGTGTTAACTGTTACTAAATAGATGTCCATGTCTTACATGGTATTGTTAGTTATAGAGATCTTGATCTATAATAATCTACATAATATTAGACTAAGTAGTAATAGATTTAGATATATAGTTTTATCAATTGTTTGCTTGTTTATTTTTTTAGAAGTCATACTAAAGCTCTGATGAGGCTTGAAATAAAAATATTTTTAATCATTGTGTAATGTCTTGTATGAATAAATGAAGTCTCAGAGAAAAAGAAAAAATAACCACCTAGGATAGATTCTATATCTAGAATAATTCTTAACTTCCTGAGACTACTTGAGAGTTAATTATGTGTTCAGTATAGCTGAGTAATCTTAGTGTAATGTATATTACTGTATATTATATTTTAAGATATTTTTCTCCAGTAGGCCTATTTGGGCAACGGTTAAATTAGGTCTAAATAGTTTCTAAATAAGTTATATATAATATATTAAATTATTAAATAGTTTTTTTTGTCGGGGGGGGGGGGGGGGGGAGGTGGGTAAGAATGCTCCGGGACAAATCCTTCTCCACCCCCCCCCCCCCCCCCACCTCCTCAAAATATGCCAGAAACAAACAAAAACTGATCTAAAACTAAAATAGTTGAAATTGTTGGAAAATAATTTAATAATAATTTTAAGTGTTTGTCTCTTTAAATCTTATTAATAGCTACATTTTGCGACCGAGGTCAAGAAAATTATTAACTCTACTTCATCTGCCATTGGTCTCACTGGTCTGATGGGGAGTTGTACCTTAATTACTTTATTTTAGCGTTTTTACAGACCTTCTTGTTTTATTTATACTAGTCAACATTAACGTTTTCAAACAGTAACATTTAATTTATTTATTTTAATTAAGCTGTCATCTCCAACGATTAAAAATAATTGCATCAATTATCTCCCCTTTATTATCGTCCGCGGCGGGCTGCTAGCCCAAAGGTCTTGAGTTCGAATCTTGGTTCGGACTTGTTATTTTAGGATGTCCCTGAGTCCATCCAGTAAAGGCTGCTGGGCCTCACTATCTCTTCATATGCCGAGGTTAACAAACATTTGAACCAATCTTACTTTTATCTAACATTCAATAAACAACAGCATGCAAAGGTGGGAAATCGACAAGCATATATTAAAATGGTTACGGTAAATTAACTTTTGAAAATAAGGCTCACGGATATTTTCCCAACAACACGTTGCCCTACGACAATATGGCTCATAATTTTTAGCGCAATTTCCATTCTGGAGAATTGCGTTTATTAACCCGTCATTTCTGGATGTATGAATGTATGGATGGATGGATGTGTGTCCGCAGCTTTAAGTCGTATCTCCTCCTCAACGAAGCAATATCGATGACTAGTTCCAAAAGCAATTATGTTAAGCAAGTTACGAGGATGAACATAGGCCATAAAAATTCCGGGTTTCTTTCATGGATTTCCCGGAAAAGCCAAACAACCTCGAAAAAAAGCAGTTTTTGGCCCATATCTCGGCAACCAGACCACTTTTATAGCGACTTGAAACATGTACCAATCGATTTCTGCCATAATTTAGAACAATATTGCCGAAGAAAGTTTTCAAAAATATCCTTTCGTTCGGTCACAAAATTTTTTTTGAATTAATTAAAATTTGGACCGAATTAGTAGGCATTTTTTCCAACCACACCACACGCGTCATCACGTTCAATAGCTGTGCCATCACGTTCATTAGGCGCGCAATGGTTTTTAGTCATGTAACTCTATTGTAAATAAAACATGTAAAATACTGAAAAAAAATTTAATAAAAAACGTTTTAATAACTAACCAATGGTTTTACTAACCCTGCTCTTGATTTACGCTACGACAGAGCTATTTTTAGATAACATAAGGAAATTGCGCTAAAATTGTCACTAGACTTTTTAATTACCTTGTTTATTTTTATTTCGCACGTACTTAAATACGACAGATGCACACGCGTGAAACAGGAGCTGGGTATTGACTGGGTTATTGTGTGGCGAGATTTAATAAAGGGACATAATAACATTTGTCGGATGCCATTTTTTCTCTCTAGACCCGCCGATTGTGTTTTCGACATAACATTTAAGCCTACTCCATTTAAATATAGTCGAAAATAATAATAATAGCGATAATTCAAAATTGACTTTTTTATACAGAGATAGCCATATTCTGTAGTTGTTTTTTTTTAAAAATGAGATTTAGAAAATGTATATTCCTACTAAGTGACGTCACTAAAAAAATTTGGGAACCCCCAGCATCGGTAACAAGAGTTGGTACTCCAAGATGTATTTAACTATTAATATAGTAACCAATCCAAATGCACATAACATTATTTTTTTTTTTCAATTTGGTGTCTCTAGGGTTCGGTCCGCACGCCACCTATTGATATTTCAGCTTGTACCACAATTTCAGTTTTGCAAAGGAAGGAAAGATGCCAGTATCTATTGTAAAGGAGCCACTAATTACTAATTGGCTTTATGAACCAAGGCGTAATTAGTAATTGGTTTCAATTAAATTAAGCTTTGGCGACTTGATTTAACTGTAATGATTTTGCGAGTTATTTTTAAACAGTGTTTCTTCCAGACTTTTTTCTCCGGGGGGGGGGGGGGGCACTTGAAATTTTCGGGGGGGGGGGGCGGTAGACTTTCTTCGGGGGGGGGGGGGGCGAACACTGTTAAAAGTATATATTTTCTATATAAATTATATAAATTTTATTTCGTTCGAGGGGGGGGGGGGGGGGGGGGGGGGGCGGTAAAAATTTTTCGGGGGGGCCAAGCACCCCCCGAAGAGATGCCTGGAAGAAACTCTGTTTTTAAATTATTCGCAAATCACAAAAAAAAAAAAAAATAATAATAAAAAAATAGGCCATACTAAAAAGTAAAAATAAACATAAAAAACTATAATAAAAGCTTTGGTCGCTAAAATATGTTAGAGATCGCATATGAGCAACCAAAGTTTTTATTTAAGTTGTTTATATTTGTATTATTTTTTAATTTAATTGTTTTCAACTGTGAACGCAGCATTACTTTAGCTGCAATATTGTGGCACCATCAAAGATCTCTTCTCTTCCAATAATCCGCCAGTGGTGTTGATGTCTTTTGGAATTATCTTTATGTCAACATTCTCATTGTTTCTTGAGCCTTTTAACAGTGTCCGCCTTCCCCCACCCCCAGAAATTTAAACCGCCCCCCCCCCCCTCCGGAGAAAAAAAGTCTGGAAGAAACATAGCCTTCAACCAACAGATCATGTGCCTTTATTTCGTAAACTCTTTCATGACAACTTAGACTAGGCTCTACTAAAATTTAGTTATCTGCCCCTAATTAGTTCGTGGTCCACGATAAGGTACGAAATCAACCAACCGCTAATTGAAAAAGAGTTCACGCTGATCAAGTAATGGCTAGTATTTTAAAAACAAAATCATACCTTCACTTTTATTATTGGTGATAGAATTGAAAATAGTCATTTTTCAAGTAAATCTCTTCAATTAGATTGCAAATGTAATATTCTTGCATTGTCATCTAAGATCTAACCACAGCTCTGTCAACTTTAAGCTCAATCGGACAAAGTGGGTTAAACTAATATTGCAAGATTTGCGGAGACACATATATCTAATGTCTAATAGTGCATTAAATAAAAACCTTTAAAAATACGAACGCTTGTCAACAGCCACTTTAAGCCTGGGGTCCATTTAATTTTATTGGCGCCCCTTCGCTCATTAATCGGCAGCCATATCTTTGGACTAGGATATAAAATAGATCAAGAGGTAGCTGAATCATAATAATTAAGTCTTCAATTTAAAATGTCCACGGAGTCACCAAATGTGATATTTTTCAAAGATCTAGACTAGATCTGGCGTACCACCGTAGCCCGTAGTCACCCACCCTCTAGAAACCTAGATTTCCTGCGCTTATTTTTGGAAGCCGCCTATGCTTCTCTCGCATGTTACTGAGCCGGACTGAAGATTTTTATAATTTCTTTTTAGTGTGTTACCATGTAATTATACTATGAATAAATATAATTTTGAGCATAATTGTTAAAATGATTAATTAAGTATTAATAAAAATGTAATTTGTGACATTTTAACGCTCAAAATTATTAATTTTTTAAGTATCTTTTTACTGAGTTCTGCAGCAAATGCCAGATACAACATGGCGGGTGCCTCTCAAGGATCTGGTGTTGGTAAGAAATCTTTAAATGCCACAAATAATTCTTAAAAAGGGCAATTATTTTGCAAAAAAAAACCTCGATTGAAAAAGGTTGTTTGTAATGAAATGAAATAATAATCATATCTGACCACGTTCTTGCATTATTATGTATGAAAACGATTGCCGTATTTTGGTAATGATTATTCGTCTTTTGTCCCTCTTCGGCGAACAGGAACACGGCCTTACAGAGTTCAGGAGTACAACTACGGTACGGTGTACAGATACCTGAACAGTGTGAGGAGTAAAGTGAACAATCGTCCCTCACGGTCGTAGTCGTCCTTAAAATAAACACCCCAAATAAAACAAATATTCTGCTCGGTCTAGACTCTAGGCTTGATTTATTGCTAAATTACAAAACAACTTAGAAAATAAAATTAACAGTCACTCACTCTCACTGTATGACAGCAGTGCATGATGTATGATATGAGTAGTCAGTAGGTAGGGCAAGTGCACAGACATTGCCAACAGAAGATTCTAGAATAAAAATCATACTTCTGCAAATAAGTGTATAAAAGAATGTATAGGAATAATAAAAATCTAGGGGGGTTGGGCTAAGTTTAAAAAAAAATTATTGACATTTTGCAGTAGTAGGGGCCTAAATTTTATTTTCTCATTTTTCTCTCTTTAGCCTTACAGTAAGTTTACAGTTTCTAGTTTACAGCTTGTAGGTAGATCTAGATCTCAGTGACTTAAACCAACAGGTCTAGTTACACTACTCTAGTAACTACTTTCTTTATTTGGAACCTTTACTTTGTGCAGTACCTTACCAATGAATAGATAGCCTAAACAAATGGGCAAATTATCTGCCAATAATTAAAAAAAACATAGGCCTAATATAATTCTAGATCAATAGATCTAGGCCATGACCAAATTGATGATGAAAGTATTTCAAATTAAAATAATAAGTACAGAGGCGGCAATGCAAATGTCAAATGTCTATTTTTGCAAGACTAATGCCTCAGCCTAACCTAAGAAATAGCATAGGCTATAATTCATAATAACAGTTACCAATTTGTTTATTTAATTTTTTAATGAAACAAACCAGATTTCCATAAAGCTAAAACATAATGTTATAGATTAATTGTTTTATTTTTAAAAGTTTTGATTGTCTTATTTTTAAAACAGTGATATAAACCGGCTTTAATTTAATCGTATTTGACAAACATCCAAAATTTTTGCAGAAATGTAGGATAGTTGTGTGTTATTTTATATAGTATTCATATGTAACCTTTGTTGTCCTGATTGATAGTAGTAGTGCTATACAAATTAAGATTTTCATAGGTGTCATCAGTGCGGTATTTTATTTAATTATTGGCAACAGTTTAAATTATTAGAAACTTTGCTTGACAGTGAAAAAACTACCTTTTTAAAGCACCATAAAACGTTTTATTTTAGTGTTAGTATTTCGCCATAACTATCACTAAATATATTCAAATAACTTAATACCACTCTAGATAACATTTGGATAAAATTACCGATTTCCTAACATCTATTTAATAATCCATTTGTGCAAAATTTGCTGGTTAAGATTAAAAAATGTCTTCCGATTCCTATTGATTACATTTTACCTCACCATTATCCCTCATCCCTGTTCCATAATTGACTATCTGAGGGATAGTTGTATCAAAAGCTCTTGTCACTTTTCAGGTTTTTAAAAAAAAACCTTAACATTAATTTTAAATGCCCTAACACTTTGCTTACTTTTTTTTTCACATTTATTTGCATTTTCAAAGTATAAAATATATGGAAATTTTAGAAATATTACACCAACCATTTTACCTAATCAGGGAATTTTTTACTTGTATTTGAAATACATAACCTCATACAAGTTTAATAACATTAATAATTAAAAGCTTCATCTACCTTGAAATCTAAGTGATTATTTCTAATTGAGGAATGTACATTCTATTTATTAATGGCAGTGGTTCCCAGAAATTTCACACTTTTAGATGAGCTTGAAGCTGGCCAGAAAGGAGTTGGAGATGGAACAATCAGCTGGGGACTTGTTGATGATGGTGACATGACAATGACAGACTGGCAATGCGTTATTATTGGACCCCCAAAGGTATTACTTTCATACATGTTTCTTTTTAATTTTTTTAAGAAGATGTTCATGATATTAAAATTACTAAGATATATATTTTATTTATAGTGCTATTTTTACTTCTTGCTAGAGTTCATTTAATTATTGCCTATTTTTTACACAAATAATTTGGAAAATGAAATGTTTTTCAGACAAGTTTTGAAAACAGAATGTATCAACTCCGAGTCAAATGTGGAGAAAGCTATCCTCACAAATCTCCAGAAGTTAGATTTATCACTCGTATTAACATGACATGTGTCAACAAGGAAAATGGGACTGTATGTTAAAACAATATTTTAACTTTTTTAAAAACCTGGTAGATAAAAAAAATCAGCCGTTAGTAAAGTTAATAGCTAAATCAAAAACATGTTGGAAAGGGATATATACAACACATTTATTGAAATCACAAAAACGTATTTAGTTGCATTTAACTGATTTTGAATTAAAATTAGCCCCACGTAACACCTGGCGTACACATCTTTTCTTTTCGCTTAATAAGAGGTCTTACAATTGTTCCTAATGAACATGAAATAAGAAATTAGTCTTAATTGAGGTAGTTACCATTATTGATTGTACATAATCACAATATTTTTGTGGTACAGAATTATGTTATGGTGATGCAGTTGCTTCACTTTGTATAACATGAATGGTGGTATTCTATGGAAATATTTTGTAATGCTGTATAAAATATGTGGGTGGTAAAAAAAGTACGTTTTAATTGTGACAATTTAGATCAGCTCAACTTTTTTTTTTTAAATGCTCTGGCCTTGTAAGCCTAGTACTGATACCCCATCCAGTAAACAATTAAAACAGAGTGGTGCTCCATTTTAAGAAGTACAGGAAACTGGTTTTGACAGTTTTACATCTAAAGCAGCCAGTACTGAACTTTATCATTCATTGTAAATGAAAAATGATTTTTAAAAAAATCAGAAATGAATTATCAACTTAATAGTGTAAGTTTTTAATAAAAAAAGATTTGAGTGTTAAGAATTAGATAGTTTTAGTAAAATTGAACATCTGTTAATAATACATGGTTTTATTCTTCTTAAAGGTTGATCCAAGAAAAGTAGAAAGCCTATGGTCTCATAAAAATTGTAGTATAAAGGCATTGTTACAGCACATAAGAGAAATGATGATGATGAAAGAAAATCGTCTTGCACAACCAGCAGAAGGAACAACTTTCTAGATAATAGTCACTTAGATTTCAAGGTAGATGGTTTTCTACTATCTATATTTTTTTTCCTTTTGAGAAAAACAACTAAAATTTTTATTGTATGTATTGTCATAAGAGAAATAAAAAAATTTTTTTTGTCTGATTGGTTTAAGATTAAGGGGCTAATAATTAACCAGGGTTTATGATTTGGGATTTTAAAAAATTATAAATCATAAGATTAAAGGATGGCTGTGAACTATATACTCAACATCCCCCCCCCCCCCTAAATCATTTAGGTTACAGTGAAATGACTGATTATAATAGCTGGTTGGTAGTATAAAGTAATATCTGAACATATTAGGGCAATCTAGCTCTTACTTTAGCTAGTAGTTGTATACTCTGTTAATTGTTATTGTAAATGAACATCCTAATTTCCACAGTTGATGAAATTTGAAAGAAACTGTCAAATGAACATCTGACTAGGGTGCCAACCATTTCTGCAATTTGGGGTCTTTTTGGCATTTTAGTGCTTACATAGACCTTTTCTTCCCCATACATTTGTTTTACATTATGATTTTTTTAGACATTCATGGCTTCCTTCTAATGTTTCTGATTTTTAGTTAAAATTAATTTAATAACCAATATTTTTTTTTTGAGTAGTTTGCATTCATGGCATCCTTAAAATATTTACTATAAAGATAAATTTAACTTTCTACTTGCATTCCGATATAATTGAAAAAAAAATCAACTTATGATTATTTATAAATATATAAAAAATTACTGAGCAAGGATTGTTTTTGAGGACAAAATAATGATATTCTATTGAAAATAACAATTCATTCAAATTACTTTTGCATATGCAATACACAAGCTGTATTTTAAAACTATTTATTTTCAAAACTAATTGCTTCATTCAGTGTTTATGATAAATTAAATTTACACTTTCTGTTGCCTTTTTTCCTCTTTGTAAAATGCTGTAAATAAGTTTACGAGTTTTAACAAGAATTTGTTGACCAGTGTGAATGATTACAGAAATATTCAACTTCAAACCTGAAAAATTCTGATACTTTTACAGTTTGAGACTTATTCCTAGTAATCTTTTAAAATTGTTCACTCACATAGTTAGGATTTGTATTATTAAAATGTTAATGGCATAGTATCAAAACTATAGCCAATTTTAAAATTTAATGAGTATGACTGTATGGTGGTGTTGAGAATGAGAGTTCAGTGGGATAGCATTTTTTTTTTAAGTGAATGTTTTGGTTTTACAAATGTCAATGGAATTCTCACTTTAAATAAATTGCTGTTTAGTGCCTAGTTCATTTCAAGGAATTATTCATAGTAATAATGTTCTAACAGTAACATTGATTGATTGTGTTTTTTTGAGTCATATTTTTCAATCAGCTAATTAGAACCATCAATTTTTTTGTTAACTTTATTTATAGTTAGTTGCAACATAAGCAGAATTTTAAAAAGTTATTCATTGCCATGTCATTTGAGTAAAATAGACAGCTTGTAATGGCAATACCTGAGTCAGATGTTCACTCTTCTGGTACAACAAGAGAAACAATGCAGACAAGGTTACATCTGAGTATATGACCATTGAAATTTTCTGTACTTCCCCCTTTGTTATGGCTATTTTTCATTTAACTTTATTTTAGCCTGCATGTGAATACGTATAAAAGATTGACTGAGACATTTTCTTGTACAATACGTAACAAGCTACAAGTTGTTTGCACGTTTTATGTATCAATAAATCATTTAATACTAGCGTGACTATGAGGCGTCATAATTTATTTGTTAGACACTTTAGAGTTTGTTTGTTGATAGCTTTAGTAGGCAATTTAACAACAAAAAAATAGATGTTTTCATTTCAATACTCATACATTTATTTTGTTGAGCAAGGTCTCTGGTGTCTGCTTATGTTTTGAGATGTTGCAGGCATCAAGAAGCCAAAATCAATATTGATAATTGTATCTACAATTGTGTGGAACAATAATAATTATAAATCCAATATTAAGTTCAGTTTAAAACAAAAAGAAATTGATCACATTTTTAGTTATAATACTATTGGCCTTACAAGCAATAAACTAACAAGTAATCAAGATATTTTTTTAATGGCAACAAAATATTTATACAAGTTCAGCTAACATCTCTTCGACTTCGTTTCAATCTGAAAAAAAAATTAATTTTGAATAAAGGTTTAGTAATAGTACATTACATACAGCAAATCTGTAGCAACAGCCTTAAGATTGATTAATTTTGATTTTTAAAAAAAATGATTTAAGAATAAGTATGCTTCTATTTTTGTGTGAAATTGCGGACCAGAAAGTATAGTTTTATTTTTGAATCAAGTTAAATGAGCTCAGGGTGCAGTGGCAAAACAAAGTTGCAGGGTAATGTGCTAACCATAAGGTCACAAAAATGGATGAACTCTCTGCAATCTATATGGATGTAGGTACTTAATTTTTCCCCTATCTACTTTTTTCTTATCTCAAATAGTGTAGATCAAGGGAATTTATAGATTCAAGTATACAAGAAAATAAGTAGGACTTGTCCCTTCCTATGAATTACTAATGATATTTATTCCTATATTACTTATGTGCTACATCTCATTACTTTAACTTACAAAGGAGCATTGGAAGAGCTATCTCCAAAACTTTTAAAAGAATCATCCAAGGATTTTCTGTAGATTTAAAAAAGAATTATAATTTATATAAATATGCATTTGATCTATAACTTATTAATTGAATTGTAGATTAACTTAAAATAGGGCAATTCACTTACAATGTCCACCAAAATAAATTTCATATCATATTTGCCAAAAAGAAACAGGTTTATCATGCAATGCCAATAATTCAAATAAGGATTAATTCTTTTAGAAATTGTCCAATATGTTGAGTGATAAAATAAAATTGTTTTGAAAGAATTTACCTAAGAGCTCTTGTTTATTGATTATTTATTAAATGATTTTTAATTCTGGGTCTACCATTCATGGTGCTTACTATTTGTTAATATGAGTAATATTTTATGTACCTGTACATAATATTAGTTATCCATAAGCAACACCAGGCTCATGATGACTTCAATTGTTCACTTACACCCCTGTACTAAAGCCTACTCATTTTATATAGATTGTGAATGAATTAACACTCAATCCCCCCCCCCCCCCCCCCCCCCCCATAGCAAGCATCCACAAAAGTTGATTTCTTACAGAAATACATAATACGTAAAATAGCTCTAATTTTTACATTGCACATTTAGAACAGATACCTTTTGTCTTTTTTACCATCTGCTTTAGATTGCTTTCTTTTTAGTCGATGTTGGGGAAAAGATGGCATAAACTCTGGATCACAGGCTGTTAAAAAAAAAATATTCTAATTAGGCCTGTGTAAAATGTACTTAATTCCTAATGTACAGCTAATAGTTCAGATTACTTACGCCTTGGTTGTTCTTTGAAATATGAAGATTCTATACAGGCTTCTGCACTGGCTCTATAAAAAATTAATTTTGGAATATAGAACTAATTCATGAAATTTTAAAGCAGGAACTCAATTAAACTATACTCTGAAAGCAAAGGATTAGTCCAATATGTCTCTCAACCAAAAAAAAAATGAATTTATTACCACAAGAATTTTATTTTATATAAAATCAAAATATGCAGTATGGATTGAAAGACAAAGTTTAAAGTACCAGTGAAAGAACAGTGTGTAGTATGTAATACAGGAAAACATTTGAAATAATTTTAAGAAGCTAGTTAGTTATTTTTTAATACCAAGGCCTGCATTACATCCCAGAAAAATAAATGATTATACATATGCCATGAAAAATTAATGTTGAATTTGTTCATAAAATCCAAGTTCATAAAATGCCATTTATGTTGAACATTTTTCTCCTGACTGCTTTAGATGTTCAGTCCATTGAAGTAAATATCTCACAATAATTTGCACAGTAACATGTGTATTACATTTTGAATTCTGGTGTATTTTAATGTGTGCACTCTTGCAGACAAGTAATAAAATGGATAACAGGAAGTGAATTTTAACAAAGTGTGATGGTTGGGGGGGGGGGGGGGGGGGGGGGGGGGGGGGAAGAGTTGGTAAAAGTGAATAATGTGGGCAGTGTTTCTTCCAGACTTTTTTCTCCAGGGGGGCGGGACACTGTTAAAAGTATATATTTCCTATATAAATTCATTTTGTTCGAAGAGATGCCTGGAAGAAATACTGAATGTGGAGTGTGGAGATAGTATTTCTGCACGTGCTTTTCTCCAGACTAATTTTCAAAGAATGCAGCTCTTAAGTCATAATGTTAGGGAGAACAGAAGAAATGTATGATAAAAAGAGACAAATGTTACTATTAAAAAGTATAGTGTGATAAATAAGTACCTTTTACTTGGGTCATACATAAAGAGGATGTTCAGCAGCTTAATCCCTGCTTCACTGAGCCAGGGAAAATTGTGTTTCAAGTTATTATACCTGTTTCAACACAAAACAAGAATTTTGACTAATACTAAAAAAAAAATTGCCTGTACTAAATAACACTAGTTTTCTTTCCTCATTCAAATCCTCTATCTATCTATCTATCTATCTATATATATATATATATATATATATATATATATATATATATATATATATATATATATATATATATATATATAAAGCAATGTTTCAAGTTATTATACCTGTTTCAACGCAGAACAAGAATTTTTACTAATACTAAAAAAAAATTGCCTGTACTAAATAACACTAGTTTTCTTTCCTCATTCAAATCATCTATATATATATATATATATATATAAAGCAATGTATGTTTGTCTGTCTGTTGGTCTTTTATGCATTACTACACCTTTCATCCGATCATCATTAAACTGGGAAGTTGTTGAGAATACTCCTGGGGAGGTTTCTGCGAGAGAAAAAAATCGATTTTGCACAGGCAGTGCCCAGGCAGGATGCAATTAGGCACCCTGAGTTATCCCGGGAGCGCTATGGTGCCTATGTTTGTTTTAAACAATGCAATAGTCTATGGATAAGATGGGGCATCACAGTTGTTCGCTAAACTGAATCAGGCTTGTCCGCCTGTGCCACAGTAGGGTGCAATTTGTCATGTGCTATGCTTTGACTGGCCATCAGACTTTCTTCTGAGACCGCGGCAATGCGCGGGGACCGGCACGCTAGTACTAAATAAATAATAAGTACTCTTTCAGGACTGACAGTCAGTAGAGCAGATGAAGTACTTGAGTCAGATAACCCTCAGTGGTAGGTGAACTCTGTGACATGTAACTGACTGACTAAGCCCAAAATTTGAACTTGAGGCATCAGGTTAACAGTCATGCACTCAGCCACTTAAGCACAGACTAAATAATACTAATATTAAAATGTTGGTAAATAGCAAACATTTAACAATTCTACACATAATTTTTTGAACATCTACTTATAAACTGCTTACGGTTGCTTCTTTAATGTAAAATTCTCCAGAGCTGGAAGTTTAGAAAATTCCTGTGAAGATGAATATCAGCATAAAAACAATAATGAAATTAATTTTTTCCTATCAGAATGCACCACATGTAGGAAAGTGCACTACTATTTAAAAAAAAAAAGTAAAAATTATATTCTAATTTTTTTTTTTCCCATTAACTAATTAAGCTAATAAGTTTCCAGAATACCTAACAATATTGATAACAGACTGTACCACACACGCAAAATTTTGACAACCATACAATGCTCTACATTTATGTTTTTTAAGTTTATTGAACAGTATCAGATTTTTTTCTTATCTAAAAGCCCAAAATGTTATGGTTTATAATCATTCAAGTTTTTATAGAAATATAATTGCAGATGAAACACTCAACAAAATTACAGACAGTATCTTTTTTATAAATTTTTTTTTTTAAATGAAAAATAACAGTGACGTACTGGCCATATGGCATCATTAGGTGTTCCTAGCATGTCTAAAATCAAATCCAACTGATGTAACTCTGAACGTCCAGGCAAAAGTGGACGATGGGCAAGTAGCTCTCCCAATATGCAACCTGAAGACCTGATAATAAAATTATTTTTAATACATTTTGATATAATATACTTTTAAAAGCATTGTTTTAAGCCAAATATTAATACTGGCACTTTTAAATAAAAATGTGAAAAAAAAACGTAGAAGTTTTAAATAATTTACATATTCAACATCACGTAAATAATTATACAAAAATTTGGTTCAAAAGTTAAAATTACCACATATCAATAGCTGTTGTGTGAGTTTTTGAACCAAGTAGAAGCTCTGGTGCTCTATACCTGGATGCAAAATAAATAGGAATAACGTAATTACTAATAAAGTAGAAAACAGGAATTGTTTTCATAAAATGTAATAGACTGTAGATCTATAATAGTAATTTTTAATGATAAAGTACAAACCATAAGGTAACAACAGTTGGGGTCATGGGTCGCAAAGGAAGTTCATATTTTCTTGCCAAACCAAAGTCAGCTGGAAAAATAATTTATAAAAAACTTGCAATGTTAATCAACTTAAAAATCTATTATAAGCGTGCATAATTACAGAATATTTTTTATCAAATAAAAATACAGGAACTAATAAGTATATGTTTATAGTGAGTTGTTTGCCTTGTAGTTTGTTCTTGTTTGGATAAAGGCTATGGAAGCAAATCCAATAATAAAAGCAGGCTGAAATCAGAGTCAATGGCGCATAACCAGTTGACATGTATACTTAATTGTGTTGGAGGGGATCCCTTCCAACACTAAAATTAAGAATGAAGAAAAAGACTGAGTTTTTTTTTTTTAATATAGATTTGTTTAGTTAGTAATTTAAGTATAAGCAATTGTGTAAAAACATAGTACTTACCAATTTTAACACAACCTTTATCTGTCATTAGTAAATTGGACACTTTCAGATCTCTGAGCAATTTTAAAAAATCCCATCACAGAAAAAAAAAGTATGGTAGTTGGTTATTATAATAACACTAAAAAATTATATTATTTCAAATAATGTAAGTTTTATAGTTATGAATGTTAATTTTTTTACATGCATTAAAGTAAAATAATTCACCTGTGTATTATAAAATTTTCATGTAAATATTGCAATCCCGCAAATAATTGTAACATTATGCATTTGACCTAGAGAACAGAAAGCAATTTATTACAAACATACTAAATGTAAAAAGAGTAAGGAGCAATAAGGAACAAACAGATCCAGAAACTATTTTTTTACACTTTAATGCCTTAAATTTGTTATGTGAGATACATAAAAATATATACTATTTATATGTGTGTGTGTGTGTGTGTGAAATATTTTGATCCCCCCATGACCAATTCCTTGCTAAGTCACTGATGTATAATATAATGTACAAGCTGACCCGTTTCGTAAGCATACAGCACTGTTTAATTGTTTTATATTCTACTTTTCAGTAATTTATAATTCACTACCAATGCTGCGACTGAAAATATTTTGCTTTAAAACACTATCAGTAGCTGTAAAGACGTTTATTTTCACCCTCCCTCCCCACCCCTCCTGCGAACTCTGTGAAAGCAGCCGTCCGTGACTGCAGTTTACAGACGCCAATGAATAGTTATGGCAGAAATTGTTATTACCTCCCCTTTTTAAATCTAAATTATTTGCTCCTACCCCTCATAGCCGACCTGGCTCTACGATTGTAAACATTAGGGGTGAACCACAGCTCACCTGACAGGTGGGGATGAGGGTGGTGGCTAAGCTGTGTGGTGTTTTCTATGGTCCCCATGAAGAGAATTATATATATAGATAAAAACCTGTGGCTCTGAAAATGGTGCAGCCATGTTGTCCAATAAAGATGCCAGATCCTGCTCACAATACTCCATGACAAGGAAGATGCTGTAATGATTAAATATTACATTCTTTTATTTGTAATTTTATTATTTTCACCAGTTCAACAACTCAAAAGTATCTGTGTGGATACTGTCATTGAAATTGTATGATAAGGAAGCTTTTTAATACATCTCACCTTTCAAGACTCTTTCCAACGACAACTTCTGACATCTGAACAATGTTTTCATGTCGTAAGTTTAGAAGAATGTTGATTTCTCTCAGTCCAGTTATATGGATTCCTGAAGGATAGTCAATTTACATTTAACTAGACTTTATATACTAGTTATCCAAAGTAGAACAGCTTTTACTTTGAAACTGATAATAATGTAACATAATTTAAACTTGCTTATGTATATATATATTGATCAATAAACAATTAAATATAATATGAAGCTAAAACACTTTACTTGCCATCTTTTTGTGTATCCAGGCGCATTTTTTTTAGCGCAACAATTTTATTTGAATCTGTATCTCTTGCTCTGTCTGAAAGTTATTAAACATACAATACATTCTAAACATGCAGGTTTAACCTCGTGAAGCCAGAAATCAAAATAATTCCTTAATAAACTAGTTCCAAAAAAAAAAATCTGAAGTGAGGACACTTTTTTTAGTCTAAAAAATATATTGGTATGCTTAGCCAAGAACATCGTAGTTAAAAAAAAAAAACCCTAGTAGTAGTTACTAAGTTACTGATTTAAACCAAAACTCAATCATCAAGAATAGCTATCATAAATTTTTTAGGGCCTAAACTTATTAATTACTTATTATACTTACATACAATGCCATATGTACCTTCTCCCACCCTGTTTAGCTTCTCAAATTCTGTTACACTTCTGCATTTACCAAGCTGTGTGGTATAGATCTCAGTTATTACTAATTAGTTAGTTTACATACATACATATTACATTTAGATCTACATGCAAAAAATTGAAATAAAAGAAGCACACTATTTGAAGATATTGAAATAACATACCAAAGTAACAGTTTTACAATGACAACACACATGTTACATAATTATATAATATAATTATATAGTAGGCCTACAGGTATCTATTATATTATTATAATTATCACTCACAGTGTCAGCTTCAGCTAATTCAACCCATTCTCCTGTAAGAATGGACATGAAGTGAGGAGGCTTGAATCCAAGTGTTTTTTTAAAACTATCTTTCTCCATTATAATTTTTATGACCACACTGTCAATAAATAATAATAGATCTAAAGAACTATGGCTTACTATGGCATCTATTTCTAGATAGAAATCTAGAGGCTTTTGACTGAGTTTTATTTAGGCCTAGATCTAGTATTTAGAATTTAGTATTTAGGTTTATTAATATTATTATTAGGGCAGGGGGGGGGGGGGTTAGGGCCTACACTTGTCTTGTCAATCAATCAGTCTTTTATATAAATCAGATGATCAGACTAGTAGTGTCAGACTAGAGATCTCTATATCTCTAGAGATTTATGTAGTAATATGTAGTATGTAGATCTAGATCTAGTAATAGTTAGATGCAGATTTAGGCCTCTCTAACTAAACTTTTACTAAACTCAAGTAAACTTTAAACCTAAGCACTGTTTGAAAATTTCGTTTCGTTAAATGCGGGAAATTTAATTTATCTTTTGAGCATTTCACTTGACTAGATTTAGTAGAGCTTACACTTTTCGGACACACATAGCGAAAAAACGCAACGTAAAAATTCCATGCGGTCTCATTCAGTAACCGCTTAACATAGAAAACAAAAAAAAGTATCATATCTATCCGCAACCATTCTACTTTAATAATGTGTGTGTCATTTTGTATTCATACGCATAGAACTTAAGCTATTCTTGTTATAGTGACTGGGGGGTCTTAACGTGTGTTCGAACACATGTAATACAGTTTTACATGTGTTCGGACACCTTTACCCGTCATCGGACATAGCACTTTTTGTTCATTTAGAATAATTTAAAGTCAATTTAATGAATAAAAACATATATTATATGCATTTATATTGTGTTATTGATTGTTTGTGAGGTAATTTTAATAGTATAAAACCTTTTTCCCACACTCCCAAAGTTCATCCCATTCAGCCATTGCGGCTCGCGCAGTACGCTGCTAAGCCAGCCAGGTCACATGATTCCCCCTCCTCTTTTGCATTCCACTGCCTTCTTGACCTTATTTTGACCCTTTCCCTTCAATAACCAGCCCCTTTTATGCTCTAAATTCTTATTTAATAATATTTTTGTGTTGCTGTCCGATCCCATGTAAGGCCAAATAAGTTAGCGAACACCCCTTTTTTATTGTTCAAGCACGAAAAAACCCATTAACCTTGACATTTACGATGTTCCATACATATATAGAAGCTATTTATAGTGTAACCTTTTAGCTAAGCAGTGATTGGTTCAAGTTTTGCCCCTAAGTCCAACCCTAGGTCACTTCATCCGGCTGGTGTAAAAATAGAAATGTGCGTACCATGCAACGTTAAAAAATTTCTAAAAATAATTCTTGAGAAAGGAAACGGAAGTACTTGACACGGAAGTGTTCATAAATGAACAGTTTACGTGCAGGCGCCGTGGTTTCGCGTGAGACATGCTAATTAAAGTTTCTATGAGCCAAAAACCGACGAAGTGTTCGGTCCTACGTAATTTTTGGTGTGTGTCCGAAAAGTGTAAACTCCTCTAGTAGATTAGCTAGCCTAGTCTAGATCTAGTACTAGAAATCTAGATCACAATTATTAGATCTAATTAGGCCTAATAATTATTTAATTATTATACTAGATTAGATTCTAGATCTAGATCTAGAAAGATTCTAGGTAATTCATAATGAGACATAAATCTAGATCTAATGTTTTGGTTTAGCCGATGCTGTTTTTTTTTAAATTTTAAACCGCACTGACTTAGCCTACTCTATACGTCGCACTCTGAGTAGGCCTAGCTAGGCTAGGTTGTGCTTATCCCGAAAATTTCGTTTCGTCGAATGCGGGAAATTATATTTTGGGCATTTCACTAGAGTAACCTAGACTCTAGCTAGACTATGATCCTATCTTTACTATCTTATTTATCTAGATCTTCGGCGGGAAGGGGGGGGGGGGCGGGCGGAGCGCACCAGGTGCGCCATTCAGTGTGGTGACACCATCCTTTACGGGGAGGGGGGGGGGGGGGGTGACACCAACTGCAAACTATTTACTATTTTCAGTAATTAATCAAAATAAAAAGCAAAAACAATTTTCGAGTTTGGATCTCGGCTCTGACTTGAGACTGCAGGATGTCCCTGAGTCCACTCAGCTCTGACGGGTACTTGACTCATATAAGGGAGAGTAAAGGCTGCTGGACATAGTGCTGCCCAAACCCACCGTCCTTTCATATGCTAATGCTGAGGTTAAAAAAACATTAACTTGACTTGGTCTCTGTAAAATTGGAGTATTTAGTTTTCTTTAGGTTCAAGAGAGGAACTTTACTTAATAAAGAAATACTATTAGATCTGGGGCAAGTGCTTCTTCTGGTGGTCTCTTTTGAAAAAAAAATATCTAAATAGAATAGATCTAACCTGGTAAAATACTAAACTTAAAATGTGTTTTTCAGGAAAATGTTGTCTGAGGATGAACATGACCTATTGCTTAATGCAACATTTCAAATTATTGACTCAAGTTTAGAACCACATAAAATTTTAGATGAGGTATTTTGAAAAATATTTAAATTTTAAATAAAATCTAGACCTAGTAGTAGGTCTATTTTTATAGCATTATTTTACATAAATACTAGAGAAGAAGTAAAAAAGTATGTAGGCATCTGTTTTATTCAATGTAATAATAATACAAATAATAATACTGTTCTAATTTTAACTTCTTAATGTCTTTCTTTAGGCTTGTGCTTTATCCAAAAGATTAAAACTTGAAAATGAAACATCGGATTCATTATCACTTACAGGCAAATAATTATCTTAATATTTATTTCAGTATCATAATATTATAATATAGACCTAATTAAAATGTTATTATAGTTATAACAGTTAAAATACTATACATTTTTTAACTTATCTTTTTTAGAAAATTATTTTTCGCTATTTCAACAACATGGACTGGGGTCTAGAATGGAGATTCCAGCGCCTACATTAGCTACTCAGATAATTAACTTGTCACAAGAATGCAAGCATCAAGAAAACAATGTGTTATTAAGTGACGTTTTACTGGTATGTTAAGTAATTATTTGAATACTGACACCTATCCCATTTTTTGTTTAAAGCATGCAAACATTGCCTTAAAATGTGAATGACATGTTAGGTGGGGATCATTCAATATCATAATTAATAAATCATTGTTAAGGCTCTGATGTCACATTAGTATAAATTATTTTATCATTTAATGGGTTTAATTAGGGCCTACTCATTTAGATTAAATTTAGATGATTGCCCATTTTGCCCCTGTTGATGAGTCCACAATGAGGTCACAAGATATCCACTTTTGCTTGATCATAGAGATCTTCCACCAGCCATGTTGGGTCATTTTGGTAATTAGCCTAAGTGTAACATTCTTAGATTCTAGAGAACATAAAAATAAACATCGTAATATAATATTAATAAGCTAGTGATGATGAAAATTTTAATACTTCTCCGGTAACCTTTGGAAAGGGAAATAATCAATGATGTAAAATAAGGGAAGTAACTTTTCATGTTCAAATATTCCCTCTAAAAGCTATTGTTTTAAGAGTTTAATTTGTTTTAACAAAATGTTTTCTAAAATAAAACATATTTTAATAAGTAAAGTGTATATCCACGATGTAATTATTTAGAAAAAATGTTGATAAAAAGTAAACTCATTAAAACTTTAATAAAATATATGTAACAAAAACCAGCTTTTTATTAAACGCTTAATAAATTGTCATTCAATTTTAGCGTGATGATTATGTTAACTTCGTTATGCGTTGATCCGATAGATCTTCGCCTGCTTTTCTTTTCTTTATTTAAAGTCCTACTTTAAGTAGGATACAGTTAACCACGGAAAAATCTAGAATAAATTACTGAATTACTACTTAATATCTTTAGAAAATAATCTTAAATTAAGATAAGTTATTAAACCCTATACTACACCTCAGGGCAAATAAATAATGAAACTGATTGAAAGGGGGGGGGGGGGGGCTATAGCCGCAAGGTGCATGCACTCAGATGCAAAAATACCTTTGACTAGACCCCTCCTGAATAAGAAAAGATATATATTAATTCAATATAACACCACTGGGAACAGCATGTCCATACAATACAAAATTAAAAACAATCTACGCACTACCCTTCCCCCTTGTGTCATATGAAAAGTAACTTATGGACTGGATATCCACACAATATATATATACATGTGTATATAATATTTTCTGTGATTGTATGCAGTATTACATTTTGGACACATGGTATTTATAGGCTAAATTTTGTTCTATGTAAAAAAGGGGATAAGAAAAAAAGTGCATTTACCTGTTTACCAGAAAACACCACTTTTATAAAACTGGATATGGTTCAGTGTGAAACTTCATGGCCTATTAATGTGTATGATAGATCAGCAAATTTGTGCATACATATAAACACACTGCTTATAAAGATACTGTATATTTGTGGACCCTTAATTAATTAAAAGAAATACCTTTTAAAAGTTTTTAACAATGTTGTTTTAGAAATAATTACATAAACACATATATTAGTATATATTATGTATACGTAAAGCTACGTTTTTATAATTTAAACTCGACTTTCCCTCCAGGCAAAATTTAATACAATTTTGTGTGCTTTAAAGTATCAGTCAAAAGAATCTTTTGATGCTAACTTATTTGCTTCAATGATTACTAAGGTATGCCAAACTTATATTATTTAGCTCTAAGTTAGATGTAGATTTTAAATCCAACATATCTTCTTAGAGTATTTCAAATTCAAAATACTGTATGATTAAATTTCTCTATAAATGTTTATTATTTTTTTTCATTTCTTAGCATGAATTACCACTAGAAATTCTATGGAACTTACATAAGTGTTCTGCTCTAAATTTGGATGTCTACTTATCAAGGTACATGTTGCAAAAATCTTACAGAATTCAACAAGCAAATAAAAAATTTTTTTGTGAATATTAAAAAAACAAACATTTTATTTACAGCAAGCTTCTAAATGAGGCATCTTATACAGATAAACTTGCAAAGAAATTGTTTGCATTATTTATTGGTGAAAATGTAAATCAACATCGAAGACAGTGTATTTTATCAGGTTGGAAGATTTTTTGTTTGACATTTTCTTGTGGGAAATCATGTATAAAAAAATACAGCCTATTAAAATTAACTCATGTTTAGATACATTCAGTTGTTATGTTTTAGCTTTTCATGAGTTTTCATTCTCTTAATATAGAAGCTAATGAGATTTAATTGTTAAGGATGCAGAAATGTTAAACAGTTAAATACATTAAGTTTTTATTTGCTTCTTAAGCTTTTGCTGGCTGCTTGGTCAAAAAATCATTTGAAGAAAAAAAAGCTCCGGAAAAAAGGGTATGTTTTTGCTTTTAAAAAAAAACAACTTTTTGTTACCTTAAATTGTCAGTCTAGCGTTAATTATTTATGAACCTCATTTTTAATGTTACCAATTTCATGAATGTTGTAGTGTTTGTTAAAAATTAAGATGTTTTAAGTAGGCCAATGTCTGAACATAGTCAAGTAAAAAAAAAATATTCCTTTTAACAGGCCTGCACACAGATTCTAGATACAAATTTGAGAGGTTTGTCTTTTAAAAACATTTTCTTTGTTTTTGATTCAAAGCTATTGTTTATATATATATATATATATATATATATATATATATATATATATATATATATATATATATATATATTTATTAAAAAGATAAATCACCAAGTTACTATTTCTCGATTAAGACTTCTTGGAAGTTTACGAAGATTCACCTGACATCAACTGCTTAGCTCTGCCCTTACCGCACGAAGAACAACTTCAAAATGAAACTCTGAAAAAGTTCAACATCCACGCTCTATCATTTCTTCTGTCTTATAAGACTAACTTCAGTGGTAGGTTTCCATTTTTTAAAAAATTGGATGGGTGTATTTAATTTTTTATTGATTGGCATATTAATTGGTTTGTTAAATAGCTAATGCAGCATTTATTAACCAGAAATCTGTTTGTTAGTATTTCAGGCCCTTACTGCTGATACAGAATGGAAATCTGCTAAAGAGTTTGGAGTTTTAAGACTACTACTGAAACATGTAAATAAGTTTTAGATCAATAGTAGTTAATAATAACAAATTAGGTTGAGATTTTAAAATTGTTTTGATCAGAATGACAATAAAGAAACATAATAAATAATATCAAGTCCCCTTTTAGACCTTGAGATTTATAAGGTAGGTGCAGTCGAGTTCATGTTTTTTATCCTCAGCCAATTAAATGGGTTAGTGAAGTCAGCATCAGAGCTGGGTGGACTTAGAGACATCCTATAGTCTCAAATCCGTCTGAAATCCAAACGAATACCACCTAACCACACCGTCCCATATATATATATATATATATATATATATATATATATCATACAGTGCCTCAATTAAATTGCTGAGTTTTTAAGATTGATGTTTTGCCATCAGTAAATCCTTCCACAGCTTCGTAGTATTTCAACATACTAGTGGGCTTGTTCTTTAGAAGAGTATAGAAGAACTGGAATTAAAACAATTTTGACTGAGAATCATAAAATATTTTGAGTGTTATAAATCGTAAAAAAAAAAAGTAAAACGAAGTAGCTTTAGACAGAAATATGTGTAAATATTGTAGATAGTTATTTAAATGGACTCGAGTTATCGCTGACTGAAAATTTCATAAGACTAAGTAAAACAGTTTGTAAGCTACCTAATATTGTAAGAGTTTTTAAGTTGTGTGGTTTTCTAACAATAATAATTAAAATTTTCAACAGCTGCTCTTGTCTCTAGATGTGAAAGAAATTGCAAGTGCTATGTTTCGGTCCTTAGACCAGCCACACATCAACCCAACTACAGTGTTCACCCTGCTGTCTGTCATGTTCATGTCCTACCCCCAGTGTAAAGATATAATAACAGGCATGTATAGGTTTGAATATTTTTAATGTAGGATGTGGCTCCCACATAAGAATAAAAAGGGAAGATATACTTAGGGGAGTAAGTGTGAATGAGACAGGTGAAGTAGATTTCAAGCTTCTTACCACATTTAGGAGTGATATGAAAAACTTAACCCCTATCATCATGTAATCAATATTTGTTTGTTTGCACAGATTTTATCCAGTCAGCCATTACAGCTAGCTTGGAAAACTCAGATTTTGATAAGTTCTGCATTGGTGTTCTCCTTGCAAGACAATCCGCAGTAGCTGGTCAGGTTTACTTCGGGAGATATGTTGATTGGTTTGAGGTTTGTTGTTGGTCACTTCTGTAATTTGTCTTTGTAAACTATATTAACCTATTTGCATACTAATTATTTTTTTTTGTTGAAAAATCAACATATTTTAAAATTATAACTTTGGAGTCTATGTACACTTCTTTTTTTTTTTCCAGTCAGTATTTGGCAACAGCTGTAGTACACTGGTGCTAACTAAGCCTATGTTTCTAATGTTTGTGAAGTTTTTGTCAAATCTTGTTCCACATGAATCAGCTGAATATTTGAAGGCAAGAGCTAGTTACTCTCTCTATTGTTTTCTTTAATTAAAATGTACACTGTGTGACACTATACTTTGATATTTAATTTTTTAAAATTTAGCTGTAGAATAACTTTGCATGCAAATGGTATAGCTGAAATTGTTTCCACAGGTTCACATAACAAAAAAGCCACATATGCCTGAAATTGTTTCCACAGGTTCACATAACAAAAAAGCCACATATGCCTCTGAAGAGTAAGGAAGTATATGATGACTACATCTTGCTTGCTAAGACAAGGCTGAGAGATTTAGGGGTGGGAAATATTTTCTTAACAATTTTAACTACTTAGTAATTAGTTTTATTTTTTGTAGCTCTCTACTGTTTGTTGCTAATGTATATCTGTTTTCAATAAACACACATTTTAATTCTAAAAAAAGAAGGGCATTACAAAGTTAATAAAAACTCCCCTAGATTACTCCTCAGATAAAAAGACACCCTTATCTATGCTTGGTAGATTTTTCAAATCAAAACTTTACCCACCAACATTACTCATATCAGTAATACCCTATTTTCCTTATACTTAGTTAAAGACAATTAATAATAGGCTAAATTCAGCACTTTAGTGTTGGAAAGTTATCGTAATCTAACATTAAAATGGTCATATAACATTAAAAAACACAATTTTGTGTAACTGTTGGTGTTTATATCTGCAAGTATGGCTTTTGGCTCCGTGAAATATAAAAGTCATATTTAAACATTTTTTTCTTGTTAGTATATCTTCAATCAGAATCTTAACAGTGTGTTGCCTAAAGTATTATTTTGTTAGGATTTTATTGCTGTGAAATATTACAGGGTTATGGCCCCTCATATTCGAAACCTTGTTCACATTTATTATAAACTTTAAAAATATCCTCTGCATTGACTCTAGGTACCTCTTAATGATGTCTTTGGAAGAATGTATGATCCTGGTCATGGTGCCACAAACAGCACCACCTCTGAGAGGGTAGGTCCCCAATGGTAGAATTTATTTTCTTCAAACATATTACTAGCTGCTTCATGTTAACCAACGTTTGATACTGTACCCATACAGCATGCCCTAAATTAAAAAGCTATCATCTGTTCTCTGAAGTAATTAGCAGAAGTTATATTCACTAAAAAAAATCTTGTATTTATGTGTTATCACATCAGTAACAGCTGATTAAAATGGTTTAACTTTTAGAGCAGTCTGGATCCAGTGGAAGATGATCTAGAAAAAGTTTTGGAATCTTATGCACAAACAGGCAAGATTCCTACTACTGTTTTAGAGGCCAGGTAAGCTTGAATTTAATACTAGCAACAATAAATGTTTAATCAACATGAGTGTGTGTTCTATTATGTCCTATGTGCTTAATTCTATTTTGAGACATAATTTTGAAATAGTTGCAGAATAGCAATAATTAAAATAAAATTGCCACAGTTTTAACTAAAAGCTAAAATTTTTAAATTTCAGTATTTTTCGCAGACCATATTTTGTTGGGAAATTTTTACCTGCTCTCTTAAAGCCAAGATTTGTAAGCATGTTTATAAAATTTACTTTATCTGAAAATTTAAAATTGAGCCAAAGTTTGTAAGAATGTCTTTTATCTAATAATTTAAAATTATTTTTCAAATGGTTTATCAAATGCATATAATGGGATTGTTCATAAACAAGTTACACTCCTAGGGAAGGGGGGGGGGTGTTTAGAATTTTGTGAATTTGTGTGATGAAGGGAAGGGATAGTAAGTATGACAACACATTTCTATTTTATAAAGAAATGTTAAAACTCAATCTTAGCCATTATTTCATGTTTTTAAATAGCTGTTCTTTTAAATTGAACAGCACTTTTGAGGCGGGGGAGTTGTAAGATGAGGTGTGACATTATTTTAGGGGTGGAGGTCTGGCTTTTTTGTGACAATGGGGAGGGGATGAGATAGTTATCTTTTAAAGAGCATGACATCATTTATGGATGACCCCAAAGGTAGAGCTATCATGATTAATGTACACACACTAATACTCACACTCATTCACAATCCTTTTATCTTCCACCCCCGTTTAAAATAATGTAATTAATAAAATCAAACTGGTAAATGTTAAATAAACTGGTAAATGCTCCAATAAACACAAAAATGTTAAAATAAATTGGTAAATTTCAAAATAAACTGGTAAATGCTAAAGTAAACAAAAAATGTTAAAATGCCTGTAGCTGCCAGATGAACCAGATCTGAAGATGAAACTGATTGAAGAGATCAACAAATCTGGCAGAATACCAACATCACTTTATAACAAATACACAGCTGAGTGCGAGAGAGAAAAACAAAATTTATTTGATGGTAGGAGCTTTTGTCGCATTAACTTTCACAAATTACTTTAAATTCTATTCAGTTATCCCCAAAGTAACCTTATATATAACTTTATATATAAGTCTTTATATGTTGAAACAATTACTGTTAGCATTCTTGCTATAAATAATATATGCCCCCATATATGTATGTGTGTAAATATATGCTCAGTCATAGTGATAATAGCTGTAATATAAATCGTACAAATGTTTTGCATATTTTAATTAATTTAATGGCTTTACCAGGTGTGTTTGATGTTGATGATGATGATGCGATGGATGCACTAGTATTATCACCTTATGAACAGCTGATTCTACAATTGGACAAATACTTTGAAGCTGTCAGCCAAGGAAACAAAGTTGAAGGTTTTTGCTAGTTTAATTTTATCTTTGTTTCATGGAAGCTAGTAAAGATACTAACGCCATTAAAGTAAAGATACTAACTTTATTACATTATTTAAAAAAAAAAAATTACACAGTACTTCTTAATCCCATTAATTATACATCCCCCAATTCACATTTAAAAATTGGAAATTTAATTGTAGAAATCATAAGCATGATGATGGAAACTGTGAGTGGAATTCTTCAGAATACGAAATCACAAAACTCTGCAGACCTTTCTTCTATACTGATAGATTTCACAAAACCTTTACACATACCAGAAATAGAGGTAAGAACTTGCACTTCATTTTAAAAAAAAACTACATGATACATTTGTGTCAAAGTGCTACAACTTTTTACATTTTTTTTTATCAGCTAGTAAAAATACTCAAAGAAAAACTTTTGAAAGTGGTTGGCAATGTATTTGAGAATAAGGAACAACAACCCCAAAGCTTTCAAGTTCTTCAAGGAGTGAAGAAATTGTTTGAAGTGTTAACCCACCATCTACCTCATACAACTGCTATTATAATACAGCATCTAATTTCCAACATTGACTCTCAGGTTAGGTATAATTTGTTAAGTTATTTAGTCTTAAACTAATTTAATTAGTCTTAAACAAGTTATATAGTCTTAAACTAAGTTAATTAGTCTTAAAGTTAATTAGTCTTCAGCTAAGTTGATAAGTCTTAAACTAAATTAATTAGACTGAAACTGAGTTAGTTTTAAACTAAGTTAATTAGTCTTAAACTAAGTCTTAAACTTATATATATTAAACTAAAATAATGCAACATAATGGGGCTGTCTATTATTCAAGCACAATAAAAAAAGAATCACATAATCATGCAGCATTTTATTATCTATTTCACAACCCTCTCTGTCTATTTTACAACCCCCTTGCAGGTGTATCAAGATGAACATCACATTTATACCTTGGCGTGGATGTTTGCCAATCTTACAGCATGCCAGCCCTCTGGTGTAGTCGTCACTGTTAAGCTCAGACCACAGTTAGAAAACAGCCACGCAGAAAACAGACATACCTACACTAATCTCATTGAAGCTATTTATCATTGCATCAGTTTACAAAAGACAGTGAGGCTTTACTTTATCTACAGGTACTTGGACAAAATGTTTAAATATTTTAGTGTTAAATTCTAGAATATATTACTAAATTGAGATGCACAAAACTAGCCCTAATTGTTTCTATTCCCTCTAGTTTTTCTATGAGAAACAACTTAGCACTGAGAATCTAAAATTATAAACTTTAAAGTCCTAGTTGTTTCCCTTCTCTCCAGTTGTTTTATGAGATACACACACCTAGCATTGAGACTACTGGATTGTGAAGCACAACAAAGAGAAGACGCAGATGTTTTTGAAGTGGTTCCACAACTTGAAACAGAACAATTATTGCCTACATTACTTGTGCAAGAGGTTAAATAGTTTTTTAAACTTAACTGTATATTTTTAGATGATGTAACTATAAGTTGTACTTATTTAAAAAAACAACTCAGAAAATATTTTGTTGTCTGACCTATAACTTTGTTTTAAATTTTATCAGATAAAATAAATGAGAAAGAATTGTCAAAATGCTTTTCAAAAAGTTAAATTTTTATTTAACTTAGATGTTGCTGCTCAAAATGAGATTTAGTTTGTGTGAAAGATTTCTAAACCAGAGCCATTTGTCCTCTCAAATTCTTCCTGAAAATATTGAAAGTTCTGTCACATCAAATCCAATATGGAAAAAATTGACCTCCAAACTACAGGCCAGTAAAGGTTTAAGTTTTTAATTCTCTGATAAATGATCCATAAATGAACCTAGTTTGGGTAACTAACCTGCATCTTTTCTCAATAGAAATAGAAATTTAAAGATTTTTTAAATTACTAATTTTGTGTTACAACATAAGGCTAACAGCCGAGATATAAATGACTTTAAAACTGGATAAAAATTGATAAATCCAGTTCTTTTGGAATATTATTTTAATTTTATCCCTTTTAATGTCTATTTTAAAAAAAAAATTTTTAGCCATCATTGCAGGACTGGATAAGCTTTGAGATAAAAATGGATGAAAACTGTGATAGCTTATCACCAAGTGAAAGGTACGGACCTTGTTTAACTGTTTTATTCCTTATTGAAATTCTGTTACTTCTTTTTGTAATGTACTGTTTTTTTTAAATGTCCATTGTTGCCATATTAAAGTATTTTTCAAAACCTTTACATATTTATTATATTACAACTTTTATCAATTAGCTATTTTAGAAAAATTTATTTCAAAACTTAACTGATGATTGAAACATATTTTTCAGAACTTCTGTCTTGTGGAAAATTAGCTCCCAATTTTTACAATCTGCCAAGTTGTCACAGAAACCCTTGGATTTCCACAGTGAAATGTTGAGAATCCTGGCTCAAAATTTGGCCACCTGCTCAAGGTATTTCATACTCAAAAATAATATAAAGAATTTTTAACCAAACATTTTAAAAGTTTATGACATAAATGTTGTTTTTTTTAAAAAACATTTGAAAATGTTTTTCAGTGAGGCACTTTGTAAAGGAAAGAAAAATGCCATGGAAGTCATTAGGAAGTTTATAAATATTTTAAAGGTGATTTTGTAAATTCTGATTACAGTACATAGTTTATTTTGTATCACAGCAGAATTGAACAATTACAGTAATATTAGATAGTTTCTTTAATAAGTGCAGTAGTGATAATCTATTTAAAGTGTTTACTTTTTTACCTCTAATAATTATTATTAATAATTATTATTTTTGAGCTTCACCAATTGTATCTTTTTTTCCCTACTCCCAAGAAAAATTAATAACCATGAACTTAGGTAGACCAAATTTAAAAAAAAAATCATATTATAACACAATGTTTATGAAGGCTGTTTTTATTTGCAGCATCACACATCACAGCTGTTTCAGATTGGGCAGGTCACAGAAAATTGGATAGCATCTACTTTACGATCATTTATGTCATTGCCATACACAAGTTCTTTATTAAGGTAAATTTTTAAAAAAATTATTTATTAAGGTAAATAGTTCAATAAATTATAGCAGAGGAAGACATATTCAAAAAATTATTTAAGTTTAGTATGAAGTTTATTTAAACAATTTTTATTTTTTCTGATTTTGTAGGTTTAGCATGTTGTGAACTCATTTTGAATTTAATTTAATGACAGTAAATTGAAACCTTAGCAGCTATATGGGCTTGTATAGAACCTATGCTTAATAGACTGCATTAGCTATAAAGTATTTTCTGGAAACCTCATAATAGGCAATGTTCTTTTTGTTTTCTTAGGATCCTGTTAGAGTTGCCTCCCTTTCTGGTCTTTTCTAATTCTCCTTCCAAAAAGATATCAAAGAGTGATGTAGACTCAGCATTATACATTGTGCAACAATACTGTGTAAGTGCTCTTACTTTGGTGCATCCATTTGTAAATATACAATTAATCTTAAAATATTTTCCTACACCATAGTTTATAATTGATGAAAAGTGATTTATCTTTCCTTCTAAAGAATTCCAATCACAATGAGGGTGGCTTCCTGTCCCTTGGTGCCACTATGTATTTTATGAAGGTACAACATTTATTTATTAACTTTTTGTACATGAATCATCTTGATAAAGAAACTTCTTGATACATATCATTTTTAATATAAAGTGAAAACATTTATAAAAAAAAATTTCTTTATTTTAGACTTGTAAGTTTGTACACAAGTTAATTTTTGTATTAAAATATGTTAACTTTTATGCTATAAAATCTGCTTAATATTTTAGAGCTTGATGAGTGTCCAGAGCATTGTAACTAACTGCTCTGTGCTGGGTATCTTCATCTCTCACCCAGTTGTCTCCCTTTCTGTTCTTGTAAGTTTTTCTATTTTGTAGAACTTAAGAATAAAATGTGTTAAATCTTTTCTTATTATTTAACAGAAGTTGTCTGATTGTGAATGTATTATATTGTATTAAAATTTGCCGTTATTGCCTTTGAATATATTTAGAGCTATTATTGATTTAAGTAAAACATTAGAAAAACTTATTTTTAGGTACATCTTGAAGCTTTGAAAGACCTTGGGTTATTACTGGAGCTTCCAGAACTCACTGCTCTAGTGGATGTTTATGACCAAGCTGTGAGGTAGGCAGTAGATTAGAAGATGCTGGAGATTTGGCTTGCATGTGAAAATACAAGCCTTATAATAAACATTTAAACTCACTTTTATTATACAGTATGGTTGAAGGTTTACTGTATGTCAGTACAAAATTTTTCTTTTATTATACAGTGTGTTTGAAGGGTTTACAGTATTTCAGTACAAAAATTTTCTTTTATTATACAGTATGGTTGAAGGTTTACAGTCTTTCAGCTCAAAACTGCCAAGTTGCCTGTTAGGTTCAGCTCTATTTGCCATAATTTCAAACAGGTGAATAATGACTAATAATTAATAACATCCCTAACCAAACCTAATTTATACAAACATTATTGGTATTATTTAATTTGTTGGGGGTGTTAAAGAGTAATGGATAATGTTGATTTAACTTTGATAGTAAAAAAATGAGTTAAATAAATTACATGACTTTATTTAATAGTTTTATTAAGAAGAATATCTTTCTTTTATTACACTTTCTACAGAAAAAGAAATGGAAACATTAACCAAAGTATTTTATCCCTTCCAGAAAATGTAAGTAATGTTATCTTAAATTGATTTTTTTTGTATCATCAACAATAAAACAATATTTTTATCTATCTGTTAACTCCCTCATTTTGCTTCTCATTAGATTTTTTAAAATTGTAAGTTGTTGTCTAGGGTCTTCTAAAAAAAAACAGTAATGGTTTTTGTGCTAGCCAACAAAAATCAATGGTTGTTGGTTTGTCAGCATGATAAAAGGAAAATATAATGTAATTTATTTTTTCAGTGTCTTCAGTACGTCTTAGAAATCATTTCAATTTATTCATCAATAAACTGGGATTATGAAAGAATTAAGGTATTTTTCAACATTATTTACATTATTTGTGTTTTTAAGACATTAAAGTATTACAATTTTAAAATCTTAAATAAGTTTAGTATATTTTTGATAGATTAATTTTAAAGTTTTTTTGCTTTCGCTTAAGTAAGTTAATTTCTAATGCTTGTAAATTTAAAAATTATACTCACTGTATTTGATATCTTTAGCAACCAAGTCCTATGTCCCAGCTATTTATAGATGTGGTCAGCAGTAAAAGTGACTTGCTGATTCAGTTACTGGACCCTGCATGTCCAGCATTTGCAACATTCAGAACTGACCTTGGACTGGGTGGTCAGGTGTGTCCACGTCACACCAGGGATCTCTTTGTGTTGAGGTCTGTCTCAGGTTCTCTCTCAAATAAATCTTTCTCAAATGTCTGTAGGATAAAAAGTAAAACCTAGAATGTTTTCATTGAGTTTTGCCTCTTTAAATCGCAATAAGATTTATGACATTCCATTATCATTTTGTTGTTAAATGTATTTTTTAAATAATGTTTTAGAATGAGGCCTTAATTTAAGAGAAAAAAAGTATCTTCTTTTAAAATAACCTTGTTGCTAGATAGTGTCAATGAATGTTAAAAATAAACCTATATTATCTGCTAATCAAATATTTTATTGTAATCTGACATAGTTTAACATCCAACATCCAAGCCGCTGTGCTACTGAAGAACTCAACAAAGAGACTGACGTCTGCTGTGTTTACAGCTTACACACGTGTAGTGGACAGTTGTCAAGTTGAAGGATCCAATGATTTGGAGGTAATCTTATAGGACATAGTTCATTGGCTGTTAAATCTTCATCAAATATTTTCTTATGCTAGATGTTACATCCATCAGTGTGATGGTATGATTGCTTTTCTTTGGCCTATAATTTTGGGATGGTTTTTTGTAAGTTTGTGGGGGTGATTTGTTAGCTACCAGTCATTGTCACTTTTTACAGTCGTAGAGTGAAAATAGCAATATTTTCTCAAATTTTGAATGATTCTTTTAAAATATCATTATTAAATTGTTTTAATTAGTTTTATCTTGTGACTTGATTAATAATTTAATTGGCTTGTATGAATCACATAAGCCCACAGAGGCTGAAAGAAAAGTTTTCTCTGTGACAAATGTATTGATGGGGTTGGCACCTTACAACCATAATTTTACTTAGACTTGAACCTGGGACCTGCTGTTGCACTTGAAGTTAAAATGTATAGAGATAAGTAGCTGTCATACAGCAAAGTGACTGATTACATTTTGATTACAGCTGAATACAGAAGGCACCCTTTCCCACATGTGTAAGTGGATCAAACAGCTGATTGATCTGGCCAGTCCAGCTGAACTTCAAGCTATTTCTGTGGTCAGTGTTTTTTATACACTTATTTTTTCCTACTTAAAACCAACCAACCAGAAGTGTTCTTCTGGTTGTTGTTTTTAAAAGTGTATTAAGTCTGATACATATTTTCTCCATTAGCCTCCCTTGAACAACCCAGGCTCACATGTAGTGCTGTACAGATACATCATTGAGAAAAAGAAAGGCTGGATCTAGTGATGCTTGTTTTCTAAAACGTAACAGTAACCTAATTCAGACACTCAACACTAACCTAATTCAGACACTCAACAGTAACCTAATTCAGACACTCAACAGTAAGCTAATTCAGACACTCAACAGTAACCTAATTCAGACACTCAGCAGTAACCTAATTCAGACACTCAACAGTAACCTAATTCAGACACTCAACAGTAACCTAATTCAGACACTCAACAGTAAGCTAATTCAGATTATCAACAGTAACCTAATTCAGACACTCAACAGTAACCTAATTCAGACACTCAACAGTAACCTAATTCAGACACTCAACAGTAACCTAATTCAGACACTCAACAGTAACTTAATTCAGACAATCAACAGTAAGCCTACTTTGTTCCCTGGAGATTGCAGTGGGTACAGCAGAACCAAAATGTTTAATCTGCATGCTGTGGTAACACAAACTCACTCTATTATATGGATTAATGGATTCCATATTTTGTGTTTACTGTCGACTTAGGATTAGATGCAAGCAGTTAAAAAGATTTTTTACAACCATATAATGTTATGAAGAGTCCAGTTTTTGTTATTTTTACTCTGCCTTTATTGTGGTTCTACTTATGTGATTAAAATTTCAAAATACTTTCAAACACGCTAAATCTTTTCTTTGTCTCAGTCTTATGCTGATTGTGCTTTTGTTTGGCATAATGTAATTTACCAAAGGATACATTTGCTATTTTACAGCATTATATTAAGTTTATACAAGGTTTATTATTTTAGAGAATTTTCTAAATCATAACTTAAAATATTTAATAACATAAAAATAAGGTAATCTTCTTCAGAAAATTAATTGATTCACATAGGGAACAAATGTACTACATAGTAGGACTTAGTACAAAGCTTCTCTAATCTAACCTTTGACTTCCTATTATGTTCAATGCAATTCCTCTTTTTATGACATGGACACAATAATGAACAACTTTACAAAAACACATTGTTTAAAAATCTTTCATTCTAAGGTTTGGTTCACCAAATTAATGGCTTAAGATTTTTAAAAATAAAGCAACCACAAATTTTCATACATAGTTTTATTATTGATTATGTCAACTAACTGGCAGCTAAAATTAGGATAAATCTGTCACAAATATTCCAGATCCCAGTTTACATCAATGCAAGGTAAAATAATAAGTGTTCTCAACAAGGACAAAATATTGTACAATGTACAGGAAAGATTCCATATAGGACACATTACATTATTGGTGTGTGAGTTACTGCCCTTACACCATGTTAACAATTAAATGGCACCAGGACAGAACAAAGTTAAATAGAAGCAAGGTTTTGACTAACCTTAATCAAAATAATGAAATGGCCCACATCTAAAATTTGTAGATTAAAACTTTGCAAAAAGCTAAGTTGTTCATTTGGCACATAATTCAGATAAATTTTAGATGGAGGGGGAGGATTTAAAATGTGCAATTTCTGTTAACATTTAAAAATATAATTCTGATACTTCAAGCTTCTTTCTCAACCATCAAACCCCATACACTCCCTACCTCTCTCCACACCACCTTCTCTCTGGGTTAGCCTGAACCAAACAGACAACATACTGACAGTCAAATGCTAATTTTTTTGTTCATTGGGGGAAAATACAGATGGTTATGTTTTTTTTAGTGTTGTAAATTATTCAGTTATCCTTTAAACCATTTTTAACAAAAACACATGTTAGTGTCTTAAAAAAGAAATCAAAGTATGAAAATGTTCAGTAAATTCATGTAGACCCGACACTCCAACAAGAAAGCTAGTAAAGTATAACAAAGCAGAGAGAAATAAAAGCAAGTAGTTACAAGTGTCATGGCCAAACAGGTATTTAACACTGACCAAGACAAAGTTAACTATCAATCATAGGCAATAAAACATAAAGAAAAGAAGAGCACAGCCATACACATCACATAGCAAAGAAATATTTACATGCTCAATTAAAAATGAGTTGCCAATTAATCAATGTAGAAAATTCTTAAATTTTCTCTAGTAGCAAGTTGACATGTTGCTCTTCCAGTATATGAATATAGATTTTAACAAAACATTGTATCATTATATTAAAGACTTTCATAATTTTCAGTGTACCAGGTAAGAACCTGCACTAAAAAATTTATGATTTGAGCATGGTATAAAACAACCATTGATGAATGAAAGATACTCTCATTTTTTGTTTTCACGCGATTTCCCGTATCAAATTTCTCTTTATGAAGTAGAGTTATGAAAGGGTTAAATATTCTACCATGAAAATACAATTTTAAAAAGTACATCAGTTTATTTACAATTAAAATTATGAGAAAATTCTGCATTTATTGTAGAAATTAAACGACTAGTGCCTAGGCTGACTTACAGGAGAAGTTGTCTATGACTATAATTATTATAAGATTTAAACAAAAAAAACATTTATATAAATACTGTTTAAATACAATTTATCATCTTTTAATCATTACTTACACATGATGTTTGTGTTAGTTGATACTGAATAGTGGCAGTAAAAAAATATGTATTTGTACTTTGTTCAATTCATTGACTTTGAGATTACTTGCAGTTCAAGAAGATAACTTGTCAATATGAATAATTAAAACAATACAAAACAGATAATACAAATGTAAAATATTTTGTACCACAGAAAAAAAAGACATTAGCAGCTCCAGGTTAATGAGTTATAATAACAAGAAGCATATTCAAATAACATGAGTCTTTTCAGTATAAAAAAAATTAATTGAACTTAGTAAATGTGCTGACTGGATGTAATTTTAGAAAAAATAAATTGTATTATTATAATAAAAAAATCAAGATTTTTATTTTATTTTTACATTTCTTCAAATTAAAAAAAAAAAGCTACTTTTAGTTTTATTTTTGTTAAGAAATGTAATTACGATGACAAGCATGGCTGATGTTGATGATGTACTGTATCCTCCTATAATGGCTTTAACAAGAAGACAGCATCAGTCAGCATGTAGAAGGAATGTCTGAGGTCACCCTCACATAAATAAGGCAGGCGTGTAAACTTCTCTACTTCAAACCCAGCAGTTTTGAAGATGGTGACAAAATGGGACACTTGCTCCTCAAAGTTAGAACCTTTGATGTGAATGTGCTCAGTGGGCTGGTGTGTCTTAGAACCTGAGTCAGCAGAAAATAGAAATTCACTGATGTGTCTCAAATTTGTAAGATCCACTACAAAAGAATTTTGTTTTTTAAGTTGGGTGGTTTAAAACAACAATATTTACAGTAAAAAAGTTATTATTTAATGATTACAATAAATTAATTTATTAACCCTTAAAGTGCGTGCCAAGTGGCCATACACGTACTAAGTTATGTAACAGCAAAGCCATGATGGTGGCGAGGGTTAACAATAAACAAATAGAATGCATGTTTGTTTATAAAAAAAACTATTAGGTAACACTTGAATGATTGAATAGCAAAAGTTTATGCCTACATACCAAACTCAACATAAGGCTTGAATGGAATGACCACAGCCACCAGCAGCCTCCCAACTCCAGGTTTTAAGGAACTTTTAATCTCCGAGAGCAGGGAGAGAGGTTTATCACAGCGGTCCAGCAGATTAAGGCAAGATATGAGGTCGTACTTGAGACCATTTGAGGACCACTCATCAACACCCAGAACTCTGTCATGGATGGTGCAGTCATTTAATATTTACAATTTAACTCTGTACTCTTTTTAAAAATAAGATTGTTGTACGAGTGCACTTTTACAAAAACAACTGAAACTGCCTAGAATAAAATGATCACCTATATGAACAACATCTTATAGTCTCACACAAGTACTAATTAGTAACTCAGAAATGAAGTGTCAGTGACAACATATGTACATAAAAACCTACTTAAATCCTTCAGCAGTCAGCCTTCGTACCATGACAGTGGACATCTCTGTGGCATATGTTGTGTTAAAGTAGCCAGACATTTGCTTGGTCACCCGCCCATCACCAGCACCTACAAATGGTGACGTGAGTTTTATCAAGTTTATTGAAGAATCTGGTCAACTAAACTACTTTACTGAAATGACCTTCATCTTAAAAAAACTAATCTAATTTTAATTTAACTTTTAACAAATGGTGATGGGAGTTTTTATCAGGTTTATTGAAGAAATTGGTAAACTAAATTATTTCTGAAATAATCTTCATCATAAAAAAACCAATTCAATTTAACTTTTATTAAATGGTGTTATGAGTTTTATCAGGTTCACTGAAGAAATTACTAAATTACTTAACTGAACTGACCTTCGTCAATAAAAAAGTTCTTATGATGACTATATTCTGAATAAGCATGAAATTATTGGAATTTATTCATGAACAAATTCTACTCAAGTAGAGATATTGCTTTTTAGAAAGAAATTATTAAGAAAAGTATTCTTTCAGACCAGTCGGTTATGGGGGCAGATAAAGAAGAGTTGATCTGTTTCTCTGACATGGAAGGATAATTTGGTCAACATTATGACCAGTTGTCTTTACTTTCACTAACTTAGCCTAAATGAGAACTGGGTGGACTAGGGTACATCCTGCAGACTCAAGCCGGTGAACGGAACTTAAAATGAAAAATGAAAAGGAAAAAGCTTGAAGCATATTTAGTACCTAGATCCAAGAGGGTTTCACCCTTGTAATATGGTGAGATGTTGAGAAGCTTCTCAAACTGAGGCCGGGAGAAAACAAACATGGAACCTCTCTGTAGGAATCTGTAGCAGCAAGGTAAACATTTTTCTACAAAACCAACATATACTAAATTTCCATTATCAGAATTAAAAAAAAAAATATACATATGATTGATCATATGCAATTTTTCCAATTAAAAAAGTAAACATGAAATTTTTTTTATGACTCAAAAAAAAATTGTGATTATGTTTTTCAAGTTGAAAGAAATGTATTATAAAAAGTGAAGTTCATTTAATAAATGGTATGATTTTTTAAATACAGATGCAATTATTATTTAATTAAAAGATAGAAATAATTACCCATTAATAGATGTCTGAGTCATAAACAAATTGAGCACTGGTCGAGCTAGTGAGTAGAACAATTGTGTGAATAGCTGGTTTGACTTATTTTGACAATTTTCCAGAAATTCCTCCGCTTCATCATCTTGATCAAACTGAACAAATTTTGGTTGCACATCATCAGGCATTCTGCTTAGGACCACACGATACCACTGTTGGTTAAAAATTATTTTTTATGTAATATAGTACTTTAAAAAATGAGTTCACAAACAAGTTCTAGTAAGTTCTAGATGGCTGATTAACTAACGGGATAAAGGTTAATTTAAGTTAATTTAGCTAAGTTAATGAAAATAGTAATAACATGAAGAGCATATAGTCATAAACATGTATTACTATAAAAATAAAAAATAAAAACTTGTAAAACTACAGTGATGCTCCACTGTGAGATAACTTAGAAAAAAAATAGTCATTTTGAGATGTGTTACTATTGCTTCAACCTCATTTACAAATTAAATGGTATAGACCATGTTAAAAAATTAAACTTCTTAGAATTTCTGAATTATGATAAAAAAAAATACATTGACTCACATAAACATGTTTATCATTTTTGTTGAACTCGTCTTCTTTAATCTTATAGTAAACTGCCCGAGCCAATGGGCTACGTATATACTGGCCAGAGAAGAGACCATGCTCTGTGTGAATGCTTGTGTGCAGCTCATCACTACCAACACTTGAGTCGCCAACACACCCAACATCTGGTGAGCTTGTTTGGTCCATCGCAGAAGAAAGTCTAAGGCATTGGTAGGGTTGACTTGCTTCAATTCTTGACAGTACTGGCAAAACACACAATAAAAGCTTGAGTAGCACAACAAGCTTCTTGCAAGTGGTGAAGATCATAAGTACTGAAATATTTACATAATTGATTAAACAATATTAATTAATTAATTAATACTGCACTTTCAGCATTGCTTAGAACTGGTTACTTTGAAAGTATTTTTATATTAGTCTAAAAGCTTTCAATAATGACAATGTGACATAGACTCTAGATCTAGATCTAATAGTTGTTTGAGTTAGCCTGATAATTAATTAGACTCCCCCCCCCCCAAACTTTATAAGACTTTATTAATTTATTGTGCACCATTGACACAGATCAGAAAACAACACTTTATTATAGCGAGGCTCACTAACTTGAAAGCGTCCTTGGTTGCTAACCAGAACATGGCGTTAGGATCGGACCATGACTTCCGGCGAGTTTTTCGACTTAGTTCCAGGGACCTCCTTGGAATTACTTTTAAAAATGTTTACCACGAGCAAAATGGCAGGTTTTCACGTTATAAAAACATGCTATAGGTGGCAAGTCGAAATATGCCAGAAAAGCATTTTCAAAAATTGCTTTGGAGAATGTAGGCTAAATTTAAAGTCGGTGTCATTCAAAATAATATAACTTTTTAAATATAGATCTCCATATCACAAAATTGATTTCCAAAGTAAAGCATTATTAGTTTTATCATTCTATGAAAAAATAAATCAAATATCTTCAACACTTTTTTTTATAAGATGTGTCCAAAAAATGACAACCAATTTTTTTTATTTTTTTTGACCACGTGACCGCTATTTGAATGGATACGTTTACCTGGCATGGTTTTTTATTTTGCTCTTTTGTACAATAAAAAATGTTATGAAATTAAAGAAATAAAAGAATTCAAACATCACTTCTGTCTTGTCTTTTTTAAAATTCTTTTCTGATGACATTCTCTTAAATTTTTTCCCTCTATAAATATATCCCGACGATAGACGGGCCAATTCTACTTTTAGGAACTCTCTTGTAAAAAAAAATTAGATCTATTTCACGGTCAATTAAAAAGTTAAACCCTTCAGCTTTTAAGCAGGTTGTCATGGATGGATCCCTCATACCATAGCTGTGAGTGACCAAAAAATTTAAATTTCAATAATTTAGTCTAAAACTTGCAACAACTCCCAAAATTAGTGCCTAGTGGATAAAGTATGGACGTTTTTTATTTAGTTGTCATGTTTAAGTTGAAAATTGAGTACATTTCAAATTTACTAAGAAAATCTACTTTATTAAGTTAATAATTTATTAATTATTAATGAGACTCGTAATTGCTCTTGTCTAGTTGAGATGTCAAAGTCAGGGACATAAGGAAAGGACTGTAGACGTAGACTGTAGTGTATGCTGAATCACTTGAATGTTCGTTCATCACGGTCACATAAACTATGATAAACGTTAACACGTAGCAAGCAGTAGTCATCGGTCAAGAGTTTGAGTTAGGTCAGGCAGGTGGTAGAAGCTAGACTTAGAAGATTCTAATCATTGTCATTTAACTAATAGTTTAATGAATAAATATATGTGTGTCGAAAAGCAAAGAAAACACATACAGGTGCAATACTGCAGTATTTAGTAGAACCTAGATCTAGATCTAGAATCTATCCATCTTCAGGATTGAGTACACTTGATTGATAGTAATAAATTTTACGCCATACTGTTTACTAAGGTGGTAATTGCATCTTTTAAAGTAGAGAGTTCGCAATTCCTGGATAATTTTTTTAAAACATTTATTTTATTAGATTAGACCTATGTTAAAATTATTAATTAAATATAGCCTATAAGATCTAGAATATAGGCCATTTCTAGTATTTTTAAAAATTTAGATCTAGAATAGGCCTATAGATCTAGAAATCTAGATTTAGAATCTAGACTTTCTAGATTGGGAGGGGGGGGGGGGGAGAGAAAGTTGTAGAAATCGTCCTAAAGGCAGTAAAGGCGTGACTTCATTTATAAATGACCCTCTATCTCTTTGTTACATATATGTATATTACACATATACGTTATTATATTTATATGGGGTGTTTGGATAAATAGGTTTAGGCCTACACTACTGGCTTATGCTTACGCAGTTTTCTTTTAGCACACTGTTTTTTTTTTAACTGATGAGATAACAATAACATTTGTAATTTTCTTGCAAAGGATTTTGCCTCCACTATTAATTTCGAAAAATCAGATGATTTGCAGAGTTTCTTTCAGGCAACTCTTCGGGGACGTGTGGTGGTGGATGTCTGACTGTGAAAACAGATTTTTTTAAAATCAGTGCCTCCCCCCCCCCTCCAGTTTCAACTTCAAGTATCCCCTACTCCCCGTATAAAATATCTGGAATAAACATTTATGACTTGTAATACCATATTACGCCGTGATTTTGTGCGTGTGTGTTTGTGCGTGTGGTGGAAGGGTGCTGACTCCTAGAAATAGCGTCCTTCTTTAAAACACGGGTGGGATTGTCGTGGGCTTAAACGTAATTTAACGACACACATTTTTGGGGTAGGGTGTGTAAAAAGATCAATGTTTGGGTTACATAAAAATTAAAAAGTGCGCGTTTCTATGTGTGCGAATCGAAAAAAAACTTTATCCTAGCCTAAATTAAAATTAACGTTTTTTTTCCCAAATATTTTGTTCTTTAAAAAGTATACGTCACATTTTGATGTCCGCGCCTCTTACCAACACAAAATGTGTACCCCCCCCACTCCCTATAGGCTCTGTGACGTCATTTAAGATCAACCCTTGGGCCGTGTAATCATTTAGCACAACCAAAGTTCGAAAATATTGGATTTATAATTTAGATCAAGTTTTTTAAAGAGAGAAACTTCGAGTGGAGCGTTTACTTGTTTTTCATGTTGGTAGATTTTATGCGTTAACTCCCTTGCGTCTTCCCATCACTAACAGTTTTTCCAAGTCACTAACAACCAAGGCATTATGGGGTCGTCCATAAATGACGTCACGCTTTTTTGGAGGATTTTTACCTCCCCACCCCTCCCCTCCGTCACACGTCGTCACAAAAAGCCAGACCCCCCCCCCTAAAATGACGTCACACCTCAGCCTACAACCCCCCCCCCCCTCAAAATTGCTGTTGAATTTTTCTTAAAACATCGATATTTTTCCAAAATCTTTTCAGAACTCTGTCAACAGAGAGTATTTTGATCAATTCCTATTACAATTTATTATAACCCTTTTCAAAAGGCGAAATAACGTCTAAAACTCTTTTTCCAACATTGCTTTTTTATAATGCAAAAATGTGACGTCACACCATCTAAACCCCTCTCCCCCTCATCACGCACCGTCACAAAAGTACCGACCCTGCCCTCCCCACTACGAGTATGACGTCATTTAATGACAACCCCCCCCCCCCCCCCAAGCCACTAACAACCTAGGCATTATGTCATTTTCTACCATCTCCCCAGTGTCCCTGTATACGCTATGTCTTATAGGTCTATATAGCAAAAGAACTCGAACGATGATATACTAATCTTTAAAAATCAGCTCTTTATGTTACTGTGGTAAATTGTATCTTTCATCATAGCTGTTTGATCTTTCCTGATGTTATTTTGTGTTATTTTCATTGTCATTTCTACTGGTCAAAAATTTGTTTATCTCAATGCATTCTAAAAGGCCTAACGATTGATTTGTTAGTTTTAATTGAGAGACTCAAGAAATAGTAAAATATCTGTTTAATGCTTTAAACGTTTTATTTAGGACTTCATATTCTTGTTTTAAACAGACAAAGACTCATCTTCAAAGAGTGTTTCCGCTATTTTAAAAGAACCTGACACAAATTGCTCAAATGACAAATTATACACGCTCGCTTTTTTTTTCTACCAGGTACAGATTAAAATACAAAAAGAGCTGCGCTTGTAGAATCAGCTGATGCACACAGACAACAAAAAAAAAAAAAAAACCCAGTACCCACTCCATTTTTCACGTTTCACGTCAGAACAACGGTGACCACAGAAGATTTGGCCGGCAGAAAAACGGACAGGCCGCTGCAGCCAACAATTAGTACCATGTGCGCCAGCTGGTTTGATTTTATCGCTTCTCCCAGCAGACCGGCCGCGACGATGGGGGAGAATAAAACCGTCCTAACGTTTTCTCACGGACTAGACGAGAACAGGAAGCGACATCCCAGTAATTGCGGAAACTCGAATTATTTCATTAATATGTTTTGGAGGGTAGGTGGGAAAATACGTTCCAAAAGCTCTGACATTATTTCCTTTCTTTAGCCTCCAGACGACATTCATAAACAGACAAAGGGGAATAGTGTGGGATATATGAATATTATATATATATATATATATATATATATATATATATATATATATATATATATATATATATATATATATATATATATATATATATATCACATCGTCTTTTAAAACATATCAATTTTTTATTTGGAAAATCTTATAGCACGGCATAATTGTGAGAGTGTGACGTATTTATTTAACATTTGAGTGTTTTATGACCTCCTCCTCCCTCCCCTGCTGTTCACTGTTAGTGTGAAAAAAGAATCGCTCATAAATGACATTACGCCCCATGGGGTGGTGTGGGGGTGGGGGTGTCTGACTGTGAAACATGCTACGCAGGGCAGATTTGCTTAGTTAAAAAAATTCACGTGTTTTCTTTATAATTATCGTTTGGTGTGTGTGTGTGTGTCGCTCTCTGTGTGTCTGAAGGTGGTTGGGTGGTAGATGTAATTTTGTGACATTCAAGTAGATCTGATTTTTGTGTGAGTGTGAGGGTTGATGGTCGGGAGGGGAGGTGGCGGAGGAAGAAACCGGCTAAATTGTGTGACGTCATGTATGTGGCTGCAACAGTTCACTTGGTGGTTCAGATTGTTGTATACACTGTACCATCCATTATTTGAGAAATGTTTTAGTGTTAGAGGTCTTAGCGCCATCAATTGTTTGAGAACAATTTCAGGGTTAGAAGTCCTGCCGCTCAACAATTGGAGAACCCATATATATATATATATATATATATATATATATATATATATATATATATATATATATATATATATATATATATATATATATATATGTGTGTGTGTGTGTGTATAGTGTGTGTGTATGTGTGTGTGTGCTGTAAAATCCTAATCCACCATTGAAATATTGTCGTTTTATTTGGTCAACGCTATTTTGAGGTGATCTCGCTCACAGCTTGGATTCGGCCTAGGTCGTAGCATTAGCTTGTAAACTTGAGTTCACCAAAATATTTTGTCTGTCCGACTTGGTCATCGGATTTAGCTTATTTGTAGCTTATGGCTCGTAGGTCACCAACATATTTTGTGTGTCAATGTTGTAGGTAAAGTATAAGGAGATGTGACAAGACATGCACTATCGGCAAGTGATTATATTGACAAAAGGATTAAAGGGGATTATCTATATTTATGCATAATGATAAGGTCTCTTTCTTAACATTAGCCATTCTTAATATGGCCTCTTCTTAACATGAACTATTTTTTAACATGGTCCATTTCTGAAAATGAGCCGTTTCTTAATTTGGTCAGTTTCTTAACATGGGCCGTTTCTTCACTGAACCCGTTTCTTACGACGCCATTAAACTAACCCCTAAATAATACCCAACACAGGAGACGTGGGAGGGGGTGGTGCTGGTATTAAAGCCCCCAATATTGCCTCTACCTCCTCCCGCCCCCCCCCCCCCCCCGCACACTATCCAGAAGTAATCCTGGGTGTTTAATCGTTCAGTTGCTAGGCAACAGGACCAATCAAATTCTTAGGGTGAGCGTCTTCGCAAGTAACACGCAACTAAATTCGTGTCAGAGGGTGACCCGCATCTGAATAATTAAGCCATCGTCCCTAATTTTCCTTCCCGTCCCCGCCAACCAACTAAAAAAAAATCCATATCATACCACCCCCCACCCTCACCACCGTGATGACAATTTTTTTTTTTAGATTTTTAACTACTAAAGAGGAGTCGAAACAACCAACAACCCTCAACTAATTATGTTCATTACGTCATAACGGCTGATCAACCGTCGCCATGGAAACGAGTAAAGATAATTATCTCGTTTTGTTCCCGGTGTCAGAAGCATAAAAAGTCAGATGGCAATTTGGACCGGGGGACGGGAGGGGGGTAAGGGGTACTGGGAGGGGGGGGAATTATTTTTTTGGTTGGCTTTCTTTTATGCTTCTACTCACTTGACGAATTAATGAGGGAGACTGGGGGAGGAGTGGGGGAGGTGCAGGGTTCAATGGATTTGGTCGGGACAAGTGTGCACTCCCCCCCCCCTCCACTCCCATCTCGCGGTCTGGGGGTTACAAAACAAGGCGAGTACTGGCGAGGATTTTTTTTTATAAGACAATGTCTCCAGCAGCTTGTTATAGGGGTGAGGATCTAATGGTTTAATACGGCGGGATTCAGTGGGGCTACTGGTTCAATGGATTGGTAGCCATCTTTGTGCGGTCTAGACATTGTTATGTACGCGTGCATCTGTATGTACCCATACAAATATATAGACCTGTACATTATATATATATATATATATATATATATATATATATATATATATATATATATATATATATATATATATATATATATATATATATATATTTCAATGTTTAACCAAATGTGACTATATATGTATTAAATATATATATATATATATATATATATATATATATATATATATATATATATA